ATATTTCGCATACTTATAGACAAAGTAATCTAACACTAAGCAGTGATCAATGGTGGAACGTCCGGGTGTAAACCCTGCTTGTTCAATTTCTAGCAAGTTGTTATGATCTAACCATTCCCATAATTTTAGGCATAGATGTTTTGTATAAAGTTTACAGATCACATTCAGGAGACTAATTGGTCTATAATTAGATGGATCAGAGGGGTTGCCCTTTTTAAATATGGGAACAATTATAGCTAGTCCCCAATCTTTAGGGATTTCAGTTGTCTTGTCTATATATGAAAATAGATTTGCAAGGACCGGGGCCCACCAGTTTATTTGCGCTTTCAAAGTTCAGCGACAATGAAATCACTTCCTGGGGCTTTGCCAGATTTCATTTGTAGAATTAGCGAAGCGATTTCAGTTTCAGATGTTGGGGGCCATGGTGTATCATTATCTAAGGGGATGTTAAGCGGCGCAGAAGGACGATGTTCCCTAAACATCACTTTATAGTGCTCTTCCCATGAATTTGCAGGGATTATTGTGCCCTCATTAGGAGCTTTGGTTTGACTGGAGATAATTTTCCAGAAATTAGAATTGTCTTTTTCTATTGACGCTTTTATGAGGGCCTGCCAGATGAGAGAGTCTGCGGTTCTTTGGTGGTTTTTAATAACTCTTTGTAGTTCTTTTTTTAAGTTGTAACTCCAATTTAGTGGTAGGGTTAGGATTTGGCTGGAAGAGATTAAAGCATTCCCTGAGTATAAGTTTTGCCGGAGTGCATTCGTGGTCAAACCATTTTTGTTGGTAGGGGAGTCATTTTGGTTAGATCTTCTGGGTCTTGACAATAACGGTTGGAGTTTTCGGATTAATGTGTTATAATGGTCAATTGGGGAGGTCTCTTCAGTGTCGTTGGAAGTCAGATCAGCCCAGAGGAGTTGACCTTCCATTGATTGTGTCCAAATACCAAAATGGTTATTAACATAAGGGGACCATTTAATTCTGGATCTACCTATTTGTTGTAAAGCGCTAGGATCAGGAGTCTGCGGGGCAAGCCCACATCTAGAGGGTTCCCAAAATTCAGTCCTTTTAAGATTTAGGGGTAAATGGTCACTTTCGGTTCTTATATCTACAGTAAATTCAATATATTCATCGAAAAGTTCTTGGGAGACAAGGATGTAGTCAATAACAGAATGCTTTAGGCCTGACCAGTAAGTAAATTGGCCAGGGCAGTCCCCGAGGAGAGGCCGTTTAAAATAACAAGGTTTAATCTAAGTGCCATTAAAAAAGACATGTACCAGCAAAATTGGTGACTGGGTCAAGTGAGTGACGCCTGAATAGGGGCCAATATTCATCATTAGCATTTAGGGGACCCATTCCACTTTCCTTGATTAACTGTTCGTCTGAGTGGCCTAGCCTTGCATTAAAATCCCCACCAATAATTAAGGAGGCAGAGGGAAACTTATTTGAGACAAGGCGAATGCAGTCTTCCAGTTCATTCCAGATGTTTTTAAGATCAGTTTGTTTCATAAGTGGGTGAATATAAACATTGATGCATATGATCTTAAAATGGGTGGAGAATATTTTGACGGCCAAAATCCATTTTTTATCGATTTTCAATTGGATAGGGGAGGCTCCTAGATCTGTCGATACGAAGGTGCTCAAACCTCCCGCCGGTCTTCCGCCTTTTGGGCCGATTGAGGCAGGGGAATGGAAAGCAAAGTAATTGTGTAGTTCGAAAGGATTTTGCATCCAGGTTTCTTGGAGCAGGATGATCTTGAACTGTGATACGTAGGTTAAAACGTCTTTGTCCCTTGTTTTCGATTGCCATCCAGCAACGTTCCAGGATAGTAGTAGGGGTGAGAGTCATTTTGTCTCTTCAATAGCATCTAGGGTTTTCCCGGGATCGTGGAAGATGCAACCATTGGATGATTGAGTCTCCGGTAATATGATTAGGGGCGCCACAGAGATTTCGGCGTGGATTTCAGATGGGCAGAGTAGAGGTGTGTGTTCTGCCGTGACCTGAGGAGATTCATGACCCATTTTTCGCTCCAAGTTAGGTGGAATATTTGCCTCTTTTATGGGCGCTAGATCTTCAAAGTTGCGGAGATAGAGTAATAACTCATCTAGTCTGTCCGTTATCTCTGTTTGTTCGGCTTTTGGCAGATGGGAGAAGGAGACAAGTAATTCCTGCTCCATCGAATTCTCAAGATGAGTAGCCTTTGATAGGAGGGGCATGGGGGTCTCTGTCCAACTAATTAAGTCTGAGGGTGGAGAGGTAGAGCTCGTAGTAGATGGAATGCCCTCATTTTTAATTGCTTTCCTTTTAACTGGAGAGTAGGGAATAAGACCCGGAAACTACAACTAATCCAGAATGTGGCAGCTAGACTGGTGACTGGGAGTGGCCGCCGAGACCACATGACACTCATCCTGAAAGACCTACATTGGCTCCCAGTACGTTTCTGGGCACAATTCAAAGTGTTGGTGCTGACATTTAAAGCCTTAAATGGCCTAGGCCCAGTATACCTGGAGGAGCATCTCCACCCCTATCGTTCAGCTTGGACGCTGAGGTCCAGCACTAAGGGCCTTCTGGCTATTCCCGGACTGAGAGAAGTGAAGTTACAGGGAACCAGGCAGAGGGCCTTCTTGGTAGTGGCACCCACCCTGTAGAACGCCCTCCCATCAGATGTCAAAGAAATAAACAACTATCAGAGTTTTAGAAGACATCTGAAGGCAGCCCTGTTTAGAGAAGCTTTTAATATTTGATGAATCATTGTATTTTAATATTGTGCTGTAAGCTGCCTAGAGTGGCTGGGGAAACCCAGCCAGATGAGTGGGGTATAAATAATAAATTATTATAAAATTATTATTATAAGCACAAGCAGCTATTTGTGCTCCTAATAGAAAAACACCTCAAATATGGAAACATATAGACTGCCCAAAAAATGTGAGTATGTGAAACAAAGAACTATTTGGAGGGGTGGTATATAGATGTAATAAAGAAAAAATGATTAGCAAATACAGAAAGAATGGTTAATTAACGTATTTGAGATATCAAGATGTAAGAGAGAATTAACTTTACAATTGCCCAGATGTATTCAGCATTCATAGTGGGTCATGGAATGAAATGGTCTTTTTATTTACCAATCTTCTTGTTCCACTATGTTTTAAATAATGTCTGATAAAGCGGGTTCTCCTTCATGAAGAGCACATGTTGTGGTGGGAGCAACCATGACATCCCCTGTTGCTGGGCGGATTAGTTTGGATGGCCACGAATTTGATTGGGCATACCCAATATTGCTGGGGAAAATTGATGGTTGCAATTTTATTTGGTTGATGGGGGTGCTATATAGGTCCCTGTGCACAGCATTGAGCTTTCTCTTTTCGCTGAGCACATCAAATTACCCACCCACCCTCCCTTTAATTAGGGTTTGCGCTGACCTTGCTATGCCTGTCATGGGGTCGTCTGCTTTGGAGCAGGGGCCTGGTAGGAATTTTACCATTTGGCTGTTTGGCTGGGGCCATTTGGGTTTGCCTACTGCGTAGCAAATCGTCACAACTTGTAAGGTTGTGGTTAGGCATTGGCTAATTTTTTGGTTGGTGGAGGGGATGTGGTTGGCTGTGCCTGCCCCTCCAATGCTGCTGCTGCTGCAAGGGTATTCCGTTAAAGGAATCCAGGGGCTCACCATGCTTTTGTCCGTATCCCTGACAAAGGGCTAGGGCCACAAAAGAGCCCCAGGGAGCATTTGGGGAGAGGTGTGAGCCTGGCACCCAGCTTTATTCTCTCCCCAAAATTGTTTACCCTTACTGACTTCCGCACGGATGTGGTTGTCAGTTCTGTTCCTACCTCCAAGTGGGAACAGATAGTTGCTAACCAATGCCTAAGCAACCACTCACATACTGTAATTCAATAATTCAAATCCCATTAGCAATACCACCGTTGTTATAAGTAAGAACAATGAGGTCGGAGGAACATCACCTGGGTGTGAGGCGTGAAGGCAGCTCTCTGCAAGGCCCTTTCCACCTGGTCTAGGGGGCGAGGCCCCGACTCACCAGCCCTACTGAAGAGGCTCCTCATGAGGCTGGAGGAACATCGCCTGGCTATTGTTTTATTTGTTTCAATATGCTGTACACCGTTTCGGGACGCAGGTGGCGCTGTGGGTAAAGCCTCAGCGCCTAGGACTTGCCGATCGCATGGTCGGCGGTTCGAATCCCTGTGCTGGGGTGAGCTCCCGTGGTTCGGTCCCAGCTCCTGCCCACCTAGCAGTTCGAAAGCACCCCTAAGTGCAAGTAGATAAATAGGTACCGCTTTATAGCGGGAAGGTAAACAGCGTTTCCGTGTGCTGCGCTGGTGCTGGCTCGCCAGATGCAGCTTAGTCACGCTGGCCACGTGACCCGGAAGTGTCTGCGGACAGTGCTGCCTCCGGCCTCTAGAGTGAGATGAGCGCACAACCCTAGAGTCGGACACGACTGGCCCGTACGAGCAGGGGTACCTTTACCTTTACCTTTACACCGCTTTGAGATTTGTATTAAAAATATAAAGTGGTATAGAAATTGAATAGTAAATAAATAAATAAAAACAAAACAATACCAGAAGTTGTGTAGGAAATATCACCTGTAACTACTGAAATCAATGATACTGATTAATCATGACAGTAGCAGTTCCACTGAAACCTTACTTACTGGAGAATCACATAGAAAAGAATAAGGAGAAGCTTTTTAAGCCTCCCAATATATTGTTTTCTCTTATTCAGTGTATAATTAACCACCATCTGGTGTTCTAGTCAGGCCTTCATACTTAGCAGTATCCATGACACTTTCTTAGTTTCCCAAACGTTGAAAAAGGTTGTGGACCCCTATTTCAGAAAGACCACATAGGATTTTACAAGTAATTGCACATAGGAATTGTAACAGATAAAATACAGCATGGTTATACGATGTAGAAAAAGAGAGATTAATTTGCCCATATTCTGATAGAACAGAAAACAGAGATGTTGGGCTAATTTGTTATTTCTTCTTTATTAACTTCTCCTTGCAGTTCAGATCAGGCCTCAACACAATGATGTAGCATTTGGGAGCAAAGATGGAGCCCAGTAAGCCAGCACTGGAGGCCAAGATGGAGAAGATCTCCACAGCCACCATGTATTTCCCCTTGGTGCTCAGGTAGACTGGAAGAAACGAGATCCAAACACTACAAAACAACAACATGCTGAAGGTGATGAATTTGGCCTCATTGAAGCTGTCAGGCAGTTTCCTGGCAAAAAATGCTACAACAAAGCTGAGAATGGCCAAAAAGCCCATGTAGCCCAGGACACAGTAAAACAGGGCAACTGACCCTTCGTTGCAGCCTAGAATGATTTCCCTCATCGCAGACTGCATGTCAGAATCAGGGAATGGGGAGAGATTCCTAACCATATAGTACAAATGACTGCTTGGATAAGGGAACAAGAAATCACAATGGAGCTTGCCAGTCTTTTCCCCACCCATGTCCTCATTCGGGATCCTGGTTTGGTGGCCACAAAGGCCAGAACCACCGTGATCGTTTTGGCCAGAACACAAGAAACAGTCACTGTGAAAACAAGGCCAAAAGCCATTTGTCGGAGCAGGCAGCTCACTCTTTCTGGAGGGCTGAGGAAGATCAATGGGCAGAGGAAGCAGAGCAGGAGGAAAGTGAGGAGAGTGTAGGTGAGGTCCCGATTGTTTGCTCTGACAAGTGGTGTGTCCTGATGTTTAACGAAGACGGCTAGGACCACCACTGTGAGGAGAGAGAGAAAAAGAGCCAACAATGCTAAGCTCGTGCCCAGAGGCTCTTTAAAAGACAGGAAGCTGATGGTCTTTGTAATGCATTGCGATTGGTCTCTGTGTGGATAGTGATCTTCGGGGCATGCAACACAGTCATCCATGTCTGGAAAGAAAATAATATATTCAGATTTCAAATGTTCTGGATAGCAACTACAAATGCTACCACTGTGAAACTCTTAAGGTTCAAATAGAAATATCACAGATGTCTCCTTTATACATTTGCAAAGTACCATCTATATATTGTGTCCCCTACCTTTCTGTGATGAAATCTTCCCTTGAGGACATGGAGCACAATCATAGCAGCAGAATGGCTCCCCCTCCTTCTTTTCCTTCCTGGAACCAGGAGGGCAACTTGGGTTACATAACGAAAGGGGTGAAACCTGCCCATTTAAATAAACACATAAACATTTTAGCACACAGAAATTAGTAGTATTTCAACCCACCCCCAACTAGAAATAGGAAGACACTAAAATACTTATTCCAGACTCAGAGCCAAACTACTCAGTTTTCTATTCATGCTTTTAAAAAAAGTGTGCTCAACCTGACCATCTGGGGAACAAATATCTCAAATGGAGCGCAATCTGTTGGAATGTAATGTTAAAGATATTCTCTTTTCCTATCTCTCATGGATGTAGGAATTATGCCTCACCTGGTGAAAGCTCTGGTGCCACACCATTCTTGTGTCATCAATGGAAATCAGCTGGCCTGGGACAGCCTCCCCACCCAGTCTTCCAACCTTGACTCTCATGAAGGAGTTATTTGGAAAAGTGACTATATTGGTAATATCAAAGCCAGCTTCTGCTTCCCTGCTCTCACTGAAAGATACCGTTTCTCCAGCAGAGTTGTTAAAGGAGACACTCCTAAGGAAGGGATGGAGCTGCATTGAAAGAAAAATAGGAACTATGAAGTAATGCATATGTCTCTCCTTACTGACACTCAGGATGCCTTCAGCGTTCGGTACTGGCAGGGACTGCTATGCAAACAGAATCCACTCATTGGAATTGGTTCGTAAGGTGAGAATTCACAGAGAGAGCCAATGATTTCCTTTCTCTCCTATAGGGAAAATCCTAATGCATTCCTGACCAAGAAGAAATGAGGAAAAAATCCATGGCTTTCAGTTCCCACTGCCTGGATATGTCACACCCCACGGAAGAGAATCGTAGGGTAACCAGCCTCAAATAACCATCATGAAGACATCTAATCAACACATGAAGGGGGCTAATGCCATGGAGTAAGCTGCCCATGAGTCTGACCAAACTGCAGGAGGCAGTGGAAGGCAGGAGTGCCTGGCATGCTCTGGTCCATGGGGTCACGAAGAGTCGGACACGACTGAACGACTAAACAACAACAAAACTGTCCTACCAGGCTTCGTCCATGTCACTTCCCTTCACTTTGGGAGGAGATGGGCAACAAAGCCTTTTGGTTTTGGGGAAACTCAGCCTACATGTGAATTCTCTGAACTGCTCTCACCTTCTCTCATTGTAGGCTTGGATCCTCCCCTCAACTTGTGTGCAGAGAAACTGCTTGTAATGGAGCAGGACAGAGCAAGATCAGATTCACCTTCACTTACAGTTTCTCTATAAACATAGGTACCTATTAACAAAGAAGCAGCACAGTGCAGGATTCACAGCTACTGCTTAACAACTGGAGGAGCAGCTTATCTGCGTACGTTAAGCGGAGGATCATAGCCTACAGTTAGTACTTGAAAATTTTCAGTTTAGTCTTCTACATTTAGATACAATAAGATAATCTTTATTGTCATTGTCCCATACAGAACAACGAAATTGAAAATCTACATCAGACATTCAGAAACCAACAAGCCTGCTATCCCAGCTATCCCAGCCTGGTTAACCCCCTAAAAACTCTGATACCCCATAATTAAATACAATATACTCCCATAGAGACTACCTTACACTGTGTTTAAAAGCAAAATCACAATTGAACAGAAACTGTTTCTCAGGCAGCTAGTCCTAGTCTTTATAACCCTGTACCTTCTTCCAGAAGGCAAAAGCTGAAAGAGATCATTTCACTGCCCATGTCAAATAACTTGTACGTTATAATAGGCATTACCTGCCAAGGCTGCAGTTTCTGAAGCTTCTGCATCCCTCCTTCCACTGCTGCCCTGTATTTGGCCCCGGGCAAGAACATGGCATGTAGAGCATGTGCTGTGGCATAAACAGCATTATAGATGCTATAGCTGTGGCTTGTTATGCTCATCTCAAAGCCAGACGAAGGGAGATCTTCCAGCTTCTCCTCTCCAGTGCAGGTTTCACTGGCCTGCTCCTCTGTGTTGGGGTATGGAAATAAACAGAGAAATACCTGTGCCCAGAACTGCTTGACAAAGCCATTTCCATTTTCCTCAAAAGGATTTTGTACCCGAAGAAAGGCTTTGAATCCTTGTACCACATTTGAATAAACTGCAAAGGAGAGGGAACCGTGGAAGACATGCATGTCCCAACTCATTTGGTAGGTCAATGTTGTGAAATCCACCTGTGCTGTCAGAATCCACACCTTGCCCACAGATGTTTTGTTAATATTTTCCATTTCACCTAGCACTAGCATTGTTCGCAAGCGAATCATGGGCGTTGTTCCTCCATAGAAAACAACAACCTTGGCTTCACTTTCCATAATAACATGACAGATTTGGATGAAGTCAGACTGCACATCATAAAACTCTCCCAAATATGTGGTTTTCAGGGCTGTCTCTGAGAAGGCCAAGCAAATGCCTTTCTGGGAGAGCAGAGGTTTCAGGGTCTGAATAAATCTCTCTCCACTGTCATCATCCACAGCGAGCAACCCAACCCACGTCCAACCAAAATGCAGAAGTAACTCAACAATCCCAGTGTACTGATGGGCTTCATTGGGCACCATCCTATAGAAGGAAGTAGATTGGCTTTGACCAGGATCTTCTGGAGCAAAGGAACCATAAGTGAGCTAAAAGGAATAAAGAGGCATAATTCATAAATGCAGAATGTGTATTCAACGCCTGCCTGCCATGGAGACATGATGAGCCAGTTGCCTCAGGAAGGAGACTCCAGAAAGTTGGGAGGGTGGCTGATTTGGCCACCATGGAGTGCTGCCCTGCTTAGCTCTCCTTTCTCCTCATCTTCTGTCTCCAGTTCATCCTCCTTGCTTTCCTGCACTGCTGCTGTCCCCCGGACTAGTTAATGCATGAGGGTGTAAAGGCCATAGAGTAGTAAGCTGCTGTTGCCAATCTTGTGTAGGTCATGCCTCTTTCACCTCCGGTGAAAAGAGGGCACCTTTCTGCCAACACATGAGCCAAAGTGCAAAGTCAATCCAGACCATTCTCTGCATGCCTCAGTAGAAGCTCTGTACAGAACCATTTCCAAACATAAAGAGAAAGTCACCTATTGAAAATCCTAGTATTGACCTTTGAAAGCTCTAATTTGTCTGAACCTCATATATCTAGAGGGCCACACTTCTTGGTTTATTGGGTGAGGCCAGGTCACACCTAATATATTTTGCTGCCTGAGATAGAAACCAACTGCTCCTGCCATTGAATCCTCCTTCAATATACCAATAGGACCACATCATCTACTGCACTTGGGACACCAGACTAGTTAGAGGAGTCAGGGGAGGCACTGCTCAGACCTAGAGCAGAGAGAAAAGGCAAGTGTGCTTAAGAACGGGAAATAGGACTGCCCATCTAGAGCAGACATCTTTAATTGCAAAGCCCACAGGAAACACATTTTGTGAAGAGCAGGACCACCCTCCTTTTTTAGTCACAATTCTACAAAACGTTTTTGGATAGAAAAGATCATGGTGATTGAGTGTGAAGAGTCCAAGGCAGTATCTTACCTGGGGAATCTTGTAGATGCTCAATATGTCTGCCATTTGGAGGGAGGTATCAAAGTCCAGTCCCCCAATAACTGCCACCAGGTGTTTCTGGGTGCCGCACTTGTAGTTGGGTATAAATGTGGAGGGAAGGTTCAGAGCAGCCCGATAGGTCATCCTTTCATTGAAGTAACTGTCATAGATGTGGAATCCTAAGGTGATATTTGGTAAGATCTTGGGGTTCTCATTGATCTCCTTGACAGCAAATATCAAGGCCAGAATATGCTGGTAGTTCTTTGGCACAACACTGCAATGAGAATTTCATGCTATATATTTGAAATATATGCTATGCAATTTAAAAAAGGGGGGAGGCTTGACAATTCTGCAGCATTTTAGTTGAAATTTTGTCCTATTATATTTGCAGTGGAGTTTCCCCTGAAGGAATACATTGTATCCCACTTTTATACTTGTAGCTCACTTTTATTAAAACAGTGGTACCTCAGGTTAGAGACACTTCAGGTTACAAATGCTTCAGTTTACAGACTCCGCTAATCGAGAAATAGTACCTCGGGTTAAGTACTTTGCTTCAGGATGAGAACAGAAATCATGCGCCAACATTTCCATGCATTTTGATGGAAACTTTACATCCATATTTGCATTTTTGTATACATGACTTGGCTAGAAGATTCCACTGCAAAATCTGCAGAAGTATAAATTTCAAATGATGGCTCTCTTTTGGTTTAGATAACTTTTTAGAGCAAGCAAATTTTGGTAGGTTCATGTTCAAATGTGAACTGATTTGTAAGAACTGGGCAGCTTCCTACCTTGAAATAGACACCAGCTCACCTGTTCTGATCTTCAACACAAAATTTGGTTAACACACTGGGGATAAGTAGCTTAATATTTAAACCTCAGCTGTCCACTTTCACAGCTTTCTTTGGTTTTTCCCTCACACCTCCCTCCATACTTCTCCCAACTGACAGTTAACTGCCATTTCTTGGCTGATCAGAACCTTCAGCCAATTAGTCTGTTGTTGCCCAGGCCAATTGGAATGAATGGACCTGATCCAGCCTATGTCTATATATGAAATTCCCTCCCTTCCCCTGTCACAAGTCCTTTGTCATCAAACAAGCCTGCACCATAGTGACAGTACAAGGCTACAGACATTGACAGTCACACAGAGACATCAACAGAAGCCATAAAATATTTTGAAACCATGAAGCTGATTAATTATACTACTACTACTACTACTACTACTACTAATAAACCCCCCTTCATCCGAAGATCTAACATGATAAAAATAGAGTGTAGGGGCTGCCCTTTGGGCTTAGACATATACAAATCGGTTATTTACAGGTACTGATCTGATCCCACAAAAAAGCTGTATCAAAATGCAGAGAACTAGGTAGCCAGGCTTAATGGAGTTATTCTCATCATATTCAAACCTGTGACACATTTTAAACTGGGAGGGTCATATAAGACTAGCCTGACTTGGATGAGAACATCGGAATGAGAATTTCACCTCAAAGGAGCGGTGAGCTTTTAAGACAATTCACCCCAAACTTTCAGAGGTGAAGTTCAATATTCAGAACAGAGAAGGGCTTTCCATCTTAAACTAGGTAAGTTTAAGTTGTGGCTCCTCTTGTGAAACCCTTCTTGGAAGAAATTTGGTGGGATGTGGGGAGGAGAGAACTCATGAATGAAAGAAAGACTCTCTCATCTCACTGACTACACATTTAGATCTCCATTTCCCACCTTCCAAGCCAACTCTTCAGCTCTGAGATGGTCCCCCCTCCCCGACACCTCTGCCTGGAAGGAAATCCCTCTAAAATCAGTGGAACAGGCTTCTCTGTAAGCCTGGTTAGAGCTGGGGAATATTTCTGTATCACCTGATTACTTGATACATGAAGTATTTACAAGGTATTAAGAAGTTGATGGGTGGTTAGCCTTTCTGTGAAGTCTACTTTGTCAAAATTGGTAAAGAGGTGAGAAGCAAGTCCGCCAACAATAAGATCACCAGGTTGGTAGTATTCATGTGGAATTCTGGACAGATCATGGATGGTGCAACATGTATGTTTGCACACCATATGTGGCAGATGAAAGAGAATGGGCACAACAAACAGCAACATACTGAGGCAAATATTCTTTCTCATCTGACACCCTCATTTCCATCTGGAAAATGAACCTCAGCTTCAGAACCACGCTCAGTACAATATGCTGCCTTGACAGGAACAGCACTTCCCTACCAATTCACAGATTAAAATCCTATTTTACACCTCAACAAAGAGAAAAGCAGAAATCCTCCCTCTTCCTCTTACCTCTCCTTTGCTTAGAATGGCAGGAAGGGGTTTTATGCCCAGACTCTGGCTGGTATTGTCTGGAAATCTATTGAGACATTATTCAAGAGAGACTTAGTCATGATGAGATTGTTAATTACAGCTGTGATGATAACTAGGTCTCTCTACATCAAAAACAACAAAAAGACCAGAAAAAACACCAGCACATGCTTGTGTTATTTCATCAAAAGTGGTTTCTGTCTGTTTATGGGACAAGAAAAGAGCATGCAAAAATAACTACAAGGAGGAAGAAAAGAACAGAACAGTGGTCCAGTCTGCTATCAGTGCTGAAAAGCTTCATCTGAACAGTGGAAATGATCAGGCTGACCTCCAAATTTCCCCCCTGAACATCTGTTCATTAATTTACTGACAATCATACTAAGACTGAAAAATTGTGAAAGAGATTGAGTTATGACAGATGATTTGTGTAGGTGGCAAGTAAAATTAAGTATAAACAGGGAGAATTCCCTGGATGCCAAGATCCAGGTTTGGGGCAAGTGCTCTTTGGTGAGAGAACCCCAGCACAGATTTCAAATCACAAAATTCAACGAAGTGTGGAAATATAGGTTGTTAGATCTTAAAAATATACCCTCATGAGTTCCAAAACTTCCCTCTCCCCTTACCATTGAAATGGACCACACATCTGGCTTGCTTACAAACTCTTCAAAGGTGAGGTTCATGTGTTTCTCCATACACCAGTCAGAAAACACAGGCAGTAACACTTGGCTTAGTTACAGTGGTGAAAGCTCCAAATTACTGGAATAGTGGTCCAAGAGAGGTTTCTTAGAGCCATGAGTTCTGAGCTTGTAGCAACCAGTTAAGACCTTAAATGTTGCGCTTCTTGGGTAGACTGATAGAGAGCAATAGGCCATGTATTTCTGGATAAAGCCTGCTGGCGGGGTCTATGATTCTAAAGGTTGGTAATTAGGGTGAGGTAAGCTAGCTTTTGCTATTTTGGAGCTCCGCTCAAATTCCAAGAGTGTCTTGGTATCTTCCTTAAATGTAATTCTAAGGTAAAATGGTTATTTTTGGTTCTGCACTCTCTCAATAACGTATTTGCTTCTATTTGCTGCTTTCACATCTTATTGTAGGAATTCATCTGAATCTGGTATGTAGCTGCTTGGTTATGGCTATAACTTGTGGGCTTGTGGCTCAGCAGGCAAGCTTTTTGTCTTGGTGAATCCCAAGAATATCCAGCATCCAACCTGAGTTCCATGACTCAGAATTTTGGGTGACTTTGCTGGGGTGCTGTCAGGGTTGGTTTTCCCTGGTTATCCTTGGTTAAGGGGTGTTGTCAGGAATGAGGTGCAATAACACATCCCAATGCTTTTACCAGCTAGCAAGAATAAAGGAACAAGGTATTAACTACCCAGAGAAGCTAGGATATCCACATTAGCAGAAAGCAGAACAAATGTCCCCAAAGCTTGCCCCATGACCAGCAGTAACATAGAACTTCCTTCTCAAGAACCCATACCAATCATTTGAAGCAAAAGGGATCCAAAGATCCAATATAAGTTGACAAATAAATCAACAGTTCAAAAGTATTCGGTGTACATAAAAAAGTACACTTACAGATTTTTAAAGACTCTTGCTTAGCCCTAAGAAATACCTGCTCACAAGCCATGCCACACCCCCTGGCTTATGCTGGTTTATGCATGTTCATTATAAGGCAGGTGAAAACAAGAGGGAAAACTGAAAGCCAAGTTGTGAGTGAAGCATGAGGTAGATAGCGGTTTATACCCTTTTTCTGGAACCTGATATAGTATCCCCCAATGAGACTGATTTAATCATGACAGTAGCAGTTCCACTGAAACCTTATTTACCAGATAATCACATAGAAAGGAATAAGCAGAAGCTTTTTAAGCATCCCAATATACTGCTTTCTCTCATTCATCTTTTAATGAATTGTCATCTGGAGTTCTAGTCAGGTCTTAATACTTTGGAGTACCCATGACAGTTTCTTAGTTTTCCAAATGCACCCAAACATTGAAAAAGGTTGAGGACCCCTATCTCAGAGAGACCACAGAGGATTTTTAAAGGAATTGTAACAGATAAAATCTAACATAGTTATAGGATGTAGAAAAGGGGAGATTAATTTACCCATATTCTGACAGAACAAATAGACAGAGTTGATAGGTTAATTTATTATTTCTTCTTTATTAACTTTTCCCTGCAGTTCAAATCAGGCCTCAACACAATGATGTAGCATTTGGGGGCAAAGATGGAACCAAGTAAGCCAGCACTGGAGGCCAAGATGGAGAAGATCTCCACAGCCACCATGTATTTCCCCTTGGTGCTCAGGTACACTGGAACAAATAAGATCCAAACACTACAAAACAACAACATGCTGAAGGTGATGAATTTGGCCTCATTAAAGCTGTCAGGCAGTTTCCTGGCAAAAAAGGCCACAACAAAGCTGATAATGGCCAAAAAGCCCATGTAGCCCAGGACACAGTAAAACAGGGCGACTGACCCTTCGTTACAGCCTAGAATGATTTCCCTCATCACAGACTGCATGTCAGAATCAGGAAATGGGGGAGAGGTTCCTAACCATACAGTGCAAATGCCCGCTTGGATAAAGGAACAAGAAATCACAATGGAGCTTGCCAGTCTTTTCCCCACCCACCTCCTCATTCTGGATCCTGGTTTGGTGGCCACAAAGGCCAGAACCACTGTGATAGTTTTGGCCAGCACACAAGAAACGGTCACTGTGAAAACAAGGCCAAAAGCCATTTGTCGGAGCAGGCAGCTCACTCTTTCTGGAGGGCTGAGGAAGATCAATGGGCAGAGGAAGCAAAGCAGGAGGGAAGTGAGGAGAGTGTAGGTGAGGTCCCGATTGTTTGCTCTGACAAGTGGTGTGTCCTGATGTTTAATGAAGATGGCAAGGACTAATATTGTGAAGAGAAAGATAGAAAGAGCAAACAATGTTAAGCTCATCCCCAGAGGCTCTTTAACAGACAGGAAGCTGATGGTCTTTGGAATGCACTGTGATTGGTTCCTGTGTGGATAGTGATCTCCGGGGCACCCAACACAGTCATCCATGTCTGGAGAGAAAATAATATATTCAGATTTCAGATGTTCTGGACAGCAACTACAAATGCTACCACTGTGAAAGTCTTAAGGTTAAAATAGAAATATCACAGATGTTTCCTTTATACATTTGAAAAGTACCATGTATATATTGTGTCTCCTACCTTTCTGGGATGAAATCTTGCCTTGAGGACATGGAACACAATTATAGCAGCAGAATGGCTCCCCCTCCTTCTTCTCCTTGCTGGAACCAGGAGGGCAATTTGGGTTACATACAGAAAGGGGTGGAACCTACCCATTTAAATAAATACATAAAATTTTAGCACACAGAAATTATTAGCATTTATCCCCACCCACCCCCCAACTAGAAATAGGAAGACATTAAACTACTTATTCCAAACTCGGAGTTAAACTATTCATTTTACTGTTCATGCTTTTTTTAACAAAAGTGTGCTCAACCTGACCATCTTTGTGCTCTCTTCAGGCATGCAAAAAGAATGCATGAGGGCTCAAGTTGGGAAGCGAATTCGGAGTTTATCTTCACCAGCCCTTCATCCATTGTACCCATGCACAATGGGAATAACAGGTCCACACCCGATTTTCTAATCATAGCACATGTTTAAAATTTTGCTTCTTTGAGAGGACAGGCACATAGTGTCAAGAATGATCTACAAATATTGATAGATGCAAAAGAGAGAAAAGGTTTCTCTCTACTGTATATAACATTATATTACATAGCATCTTGTTTTTGTTGGTTGAAGGAATGGATGACACTGCAGATTCCACATATCTTAGATTTAGATTTAGATAATATCTATACATTGATTGATTGATTGATTGATTGATCATGATAATATTTTATGTAGTGCAGAGAAAATATTTTGAATCAGGCTGGAAAACCAGGGATGGGCTGCACCAATGATCTATAAGTGCAAAAACATTCTCTTTTCCTATCTCTCATGGATGTAGGAATTATGCCTCACCTGGTGAAAGCTGTGGTGCCACACCATTCTGTTGTCACCAATGGAAATCAGCTGGCCTGGGACGGCCTCCCCACCCACTCTTCCAACCTTGACTCTCATGAAGGAGTTATTTGGAAAAGTGACTATGTTGGCAATATCAAAGCCAGCTTCTACTTCCCTGCTCTCACTGAAAGATACTGTTTCTCCAGCAGAGTTGTTAAAGGAGACACTCCTAAGGAAGGGATGGAGCTGCATTGAAAGGAAAATAGAAATCATAAAGTAATGTTAATGTCTCTCCTTACTAACACTCAGGATGCCTCCAACTTTCAGTACTGGCAGGTACTGCTATGCAAACAGAATCCACTCTTTGGAATTGGTTCGTAAGGCGAGCATTCCCATAGACAGCCAATGATTTCCTTTCTCTTCTATAGGGAAAATCCTAATGCATTCCCAACCAAGAAGAAATGAGAGGAAAATGCATGGTTTTCAGTTCCCACTGCTTGGATATCTCCCACCCCACAGAAGAGAATCACAGGGTAACCGGCCTCAAATAACCATCATGCAGACATCTAATCAACGCATGAAGGGGGCTAATGCCATGGAGTAAGCAGTCCTACCAGGCTTCGTCTATGTCACTTCCCTTCACTTTAGGAGGAAATGGGCAACAAACCAAATTCACATTGTAACTTGCTAAACAGGTGAACTATCTTTCCGAAAGGGAAGTGGAATATTTTGGCGTTCACTGGAAAGAGCACATGTTAGGGTTTTGTAGTCTCTTATCTCCATGCCTTTATTTGCCTTTCTGTCACATAAATTGTATGTTTTGATAGGTATTACCTGCCAAGGCTGCAGTTTCTGAAGCTTCCGCATCCCTCCTTCCACCGCTGCCCTGTATTTGGTCCTGGACAAGAACATGGCATGTAGAGCATGTGCTGCGGCATAAACAGCATTATAGATGCTATAGCTGTGGCTTGTTATGCTCATCTCAAAGCCAGACGAAGGGAGATTTTCCAGCTTCTCCTCACCAGTGCAGGTTCCATTGGCCTGCTCCTCTGTATTGGAGTTTGGAAATAAACAGAGAAATACCTGTGCCCAGAACTGCTTGACAAAGCCATTTCCATTTGCCTCAAAAGGATTTTGGACCTGAAGAAAGGCTTTGAATCCTTGTACCACATTTGAATGAACTGCAAAGGAGAGGGAACCCTGGAAGACTTGCATACCCATGCTCATTTGAAAGGTCAGTGCTGGGAAATCCACCAGTGCTGTCAGAATCCACACCTTGCCCACGGATGTCTTGGTCACATTTTCCAATTCACCAAGAGCTACTATGTCTCTCAAGGCAAGCATAGACTTTGTTTCTCCATAGAAAACCACCACCTTGGCTTTACTTTCCATAATAACTTGATAAATTTGAATCCAGTGCGGATAAAGGTCATAATACTCAGCCAAATATGTCGTTTTCAGGGTTGTCTCTGAGAAAGCCAAGCAAATGCCTTTCTGGGAGAGCAGAGGTTTCAGGGTCTGAATAAACCTCTCTCCACCTTCACTTTCTCTAGCAAGCAATCCAACCCACGTCCAACCAAAGTGCAGAAGTAACTCAACAATCCCAGTGTACTGATGGGCTTCATTGGGCACCATTTTGTAGAAGGAAGTGGATTGGCTTTGACTACCATCCTCTGGAGAAAAGGAACCATAAGTGAGCTAGAAGGAAATACAGTAGCATCATGTATTATTGCAGAAGGACTGAGTATGTGCATCCAGGGCCTTCCAATCCAGCAGGCAAAATGAGCCAGTTGCCTTAAGAAGGCAGGTTCCAGAAAGCTGGGAGGAGTGGCAGATTGCACCCTGTGTTTCTCAGCTTCCAGCTCCTTCTCTGCCATCCCTGCATGCCCAGTTTCCTGCTCTCCTGCTTTCCTCTCCTCCCTCCTCCTTTTCTTTCTCCATTTTTTCCTCTATGCCTTCCCAAGCTGCTGCTTTCCTCTCCCCTGTTTCATTCATGTTGCTTCACCACAACATTTCAGCTCCTGATTTCATGGTGTCTTCCCTTCCTTTCTCAAACCACTAACACACAGAATCCCCATGAAGTGCCACAATGTGTGGGCAGCTGACTCCTGATACGCAGGCTTCCAACTTTGCAAGAGAGCAGCTTCAGTCTCCAACCAGTAGGCCATGGAGCAACGGTGAGAGGGTGTCAGTCAGCAGAAAGGAATTTGGATACATGTTTTTAGGTGTGTGTGGACAAGGAAGTGGTGTGAGAGGCGAACTCTTCTACCATCACATTACCTTGTGAAGAGCAGAATCACTCTCCTTTGTCTCTCACAACTATTTCTATATTAAAGAAATCCTTTCTGAATAGAAGATATCATGGTGAATGTGTGAAATCCCCTAGGCAGCATCTTACCTGGGGAATCTTGTAGATCCTCAAGATGTTTGCCAGGTAGATGGAGGTATCCAAGTCCAGTCCCCCAATAACTGCCACCAGGTGTTTCTGGATGTTGCACTTGTAGTTGGGTATAAGTGTGGAGGGAAGGTTCAGAGCAGCCCAGTAGGTCATCCTTTCATCGAAGTAACTGTCATAGATGTGGAATCCCAGTGTAATATTAGGCAAGATCTTGGGGTTCTCATTGATCTCCTTGACAGCAAATACCAAGGCCAGAATATGCTGATAGTTCTTTGGCACAATACTGCAACAAGAATTTTATGCTGAATAATTGAGAGATGTGCTATGCATGTTTTTCAGTGGCCTCTTTATGATTCTTGAGTTTTTTAGCGTACATTTTGCCCTAATATACACATATCTGCAGAACAATTTCCCCTAAAAGACCAGAATTTCAGCTTAATGTAGGGCTCATTCAGACTTTCCCACTCCTGCCATTTTTCTCCAGGAAAATCTGATCTTTACCACTCAATTGGAACTCAAACCTCCCTCATAACGTCTCCCAACTGACAGTTAACTGACATTTCTTCACTGATCACTACCTTCAGCTGAATACAGTTGGAATGTATCTATTCCAGGCCCTGTCTATAAATATTAAAGACAATTGTCTAGCCTGACTTGGATGAGAACCTGACGGATTATTCGAGCATCACCTCAAAGGAGAGGCAAGCCTTTAAGACACTTCTCATGAGAGTTTCTGAGGTGAATATTAAGAACAGAGAAGGGCTTTCCATCTTAAACTAGTGAAGGTTTAATCTTTGAGTCCTCCTCTTGTTAAACTCTCCTTGGAAGAGATTTGGTGGAATGTGGGGAGGAGAGAACACATCAACAAGACCAGGCTCTCTCATCTCACTGACACATTCAGATCTGCATTCCCCTTCAGTGGAAGTAAATCCAACTGAAATCAGGGGAACTAGCTTCTGATTAGGCCTGGTTAGAGCTGGAGGATATTTCAGTATCATCTGATTATTTGACATTTGATGTTTTTACTGGGTATTAAGGCGCTGATGGAAAGTTAGCCTTTCTTTGAAGTCTTCTTTGTCAAAAGCAGCAAAGAGATGAGAAGCAAGTCCGCCAACAATATGATGACCAGGTTGGTAGTATTCATGTGGAATTCTGGACAGATCATTGATGGTGCAATTCGTGGTATGTTTGCACACCAGATGTGGCAGATGAAAGAGAAGGGGCACAATAAACAGCAGCATATTGAAGCACATATTCTTTCTCATCAAACAGCATTATTTCCATCCAGCTCATAAAGCTCGCTTCACAACCAACCTCAGTACAATATTCTGCCTTATCATGAATATCACATCTCTAACAATTCACAGATTAAAATTCTATTTTATAACTTGATTAAGAGAAAGGTAAAGATCCTTCCTCTTCCTCTGTCCTCTCCCTTGCAAAGAATGGCAGGAAGAGGTTATAATACCCATATTTTGACATTGGTTAGTATTCTCTGGAAATCTACTGAGACATTATCAAAGTGATACTTAGCCATGCTGAGAGTGATAATTATAGGTGACATAATAACAAGCTTCCTTTACATCAGGAACATCAGAAAATGCCCAAACATAATAATAACAACCCTGTTTCTGATGTTTCATTCAAAGTTCTTTCTGACTGTTTATGGGACAAGAAAAGGGCACGCAGAATTAACAGCAATGAGGAAGAGAAAAACAGTGGGCCAATCTCTTATCAGTGCTGACCAGTGGAAATGATTACTCTGACCTCCTAACATTTCCCACCTGAACACCAGTTCATTAGTTTTCTGACAATTATACCGAGATGAAGGAATGGTGAAAAGGACAACTATTTGTGTTCCTGATAGAAAAGCACCTCACAATTAATTGGTGGGAGTAATATATAGAAGTAATAAATATAAAGTAGTGTGTGGTGGTATTATATTTTCTAATAAATTGGAGCTTAATTTCACTCATGTTCAAAATGCTTTTACTCCAAAATATTCATTCTGAAGCATTCTTCCCCATCGTATAACAATAAACCCATTAAAAATATAAACATCGTTATTCATTGAATTTTAAGTTTAAAACCCCCACACCAGGAACGGTCTAGCATATACTGCCCATGACCAAAGGCATCCCCCACTGCACACGATAAACAACCAAATAATTTAATTAATACCCAGAAATGGAGGGAGAGCGCTGGAGAGTTCTCATGGCTTGTGAGTGCAGAGACTGGAGGTGCAGCAGGGGGTTGTTTACGCTACTCAGCCCCCCCCCACCTGACAGCTAATGTGCATAGAAGAGCAGCAGAAGCAGCAACATTCCCACACATCCCCCGTCAGCCCCCCAAATTCCAGATGTGGGTATTTTAGGTGCAGTAATTTTGATCTGGAATGGAGGGAGAGCAGCAGAGAAGACATTCAAAGAGTTTTAGAGAGTTCTCCCCACTTATCCAATCTTCATTTATGAATGTGGGCCACTTGAACATAACCCCCAAGTGGGACACACTGTACTGAAATCTCTGAGACTGGTTCATCATGACAGTAGCAACTCTACTGAAACCTTACTGAGAGGAAAAAAACCTAGAAAGGAATGAGACTTTTAAAAAAAATGTCGCTCAGTGTATTGTTTTTTCTTGTTCAGTTTCTAATCAATTACCCTCTGAATTTCTAGTCAGGTGTCAATATTTCATGGTACTGATGGTTTCCAAAATAATGCTTAGGGTTAAAACAAGATAAGGGGCTCCTGTTTCAGAGAGACCATATTTTGGTTTTAAAAGAAATCGCACAAAACAATTGCAACATGTAAAATGTAACAGAATTTAATGGTGTGGATACAGAGAGATTACATTGCTCATAATTTGGAAAAGAAAAAAAAAATAAGGATGAAAGAATAATTCATTATTTCCTCTTTATTAAGCACTCCTTGCTGTTCAGATCAGGTCTCAACACAATGATGTAGCATTTGGGAGCAAAGATGGAGCCCAGTAAGCCAGCACTGGAGGCCAAGATGGAGAAGATCTCCACAGCCGCCATGTATTTCCCCTTGGTGCTCAGGTAGACCGGAACAAAGGAGATCCAAACACTACAAAACAAGAACATGCTGAAGGTGATGAATTTGGCCTCATTGAAGCTCTCAGGCAGTTTCCTGGCAAAAAAGGCCACAACAAAGCTGACAATGGCCAAAAAGCCCATGTAGCCCAGGACACAGTAAAATAGGGCAACTGACCCTTCGTTGCAGCCTAGAATGATTTCCCTCATCACAGAGTGCATGTCAGAATCAGGGAATGGGGGAGAGGTTCCTAACCATATAGTACAAATGACCACTTGGATAAGGGAACAAGAAATCACAATGGAGCTTCCAAGACTTTTCCCCACCCACTTCCTCATCCTGGATCCTGGTTTGGTGGCCACAAAGGCCAGAACCACCATGATAGTCTTGGCCAGCACACAAGAAACAGTCACTGTGAAAACAAGGCCAAAAGCCATTTGTCGGAGCAGGCAGCTGACTCTTTCTGGAGGGCTGAGGAAGATCAATGGGCAGAGAAAGCAGAGCAGGAGGAAAGTGAGGAGAGTGTAGGTGAGGTCCCGATTGTTTGCTCTGACAATGGGTGTGTCCTGATGTTTAATGAAGATGACTAGGACCACCAGTGTGAGGAGAGAGAGAGAAAGAGCAAAAAGTGCTAAGCTCATCCCCAGAGGCTCTTTAAAGGACAGGAAGCTGATGGTCTTTGGAACGCATTGTGATTTTTTCATGTTGGTATAATGATCTTCTGGGCACACAACACAGTCAACCATGTCTGGAAAGAAAATAATACATTCAGATTTTGGATGTGTTGCAGAGCAACTGCTAACGGTGTGAGTATGGAAATGATAATGTTAAATTAGAGGTATCACACATATTTCCAGAATAACCAGAATGAACATGATGCATGAGAACTTCACCTCAGCACTTTGTGTTGGGTTATGTGGAGTGTCCTGTGATGGCTTGCTAACTCCACATAAACCACATTGTTATTGTTCAGAACAGGTACAGTCCATGACCATTTTGCACAGGGGTTCTATTCCCAGCCCTCTTCCACCCCCACCCCCTATGCTGACCCCATTCCACCCCGCCCGGGTATGTGATCGCGCATCAATCAGACGCATGTTTGTTTGTTATTGCCTGAACTAAGACAGGTGTCTCCTACCAAGTCATATCACTGGTGCATTGAATTCAAAATTGCCTGCTGTATTTTAACCTGTGACAAAGATTAGATCATAGGTGACAAACAGATTCTTCTTAGGTCCATAATCCTTTATGGGGGCTATCTGTCAATAGGTTTGGAGGAGAAATTTAGTTTTTATGCCACTTGAATTGGAAAGTTATCTAAATTGAACTCCTTTTAACAACACGTTAATCAAAGTACGGATGTCCTTAAAAATCGATGTTTTATGGAATCGATGTCTTGAGCACACAAGCAAAGTCTGTACTGGTAGGGAACTCCTCTCAACCTGCCCTTAAAAATGTGTACTTCTCTAAACATTTGGGATGTAGTTCTCCAATCAAACAATATATGCAAAAATGCACACGTTACCACAGATTTATTTATCCTTTCCCTCAACTTCTAACATGACTTATTTCTGAAAAACATATATCCTGTCTCTCTTACCCTTCTGGGATGAAATCTTGCCTTGAGGACATGGAGCACAATTATAGCAGCAGAATGGCTCCCCCTCTATCTTTTCCTTCCTGGAACCAGGGGGACAACTTGGGTTGCACACAGAAAGGGGTGGAATCTGCCCATTGAAATAAACCCACAAACATTTTAGCACCCAGAAATTATTAGCACTTTTTGTTTCCTTTTTCTTCCAACCAACAGTAGGAAGACACTAAACTACTTATTCCCAACTCAGTGCCAGCTACTCATTTTCTTTTTCCTTGGTTTAAAATAAAAATAAAAATAAATAATGCTGAAACTTACCATGTTTGAGCCCCTTTCAGGCATTCAGGAAGAATGCATGAGGATGCAAAGGGGAAGAGGATTGGGGATTCTCCTTCACCAGCACTGCCCCTATTGTCCCCATACAAAATATAATACCTGTTCCACCCCCTATTTTCCAATCATAGCATGTGTGAAACAATTGTGCTTCTTGGAGAGGACAAAAACACACTCCAAAGAATGAGCTACAAACCTGGAGACTGTGTGGAGAGCGGTCTTGTGCTCAGATCCAACTTGTAGGTTTCCCATAGGTATCTATTTTTCTATACCCCCCTTCCTCTGATCACAGAGTCATTTTCTGTATAAAACCACAAATATCTACCTTATACAGTAACAACCAAAGAAATATCACTGGGGGAAGAGGAATGTTTTCACCTGGCACCTAAAGATATTGAGGTTTGAGTCTTCCTCAGTCTAAGAAATCAATTTCCTCATTGCACTGTAGGTGAGAAAAACAGTGGCCCAGAAACTCCACAGTCCCTGCTTCCTTCCCATCGGAGCAACCAACACCTCATTCTTGACAAGAGACTCATGAAATACCCTGGGATAGAGAGACACACAAGGTAACAGTCACTTGAACACCATATCCAGATGCAGGACAAGACTGGCCATGGGTGTTATCCTGGACAAGATGGGCCATTGGACTGATCCAGCAAGCTCATTTTCGGTTCTTATGTAGTGCAGAGGAAAATCTAAAAGTGCAATTCCATTGTTTTCCTATAACTCATGGATGTAGGAATTATGCCCCACCTGGTGAAAGCTTCTGTGCCAAACCATTCTGTTGTCATCAATGGAAATTTGCTGGCCTGGGGTGGCTTCCACATCCACCCTTCCAACCTTGACCCTCACAAAGGAGTTATTTGGGAAAGTGACCAGGTTGGTAATGTCAAAGCCGGCTTCTACTTCCTTGTTCTCACCAAAAGATACAGTTTCTCCAGCAGAGTTGTTGAAGGAGACAGTCCTGAGGAAGGGATGGAGCTGCATTGGAAGAAAAATACTAAGTGTGAAGTGATGCATACGTCTCTCCTTATTGGCACTCACGATGCTTCCAGTCTGTCTGTACATGCAAGAATTGCTATAAGAACCTAATCTGTTCCTGAAAAATCATTCGTAAGGCAAGCATTTGCCTACTCAGGTGACGATTTCTATCGTTTCCTGTGGGGAAAATCCCAATGCATTCCTCACTAATAAGAAAAAAAATCCATCCTTTCAGTTCCCACTGCTTGGATATCTCCTGCTTCTAAGAAAATGGTAGGGTAATCAGTACGCTTGAGCCTAATTAATGCACAAGGTGCTTGATGCCATAGAGGAAGTTGTTCTGCCAAGCTTGGCCAATGTCACTTCCCCTCACCTTGGGAGGAAATGGGCAAAAAAACCTTTGGTTCCATTCAGCCTACATTTGAATGATGTTCCTGTGGAGCTCTGAGCTGCTCCCTCCAACCAGTTTCCTGTGTTTCAGACAAGAATGGAGTATGAAACCAGTATTTTCTATACCAATATTTTAGGACCTTTAACCGTTTTTGTAACCGAGCTATGTTTGACCGCCTGCAAAACTGACAGCCGTATGGAAAAGCACATGAATCTGACCTTTGAAGAGTTTTGTATGTAAACTATGTATAACTTACTAATTGTGTGGTCTATCCTTGTGCTAAGTAAGTGAGATGCTTTGGGATTGACTTAAAGGGCACATTTTAAGGTTTTAACACCTAAATTTCATGCCATTATTTGCGGCATGAGTTGCCATATTAAATCTCTTCTGGGTTCTCTCACCAAAGAGTCCAACAAGAATGATATTGTTTAGCAAGCTCAGCACAAACTAAAAAACAGGTTTAAAGTCCGTTTCCTTGCTGTTCTCCATCCCATTGCCCAGCCACAGCTCCTTTTTTTCTCCAGCTCCACCTGCCTCTCTCTACCAGCCCTCTCCTTCACCTCTCGGTCTAGGCTGGGATCCTCCCTGTAACTTTTGTGCAGTGAAGCTGCTTTGGCAGAAGCAGCACAGTGCAGGGTTGGGTCGGTCATCACTAACAGTTTCTCTGCACACAAAGGAAGTTGCTCACAAAAAAGTGGGACAGGTCTGTTACTTCACTGTCTTACTCCATGAGTAGCTTTTCTGCACACAATGAATAATGTGCTCTTACACTGGAGCTTCAAAATTTTTCAGGGAACTGTTTTGCATATCACAGCCTATGTGAAATAAATTATCTCTTATGAGAGACATTACCTGCCAAGGCCAAAGCTCCCGCATCTCTCCTTCCACCGCTAATTTGTTTTTGGTCCTGGACAAGAACATGGCATGTAAAGCATGTGCTGTTGCATAGACAGCATTATAGAGACTGTAGCTGTGGCCAGTCATGCTCATCTCAAAACCAGATGAAGGGAGATTCTCCAGCTTCTCCTCACCAGTGCAGGTTCCACTGGCCTGCTCCTCTGTGTTGGAGTTTGGAAATAAACAGAGAAAGACTTGTGCCCAGAGCTCCTTGACAAAGCCATTTCCATTTTCCTCAAAAGGATTTTGTACCTCAAGAAATGCTTTGAATCCTTGTACCATATTTGAATGAACCGCAAAGGAGAGGGAACCCTGGAAGACTTGCATATCCAGGTTCATTTGATAGGTCCGTGCTGTGAAATCCAGCTGTGCCGTCAGAATCCACACCTTGCCCACAGATGTCTTGGTCACATTTTCCAATTCACCAATTGCTAAAATTTCTCTCAAGGTAAGCATGGACTTTATTCCCCCATAGAAAACCACCAACTTGGCTTTACTTTCCATAATAGCTTGATAAATTTGGATCAAGTCTGGAAACACGTCAGCCAAATGTATCATTTTCAGGATTGTCTCTGAGAAGGCCAAGCAAATACCTTTCTGGGAAAGCAGAGGTTTCAGGGTCTGAATAAATCTCTCTCCACTGTCACTTTCTCTAGCAAGCAATCCAACCCATGTCCAGCCAAAGTGCAGAAGTAACTCAACAATCCCAGTGTACTGATGGGCTTCATTGGGCACCATCTTGTAGAAGGAAGTGGATTGGCTTTGACCAGCATCCTCTGGAGAAAAGGAGCCATAAGTGAGCTAAAAGGAAATAAAGGAGCATCATCTACAATTGCAGAAGGACTGGGTATGTGCACCCAGGACCTGCCCACCCAGGAGGCAAAATGAGCCAGTTGCCTTAAGAAGGCAGGTTCCAGAAAGCTGGGAAGGGTGGCAGGTTGCACCCTGTGTTTCTCAGCCTCCAGCTCCTTCTTTGCCATACTTCCATTCCCAGTTCCCTGAACTCCTGCTTTCCTCTCCTCTGCCCTCCTTTTCTTTATCCACTGTGATCTCTAGGTTTTTTCTGTACTGCTGCTTTTCTCTCCCCTGTTTCTTTCATGTTGCTTCACCACAAAATTTCAACTCCAGATTTCATGGCGTCTTTCCTTCCTCTCTCAAGCCACTAACACACAAAATCCCCATGAAGTGCCACAATGTGAGGGCAGCTGACTCCTGATGGGCAGGCTTCCAGCTTTGCAAGAGAGCAGCTTCCGTCTCCAACCAGTAGGCCGTGGAGCAAAGGTGAGAGGGTGTCAGCTGGTAGCATGGAATTTGGATACATATTTTTAGGTGTGTTTGGACAAGGAACTGGGGTGAGATGAGAACTCTTCTATCATCACATTACCTTGTGAAGGGCAGAATCACTCTCTTTCGTCTCTCACAACTGTTTCTATATTACACGAATCCTTTCTGGATAGAAGAAATCATGGTGAATGTGTGAAATCCCCTAGGCAGCATCTTACCTGTGGAATCTTGTAGATGCCCAAGATGTTTGCCAGGTAGACGGAGATATCCAAGTCCAGTCCTCCAATAACTGCCACCAGATGTTTCTGAATGTTGCACTTGTAGTTGGGAACAAGTGTGGAGGGAAGGTTCAGAGCAGCCCAGTAGGTCATCCTTTCATCGAAGTAACTGTCATAGATGTGGAATCCCAGTGTAATATTAGGTAAGATCTTGGGGTTCTCATTGATCTCCTTGACAGCAAATACCAAGGCCAGAATATGCTGGTAGTTCTTTGGCACAATACTGCAACAAGAATTTTATGCTGTATCATTGAGAGATGTGCTATGCATGTTTTTCAGTGGCCTCTTTATGATTCTTGAGTTTTTTAGCGTACATTTTGCCCTAATATACACATATCTGCAGAACAATTTCCCCTAAAAGAGCAGAATTTCAGCTTAATGGGGGGCTCATTCAGACTTTCCCACTCCTGTCATTTTTCTGCAGGGAAATCTGATCTTTACCACTCAACTGGAACTCAAACCTCCCTCATAACGTCTCCCAACTAACAGTTAACTGACATTTCTTCACTGACCACTACCTTCAGCTGAATACAGTTGGAATGTATCTAATCCAGGCACTGTCTATAAAGATTAAAGACAATCATCTAGCCTGACTTGGATGAGAACATCAGGGGTTAATCGAGCATCACCTCAAAGGAGAGGTAAGCCTTTAATACCCCTCACACAAGAGTTTCTGAGGTGAAGATTAAGAACAGAGAAGGGCTTTCCATCTTAAACTAAGGTTTAATCTTTGAGTCCTCCTCTTGTTAAACTCTCCTTGGAAGAGATTTGGTGGGATGTGGGGAGGACAGAACACATCAACAAGACCAGGCTCTCTCATCTCACTGACACATTCAGATCTGCATTTCCCTTCAGTGGAAGTAAATCCAACTGAAATCAGGGGACTAGCTTCTGATTAGGCCTGGTTAGAGCTGGAGGATATTTCAGTATCATTTGACATTTGATGTCTTTACAGGGTATTAAGGCGCTGGTGGATAGTTAGCCTTTCTTTGAAGTCTTCTTTGTCAAAAGCAGCAAAGAGATGAGAAGCAAGTCCACCAACAATAAGATGACCAGGTTGGTAGTATTCATGTGGAATGCTGGACAGATCATGGACGGTGCAACTCGTGGTATGTTTGCACACCAGATGTGGCAGATGAAAGAGAAGGGGCAGAATAAACAGCAGCATATTGAAGCAAATATTCTTTCTCATCAAACAATCTTATTTCCATCCAGCAAATGAACCTTGCTTCACAACCAACCTCAGTACAATATTCTGCCTTATGATGAACAGCACTTCTCTAACAATTCACAGATTAAAATCCTATTTTATAACTTGATTAAGAAAATAGTTAAACTCCTTCCTCTTCCTCTGTCCTCTTCCTTGCAAAGAATGGCAGGAAGAGGTTATAATACCCATGTTTTGACATTGGTTCGTATTCTCTGGAAATCTACTGAGACATTATCCAAGGGATACTTAGCCATGTTGAGAGTGATAATTATAGGTGAGATAATAACAAGCTCTCTTTACATCAGGAAAATCAGAAAATGTCCCCCAAAAATAATAATAACCCTGTTTCTGATGTTTCATTCAAAGTGGTTTCTGACTGTTTATGGGACAAGAAAAGGGCATGCAGAATTAACAGCAACAAGGAAAAGAAAAATAGTGGGCCAGTCTCTTATCAGTGCTGACCAGTGGAAATGATTAATCTGACCTCCTAAAATTTCCCACCTGAACACCAGTTGATTAGTTTTCTGACAATTATACTGAGACGAAGGAATGGTGAAAAGGACAACTATTTGTTTTCCTGATAGAAAAGCACCTCACAACTATTTGGTGGGAGTAATATATAGAAGTAATAAGTAGTGAATGGTGATATTATATTTTCTAGTAAAATGGTACTTAATTTCACTTACGTTCAAAATGCTTTTACTCCAAAATATTCATTCAGAAGCATTCTGCCCATTGTATAACAATAAACCCATTAAAAATACCAAAATACCAAAGAATATCTGAAAAATAAATATAGTAGTTTAAATTCTGTTGCAGCATTCGAGGAACTTCAGTGATAGTTGCTAGGTAGATAGAAGAAATTAGATTTATTGAGAATAATTTTAATTATGGGGAAAAAAATGTGTATTGGCAATACGTAATATGAATTTGAAATATGGAATAGACGGGAAGTTGGGTCTTTAGTGTTAAGACCAATAGATGTTTTATTGTTTTCCAAGAAAATTATGTGTCTATGGTTATTTTTGTAATTTGTGTGTAATTTGGTATTTGTGTTTTTGTGTGTGTGTTTTTTTCTTGTTGTATGTATAAATAAATAAATAAATAAATAAATAAATGGGGGGGGGGAAATACCAAAATAGTTATTCATTGAATTTTAAGTTTAAAACCCCCAGACCAGGAACGGTCTAGCATATACTGCCCATGACCACAGGCATCCCCCATTGCACACGATAAATAACCAAATAACTTAATTAATACCCAGAAATGGAGGGAGAGCGCTGGAGAGTTCTCATGGCTTGTGAGGGCAGAGATTGGAGGTGCAGCAGGGGGTTGTTTACGCTACTCAGCCCCCCCACCTGACAGCTAATGTGCATAGAAGAGCAGCAGAAGCAGCAACTTTTCCACACATCCTCCAGTCAGCCCCCAAAATTCCAGATGTGGGTATTTTAGGTGCAGTAATTTTGATCTGGAATGGAGGGAGAGCAGCAGAGAAGACATTCAAAGAGTTTTAGAGGGTGCTCCCCACTTATTCAATCTTCATTTATGTATGTGGGCCACTTGAACATAACCTCCAAGTAAGTGGGACTCGCTGTACTGAAATCTCTGAGACTGGGCATCATGACAGTAGCAAAGCCACTTCCAACCTCGGGAGGAGGTGTTGTTGCGGGCATCACACCCCCAACACACGCGCAGAGGCTGGCTTCCAGCCCCATGCGATCTGGGAAATCCTCGGCCGAGTCATCCCCGGGCCAGCCAATCAGCTGGCCCAGGGGGTGTGCCTTGCCTCATTTAAGGCAAGCACGGCCAGGAATCTCCCTCTTTGGCCGCTCTGCTGCGTTGGTTTCCCACCCGCCCACCCTTCAAGGTTCCTCTTTTGACCTTGCTATGGACCTCGGTTGGTCGCCGTTAAGGGGCCTTGTAGGATTTTTTTCCACTTGGCAAATTGGCACCAGCCATTTGGATTTTCGCCTACCTCGTAACAAATCATCACAACATTCTCGGCTTTGGCGGTTAGGCATTGGTATGGATATTGTTATGTAGATGTATGGGGGTAGCGCCATCACCTCCCCCGGATATTGAAGGGTAGTCCAGTAAAGGATTCCGGGGGGCATGGCCCCATCCGAAGCCTATGGAGGCCAGGCCCAAGGCACACCCCCAAGCGGTGACCCCGGGGGAGTGCCTAGTTGATGTGCATCAGCAGGGCTCCACTGCTGATGTTAACCCTTCCCGGTCTTCAAGCAAGCAGGCTGAAGCTGGATAGCCAATAGGACCAATGCCTAAGCCAATACCACTCATCACCTGTAACCAATAAAGTTGTAGCCTAATTTTAGCCCATTAACCTAAATTACTGTGTCCTGTGTCTTTATTTCTACTGGTGGGAGGCGGGATCTCACCACGCAACTCTACTGAAACCTTAGTGAGAGGACAAAACCTAGAAAGGAACAAGCCTTATTAAAAAATGCCTCTCAGTATATTGTTTTTTCTTGTTCAGTCTCTGATCAATTACCCTCTGAATTTCTAGTCAGGTCTCATTATTTTATGGTACTCATGACAGTTTTTTGGTTTCCAAATAAGCCTTAGGGTTAAAACAAGATGAGGGGCTCCTGTCTCAGAGAAACCACAGGGGATTTTAAAAGAAATTGCACATAGGAAGTGCAACATGTAAAATACAACATAACTGAATGGTGTGGATAAAGAGAGATTAAATTGCTCATAGTTTGGTGGAAAAAACCCAAAAGATGATGGTAAAATTTATTATTTCCGCTTTATTAACTGCTCCTTGCTGTTCAGATCAGGCCTCAACACAATGATGTAGCATTTGGGGGCAAAGATGGAGCCCAGTATCCCAGCACTGGAGGCCAAGATGGCGAAGATCTCCACAGCCACCATGTATTTCCCCTTGGTGCTCAGGTAGACCGGAACAAAGGAGATCCAAACACTACAAAACAAGAACATGCTGAAGGTGATGAATTTGGCCTCATTGAAGCTCTCAGGCAATTTCCTGGCAAAAAAGGCCACAACAAAGCTGATAATGGCCAAAAAGCCCATGTAGCCCAGGACACAGTAAAACAGGGCGACTGACCCTTCGTTGCAGCCTAGAATGATTTCTCTCATCACTGAGTGCATGTCAGAATCAGGGAATGGGGGAGAGGTTCCTAACCACACAGTGCAAATGCCCACTTGGATAAGGGAACAAGAAATCACAATGGAGCTTGCCAGGCTTTTCCCCACCCACTTCCTCATTCTGGATCCTGGTTTGGTGGCCACAAAGGCCAGAACCACCGTGATCGTTTTGGCCAGAACACAAGAAACGGTCACTGTGAAAACAAGGCCAAAGGCCATTTGTCGGAGCAGGCAGCTCACTCTTTCTGGAGGGCTGAGGAAGATCAATGGGCAGAGGAAGCAGAGCAGGAGGAAAGTGAGGAGAGTGTAGGTGAGGTCCCGATTGTTTGCTCTGACAATGGGTGTGTCCTGATGTTTAATGAAGATGGCTAGGACCACCATAGTGATGAGAGAGAGAGAAAGAGCAAACATTGCTAAGCTCATCCCCAGAGGCTCTTGAACAGACAGGAAGCTGATGGTCTTTGGAATGCATTGTGATTGGTTCCCATATGGATAGTGGTCCTTTGGGCATGCAACACAGTCAACCATGTCTGGAAAGAAAATAATACATTCAGATTTTGGATGTGTTGGAGAGCAACTACCAATACTGCGAGTATGGAACTCATAATGTTAAATGAGAGTTATTACAGTTATTTCCAGGGTAACCAGATTGAAAGTGATACATCAGAATCCCACCTCAGAACATAGTTGTCAACGTTTCCCTTTTTTAAAGGGAAATTCCCTTATTCCAAATAGGATTCCTCGCAAGAAAAGGGAAAAATTGACAGCTATGCCTCAGAACTTTTGTTGGGTTATGTGGGGTGTGCTGTGATGGCTTGCTAACTCCACATAAACCGCTTTTTATTGTTCAGAACTGGTACAGTCCATGACCTTTTTGCACAGGGGTTCCATTCCCAGCCCTGTTCCACCCCCACACCCTCTGCTGACCCCATTCCACCCCACCCTGGTGTGCGATCGCGCATCAATCATTCGCATGATTATTTGCTATTGCCTGAACCAAGACAGGTGTCTCCTACCAAGTCATATCACTGGTGCATTTATTTCAAAATTGCTTCCTGTATTTTAACCTGTGACAAAGATTACATGATGATGACAAACCAATTCTTTTTAGGAGTGGGTCCCTAATCCTTTATGGGGTCTATCTGCCAACAGGTTTGGAGGAGAAATTTGGTTTTTATTCCACTTGAATGAGAAAGATATCTAAATCTCACTCCTTGAATCATTACACTGGTCAACAACAAATTTGTTGTCTGCGTTTTTTCAGTTGATTTAGGATGAATGTGATGCGCTGAATCCAAAAATCACATTGGTTTTGCTCAATCAGGTCAGGTTTTTGAGCTATGGCAACATGTCATTTTTTAATGTTTTTGTTCACATGTACGCTTGTGTGGAGCATTTTAGAAGAAGTTGGTGGGGGTAAAATGCCATGTCGAATAATTCTTTTGATTGGAAATGATTATTTTAATGACAAGAAGTATTCAGGTCCGATAGTTCTGGGTCATTATGTTGAAAAGGGATCAATTTGAAGTCATAAAACCTCGAAATCTTCCATAAATTGGTGTGGCTCCATAAATTGGTGGGATCAACAGAAAGAACCAGAGCAGCCTCAAGTATCCTGATTTTCAAGCAGCACGTCGTCCTGTAGCTCATTGTGATGAAATTCCAGTGCCTATCTTCAGAGAACTTCCTGACATTGGTGATGAAGATGCCTCCAGTGTTGAAGGACATGAAGAAGAAGTGGTTCTTCCACATCCATTTTCCCAAAAGGAGTTGAATGACCTAGTTCACGACCTCAGCTTGTCAAAGGACTCTGCCAAACTGTTGGCATCCAGACTGAAGGGAAAAAACCTCCTCTCTGACAGTGCTCGCATCAGCTTCCTCCGCAACAGGCATCAAGAGTACCTCCGTTTTATCTCGGAAGAGAAGGACTTGGTGTACTGTGCAGATATTTTTCATTTTCACATCCATTTTCCCAAAAGGAGTTGAATGATCTAGTTCATGACCTCAGCTTGTCAAAGGACTCTGCCGAACTGTTGGCATCCAGATTGAAGGGAAAAAACCTCCTCTCTGACAGTGCTCGCATCAGCTTCCTCCGCAACAGGCATCAAGAGTACCTCCGTTTTATCTCGGAAGAGAAGGACTTGGTGTACTGTGCAGATATTGGGCAGCTTCTGCTCAAGCTTGGAGTGCCACAGTACGAACCCAAAGATTGGAGACTGTTCATTGACAGCAGCAAGCAATCACTGAAATGTGTTCTGCTACACAACGGCAATCAGTTTGCCTCTATACCCCTGGCTCACTCGAGTACACTGAAGGAGAACTATGAAGCGGTGAAGTATGTGGTGGAGAAAATTGGTTATGATCAGCATAAGTGGTTTATTTGTGTTGACCTGAAGATGGTGAACTTTTTGTTGGGGCAACAGTCTGGCTTCACCAAGTACCCATGTTTTCTGTGCATGTGGGATAGTAGCGACCGTGCTCAGCATTACACGAAGGACTGGCCTGTGCGGAAGGAATTGGTGCCTTGCAAAGAAAGGAATGTCATCAACGACCCTTTGGTGGAGAGAGACAGAATACTCTTCCCACCGCTGCACATCAAGCTCGGCTTAATCAAGCAGTTCACCAAGGCTCTGGACAAGGATGGTGACTGCTTCACTTACTTGTGCCAGGCTTTTCCAGGATTGACCATGGAGAAGTTGAAAGCTGGCATCTTTGACGGTCCTCAGATCCGTCAGCTCATCAGAGATCCAGAGTTCAGAAAGTCAATGAACGAAGTGGAACTGGAAGCGTGGAGGGCATTTGTTCTGGTAGTGAAGAACTTTCTTGGCAACAATAAGGCCAGAAACTACGCAGAACTTGTCAGCAACATGCTGACTGCTATCAGAAACCTGGGCTGCAACATGAGCGTCAAGATGCACTACCCATTTTCACATATGGACCGGTTTCCTGAGAACCTGGGTTCAATGAATGACAAGCAGGGGGAGAGATTCCATCAGGACATGAAAGAGATGGAGACCAGGTATCAGGGTCGCTGGGACGCAGTCATGATGGCTGACTACTGTTGGACTCTGAAGAGAGACCTCCCTGCTGCTGAGCATTCCAGGAGTTCCAAGAAACAGAAGTTCAAGCCCTGAAGTTTGAAAAATGGTGAAGCAACATGCAATTTACGTGTACTTACCTTTATCAATGCCCACCATTCAGTTTACAGTAAACCTGACCTGATGGAGAGAAATGGATGCCATTTCCTGATACAGCAGTGCCAAAATACGCTAAATCAGTTGTAGAAATCTAGACAACATTCAAAAAGTAAAAAATTGTTACCCAATGTTATATATCCTGTGTCTCTTACCCTTTTCGGATGAAATCTTGCCTTGAGGACATGGAGCACAACCATAGCAGCAGAATGGCTCCCCCTCCTTCTTCTCCTTCCTGGAACCAGGAGGACAACTTGGGTTACACACAGAAAGGGTGGCACCTGCCCATTTAAATAAACAGATTAACCGTTTAGCACACAGAAGTAAGTAGCGCTTTTGGTTTCTTTTTTCTTCCAGCTGGCAGTAGGAAGACACCAAACTACTTATTCAAAACACAGTGCCAGGTTATTCATTTGGCTCTTCATGTTGTTGTTTTTTAAAATAAACATAAATAATGTGGAAACTGACCATGTTTGAGCCCCTTTCTGGCATTCAGAAAGAATGCATGACAGCTGAAATAGGGAAGGGGATTGGGGCTTCATCTTTGCCAGCCCTGCCCCCTTTTCTCCCCATATATAAAGTAATACCTTTTACTCCTCCAATTTTCCAATTGCAGCAATCATGCTTTGTGAAGATGACAGAAGCGTAGTGCCGAAAATGATCTAGAAATGTGGAGACCTTGTGGAGTGTGGTCTCACCAGCTCTGCCCATATTGTTCCCATAGCTGTTCCACCAATGATCTTTGCATACTAAGCAGAAAGCTCTGACAGGCTGAACACACTGAGAAGCCTCCCTGTGATTTGGAATTTTCTGTTCTTATCTCGGTCCCCAGATATGAGTCTTCAGAAAGGGGTTCAACCAAATGTTCTTAGAAGCCCCCTTCACACTCCCTGCCATGCATTTTATCTTAACAGATGCATTTTCAAGTGTATTTTATGCTACCAGGTGTATTTTTCAAACCATTTTGGTCCTTTTTTTGAGCTGAGACTATACCACAAGATCGACAGAAATGTGAAACCTGAAAGATAAGCAATGATGTTCCTATATGTGTACTAGTCTGAGAGGTATAAATTTAGCCAGTTTCCATAAAATTGTAGACTCCTCCACCCTTGCCTACAGTTCCTTTTTCCTTAGGATACAAGTGACTAGCATAAGCACACTTGTTATAATTATGATTATTTTAAAAGAACATGAATAATGGTCTTAGGTGTCTCAGTAAAATTAGGGCTGCCATGTGTCCGGGATTTCAAAGGCGGAAATTTTGGAACAAGACGGAGATAGATTGAAATTGCAGAGTTTTGAAAAACTAAAAAACAAAGTGCGAGACTGGCTTCATTATTATCAGATAATGGAGGCATTTAGATTGGACAGGAAAATTGGTTTCCAGGTGGAAAGATCCAAATTAGAAACAGAATTGTTAGAACCCAAAACTAAGAATTTGTCAAGAATGTATAACTTGCTGCTGAAATGGAATACTCAGGATGAAACGGTAAAATCGGCTATGATTAAATGGGCACAGGACGTTGGACATAACATTATGTTTGCTGACTGGGAACAGTTATGGACCACAGGTATGAAATTTACGGCATGTAATGCCTTAAGAGAGAATATTATGAAAATGATATACAGGTGGTACATAACCCCAGTCAAGCTTGCGAAAATCTATCATTTGCCCGATAACAAATGTTGGAAATGTAAAGAAACTGAAGGTACATTTTCCACCTTTGGTGGACGTGCCCAAAGATTAAGGCTTTCTGGGAAATGATATATAATGAATTAAAAAGGTATTTAAGTATACCTTCCCTAAGAAACCAGAGGCCTTTCTCCTGGGCATAGTGGGCCAAATGGTGTTAAAAAAGGATAGAACTTTCTTTATGTATGCAACAACAGCAGCAAGAATACTCATCGCAAAGTATTGGAAGACACAAGAACTTCCCACGCTGGAGGAATGGCAGATGAAATTTATGGACTATATGGAATTGGCGGAAATGACTGGCAGAATCCGTGACCAAGGAGAAGAGTTGATGGAGGAAGACTGGAAGAAATTCAAAGACTATCTTCAGAAACACTGCAAAATTAAGGAATGTTAGAGTGATGTAGGATTGAAAATAAGTGGTTTCCAGCTGTACAGGTTAAAGTTAAGGATAGATTAAGATTAAAGATTAAGATTAAAGATGTTTAAAGAAATGGAAATTTGATAATAAAAGGGAAAAATTTAAAGCTATATGACATTAAGAGCAAGGATTAGGTTAAAAAAAAGTTGAAGTTATATATTTTAACATTTTATTAAATTAAAGATTGGGATTAAAAAAGTGGAAAAGAAACTGCTGGACAAATAATGTGGATTGGAATACAAAAAAAGGAGGTATGAGGAAGTCCAGAAAATAAGTAATCTAAAATTGGATATGGAAAAGAGAGTTTGTTTTTAATTGTTATGTTTTGTTTTTATTGTTAAGTTTTGTATTGTTTTTTGTGTGTGTTGTTTTTCTTTTTTCTTTGTTTAAAACCTTAATAAAAAATTATTAAAAAAAAAAACAAAGGCGGAAGCGGCGTCCTGGGGAAAGTTCTGGAGAGTGGAGGTTTGTTCTGGATCTTTGGCAAGTAAAAGAAAAAAATGTGGGATTTTACTTCCTTCTCAAACACCAGCATTTCAACTACAAGCAGCAAACCCCTTCTTCTTCCCAAGAGACTCATGAAAAGCACTTGGATGAAAAGAACCCCAAGTCAAAAGCCACATGCCATATCCAGATGCTGGACAAGATTGGCAAATGGTGACATCCTACAGTGGTTGGGCGTTGATCTGAGCCAGCAAGATCTTATGTTGTGATTCCTGCATCGTGGACCACATGATTTGCAACTCTAAGATTCTATTACAGTGGTACCTTGGGTTACATACGCTTCAGGTTACATACGCTTCAGGTTACAGACTCCACTAACCCAGAAATAGTGCTTCAGGTTAAGAACTTTGCTTCAGGATGAGAACAGAAATCATGCTCTTGCGGCGTGGCAGCAGCAAGAGGCCCCATTGGCTAAAGTGGTGCTTCAGGTTAAGAACAGTTTCAGGTTCAGAACGGATCTCCAGAACGAATTAAGTACTTAACCTGAGGTACCACTGTATTCTTACACAGTGCAGAGAAAAAAATGTTTAGAATCTGGCTGGAAAGGCAGGTATGTGCTGGACTGATGATCTGTAAGTAGAATAACATTCTCTTTACCCATCTCTCATAGATGTGGGAATTATGCCTCACCTGGTGAAAGCTTCTGTGCCACACCATTCTGTTGTCATCAAGGGTGAATGGCTGGTCAGGTGTAGCCTCCACACCAACCCTTCCAACCTTCACCTTCATGAAGGAGTTATTTGGAAAAGTGACCAGGTTGGTGATATCAAAGCCAGCTTCTACTTCCCTGTTCTTACTAAAAGATACTGTTTCCCCAGCAGAGTTGTTAAAGGAGACACTCCTAAGGAAGGGATGGAGCTGCATTGAAAGAAAAAGAGTAACTTTGAAGTAATGCAAATGTCTCTCCTTTTTCACATTCAGGATGCCTACAGACTGTCAACACAGGGAGGTAGTGCCATGCAAATATAATCTGTTTTCTGAGAAATGGTTTGTAGGGCGAGCATTCACATACTGAGCCAATGATCTCCATTGTTTCCTATGGGGAAAATCCCAATGCATGACTGACCATGCTTGGATATCTACACACACACACACACACACACACACACACACACACACACACACTGCCTAACTAGCCTCATATAACCTTCATTCTTGTGTCTAACAAATACATAAAGGGCTTAATGTCATTAGAAAAAGGTGTTCTGACAGCCTTGGCCTATGTCCCAGCCCCTTATCTTGGGAAGAAATGGGCAACAAAGCCTATTGTTCTGCTCACTCTATATGTGAATTTTGTGCGTGGGGAGTTCTGAACTGCTCCCTACAGCCACATGGAATTAAGAAGCCTGTTTATTTCAGACAAGAATGTAATCTGAAACTACCATTTTCTATACCAATAGAAAGATTAGGAACTTTTACCATTTTGTCTTCTACTTCTGCAACATTTTTATGAGTGTTGTGTTCCGAAAAACTGTTGAACTTTAAAGAGTTTTGTAAGCAAGCCATGTTACGACCTGCTAAGCTTGTGATCTATTTTTGTGCTAGGGAAGTGGCATCTTCTGGAATTCACTGGAAAGGGCATATTTTAAGGTTTTACATCCTGTATTTCCATGCTTCTGTTTGCTGCATGTTTTCCCATGCACACAAAGGAAGTTGCTGACAAAAAAACTGGAGAGTGCAGGATTGGATCTGCCTGCTAAACAGCTGTAAGCAGAACAGTCTGATTCTTCACTGAGCTGGTCCTGAATGAACAGCTTCTCTGCACACAACTGGAGAATGTGGAGCTTAAAATGTTTCAGGGTAATAAATGATATCTCATGACACGCATTACCTGCCAAGGCTGAAACTCCTGCATCTCTCTTTCCACCATTCTCCTATATTTGGCTACAGGCAGGAACATGACATGTAGAGCATGTGCTATGGCATAGACAGCAGTATAGAGACTGTAGCTGTGGCCAGACATGGTCATCTCAAAAGTAGACGAAGGGAGATTCTCCAGCTTCTCCTCTCCAGTGCAGGTTCCACTGGCCTGCTCCTCTGTATTGGAGTTTGGAAATAAACAGAGAAATACCTGTGCCCAGAACTGCTTGACAAAGCCATTTCCATTTGCCTCAAAAGGATTCTGTGCCTGAAGAAAGGCTTTGAATCCTTGTACCACATTTGAATGAACTGAAAAGGAGAGGGAACCCTGGGAGGTTTGCATATCCGGGCTCATTCGCAAGGGCGGTGCTGTGAAATCCAGTTGTGCCGTCAAAATCCACACTTTGCCATCAGATGTCTTAGTCACATTTTCCATTTCACCTAGTGCTATCATTGTCTGCAAGGCAAATATGGACTTTGTTCCTCCATAGACAACCACAACCATGGCTTTACTTTCCATAATAGCTTGATAAATTTGGATCCAGAGGGGAAACATGTCATAATACTCAGCCAAATATGCCATGTTCAGGGTTGTCTCTGAGAAGGCCAAGCAAATGCCTTTCTGGGAGAGAAGAGGTTTCAGGGTCTGAATAAATCTCTCTCCACCTTCACTTTCTCTAGCAAGCAATCCAACCCACGTCCAACCAAAGTGCAGAAGTAACTCAACAATCCCAGTGTACTGATGAGCTTCATTGGGCACCATTTTGTAGAAGGAAGTGGATTGGCTTTGACCACCATCCTCTGGAGAAAAGGAGCCATAAGTGAGCTAAAAGGAAATAAAGGAGCATCATCTATAATTGCAGAAGGACTGGGTATGTGCACCCAGGACCTGCCCACCCAGGAAGCAAAATGAGCCAGTTGCCTTAAGAAGGCAGGTTCCACAAAGCTGGGAGGAGTGGCAGATTGCACCCTGTGTTTCTCAGCTTCCACCTCCTTTTCTGCCATTCCTCCATGCCCAGTTTTCTGCACTCCTGCTTTCCTCTCCAACCTCTGCCTTTTCTTTCTCCACTTTTTCCTCTATGCCTTCCTAATCTGCTGCTTTCCTCTCCCCTGTATTTTCCACTTTGCTTCACCGCAGCATTTCAGCTGCTGATTTCATGGCGTCTTCCCTTCCCTTCCCTTCCCTTCCCTTCCCTTCCCTTCCCTTCCCTTCCTCTCTCAAACTACTAACACACAGAACCCCCATCAAGTGCCACAATGTGTGTGCAGCTGACTCCTGATAGACAGGCTTCCAGCTTTGCAAGAGAGCAGCTTCAGTCTCCAACCAGTAGGCCATGGAGCAAACGTGAGAGGTTGTCATTTGGCAGAATGGAATTGGGATACATGTTTAGGTGTGTATGGACAAGGAAGTGGGGTGAGATGAGAACTCTTCTATCATCACCTTACCTTGTGAAGGGCAGGATCACTCTCCTTCATCTCTCACAACTATTTCTCTATTATACAAATCCTTTCTTGAAATCCCCTACGCAGCATCTTACCTGGGGAATCTTGTAGATGCCCAAGATGTTTGCCAGGTAGACGGAGATATCCAAGTCCAGTCCCCCAATAACTGCCGCCAGGTGTTTCTGGTTGTTGCACTTGTAGTTGGGACTAAGTGTGGAGGGAAGGTTCAGAGCAGCCCAGTAGGTCATCCTTTCATCGAAGTAACTGTCATAGATGTGGAATCCCAGTGTAATATTAGGCAAGATCTTAGGGTTCTCATTGATCTCCTGGACAGCAAATACCAAGGCCAGAATATGCTGGTAGTTCTTTGGCACAATACTGCAACAAGAATTTTATGCTGTATCATTGAGAGATATACTATGCATGTTGTTCAGGGGGCTCTTGATAATTTTGTCCTAAATTACACATACTTGCAGAACAATTTCAACTAAAAGAGCAGAATTTCAGCTTAATGTAGGACTCATTCAGACTTCCCCACTCGTGTCATTTTTCTGCAGGAAAATCTGATCTTTACCACTCAATTGGAACTCAAACCTCCCTCATAACGACTCCCAAATGACAGTTAACTGACATTTATTCACAGATCACTACCTTCAGCTCAATATAGTCAGAATGTATCTAATCCATGCCCTGTCTATAACTGTTAAAGACAATCGTCTAGCCTGACGTGGATGAGAACATCAGGGGTTATTTGAGCATCACCTCAAAGGAGGGGTGAGCCTTGTGTAAGACACTTCAAACGAGAGTTTCTGTGGTGAAGATTAAGAAGAGAGAAGGGCTTTCCATCTTAAACTAGCGAAGGTTTAATCTTTGAGTCCTCCTCTTGTTAAACTCCTTGGAAGACATTTGGTGGGATGTGGGGAAGAGAGAACACATCAACAAGACCAGGCTCTCTCATCTCACTGACACATTCAGATCTGCATTTCCCTTCAGTGGAAGTAAATCCCACTGAAATCAGGGGAACTAGCTTCTGAGGAGGCCTGGTTAGAGCTGGGGGATATTTCAGTATCATCTGATTATTTGACATTTGATGTCTTTACTCGGTATTAAGGCGCTGATGGATAGTTAGCCTTTCTTTGAAGTCTTCTTTGTCAAAAACAGCAAAGAGGTGAGAAGCAAGTCCGCCAACAATAAGATGACCAGGTTGGTAGTATTCATGTGGAATTCTGGACAGATCATGGATGGTGCAACTCATGGTATGTTTGACCTGCAAATGTGGCAGATGAAAGAGAAGGGGCACAATAAACAGCAGCATATTGAAGCACCTATTCTTTCCCATCAAACAGCCTTATTTCCATCCAGCACATGAACCTTGCTTCACAACCAAGCTCAGTACAATATTCTGCCTTGTCACCAAAGACACTTCTCTAAAAATTCACAGATTAAAATCCTATTTTATAACTTGATTAAGAGAAAGGTGAAAATCCTTCCTCTTTCTCTGTCCTCTCGCTTGCTTAGAATGCCAGGAAGAGGTTACAATACCCATGTTTTGATATTGGTTAGTATTCTCTGGAAATCTATTGAGACATTATCCAAGGGAGACTTAGCCACGCTGAGAGTGATAATTATAGGTGAGATAATAACAAGCTCTCTTTACATCAGGAACATCAGAAAATGTTCAAACATAATAATAACAACCCTGTTTCTGATGTTTCATTCAAAGTTCTTTCTGACTGTTTATGGGACAACAAAAGGCCATGCAGAATTAACAGCCATGAGAAATTCTTTTTTTTTTTTTAAGAATATTTATTCCAGTTTTAAAGTTACAAAAAATATATAAAAAACAAACCACACACATCTTACAAAAAACAGACAATAAAAAAGAAATAAGAAAAAACAAAGAATCACAGTAAAAAATAACAAAAATCAAATTTAGACCTTTACAACCTTTTTCCCTTTTACTTATTTCCATGACTTCCTCTCACCTCCCTGCTTTGTATTCTAGTTTAAATCGTATCTCCAGCAAATCCTTCTAACCTTCTTTTCTTTTACTTATTTTAACATTCGAAAGTATTTAAATCTCCTCAATCCTCATTTTACACTTCATATTTACTTATTCCATTGTACCATGTCTGCCAATACGGCCTAATATTCTTTTCCAACCTTTTTCTAACATTCTTTTATATTACAGTGTTTCTGAAGATATATTTTAAATTTTCTCCAGTCTTCTTCCATCAACCCTTCTTCCTGATCTCGGATTCTGCCGGTCATCTCAGCCAGTTCCATATAGTCCATCACTTTCATCTGCCATTCTTCTCGGGTAGGCAATTCTTGTGTCTTCCAATATTTCCCAATGACTATTCTTGCCGCTGCTGTCGCATACATAAAGAAATTCCTATCTTCCCTTCGCACCAATTGGCCGACCATGCCCAGGAGGAAGGCCTCTGGTTTCTTCACAAAAGTGTATTTCAATACCTTTTTTAATTCATTATATATCATTTCCCAGAAGGCCTTGATCTTTGGGCACGTCCACCAAAGGTGGAAAAAGGTACCTTCATTTTCTTTACCTTTCCAACATTTATTATCGGGCAAATGATAAATTTTGGCTAGCTTGACTGGGGTTAAGTACCACCTATAAATCATTTTCATTATATTTTCTCTTAAGGCATTGCAAGCCGTAAACTTCATACCTGTGGTCCATAACCGTTCCCAGTCAGCAAACATAATATTATGCCCAACATCTTGTGCCCATTTAATCATAGCGGACTTAACCATTTCATCCTGTGTATTCCATTTCAACAGCAGGTTATACATTCTTGACAAATTTTTAGTTTTAGGCTCTAACAATTCCGTTTCCAGTTTGGATTTTTCCTCCTGAAAACCAATCTTTTTATCTAGGTTAAAAACCTCCCTTATTTGGTAATAATGAAGCCAATCTCGGACTTTAGTTTTTAATTTGTCAAAACTCTGCAGTTTTAGTTTGTCTCCGACTTGTTCTAAAATTTCACAATATTTTGGCCAATTTGTCTCCATATTAGTTTTTTTCAATGCCTTTGCCTCCATTGGTGACAGCCACCTTGGTGTTTTACTTTCCAACAAATCCTTATATCTCACCCAAACATTAAACAATGCTTTCCTGACAATATGATTCTTAAAAGCCTTATGCGCTTTAACTTTATCATACCATAAATATGCATGCCATCCAAACACATTATCAAAACCTTCTAGATCCAAAATGTCCACGTTTTCAAGAAGTAGCCAATCTTTCAGCCAGCAAAATGCGGCTGATTCATAGTAAAGTTTAAGATCTGGCAGGGCAAATCCCCCTCTTTCCTTCGCATCTGTTAATATCTTAAATTTTATTCTAGGCTTTTTGCCCTGCCAGATAAATTTAGAAATATCTCTTTGCCACCTCTTGAAACAGTCCATTTTATCCACAATGTTTGAAACAAAAATAACATTCTAGGCAATACATTCATCTTTATCGCAGCAATTCGGCCCAACAATGATAACTTCAATTTTGACCATGTTTCTAAATCCTTCTTCACTTCTGACCAACATTTTTCATAATTATCTTTAAACAAATTCACATTTTTAGCAGTCATATTCACCCCTAGATATTTCACTTTGTTAACTATTGTTAATCCTGTCTCTTTCTGAAACCTCTCTTTCTCAATCTCTGTAAGGTTTTCTCTAATACCTTAGTTTTCGTCTTGTTTAATTTAAAACCTGCTACTTGACCAAATTCTTGGATTAATTGTAATACTCTTTTTGTGCTGGCTTCTGGCTCCTGTAATGTCAAAACTAAATCATCAGCAAAAGCTTTCAATTTGTACTGTTTAGCTCCGAGTTGTATACCTTTAACCAATTGGTCTTTTCTAATCATATTGAGCAAAACCTCCAGGACCGATATAAAAAGCAATGGGGAGATTGGGCAACCCTGTCTTGTTCCTTTCTCTATCTTAAATTCTTCTGTAACTACATTGTTCACAATAAGCTTAGCTTTTTGTTCCGAGTAAATTGCACCTATACCATTTTCAAAACTTTGGCCTACCCCCATCCCCTGCAAATTTTTCTTCATAAAACTCCAAGAAATATTGTCAAACGCTTTCTCTGCATCTACAAATATTAAAACAGCTTTGGTATTGATATTAACTTGCAGTTTTTCTAAAATATTAATAACATTCCTAGTATTATCTGACAGATGTCTCCCAGGGAGAAAGCCCGCCTGATCTTTATGAATCTCTTTTACCAATACATTTTTTAATCTTTTAGCCATAATTTCCGCAAAAATTTTGTAATCCACATTAAGTAGGGATATGGGACGGTAGTTCTTCAGCTGTGTCTTCTCCCCTTCGGTTTTTGGTATAAGTGTAATGTATGCTTCTTTCCACGACTCGGGTGCTTTTCCTCCCCATAGTATTTCATTGCAAAGATCTTTCAACGGTTGCAGTAACCATTCTTTCAAAGATTTGTAGTACTTTGCAGTTAGTCCATCCGGTCCTGGAGATTTGCCCAATTTCATATTCTGAATGGCTCCTTCCACCTCTTGATCAGATATCGTAGAGTTTAATATTGATTTACTCTCTTGAGATACTTTTTGTAATCCATTATTTTTCAAAAACCGATCAATGTCTAATTCTTTCTGAGTCTCCTGCGTATATAACTGTTTAAAATAATTCTGAAAGCACTTCCGAATCTCTCCAGGATTCTGTATGTTCTTCCCTTCTACTACCAAGTTCGTAATCGTATTCAGCTTTTGTCTTTTTTTTCATTTGCCAGGCCAGTAATTTCCCACATTTATTTGCCGATTCAAAGGTCTTTTGTTTCATCTGTTTGACCTTCCATTCTATCTCCTGGTTCATCAGTTTCATATATTGTACTTGGTATAGCTTTATCTCTTTTAGAATCTCCTGTGAGTTCGGTTTCGCCCTCAATCTTTTTTCTCCATCCTTAATTTTTTCCAAAATTTTTTCTCTCTTCTCGTTTTGATATCTTTTCCTAATTGCGTTTTGTTCTATCAAAAATCCTCTCATCACCGCTTTGCTGGCATCCCAAATCACTCTTTTTTCTGTCGTTGTATTCAAATTTATCTCAAAATAGTCTCTCAAATTCTTCTGGGCCTTTTTAATAATTTCCTCATTCCTAAATAAGGAGTCATTCATCCTCCATCTAACAGCAATGAGAAATTCAGTGGGCCAGTCTCCTACCAATGTTGACCAGTGAAAATGATTAATCTGAACTCCTAAAGTTTCCCACCTGAGCACCACTTCATTAGTTTTCTGACAATTATACCGAGACGAAAGAATGGTGAAAAGGACAACAGTCTGACATCAATACCAGGGAAGATTCTGGAGCAGATCATTAAGCAAACAGTCTGTGAGCACCTAGAAAGGAATGCTGTGATCACCAATAGTCAGCATGGATTTCTGAAAAATAAGTCATGTCAGACTAACCTGATCTCGTTTTTGACAGAATTACAAGCCTGGTAGATGAAGGGAACGCAGTGGATGTAGCCTACCTTGATTTCAGCAAGGCATTTGACAAGGTGCCTCATGATATTCTTGTAAAGAAGCTGGTAAAATGTGGTCTTGACTATGCTACCACTCAGTGGATTTGTAACTGGCTGACTGACCGAACCCAAAGGGTGCTCATCAATGGTTCCTCTTCATCCTGGAGAAGAGTGACTAGTGGGGTGCCACAGGGTTCTGTCTTGGGCCCGGTCTTATTCAACATCTTTATCAACGACTTGGATGATGGACTCAAGGGCATCCTGATCAAATTTGCAGATGACACCAAATTGGGAGGGGTGGCTAACACCCCAGAGGACAGGATCACACTTCAAAACGACCTTGACAGATTAGAGAACTGGGCCAAAACAAACAAGATGAATTTTAACAGGGAGAAATGTAAAGTATTGCACTTGGGCAAAAAAATGAGAGGCACAAATACAAGATGGGGACACCTGGCTTGAGAGCAGTACATGTGAAAAGGATCTAGGAGTCTTGGTTGACCACAAACTTGACATGAGCCAACAGTGTGACGCGGCAGCTAAAAAGCCAATGCAATTCTGGGCTGCATCAATAGGAGTATAGCATCTAGATCAAGGGAAGTAATAGTGCCACTGTATTCTGCTCTGGTCAGACCTCACCTGGAGTACTGTGTCCAGTTCTGGGCACCACAGTTCAAGAAGGACATTGACAAACTGGAACGTGTCCAGAGGAGGGCAACCAAAATGGTCAAAGGCCTGGAAACGATGCCTTATGAGGAACGGCTAAGAGAGCTGGGCATGTTTAGCCTGGAGAAGAGGAGGTTAAGGGGTGATATGATAGCCATGTTCAAATATATAAAAGGATGTCACATAGAGGAGGGAGAAAGGTTGTTTTCTGCTGCTCCAGAGAAGCGGACACGGAGCAATGGATCCAAACTACAAGAAAGAAGATTCCACCTAAACATTAGGAAGAACTTCCTGACAGTAAGAGCTGTTCGACAGTGGAATTTGCTGCCAAGGAGTGTGGTGGAGTCTCCTTCTTTGGAGGTCTTTAAGCAGAGGCTTGACAACCATATGTCAGGAGTGCTCTGATGGTGTTTCCTGCTTGGCAGGGGGTTGGACTCGATGGCCCTTGTGGTCTCTTCCAACTCTATGATTCTATGATTCTATGACAACTATTTGTGTTCCTGATAGAAATAATAAGAATAAGAATAAGAATAAGAATAAGAATAAGAATAAGAATAAGAATATATTATTTATACCCCACCCACTCTGTGTGGCTTCCAACAGAATATTAAAATACAATAATCTATTAAACATTTAAAGCTTCCCTAAACAGGGCTGCCTTCAGATGTCTTCTAAAAGTCTGGTAGTTGTTTTTCTCTTTGACATCTGATGGGAGGGCATTCCACAGGGCGGGTACCACTACCAAGAAGGCTCTCTGCCTGGTTCCCTGTAGCTTTGTTTCTCACAGTGAGGGAACTGCCAGAAGGCCCGCAGAGCTGGACCTCAGTGTCCGGGCAGAACGATGGGAGTGGAGACGCTTCTTCAGGTATTTTGGATGGATGCCCTTTAGGACTTTAAAGGTCAGCACCAACACTTTGAATTGTGCTCGGAAACGTACTGGGAGCCAGTGTAGGTCTTTCAAGAACTGTGTTATGTGGTCTCGGCGGCCGCTCCCAGTCACCAGTCTAGCTGCTGCATTCTAGATTAGTTGTAGTTTTTAGGTCACCTTCAACGCATGAGGGAAGAGAACAAAACCCTGAGGCACCCCACAAGTGTAAGCCCAGGGGTCTGAACACTCACCTCCCCCCCCCCACTTTCTGAACACGGCCCAGGAGGAAGGAGGGAACCACTGTATAACAGTGCCCCCAACTCCCAGCCCCTCTAGACGGTCCAGAAGGATGTTATGGTCGATGGTGTCAAAAGCCACTGAGAGATCCAGCAGAACTAGGAAACAGCTCTCACCTTTGTCCCTAGCCCGTCGGAGATCATGGACCAGTGCACCCTAGGCAGTTTCAGTCCCATGATGAGGCCTGAATCCCGACTGGAAGGGATCCAAATGGTCCGCTTCTTCCAGGCGTGCCTGGAGTTGTTCAGCAACCACTCGCTCAATCACCTTGCCCAAGAATGGAAGATTTGAGACTGGGCGATAGTTGGCTATATTGGCAGCATCTAAAGATGGTTTTTAAAGAAGCAGTTTGATAACCGCCTCTTTTAGCGGGTCTGGGAAGGCTCCCTCACAGAGAGTAGCATTCACCACCCCACGAAGCCCATCACCCAGCCCTTCCTGCCTAGCTTTTATAAGCCAAGACGGGCAGGGATCAAGGAGACAGGTGGTCAGTTTCACTCGTCCAAACAGCCTGTCCACATCCTTGGAGGAAAAGCACCTCACAACTGGTTGGTGGGACAGTATATAGAAGTAATAAATAAAAAGTAGTGTGTGGTGGTATTATATTTACTAATAAAATGGAGCTTAATTTCACTCATGTTCAAAATGCTTTTACTCCAAAATATTCATTCAGATGCATTCTGCCCCATTTATTAACAATAAACCCATTTAAAAAAACCAAAATTGTTATGCATTGAATTTTAAGTTTAAAAATCCCCACGAGGAATGGTCTAGTGCATATTGCCCATGACTACAGGAATAATAACCAAATAATTTAATTAATACCTGGAAATGGATCGAGAGAGCTTGAGAGTTCTCATGGCCTGTGAGGGCAGAGACTGGAGGTGCAGCAGGGGGTTGTTTACGCTGCTCAGCCCCCCCCCCCACCTGACAGCTAATGTGCATAGAAGAGCAGCAGAAGCAGCAACTTTCCCCACACATCCCACACTCAGCCCCCAAAATGCCAGATGTGGGTATTTTAGGTGCAGTAATTTTTATCTGGAATGGAGGGAGAGCAGCAGAGAAGACATTCAAAGGGTTTTAAGAGAGTTCTCCCCACTTACCCAATCTTCATTTATGTGTGGGGGCACTTGAACATAACCCCCAAGTAAGTGGGATTCGCTGTACTGAAATCTCTGAGACTAATCATGACAGTAGCAACTCGACAGAAACTTTACTGAGAGGAAAAAATCTAGAAAGGAATGAAACTTTTAAACAATAATAATAATGCCTCTCAATGTATTATTTTTTCTGTTCAGTTTCTAAGCAATTACCCTCTGAGGTTCTAGTCAGGTCTCAATATTTTATGGTACTGATGGCAGTTTTTTGGTTTCCAAATAATGCTTAAGGTTAAAACAAGATAAGGGGCTCCTGTTTCAGAGAGACCATATTTTGGTTTTAAAAGAAATTGCACATAACAATTGTAACATGTAAAATATAACACAATTTAATGGTGCGAATAAAGAGAGATTACATTGCTTATATTTTGGTAGGAAAACCCCCACAAAGATGAAAAGATAATTCATTATTTTCTCTTTATTAACTGCTCCTTGCTGTTCAGTTCAGGCCTCAACACAATGATGTAGCATTTGGGGGCAAAGATGGAACCAAGTAAACCAGCACTGGAGGCCAAGATGGAGAAGATCTCCACAGCCACCATGTATTTCCCCTTGGTGCTCAGGTAGACCGGAACAAACGAGATCCAAACACTACAAAACAAGAACATGCTGAAGGTGATGAATTTGGCCTCATTGAAGCTCTCAGGCAATTTCCTGGCAAAAAAGGCCACAACAAAGCTGATAATGGCCAAAAAGCCCATGTAGCCCAGGACACAGTAAAACAGGGCGACTGACCCTTCGTTGCAGCCTAGAATGATTTCCCTCATCACAGAGTGCATGTCAGAATCAAGGAATGGGGGAGAAGTTCCTAACCACACAGTGCAAATGCCCACTTGGATAAGGGAACAAGAAAACACAATGGAGCTTGCCAGGCTTTCCCCCACCCACTTCCTCATTCTGGATCCTGGTTTGGTGGCCACAAAGGCCAGAACCACCGTGATAGTCTTGGCCAGCACACAAGAAATGATCACTGTGAAAACAAGGCCAAAAGCCATTTGTCGGAGCAGGCAGCTCACTCTTTCTGGAGGGCTGAGGAAGATCAATGGGCAGAGGAAGCAGAGCAGGAGGAAAGTGAGGAGAGCGTAGGTGAGGTCCCGATTGTTTGCTCTGACAATGGGTGTGTCCTGATGTTTAATGAAGATGACTAGGACCACCACTGTGAGGAGAGAGAGAGAAAGAGCCAACAATGCTAAGCTCATCCCCAGAGGCTCTTTAACCGACAGGAAGCTGATGGTCTTCGGAACGCATTGTGATTGGTTTCTGTGTGGATAGTGGTCCTTTGGGCATGCAACACAGTCAACCATGTCTGGAAAGAAAATAAAACATTCAGATTTTGGATATGTTGCAGAGCAACTGCTAACGGTGTGAGTATGGAACTGATAATGTTAAATTAGAGGGATCACACATATTTCCAGAGTAACCTGATTGAAAGTCATGCATGAGAACCCCACCTCAGAACATAGCTGACAACGTTTCCCTTTTATAAAGGGAAATTCCCTTATTCCGAATAGGATTCCTCGCAAGAAAAGGGAAAAGTTGTCAGCTATGCCTCAGAACTTTGTGCTGGGTTATGTGCATGGCTGTCAACCTTCCCTTTTTTCGCGGGAAATTCCCTTATTCCAGCACCGCTTCCCGCTGCTTCCCGCTGCTATACCAGATTGTTAGTTACCCCGTAGACTGTTCCTGGGACAGGTGAGGCTGCTGATCCGTTATTTTCGAGGCTGCTGATCCCTTATTTTCAAATGTGAAAGTTGACAGCTATGGTTATGTGGGGTGTCCTGTAATGGCTTGCTAACTCCACAGAAACACATTGTTATTGCTCAAAACAGGTACAGTCCATGACCATTTTGCACAGGGGTTCCATTCTCAGCCCCTTCCACCAGCACGCCCTATGCTGAACCCATTCCAACTTCCTCGGGTGCACGGTCACTTATCAATCAGACGCATGTTTATTTGTTATTGCCTGAATTAAGGAGGGTGTCTCATACTAAGTCATATCACTGGTGCATTTAATTCAGAATTGCCTGCTGTATTTTAACCTGTGACAAAGATTACATCATGGGTGACAAACCGATTCTTTTTAGGAGTGGGTCCCTAATCCTTTATGGGGGCTACCTGTCAATAGGTATGGAGGAGAAATTTGGTTTTTATTCCACTTGAATGAGAAAGATATCTAAATTGCACTCCTTGAATCATTATATATCCTGTGTCTCTTATCCTTTTCGGATGAAATCTTGCCTTGAGGACATGGAGCACAACCATAGCAGCAGAATGGCTCCCCCTCCTCCTTCTCCTTCCTGGAACCAGGAGGGCAATTTGGGTTACATACCGAAAGGGGTGGACCCTGCTCATTTAAAGAAACAGATAAACTGTTTAGCACAAAGAAGTAAGTAGCACTTTTGGTTTCTTTTTTCTTCCAGCTGGCAGTAGGAAGACACCAAACTACTTATTCAAAACACAGTGCCAGGCTACTCATTTGGCTCTTCATGGTTCAACAACTTTCAGGGTGTAGCCTTATTAGACTTTACCGATTGGCTGGGTGAGTGTTGCTCCCAGAGAGGGAGGAAAGTGTCAAAAGACACCGAGGTTGCTTTTCAGAGAAAGAGTTCTTTATTTCTGCTCTCCGGAGCAGCAGAAAGGCACTTGCGTGGTCAGTTCACAGCAAGAGCACTTAAAGAGCGGTTACACACAGCTTATATACCCTTTCTGGTCCCCTTGCCCCCTCCCCAGGAATCCAGCCACGTCAGCTTATACACATAAGTTGACATCCCCAGGAATCCAGCCACGTCAGCTTATACACATAAGTTGACATCCCCAGGAATCCAGCCACATCAGCTTATACACGTAAGTTGAAATCCATGATCACAAACAGATGTTCCTGTTCCTGTACTCTTGACCATAAAAGGATGTTCCTATTCCTGTATTCCTTATCTTGGGGTAAGAAGGTCACTAACTCTAAGAGCACTCCTGGTGCCATCCCCGAGTGCGGGGGGTCTTGCAAGCTCTGTGCGTCAGTGTGTCAGGATATTTACAACCCACAAGATAAGATAAGCCCCAGCTCTGCCATCCTGTCTCCACTTTGGAACCCTAGTATAATTGAAAAGTGTGGTAGCTTGGGTGTGATTCACCCCCCCCCCTTAAGTCTAAGAAATGCATTAGAGGAATGTTTTCGGCTGGTGCCTAAAGATACAAAGGGAGGTGCCTGGCAAGCCATCTTGGGGAGAGGTAATTCTTCCCCAATCTAATAAGCCCCCTTCCTCATTCTACACTTGGTGACAAAGAACAGCTACCCACAAACTTCCACAGCCCCTACTTCCTTCTCATCGAACAGCATTTCAACTGCAAACAGCAAATCCCTTCTTCTTCCCAAGAGACTCATGAAATACACTGGGATGGCCAATTCTGCACTAGTTGGGCATTGATCTGAGCCAGCAAGATCTTACGTTGTGATTCCTGCATCGCGGACCACATGACTTCCAACTCCAAGATTCTATGATTCTTACACAGTGTAGAGAAAAAGTGTTTAGAATCTGGCTGGAAAGGCAGGTATGTGCTGGACTGATGATCTGTAAGTAGAATAACATTCTCTTTTCCTATCTCTCATAAATGTAGGAATTATGCCTCACCTGGTGAAAGCTTCTGCGCCAGACCATTCCGTTGTCGTCAAGGATGAAATGTTGGTCTGCAGCAGTCTCCCCACCTACCCTTCCAACCTTGACTCGCATGAAGGAGTTATTTGGGAAAGTGACCATGTTGGTAATATCAAAGCCAGCTTCTACTTCTCTGTTCATACTAAAAGATACTCTTTCCCCAGCAGAGTTGTTAAAGGAGACACTCCTAAAAAAGGGGTGGAGCTGCATGGAAAGAAAAAGAGTAACTTTGAAGCAATGGATATCTACACACAAACACACGCGCGCGCACTGCCCAACTAGCCTGATATAACCAGCATGCTTAAGTCTAATAAAGACATAAAGGGTTTAATGTCGTAGAATAAGGTGTTCTGACAGGCTTGGCCTATGTCCCTTCCCCTTACCTTTGGAGAAGAAATGGGCAAAAAAGCCTATTGTTCTGCTCACTCTATATGTGAATTTTGTTTGTGGGGAGTTCTGAGCTGCTCCCTACAGCCACATGGAATTAGGAAGCCTGTTTTTCATATAAGAATGTAATCTGAAACTATCAATTTCTATACCAGTAAAAAGTTTACGAACTTTTACCATTTTGTCTTCTACTTCTGCAACATTTTTCTGAGTGTTGTGTTCCATAAAACTTTTGAACTTAGAAGAGTTTTGTAAGTAAACCACATTACGACCTGCTAAGGTTGTGATCTATTTTTGTGCTAGGAAAGTGGGATTTTCTGGAATTCATTGGAAAGGGCATATTTTAAGGTTTTACATCCTGTATTTCCATGCTTCTGTTTGCTGCATGTTTACCCATGCACACAAAGGAAGTTGCTCACAAAAAAACTGGAGAGTGCAGGATTGGGTCCTCCTGCTTAACGCTGTAAGCAGAACAGTCTGATTCTTCACTGAGCTGGTCCTGAATGAACAGCTTCTCCGCACACAACTGGAGAATGTGGAGCTTAAAATGTTTCAGGGTAATAAATGATATCTCATGACACGCATTACCTGCCAAGGCTGAAACTCCTGCATCTCTCCTTCCACCATGTGGAGATTAAAATTTTTCAGGGTACTGTTTTACATATCACTGCCTATGTCAAATAAATGATATCAAATGACAAGGATTACCTGCCAAGGCCAAAACTCCTGCATCTCTCCTTCCACCATTCTCCTATATTTGGCTACAGGCAGGAACATGGCATGTAGAGCATGTGCTATGGCATAGACAGCAGTATAGAGACTGTAGCTGTGGCCAGACATGGTCATCTCAAAAGCAGACGAAGGGAGATTCTCCAGATTCTCCTCTCCAGTGCAGGCTCCACTGGCCTGCTCCTTTGTACTGGAGTTTGAAAATAAACAGAGAAAGACTTGTACCCAGAACTGCTTGACAAAGCCATTTCCATTTGCCTCAAAAGGATTTTGTGCCTCAAGAAAAGCTTTGAATCCTTGTACCACATTTGAATGAACTGCAAAGGAGAGGGAACCCTGGAAGATTTGCATATCCAGGCTCATTTGCAAGGGCGGTGCTGTGAAATCCAGTTGTGCCGTCAGAATCCACGCCCTCAGATGTCTTGGTCACATTTTCCTTTTTTTAAAAAAATAAATTTTATTAACCGGCCAATCAAATCAAATCAAATCACATCACATAAATTCCGAATTACAAAGCCTAATTTTAAATTTTGTTGAGGGGACCAATATTTCAAGATCTGAAGGAGGATTCTGATCATCTTCTTGCTACTGTGTTAATATCCAAATCAGTCCAAACAAAGTTCATAATTCTATCCAGTCTTATCTTGCTGTTTCCACATCACATCTTGTTCATATATTTTCTCTTTTTTCTTTATGATCTCTTCTGATAGTCTCCTTAAGCTGATAAACACCAATAATAATCCTGTGTGAATTTTTCCGTTCTTCCAATCCTCAAATCGAGATGGTTTCCATATATCATCGCCTTCATAGATAACAACGCTCTTTCCATCATTAATTACAGAACTGTCGTTCTTAAGTCCCTCTGAGGAGTTTCACCCACAATATAAAAACAGCTCTATTTCTCTATTTCTCCTCGCAGACTTAAGTCCTCCGACAGAACTTCCCAATATGGCGATGATATTTTTAACTGCATCATTCCAAAGCCCTTATACATTCCACGCTCTTCTTAAAACATGCTTTGGTTCAAAAGTTTATCTGCACACAGCCTTAAATCCAAAGCTTAAGTCCTTAAAACGACATTCCTGATTTGTGGGGGGGAGGGGGGGTTCTTGTTTAATCACATAAAGGAAAGAAAGGAAAGTTTCCCCCCCTCCCCCATCAGTCCCTTTGCCATACCGAGTCTTGGCGTATCTTCTCATGATCTATACTTGTTCCTCCGACTCGTCTTGATTTATCAGAGACCTCTTCTGTTAGCAGTCTTTACTCCCCCTCCTTCCTTGAAATATGTGCATTCCTTCATCCAAATAGTTTCTTTTGAAGTTCTTGCAGCTAGTGGCAAGGATCAGGGACGGCGTCCAGGAGCGCCGAAATCCCACAGGAGGGCATTGTGCCTAGTGCCCCCATCCCCACAAATTCGGGGGTGGTATAGGGCACAGCAGGCAAGGGCAGTCCCCCCCCCACAATCCTGGGGGGGGTAGGGAGGCTATTTACTCCCATCACAGCCTCCAAATTACCTCGTGTGGGTCGGAGAGATGTTATTGTCAGCCATCTTCTGATGCGCCCCTAGTGGGGCCGGGGGGGGGGGGGGGGGGGGGGGGGGGGGGGGGGGGGTGGGGGGGGGGGGGGGGGGGGGGGGGGGGCGGGGTGGGGGGGGCGGGGGGGGGGGGGGGTGATTAAAATTCTATTTTATAACTTGATTAAGAGAAAGGTAAAGATCCTTCCTCTTCCTCTGTCCTCTCCCTTGCAAAGAATGGCAGGAAGAGGTTATAATACCCATGTTTCGACATTGGTTAGTATTCTCTGGAAATCTACTGAGACATTATCAAAGTAATACTTAGCCATGCTGAGAGTGATAATTATCGTTGAGATAATTACAAGCATAAGAAAATGCCCAAACATAATAATAATAACCCTGTTTCTGATGTTTCATTCAAAGTTCTCTCTGACTGTTTATGGGACAAGAAAAGGGCATGCAGAATTAACAGCAATGAGGAAGAGAAAAACAGTGGGCCAATCTCTTATCAGTGCTGAGCAGTGGAAATGATTAATCTGACCTCCTAACATTTCCCACCTGAACACCAGTTAATTAGTTTTCTGACAATTATACCGAGACGAAGGAATGGTGAAAAGGACAACTATTTGTGTTCCTGATAGAAAAGCACCTCACTACTAGTTGGAGGGAGTTATATATAGAAGTAATAAAAAAAAAGTAGTGAATGGTGGTATTATATTTTCTAATAAAATGGAGCTTAATTTCACTCCTGTTCAAAATGCTTTTACTCCAAAATATTCATTCAGAAGCATTCTGCCCATCGTATTACAATACAGTGGTGCCTCGCAAGACGAAATTAATCCGTTCCGCGAGTCTCTTCGTCTTGCGGGTTTTTCGTCTTGCGAAGCACGGCTATTAGCGGCTTAGCGGCTTAGCGGCTATTAACAACTTAGCGGCTTAAAGAAAAAGGAAACAAACTCGCAAGAACTCGCAAGACGTTTCGTCTTGCGAAGCAAGCCCATAGGGAAATTCGTCTTGCGGAAGGACTCAAAAAACGCAAAACCCTTTCGTCTAGCGAGTTTTTCGTCTTGCGAGGCATTCATCTTGCGGGGCACCACTGTAAACCCATTAAAAATACCAAAATCGTTATTCATTGAATTTTAAGTTTAAAACCCCCACACCAGGAGCGGTCTAGCATATATTGCCCATGACCACAGGCATCCCCCACTGCACACGATAAACAACCAAATAATTTAATAAATACCCAGAAATGGAGGGAGAGGGCTGGAGAGTTGTCATGGCTTGTGAGGGCAGAGACTGGAGGTGCAGCAGGGGGTTGTTTATGCAACTCAGTCCCCACCCTCAGCTGACAACTAATGTGCATAGAAGAGCAGCTGAAGCAGCAACATTCCCACACATCCCCCGTCAGCCCCCCAAATTCCAGATGTGGGTACTTTGGGTGCAGTATTTCTTATCCGGAATGGAGGGAGAGCAGCAGAGAAGACATTCAAAGGGTTTTAGATGGTGCTCCCCACTTCTCCAATCTTCATTTATGAATGTGGGCCACTTGAACATAACCCCCAAGTAAGTGGGACTCGCTTTACTGAAATCTCTGAGACTGGATAATCATGACAGTAGCAACTCTACTGAAACCTTACTGAGAGGAAAAAAACCTAGAAAGGAATGAGACTTTTAAAAAAAATGTCGCTCAGTGTATTGTTTTTCTTATTCAGTTTCTAATCAATTACCCTCTGAATTTCTAGTCAGGTCTCAATATTTCATGGTACTGATGGTTTCCAAAATAATGCTTAGGGTTAAAACAAGATAAGGGGCTCCTGTTTCAGAGAGACCATATTTTGGTTTTAAAAGAAATCGCACATAACAATTGCAACATGTAAAATATAACAGAATTTAATGGTGTGGATACAGAGAGATTACATTGCTCATAATTTGGAAAAGGAGAAAAAATAAGGATGAAAGGATAATTTATTATTTCCTCTTTATTAAGCACTCCTTGCTGTTCAGATCAGGTCTCAACACAATGATGTAGCATTTGGGAGCAAAGATGGAGCCCAGTATCCCAGCACTGGAGGCCAAGATGGAGAAGATCTCCACAGCCGCCATGTATTTCCCCTTGGTGCTCAGGTAGACCGGAACAAAGGAGATCCAAACACTACAAAACAAGAACATGCTGAAGGTGATGAATTTGGCCTCATTGAAGCTCTCAGGCAGTTTCCGGGCTAAAAATGCTACAACAAAGCTGAGAATGGCCAAAAAACCCATGTAGCCCAGGACACAGTAAAACAGGGCAACTGACCCTTCGTTGCAGCCTAGAATGATTTCCCTCATCACAGAGTGCATGTCAGAATCAGGAAATGGGGGAGAGGTTCCTAACCATATAGTACAAATGACCACTTGGATAAGGGAACAAGAAATCACAATGGAGCTTCCAAGACTTTTCCCCACCCACTTCCTCATTCTGGATCCTGGTTTGGTGGCCACAAAGGCCAGAACCACCATGATAGTCTTGGCCAGCACACAAGAAACAGTCACTGTGAAAACAAGGCCAAAAGCCATTTGTCGGAGCAGGCAGCTGACTCTTTCTGGAGGGCTGAGGAAGATCAATGGGCAGAGGAAGCAGAGCAGGAGGAAAGTGAGAAGAGTGTAGGTGAGGTCCCGATTGTTTGCTCTGACAAGTGGTGTGTCCTGATGTTTAATGAAGATGGCAAGGGCTAGTATTGTGAAGAGAAAGAGAGAAAGAGCCAACAATGCTAAGCTCATCCCCAGAGGCTCTTTAAAGGACAGGAAGCTGATGGTCTTTGGAACGCATTGTGATTTTTTCATGTTGGTATAATGATCTTCTGGGCACACAACACAGTCAACCATGTCTGGAAAGAAAATAATACATTCAGATTTTGGATGTGTTGCAGAGCAACTGCTAACGGTGCGAGTATAGAAATGATAATGTTAAATTAGAGGTATCACACATATTTCCAGAATAACCAGAATGAACATGATGCATGAGAACTTCACCTCAGCACTTTGTGTTGGGTTATGTGGAGTGTCCTGTGATGGCTTGCTAACTCCACATAAACCACATTGTTATTGTTCAGAACAGGTACAGTCCATGACCATTTTGCACAGGGGTTTTATTCCCAGCCCTCTTCCACCCCCACCCCCTATGCTGACCCCATTCCACCCCGCTCGGGTATGTGATCGCGCATCAATCAGACGCATGTTTGTTTGTTATTGCCTGAACTAAGACAGGTGTCTCCTACCAAGTCATATCACTGGTGCATTGAATTCAAAATTGCCTGCTGTATTTTAACCTGTGACAAAGATTAGATCATAGGTGACAAACAGATTCTTCTTAGGTCCATAATCCTTTATGGGGGCTATCTGTCAATAGGTTTGGAGGAGAAATTTAGTTTTTATGCCACTTGAATTGGAAAGTTATCTAAATTGAACTCCTTGTAACAACACGTTAATCAAAGTACAGATGTCCTTAAAAATGTCATCATCAATCTTTATTACGGTCCAGAGACCCAACAAATCATTACAAAGCAATACACAATTCATACAGCCTACCTCCAGGTTAAACAAGCATTTTGTTTAAAGTATAGAGATCATTTGTTCTTGCAACCACCAATAAAAACTTTGCCACTGCTAATGTTCTAGCATTTGTCCGGTCTTCCAGTAGGAACCTGACATAGTGAGCATCTGATTTTCCCGGAAAGGTACCAGCAAGGGTAGTATCAGTTCAGCCCTGGCTTGCTCATATTTTGCACAATGCAACAAAATATGTTTTATGGAATCGATGTCTTGAGCACACAAGCAAAGTCTGTACTGGTAGGGAACTCCTCTCAACCTGCCCTTAAAAAATGTGTACTTCTCTAAACATTTGGAATGTAGTTTTCCAATCAAACAATATATGCAAAAATGCACACGTTACCACAGATTTATTTATCCTTTCCCTCAACTTCTAACATGACTTATTTCTGAAAAACATATATCCTGTCTCTCTTACCCTTCTGGGACGAAATCTTGCCTTGAGGACATGGAGCACAATTATAGCAGCAGAATGGCTCCTCCTCTATCTTTTCCTTCCTGGAACCAGGGGGACAACTTGGGTTGCACACAGAAAGGGGTGGAATCTGCCCATTGAAATAAACCCACAAATATTTTAGCACCCAGAAATTATTAGCACTTTTTGTTTCCTTTTTCTTCCAACCAACAGTAGGAAGACACTAAACTACTTATTCCCAACTCAGTGCCAGCTACTCATTTTCTTTTTCGTTGGTTTAAGATAAAAATAAAAATAAATAATGCTGAAACTTACCATGTTTGAGCCCCTTTCAGGCATTCAGGAAGAATGCATGAGGATGCAAAGGGGAAGAGGATTGGGGATTCTCCTTCACCAGCACTGCCCCTATTGTCCCCATACAAAATATAATACCTGTTCCACCCCCTATTTACCAATCATAGCATGTGTGAAACAATTGTGCTTCTTGGAGAGGACAAAAACACACTCCAAAGAATGAGCTACAAACCTGGAGACTGTGTGGAGAACGGTCTTGTGCTCAGATCCAACTTGTAGGTTTCCCATAGGTATCTATTTTTCTATACCCCTCTTCCTCTGATCACAGGGTCATTTTCTGTATAAAACCACAAATATCTACCTTATACAGTAACAACCAAAGAAATATCACCGGCAGTTCAAAAGGCCAGAGATACTTTAATCTGACAAAAAACTGGGGGAAGAGGAATGTTTTCACCTGGCACCTAAAGATATTGAGGTTTGAGTCTTCCTCAGTCTAAGAAATCAATTTCCTCATTGTACTGTAGGTGAGAAAAACAGTTGCCCAGAAACTCCACAGTCCCTGCTTCCTTCCCATCGGAGCAACAAACACCTCATTCTTGACAAGAGACTCATGAAATACCCTGGGATAGAGAGACACACAAGGTAACAGTCACCTGTACACCATATCCAGATGCAGGACAAGACTGGCCATGGGTGTTATCCTGGACAAGATGGGCCATTGGACTGATCCAGCAAGCTCATTTTAGGTTCTTAGGTAGTGCAGAGGAAAATCTAAAAGTGCAATTCCATTGCTTTCCTATATCTCATGGATGTAGGAATTATGCCCCACCTGGTGAAAGCTTCTGTGCCAAACCATTCTGTTGTCATCAATGGAAATTTGCTGGCCTGGGGTGGCTTGCACATCCACCCTTCCAACCTTGACCCTCACGAAGGAGTTATTTGGGAAAGTGACCAGGTTGGTAATATCAAAGCCAGCTTCTACTTCCTTGTTCTCACCAAAAGATACAGTTTCTCCAGCAGAGTTGTTGAAGGAGACAGTCCTGAGGAAGGGATGGAGCTGCATTGGAAGAAAAATACTAAGTGTGAAGTGATGCATACGTCTCTCCTTATTGGCACTCACGATGCTTCCAGTCTGTCTGTACATGCAAGAATTGCTATAAGAACCTAATCTGTTCCTGAAAAATCATTTGTAAGGCAAGCATTTGCCTACTCAGGTGACGATTTCTATCGTTTCCTGTGGGGAAAATCCCAATGCATTCCTCACTAATAAGAAAAAAAATCCATCCTTTCAGTTCCCACTGCTTGGATATCTCCTGCTTCTAAGGAAACAGTAGGGTGATCAGTACGCTTGAGCCTAATTAATGCACAAGGTGCTTGATGCCATAGAGGAAGTTGTCCTGCCAGGCTTGGCCAATGTCACTTCCCCTCACCTTGGGAGGAAATGGGCAACAAAACCTTTGGTTCCATTCAGCCTACATTTGAATGATGTTCCTGTGGAGCTCTGAGCTGCTCCCTCCAACCAGTTTCCTGTGTTTCAGACAAGAATGGAGTATGAAACCAGTATTTTCTATACCAATATTTTAGGACCTTTAACCATTTTTGTAATCGAGCTATGTTTGACCGCCTGCAAAACTGACAGCCGTATGGAAAAGCACATGAATCTGACCTTTGAAGAGTTTTGTATGTAAACTATGTATAACTTACTAATTGTGTGGTCTATCCTTGTGCTAAGTAAGTGAGATGCTTTGGGATTGACTTAAAGGGCACATTTTAAGGTTTTAACACCTAAATTTCATGCCATTATTTGCGGCATGAGTTGCCATATTAAATCTCTTCTGGGTTCTCTCACCAAAGAGTCCAACAAGAATGATATTGTTTAGCAAGCTCAGCACAAACTAAAAAACAGGTTTAAAGTCCTTTTCCTTGCTGTTCTCCATCCCATTGCCCAGCCACAGCTCCTTTTTTCTCCAGCTCCACCTGCCTCTCTCTACCAGCCCTCTCCTTCACCTCTCGGTCTAGGCTGGGATCCTCCCTGTAACTTTTGTGCAGTGAAGCTGCTTTGGCTAAAGCAGCACAGTGCAGGATTGGATCCGCCTTCACTAACAGTTTCTCTGCACACAAAGGAAGTTGCTCACAAAAAAGTGGGACAGGTCTGTTACTTCACTGTCTTACTCCATGAGTAGCTTTTCTGCACACAAGGGATAATGTGCTCTTACACTGGAGCTTCAAAATTTTTCAGGGAACTGTTTTGCATATCACAGCCTATGTGAAATAAATTATCTCTTATGAGAGACATTACCTGCCAAGGCCAAAGCTCCCGCATCTCTCCTTCCACCGCTAATTTGTTTTTGGTCCTGGACAAGAACATGGCATGTAAAGCATGTGCTGTTGCATAGACAGCATTATAGAGACTGTAGCTGTGGCCAGTCATGCTCATCTCAAAACCAGATGAAGGGAGATTCTCCAGCTTCTCCTCACCAGTGCAGGTTCCACTGGCCTGCTCCTCTGTGTTGGAGTTTGGAAATAAACAGAGAAAGACTTGTGCCCAGAGCTCCTTGACAAAGCCATTTCCATTTTCCTCAAAAGGATTTTGTACCTCAAGAAATGCTTTGAATCCTTGCACCATATTTGAATGAACCGCAAAGGAGAGGGAACCCTGGAAGACTTGCATATCCAGGTTCATTTGATAGGTCCGTGCTGTGAAATCCAACTGTGCCGTCAGAATCCACACCTTGCCCACAGATGTCTTGGTCACATATTCCAATTCACCAATTGCTAAAATTTCTCTCAAGGTAAGCATGGACTTTATTCCCCCATAGAAAACCACCACCTTGGCTTTACTTTCCATAATAGCTTGATAAATTTGGATCAAGTCTGGAAACACGTCAGCCAAATGTATCATTTTCAGGATTGTCTCTGAGAAGGCCAAGCAAATGCCTTTCTGGGAGAGCAGAGGTTTCAGGGTCTGAATAAATCTCTCTCCACTGTCACTTTCTCTAGCAAGCAATCCAACCCATGTCCAGCCAAAGTGCAGAAGTAAATCAACAATCCCAGTGTACTGATGGGCTTCATTGGGCACCATCTTGTAGAAGGAAGTGGATTGGCTTTGACCAGCATCCTCTGGAGAAAAGGAGCCATAAGTGAGCTAAAAGGAAATAAAGGAGCATCATCTACAATTGCAGAAGGACTGGGTATGTGCACCCAGGACCTGTCCACCCAGGAGGCAAAATGAGCCAGTTGCCTTAAGATGGCAGGTTCCAGAAAGCTGGGAAGGGTGGCAGGTTGCACCCTGTGTTTCTCAGCCTCCACCTCCTTCTTTGCCATACTTCCATTCCCAGTTCCCTGAACTCCTGCTTTCCTCTCCTCTGCCCTCCTTTTCTTTATCCACTGTGATCTCTAGGTTTTTTCTGTACTGCTGCTTTTCTCTCCCCTGTTTCTTTCATGTTGCTTCACCACAAAATTTCAACTCCAGATTTCATGGCGTCTTTCCTTCCTCTCTCAAGCCACTAACACACAAAATCCCCATGAAGTGCCACAATGTGCGGGCAGCTGACTCCTGATGGGCAGGCTTCCAGCTTTGCAAGAGAGCAGCTTCCGTCTCCAACCAGTAGGCCATGGAGCAAAGGTGAGAGGGTGTCAGCTGGTAGCATGGAATTTGGATACATGTTTTCAGGTGTGTTTGGACAAGGAACTGGGGTGAGATGAGAACTCTTCTACCATCACATTACCTTGTGAAGGGCAGAATCACTCTCTTTCGTCTCTCACAACTGTTTCTATATTACACGAATCCTTTCTGGACAGAAGAAATCATGGTGAATGTGTGAAATCCCCTAGGCAGCATCTTACCTGTGGAATCTTGTAGATGCCCAAGATGTTTGCCAGGTAGATGGAGGTATCCAAGTCCAGTCCCCCAACAGCTGTCATCAGATGTTTCTGGGTGTCGCACTTGTAGTTGGGTATAAATGTGGAGGGAAGGTTCAGAGCAGCCCAGTAGGTCATCCTTTCATCGAAGTAACTGTCATAGATGTGGAATCCCAGTGTAATATTAGGTAAGATCTTGGGGTTCTCATTGATCTCCTTGACAGCAAATACCAAGGCCAGAATATGCTGGTAGTTCTTTGGCACAATACTGCAACAAGAATTTTATGCTGTATCATTGAGAGATGTGCTATGCATGTTTTTCAGTGGCCTCTTTATGATTCTTGTGTTTTTTAGCGTACATTTTGCCCTAATATACACATATCTGCAGAACAATTTCCCCTAAAAGAGCAGAATTTCAGCTTAATGTAGGGCTCATTCAGACTTTCCCACTCCTGTCATTTTTCTGCAGGGAAATCAGATCTTTACCACTCAATTGGAACTCAAACCTCCCTCATAACGTCTCCCAACTAACAGTTAACTGACATTTCTTCACTGATCACTACCTTCAGCTGAATACAGTCGGAATGTATCTAATCCAGGCACTGTCTATAAAGATTAAAGACAATCATCTAGCCTGACTTGGATGAGAACATCAGGGGTTATTCAAGCATCACCTCAAAGGAGAGGTGAGCCTTTTAGAAACTTCACACAAGATTTTCTGAGGTGAAGATAAAGAACAGAGAAGGACTTTCAATCTTAAACGAGGAGGTTTAATCTTTGAGTCCTCCTCTTGTAAAACGCCTTGGAAGAGATTTAGTGGGATGTGGGGAGGAGAGAACACATCAACAAGACCAGGCTCATCTCACTGACACATTCAGATCTGCATTTCCCTTCAGTGGAAGTAAATCCAACTGAAATCAGGGGAACTAGCTTCTGATTAGGCCTGGTTAGAACTGGAAGATATTTCAGTATCATTTGACATTTGATGTCTTTACTGGGTATTAAGGCGCTGGTGGATAGTTAGCCTTTCTTTGAAGTCTTCTTTGTCAAAAGCAGCAAAGAGATGAGAAGCAAGTCCGCCAACAATAAGATGACCAGGTTGGTAGTATTCATGTGGAATGCTGGACAGATCATGGACGGTGCAACTCGTGGTATGTTGGCACACCAGATGTGGCAGATGAAAGAGAAGGGGCAGAATAAACAGCAGCATATTGAAGCAAATATTCTTTCTCATGAAACAATCTTATTTCCATCCAGCAAATGAACCTTGCTTCACAACCAACCTCAGTACAATATTCTGCCTTATGATGAACAGCACTTCTCTAACAATTCACAGATTAAAATCCTATTTTATAATTTGATTAAGAAAATAGTTAAACTCCTTCCTCTTCCTCTGTCCTCTTCCTTGCAAAGAATGGCAGGAAGAGGTTATAATACCCATGTTTTGACATTGGTTCGTATTCTCTGGAAATCTACTGAGACATTATCCAAGGGATACTTAGCCATGTTGAGAGTGATAATTATAGGTGAGATAATAACAATCTCTCTTTACATCAGGAAAATCAGAAAATGTCCCCCAAAAATAACCCTGTTTCTGATGTTTCTTTCAAAGTTCTTTCTAACTGTTTATGGGACAAGAAAAGGGCATGCAGAATTAACAGCCACGAGGAAGAGAAAAATAGTGGGCCAGTTTCTTATCAGTGCTGACCAGTGGAAATGATTAATCTGACCTCCTAAAATTTCCCACCTGAACACCAGTTGATTAGTTTTCTGACAATTATACTGAGACGAAGGAATGGTGAAAAGGACAACTATTTGTTTTCCTGATAGAATAGCACCTCACAACTATTTGGTGGGAGTAATATATAGAAGTAATAAGTAGTGAATGGTGATATTATATTTTCTAGTAAAATGGTACTTAATTTCACTTACGTTCAAAATGCTTTTACCCAAAAATATTCATTCAGAAGCATTCTGCCCATTGTATAACAATAAACCCATTAAAAATACCAAAATACCGAAGAATATCTGAAAAATAAATATAGTAGTTTAAATCTGTTGCAGCATTCGAGGAACTTCAGTGATAGTTGCTAGGTAGATAGAAGAAATTTGATTTATTGAGAATAAGTTTAATTATGAAAAAAAATGTGTATTGGCAATACGTAATATGAATTTGAAATATGGAATAGACGGGAAGTTGGGTCTTTAGTGTTAAGACCAATAGATGTTTTATTGTTTGCCAAGAAAATTATGTGTCTATGGTTATTTTTGTAATTTGTGTGTAATTTGGTATTTGTGTTTTTTTGTGTGTGTTTTTTTCTTGTTGTATGAATAAATAAATAAATAAATAAATGGGGGGGGGGAAATACCAAAATAGTTATTCATTGAATTTTAAGTTTAAAACCCCCAGACCAGGAACGGTCTAGCATATACTGCCCATGACCACAGGCATCCCCCACTGCACACGATAAACAACCAAATTAATTAATTAATACCCAGAAATGGAGGGAGAACGTTGGAGAGTTCTCATGGCTTGTGAGGGCAGAGATTGGAGGTGCAGCAGGGGGTTGTTTACGCTACTCAGCCCCCCCCACCTGACAGCTAATGTGCATAGAAGAGCAGCAGAAGCAGCAACTTTTCCACACATCCTCCAGTCAGCCCCCAAAATTCCAGATGTGGGTATTAGGTGCAGTAATTTTGATCTGGAATGGAGGGAGAGCAGCAGAGAAGACATTCAAAGAGTTTTAGAGGGTGCTCCCCACTTATTCAATCTTCATTTATGTATGTGGGCCACTTGAACATAACCTCCAAGTAAGTGGGACTCGCTGTACTGAAATCTCTGAGACTGGGCATCATGACAGTAGCAAAGCCACTTCCAACCTCGGGAGGAGGTGTTGTTGTGGGCATCACACCCCCAACACACGCGCAGAGGCTGGCTTACAGCCCCATGCGATCTGGGAAATCCTCGGCCGAGTCATCCGCGGGCCAGCCAATCAGCTGGCCCAGGGGGTGTGCCTTGCCTCATTTAAGGCAAGCACGGCCAGGAATCTCCCTCTTTGGCCGCTCAGCTGCATTGGTTTCCCACCCACCCGCCTCTCAAGGTTCCTCTTTTGACCTTGCTATGGACCTCGGTTGGTCGCCGTTAAGGGGCCTTGTAGGATGTTTTTCCACTTGGCAAATTGGCACCAGCCATTTGGTTTTTCGTCTACCTCGTAACAAATCATCACAACATTCTCGGCTTTGGCGGTTAGGCATTGGTATGGGTATTGTTATGTAGATGTATGGGGGGGAGCACCATCACCTCCCCCTGATATTGAAGAGTAGTCCAGTAAAGGATTCCGGGGGGCGTGGCCCCGTCCGAAGCCTATGGAGGCCAGGGCCCAAGACACGCCCCCAAGCGGTGACCCCGGGGGAGTGCCTAGTTGATGTGCATCAGCAGGGCTCCCCTGCTGATGTTAACCCTTCCCGGTCTTCAAGCTAGCAGGCTGAAGCTGGATAGTCGATAGGACCAATGCCTAAGCCAATACCACTCATCACCTGTAACCAATAAAGTTGTGGTCTAATTTTAGCCCATTAACCTAAATTACTGTGTCCTGTGTCTTTATTTCTACTGGTGGGAGGCGGGATCTCACCACGCAACTCTACTGAAACCTTAGTGAGAGGACAAAACCTAGAAAGGAACAAGCCTTATTAAAAAATGCCTCTCAGTATATTGTTTTTTCTTGTTCAGTCTCTAATCAATTACCCTCTGAATTTCTAGTCAGGTCTCATTATTTGATGGTACTCATGACAGTTTTTTGGTTTCCAAATAAGCCTTAGGGTTAAAACAAGATGAGGGGCTCCTGTCTCAGAGAAACCACAGGGGATTTTAAAAGAAATTGCACATAGGAAGTGCAACATGTAAAAAACAACATAACTGAATGGTGTGGATAAAGAGAGATTAAACTGCTCATGGTTTGGTGGAAAAAACCCAAAAGATGATGGTATAATTTATTATTTCCTCTTTATTAACTGATCCTTGCTGTTCAGATCAGGCCTCAACACAATGATGTAGCATTTGGGGGCAAAGATGGAGCCCAGTATCCCAGCACTGGAGGCCAAGATGGAGAAGATCTCCACAGCCACCATGTATTTCCCCTTGGTGCTCAGGTAGACCGGAACAAAGGAGATCCAAACACTACAAAACAAGAACATGCTGAAGGTGATGAATTTGGCCTCATTGAAGCTCTCAGGCAATTTCCTGGCAAAAAAGGCCACAACAAAGCTGATAATGGCCAAAAAGCCCATGTAGCCCAGGACACAGTAAAACAGGGCAACTGACCCTTCGTTGCAGCCTAGAATGATTTCCCTCATCACAGACTGCATGTCAGAATCAGGAAATGGGGGAGAGGTTACTAACCACACAGCACAAATGCCTGCTTGGATAAGGGAACAAGAAATCACAATGGAGCTTGACAGTCTTTTCCCCACCCACTTCCTTATTCTGGATCCTGGTTTGGTGGCCACAAAGGCCAGAACCACCGTGATCGTTTTGGCCAGAACACAAGAAACGGTCACTGTGAAAACAAGGCCAAAAGCCATTTGTCGGAGCAGGCAGCTGACTCTTTCTGGAGGGCTGAGGAAGATCAATGGGCAGAGGAAGCAGAGCAGGAGGAAAGTGAGGAGAGTGTAGGTGAGGTCCCGATTGTTTGCTCTGACAGTGGGTGTGTCCTGATGTTTAATGAAGATGGCTAGGACCACCAGTGTGAGGAGAGAGAGAGAAAGAGCCAACAATGCTAAGCTCATCCCCAGAGGGTCTTCAACAGACAGGAAGCTGATGGTCTTTGGAATGCATTGTGATTGGTTCCCGTGTGGATAGTGGTCCTTTGGGCATGCAACACAGTCAACCATGTCTGGAAAGAAAATAATACATTCACATTTTGGATGTGTTGGAGAGCAACTACTAATACTGCGAGTATGGAACTCATAATGTTAAATGAGAGTTATTACAGTTATTTCCAGGGTAACCAGATTGAAAGTGATGCATCAGAATCCCACCTCAGAACATAGCTGTCAACGTTTCCCTTTTTAAAAGGGATATTCCCTTATTCCAAATAGGAATTCTCGCAAGAAAAGGGGAAAATTGACAGCTATGCCTCAGAACTTTTGTTCGGTTATGTGGAGTGTCCTGTGATGACTTGCTAACTCCACATAAACCACTTTTTTATTGTTCAGAACAGCTACAGTCCATGACCTTTTTGCACAGGGGTTCCATTCTTAGCCTGTTCCACCCCCACACCCTATGCTGACCCCATTCCACCTCACGCTGGTGTGCGATCGCGCATCAATCAGACGCATGATTATTTGCTATTGCCTGAACTAAGACATTTGTCTCATACTAAGTCATATCACTGGTACATTGAATTCAAAATTGCCTCCTTTATTTTAACCTGTGACAAAGATTACATGATGATGTCAAACCAATTCTTTTTAGGAGTGGGTCCCTAATCCTTTATGGGGTCTATCTGCCAACAGGTATGGAGGAGAATTTTTTTTTATTATTCCACTTGAATGAGAAAGAAATCTAAATCTCACTCCTTGAATCATTACACTGGTCAACAACAAATTTGTTGTCTGCATTTTTTCAGTTGATTTAGGATGAATCTGATGCGCTGAATCCAAAAATCACATTGGTTTTGTTCAATCAGGTCAAGTTTTTGAGCTATGGCCACATGTCATTTTTTAACGTTTTTGTTCACATGTACGCTTGTGTGGAGCATTTTAGAAGAAGTTGGTGGGGGTAAAATGCCATGTCAAATAATTCTTTTGATTGGAAATGATTATTTTAATGACAAGAAGTATTCAGTTCCGATAGTTCTGGGTGATTATGTCGAAAAGGGATCAGTTTGAAGTCATAAAACCTCAAAATCTTCCATATATTGGTGCGGCTGGGATCAACAGAAATAACCGGAACAGCCTCAAGTATCCTGATCTTCAATCAGCACGTCGTCCTGTAGCTCACTGTGATGAAATTCCAGTGCCTATCATCGAAGAACTTCCTGACATTAGTGACGAAGATGCCTCCAGTGTTGAAGGACATGAAGAAGAAGAAGTGGTTCTTGAAGATGATGCTCCACATCCATTTTCCCAAAAGGAGTTGAATGATCTAGTAAGCGACCTCAGCTTGTCAAAGGACTCTGCCGAACTGTTGGCATCCAGATTGAAGGGAAAAAACTCCTCTCTGACAGTGCTCGCATCAGCTTCTTCCGCAACAGGCATCAAGAGTACCTCCGTTTTTTCTCGGAAGAGAAGGACTTGGTGTACTGTGCAGATATTGGGCAGCTTCTGCTCAAGCTTGGAGTGCCACAGTACGAACCCAAAGATTGGAGACTGTTCATTGACAGCAGCAAGCAATCACTGAAACGTGTTCTGCTACACAACGGCAACCAGTTTGCCTCTATACCCCTGGCTCACTCGAGTACACTGAAGGAGAACTATGAAGCGGTGAAGTATGTGCTGGAGAAAATTGGTTATGATCAGCATAAGTGGTTTATTTGTGTTGACCTGAAGATGGTGAACTTTTTGTTGGGGCAACAGTCTGGCTTCACCAAGTACCCATGTTTTCTGTGCATGTGGGATAGTAGGGACCGTGCTCAGCATTACACGAAGAAGGACTGGCCTGTGCGGGAGGAATTGGTGCCTTGCAAAGAAAGGAACGTCATCGACGACCCTCTGGTGGACAGAGACAGAATACTCTTCCCACTGCTGCACATCAAGCTCGGCTTAATCAAGCAGTTCACCAAGGCTCTGGACAAGGACGGTGACTGCTTCACTTACTTGTGCCAGGCTTTTCCAGGATTGACCATGGAGAAGTTGAAAGCTGGCATCTTTGACGGTCCTCAGATCTTTCAGCTCATCAGAGATCCAGAGTTCAGAAAGTCAATGAACGAAGTGGAACTGGAAGCATGGAAGGCATTTGTTCTGGTAGTGAAGAACTTTATTGGCAACAATAAGGCCAGAAACTACGCAGAACTTGTCAGCAACATGCTGACTGCTATCCAAAACCTGGGCTGCAACATGAGTGTCAAGATGCACTACCCATTTTCACATATGGACCGGTTTCCTGAGAACCTGGGTTCAATGAATGACAAGCAGGGGGAGAGATTCCATCAGGACATGAAAGAGATGGAGACCAGGTATCAGGGTCGCTGGGACGCAGTCATGATGGCTGACTACTGTTGGACTCTGAAGAGAGACCTCCCTGCCACTGAGCATTCCAGGAGTTCCAAGAAACGGAAGTTCAAGCCCTGAAGTTTGAAAAATGGTGAAGCAACATGCAATTTACGTGTACTTACCTTTATCAATGCCCACCATTCAGTTTACAGTAAACCTGACCTGATGGAGAGAAATGGATGCCATTTCCTGATACAGCAGTGCCAAAATACCCTAAATCAGTTGTAGAAATCTAGACAACATTCAAAAAGTAAAAAATTGTTACCCAATGTTATATATCCTGTGTCTCTTACCCTTTTCGGATGAAATCTTGCCTTGAGGACATGGAGCACAACCATAGCAGCAGAATGGCTCCCCCTCCTTCTTCTCCTTCCTGGAACCAGGAGGACAACTTGGGTTACACACAGAAAGGGGTGGCACCTGCCCATTTAAATAAACAGATTAACCGTTTAGCACACAGAAGTAAGTAGCGCTTTTGGTTTCTTTTTTCTTCCAGCTGGCAGTAGGAAGACACCAAACTACTTATTCGAAACACAGTGCCAGGCTACTCATTTGGCTCTTCATGTTGTTGTTTTTTAAAATAAACCAAAATAATGCTGAAACTGACCATGTTTGAGCCCCTTTCTGGCATTCAGAAAGAATGCATGACAGCTGAAATAGGGAAGGGGATTGGGGCTTCATCTTTGCCAGCCCTGCCCCCTTTTCTCCCCATATATAAAGTAATACCTTTTACACCTCCAATTTTCCAATTGCAGCAATCATGCTTTGTGAAGATGACAGAAGCGTAGTGCCGAAAATGATCTACAAATGTGGAGACCTTGTGGAGTGTGGTCTCACCAGCTCTGCCCATATTGTTCCCATAGCTGTTCCACCAATGATCTTTGCATACTAAGCAGAAAGCTCTGACAGGCTGAACACACTGAGAAGCCTCCCTGTGATTTCGAATTTTCTGTTCTTATCTCGGTCCCCAGAATGAGTCTTCAGAAAGGAGTTCAACCAAATGTCCTTAGAAGCCCCCTTCACACTCCCTGCCATGCATTTTATCTTAACAGATGCATTTTCAAGTGTATTTTATCCTACCAGGTGTATTTTTCACACCATTTTGTCCTTTTTTTGAGCTGAGACTATACCACAAGATCGACAGAAATGTGAAACCTGAAAGATAAGCAATGATGTTCCTATATGTGTACTAGTCTGAGAGGTATAAATTTAGCCAGTTTCCATAAAATTGTAGACTCCTCCACCCTTGCCTACAGTTCCTTTTTCCTTAGGATACAAGTGACTAGCATAAGCACACTTGTTATAATTATGATTATTTTAAAAGAACATGAATAATGGTCTTAGGTGTCTCAGTAAAATTAGGGCTGCCATGTGTCCAGGATTTCAAAGGCGGAAGCGGCGTCCTGGGGAAAGTTCTGGGGAGTGGAGGTTTGTTCTGGATCTTTGGCAAGTAAAACAAAAAATTGTGGGATTTTACTTCCTTCTCAAACACCAGCATTTCAACTGCAAGCAGCAAACCACTTCTTCTTCCCAAGAGACTCATGAAAAGCACTTGGATGAAAAGAACCCCAAGTCAAAAGCCACATGCCATATCCAGATGCTGGACAAGATTGGCAAATGGTGAGATCCTACACTGGTTGGGCGTTGATCTGAGCCAGCAAGATCTTATGTTGTGATTCCTGCATCGTGGGCCACATGATTTGCAACTCTAAGATTCTATTACAGTGGTACCTCAGGTTGCATACGCTTCGGGTTACATACGCTTCAGGTTACAGACTCCACTAACCCAGAAATAGTGCTTCAGGTTAAGAACTTTGCTTCAGGATGAGAACAGAAATCATGCTCTTGCGGCGTGGCAGCAGCAAGAGGCCCCATTGGCTAAAGTGGTGCTTCAGGTTAAGAACAGTTTCAGGTTCAGAACGGATCTCCAGAACGAATTAAGTACTTAACCTGAGGTACCACTGTATTCTTACACAGTGCAGAGAAAAAAATGTTTAGAATCTGGCTGGAAAGGCAGGTATGTGCTGGACTGATGATCTGTACGTAGAATAACATTCTCTTTACCCATCTCTCATAGATGTGGGAATTATGCCTCACCTGGTGAAAGCTTCTGTGCCACACCATTCTGTTGTCATCAAGGGTGAATGGCTGGTCAGGTGTAGCCTCCACACCAACCCTTCCAACCTTCACCTTCATGAAGGAGTTATTTGGAAAAGTGACCAGGTTGGTGATATCAAAGCCAGCTTCTACTTCCCTGTTCGCACTAAAAGATACCGTTTCCCCAGCAGAGTTGTTAAAGGAGACACTCCTAAGAAAGGGATGGAGCTGCATTGAAAGAAAAGAGTAACTTTGAAGTAATGCAAATGTCTCTCCTTTTTCACATTCAGGATGCCTCCAGACTGTCAACACAGGGAGGTAGTGCCATGCAAATATAATCTGTTTTCTGAGAAATGGTTTGTAGGGCGAGCATTCACATACTGAGCCAATGATCTCCATTGTTTCCTATGGGGAAAATCCCAATGCATGACTGACCATGCTTGGATATCTACACACACACACACACACACACACACACACACACACACACTGCCCAACTAGCCTCATATAACCTTCATTCTTGTGTCTAACAAATACATAAAGGGTTTAATGTCGTTAGAAAAAGGTGTTCTGACAGACTTGGCCTATGTCCCAGCCCCTTATCTTTTGAAGAAATGGGCAACAAAGCCTATTGTTCTGCTCACTCTATATGTGAATTTCGTTTGTGTGGAGTTCTGAGATGCTCCCTACAGCCACATGGAATTAAGAAGCCTGTTTATTTCAGACAAGAATGTAATCTGAAACTACCATTTTCTATACCAATAGAAAGATTAGGAACTTTTACCATTTTGTCTTCTACTTCTGCAACATTTTTCTGAGTGTTGTGTTCCATAAAACTTTTGAACTTAGAAGAGTTTTGTAAGTAAACCACATTACGACCTGCTAAGCTTGTGATCTATTTTTGTGCTAGGAAAGTGGGATTTTCTGGAATTCACTGGAAAGGGCATATTTTACAGTTTTACATCCTATATTTCCATGCTTCTGTTTGCTGCATGTTTTCCCATGCACACAAAGGAAGTTGCTCACAAAACAACTGGAGAGTGCAGGGTTGGATCCGCCTGCTAAACAGCTGTAAGCAGAACAGTCTGACTCTTCACTGAGCTAGTCCTGAATGAGCAGCTTCTCCGCACACAAATGGAGAATGTGGAGATTAAAATTTTTCAGGGTACTGTTTTGCATATCACTGCCTATGTCAAATAAATGATATCAAATGACAGGGATTACCTGACAAGGCCAAAACTCCTGCATCTCTCCTTCCACCATTCTCCTATATTTGGCTCCAGGCAGGAACATGGCATGTAGAGCATGTGCTATGGCATAGACAGCAGTATAGAGACTGTAGCTGTGGCCAGACATGGTCATCTCAAAAGCAGACGAAGGGAGATTCTCCAGCTTCTCCTCTCCAGTGCAGGTTTCACTGGCCTGCTCCTTTGTACTGGAGTATGGAAATAAACAGAGAAAGACTTGTGCCCAGAACTGCTTGACAAAGCCATTTCCATTTGCCTCAAAAGGATTTTGTGCCTGAAGAAAGGCTTTGAATCCTTGTACCACATTTGAATGAACTGCAAAGGAGAGGGAACCCTGGAAGATTTGCATATCCAGGCTCATTTGCAAGGGCGGTGCTGTGAAATCCAGTTGTGCCGTCAAAATCCACACCTTGCCATCAGATGTCTTGGTCACATTTTCCATTTCACCTAGTGCTATCATTGTCTGCAATACAAGCATGGACTTTGTTCCTCCATAGACAACCACCACCTTGGCTTTACTTTCCCTAATAGCTTGATAAATTTGGATCCAGTGGAAATACATGACATAGTACTCAGCCAAATGTGTTTTTTTCAGGTTTGTCTCTGAGAAGGCCAAGCAAATACCTTTCTGGGAGAGCAGAGGTTTCAGCGTCTGAATAAATCTCTCTCCACTTTCTGCAGCAAGCAACCCAACCCACGTCCAAGCAAAGTGCAGAAGTAACTCAACAATCCCAGTGTACTGTTGGGCTTCATTGGGCACCATCCTGTAGAAGGAAGCGGATTGGCTTTGACCAGTATCCTCTGGAGAAAAGGAGCCATAAGTTAGCTAAAAGGAAATAAAGGAGCATCATCTATAATTGCAGAAGGACTGGGCACGTGCATCCAGGGCCTGCCCACCCAGGAGGCAAGATGAGCAAGTTGCCTCAAAAAAGCAGTTTCCAGAAAGCAGGGAGGGGTGTGTGGAATAATAAATAAATAAATAAATAAATAAATAAGAGCAGGAACGACCATGCCTGCCATTAGACACTGAGGTTCTGTTTTTAAACTCTTTGCCCACAAGAGATTCGCAAAGGGCCCCTTCTGTAGAACTGCTTATCTGTGCAAAATAATGTATTACAACCTGAGTTTAATTGCTGGAGATACTAAAAAGGAGACATAGCAGCTGTGAGGAGTAAACAGGCTAGCTGAATTGGATAATCCTCCCAAAGAGGCTCCTTTCCTTGTTAAAGTTGCCATTAGATGGCTAGGAACAGCGTTATCTATGGAAGAATGTATTAGAAGCCCACACTGACCCTGGAGAGTTGATAGATGTATAGGGTCTGGGTGACTCAGAATGGCAGAGAATAGTTAAGAGAGCATTGTGCATGCTTAAAAGCTTCATGAATATTAGTAAGCACGCCCCAGGCGGAGATACAGCTTAATCGTGTCCTCCCTTAAAGAGGGCATGTGTTGCAGTGAGACCTGGAATCCGATCCCCTGTGTTGTCGGTGGGTTAGATTGGTCAGCCACAGCACCCAGTTGGTAGGTCCCTCGATGCTGGGTTCAGTTTGGCCAATGGGGTGCAGTCCAAACAGATCAAGGGACGTATATAAGCCTATGCACATGACCCAGAGCTTCCTCTTTGGGCGCATGCATTCGGAACACCTGCCCACCTCTTCCTACTTTAGGGCTTGTTGCACTTGACCTTGCTATGCCGCCGTGTATCATCTGTCGTTGGGACAGGGGCACGGCAAGAATTTTCCCCACTTGGCTGATTGGCTGTTGTCATTTGGGTTTCGACTGCCACGTAGCAAATTGTCACAACTTGTAAGGTTGTGGATAGGCTCTGGTTCAGGTGATAGGGATGGTTGAATGCTCTCGCCATCCCTATGTGAAGGGTATTCTGTTAAAGGAATCCAGGGGCTCAAATGGTTTGGTCAACCCCTGTGAGGGGTTGTGTCCGTGCCTGAGTCCAGGGGGACATCTGGGTGGCAGACATAGTCCATTCCTGACTTTTTGCCTATCCAGGTGTTCACCCTTGGCTGACCTATGCTGGAACCCTGGGTCAGCACTACCTGCATGGCAGGGAGCTAGTCCAACCAGAGCCTATACAACCACTCACTTTCTGTAATCAATAAAGTTGAGGCCTAAATTCTGCCAAAAACCAAAAGCAAAATTTGAGTCAAGTGTGAATTTATTTAGGGGGGAGGTTTCTGGGTCTGAACACTCAATTTACATGAACATGGGATGTATGTGAATGGACATGGGATGTATGTAACAGTTGGGAGCATATGTCAAAAAGAAGACATGAAGAAGGCATATCAGAAAAGTATGTAACTACAGTTTCCTGACCAATAGGATACTGCAGGAAGGAATTTTGGACTGGTTAGGACTGGGGTAGACAACCTAAGGCCCGGGGGCCGGATGTGGCCCAATCACCTTCTAAATCAGCGTGTTTTTACATGAGTAGCATGTGTCCTTTTATTTAAAATGCATGTCTGGGTTATTTGTGGGGCATAGGAATTTGCAGGCTTCCAGCTTTGCAAGAGATCAGCTTCCATCTCCAACCAGTAGGCCATGAAGCAAAAGTGAGAGGGTGTCAGTCAGCAGCATGGAATTTCAATACATGTTTTAGGTGTGTGTGGATAAGGAAGTGAGGTGAGATGAGCACTCTTCCATAATCACATTACCTTCTCTCCATCCCAAGACACTTTTCAGTCAGTAAAAAAACAAGCTGCCAAACTCACTCAAGGGGTTGGGAAAGCAGGACTGGAGAGTGTTTTGAGGGCTAGATTTTGTCCCTAAATCAGATATTCCTTATCCATGCTCTAACTCAGCAGCGTTTGCAAACTGCAGTTCCACTGGGGTATAATTTGCTGGTTCACCTCAGGCAGCAAAGGGTCTTGGGCTGGCCCTTGTGCATCTCTAATGACTGTGGTGGTAAAAATAAATATGTTGGCAGGGTGGATGGGAGGGAGGAGGGAGATATCTTCACTTCACTCTCCCCTTCTCCATGGCATTTGGTGTGCTGCTACAGCACTCTCCTGTGGAAAAAGCACTTGAGAAAAACCACATTCCTGCAGCTCTCTGGCATGCAACACAGTGGCAGACCCTCCTAGTGTCCCTATTTTCCAAGGACAGTGCCAGATTTACAGAAGCAGTCCCAGTTTCTGATTTGATCCCACAATGCCCCATTTTTCTTAGGATGTCCTTCTTTTCATCAGAAATGTTGGAGGGTATGGAGTTATCCAGTCCCCGAGCCATCTGAAGACAATCCCATATAAGGAAGTTTTTTAAATGTTTAATATTTTATTATGATTTTACATATGATGGAAGCCACTCATAATGGCTGGGGCAACCCAGTAAAATGGGTGAGGTATAAACAGTAACATTATTATTATGCAATAGGATATCCCTATGGAGGGGTGGCATCATCAGCTGAACCTGAGACACCAAGCTAGATGGACGTAGCATTCACTTCTCAGACCTCCATCAGAGAGAAATGGTCAGTGTGCCTAAGAATGGGGGAGAGGAATGGCCACCTAGAGCAGACATGTTTTTATTATGCTGATAGTTTAATGTCACCTGACAGCTTGATGCTACGCATTCTATTTAATTGTGCAAAGCACACTGGGAACACTTTTTGTGAAGGGCAGAATCACTCTCCTTTGTCTCTCACAACTATTTCTCTATTATACAAATCCTTTCTAGATAGAAAAGATTGTGATGAATGAGTGTGGAAACCCCCAAGGGTATCTTACCTGGGGAATCTTGTAGATGCCCAAGATGTTTGCCAGGTAGATGGAGGTATCCAAGTCCAGTCCCCCAATAACTGCCACCAGGTGTTTCTGGATGTTGCACTTGTAGTTGGGTATAAGGGTAGAGGGAAGGTTCAGAGCTGCCCGGTACGTCATCCTTTCATCAAAATAATTGTCATAGATGTGGAATCCCAGTGTAATATTAGGTAAGATCCTGGGGTTCTCATTGATCTCCTTGACAGCAAATACCAAGGCCAGAATATGCTGGTAGTTCTTTGGCACAATACTGCAATGAGAATTTTATGCTGTATCATTGGGAGAGAGGCTATGCATTTTTTCCCCTAAGGGGTCTCTTAAATGATTCTTCAAATTGGAGAAGTTTGAATTTCAAATGATGACTGTGTTTGGTTTCAATATATTTTCAAGAGTATTTTTTTTGGTAGCTTCTCATTTACAGTAAATATGAACTAAATTGAATTCCCCCCTTCCCAATAACGGAATATTGATATTTACTTTGGGGTTCATTATATACTTGACAACACTTTTTGAACATCCAAGAGATGCTCTTGTTGACACCAGCCTCTAACGCCTTTTCTCTCATACCAACTTCCCTAAGCCTCCACTCGTGTCCAGTTCACACACAGATTAGTTTAGCAGCTAGGTACAATCTAGGTTCTGACTGTCAAACTCCTCAGATTATATTCTTGGCTGCTTGGACAGCTCATCTCATTTAAGAAATGTGCTTTTATAATGTTCTTCTAATAAGAAGTGAGCAGAATTTTAGCTTAATATAGGGCTCATTCAGACTTCCCCAAGTCCTGCCATTTTCCTCCAGGAAAACCTGATCTTTACCTCTGAATTGGAATTTACACCTCCCTCAGAACTTCTCCCAACTGACTGTTAACTGACATTTCTTCACTGATCACTACCTTCAGCTGAATACAGTTAGAATGTATCTAACCCAGGCCCTCTCTAGAAATATTAAATGCAGTCGACTAGCCCAACTTAGATGAGAACATCAGGGGCTCTAGGAGCACCACCTCAATGGAAAGGTGAACCATTAAGACCACTCACAGGAGAGTTTCTGAGGTGAAGATTAAGAACAGAGAAGGGCTTTCCATTTTAAACTACGGAGGGTTGGTCTGTGAGTCCTCCCCTAGTTAAACTCTCCTTGGAAGAGATTTGGTGGGATGTGAGGAGGAGAGCACACATCAACAAGACCAGGCTCTCTCTCATCACACTGACCCATTCAGATCTGCATCTCCCTTCTTCCAAGCCAACTCTTCAGCTTTGGAAATGCCCCCCTCCATCTGCCTAGATATAAATCACACTTAAATCCCTGGAACTAGCTTCTGAGTAGGCCTGGTTAGAGCTAGGGGATATTTCAGTATCATCTGATTATTCGACATTTGAAGTGTTTACAAGGTATTTAGAAGCTGATGGGTAGTTAGCCTTTCTTTGAAGTTTTCTTCATCAAAAGCAGTAAGGAGGTGGGAAGCAAGTCCGCCAACAATAAGATCACCAGGTTGGTAGTATTCATGTGGAATTCTGGACACATCATGGACGGTGCAACTCGTGTTATGTTTGCACACCAGATGTGGCAGACGAAAGAGAAGGGGCACAATAAACAGCAGCATACTGAAGCACATATTCTTTCTCATCAAACAGCCTTATTTCCATCCAGCACATGAGCCTTGCTTCACAACCAACCTCAGTACAATATTCTGCCTTATCACGAACATCACTTCTCTAACAATTGACAGTATAAAATCCTATTTTACAACTTGATGAAGAGAAAAGTGAAAATCTTTCTCTTCTATCTCTTGCTTAAAATGGCAAGAAGATGTTATAATACCCATGTTTTGACACTGGTTAGTATTCTCTGGAAATCTACTGAGACATTATCCAAGGGAGACTTAGCTATGCGGAGAGTGATAATTACAGCTGTGATGATAACAAGCTCTCTTTACATCAGGAAAATCAGAAAATGACCAAAATACAAACAAACCCCTGCTTCTGATTTTTCATCCAAAGTGGCTTCTGTCTGTTTATGGGACGACAAAAGAGCATGCAGAATTAACAGCAACGAGGAAGAGAAGAACAGTGGGCTAGTCTCTTATCAATGCTGACCAGTGCAAATAATTAATCTGGCCTCCCAAAATTTCCCAACTGAACACCAGTTCATTAGTTTTCAACAATTACCTCAAGAACAGTTGCTGTAATTTAAACTTGGTAGCAGCCTTTGAATAACCTCTGTAAAAAAATTCATGCAAAAGGAAAAATACATGGATATTTTTACTTTATTACTAAACAAGTAGACAAGCTTATGCAATAGGTTTAAAATGAACGAAATATGGAAAGGACGGGAGGTCAGACACTTTGGATGAAAATTTATTGTTAAAGTGTTTGTATTTTATCTGATTTTTGATTATTCGGTTTATTGACAATGAATTTAGGTTTATGTTGTACAGATGTAAGTAAGTATAATAAAGCATAATTTAAAAGCAAAAAAAGAGAGTTCTGTAGGTGGTTTGCATTGGTAGAAAGGAAAAATAGGAATCAAAAAAGGAGAATGCTCTGGATGCCAAGATTGGGGAATGAACATTTTGGTGAGAGATTCCCACAAACAACTATTTGTGTCCCTGACAGAAAAGTACCTCACAACTAGTCAGTGGGACACTATATAGAAGTAATAAATAAAAAGTAGTGTGTGGTAGTATTATATTTTCTAATAAAATGGAGCTTAATTTCACTCAAGTTCAAAATGCTTTTACTCCAAAATATTCATTCAGAAGCATCTCCCTTGCCAATCAGAAGGTCGCCCATTCGAATCTCCACGACGGGGTGAGCTCCCCTTGTTCGGTCCCTGCTCCTGCCCACCTAGCAGTTCAAAATTACGTCAAATTGCAAGTAGATAAAGAGGTACTGCTCCAGCGGGAAGGTAAATGACGTTTACGTGCACTGCTCTGGTCCACTAGAAGTGGCTTAGTCATGATCACATGACTGGCCACATGACCCGGAAGCTGTCTGCATACAAACGCAGGCTCCCTCGGCCTATAGAGCGAGATGAGCATGCAAACGCCGAGTCGATCGTGACTGGACCGGTCAGGGGTACCTTTACCTTTTAAGTTTAAATAAACCCGCCAAGAACAGTCCAGGATATCGAAACAATTTAATTAATACCCAGTTATGGAGGGAGAGCGCTGGAGAGTTCTCATGGCTTGTGAGGGCAGAGACTGGAGGTGCAGCAGGGGGTTGTTTACGCTGCTCACCCCCCCACACCTGACAGCTAATGTGCATAGAAGAGTAGCAGAAGCAGCAACTTTCCCCACACATCCTCCGTTCAGCCCCCAAAATTCCAGATGTGGGTAATTTAGGTGCAGCATTTTGGATCTGGGATGGAGATAGAGCAGTAGAGAAGACATTCAAAAGGTTTTAGAGGGTGCTTCCCACTTATCCAATCTTCATTTATGGGGGGGGATTGAACATAACCATCAAGTAAGTGGGGACTCACTCTACTGAAACCTCAGAGACATGACAGTAGCAACTCTACTGAAACCTTACTGAGAGGGGAAAAAACCTAGAAAGGAACTAGCCTTTTTAAAAAAATGCTTCTCAGTGTATTGATTTTTCTTGTTCAGTTTCTAATCAATTATCCTCTGAGGTTCTAGTCAGGTCTCAATATTTTATTGTACTCATAAAAGTTTTTTGGTTTCCAAATAAGGCTTAGGGTTAAAACAAGATGAGGGGCTCCTGTCTCAGAGAAACCATAGGGGATTTTAACATAGCAATCGCAACACATAAAATACAACATAATTTAATGATGTGGATAAAGATAGATTATATTGCTCATAGTTTGGTGGGAAAAGCCCAAAAGGTGATGGCATAATTTATTATTTCCTCTTTATTAACTGATCCTTGCTGTTCAGATCAGGCCTCAACACAATGATGTAGCATTTGGGAGCAAAGATGGAGCCCAGTATCCCAGCACTGGAAGCTAAGATGGAGAAGATCTCCACAGCCACCATGTATTTCCCCTTGGTGCTCAGGTAGACTGGAACAAAGGAGATCCAAACACTACAAAACAAGAACATGCTGAAGGTGATGAATTTGGCCTCATTGAAGCTCTCAGGCAGTTTCCTGGCAAAAAAGGCCACAACAAAGCTGAGAATGGCCAAAAAGCCCATGTAGCCCAGGACACAGTAAAACAGGGCAACTGACCCTTCGTTGCAGCCTAGAATGATTTCTCTCATCACAGAGTGCATGTCAGAATCAGGGAATGGGGGACAGGTTCCTAACCACACCGTGCAAATGCCTGCTTGGATAAGGGAACAAGAAAACACAATGGAGCTTGCCAGTCTTTTCCCCACCCACTTCCTCATTCTGGATCCTGGTTTGGTGGCCACAAAGGCCAGAACCACCGTGATCGTTTTGGCCAGAACACAAGAAACGGTCACTGTGAAAACAAGGCCAAAAGCCATTTGTCGGAGCAGGCAGCTGACTCTTTCTGGAGGGCTGAGGAAGATCAATGGGCAGAGGAAGCAGAGCAGGAGGAAAGTGAGGAGAGTGTAGGTGAGGTCCCGATTGTTTGCTCTGACAATGGGTGTGTCCTGATGTTTAATGAAGATGACTAGGACCACCACTGTGAGGAGAGAGAGAGAAAGAGCCAACAATGCTAAGCTCATCCCCAGAGGCTCTTGAACAGACAGGAAGCTGATGGTCTTTGGAATGCATTGTGATTGGTTTCTGTGTGGATAGTGGTCCTTTGGGCATGCAACACAGTCAACCATGTCTGGAAAGAAAATAATACATTCAGATTTTCGATGTGTTGGAGAGCAACTGCTAACAGTGTGAGTATGGAACTGATAATGTTAAATTAGAGGTATCACACATATTTTCAGAGTAACCTGATTGAAAGTCATGCATGAGAACCCCACCTCAGAACATAGCTGTCAACGTTTTCCTTTCAGTTTTCAGATGTGTTGCAAAGCAGCTACTAATGGTGTCAGTATGGAACTCATAAGATTAAATCAGATATATCACAGATATTTCCAGAGTAACAGGATTGAGGGTGATGCCTGAGAACCCCACCTCAGCACTTTGTGTTGGGTCATGTGCAGAGGCAGAGCTACTTGCTCTGACACCCAGAGCGGCATGTGGGCGGGACTAGCCTGCCCAAAGGGGCAGGCGTGGGGGGCGCTGCTAGCTGCCCATGCAGCAAACGTCCAAGGGTGCTGCCAGAGCGGTGAGCGTTGGGGGGAGGGTGGCGTGGCAATGTCAGCCCCCTCAGGGATTACACCCAGGACGGTCCACACACCCCGCATCCTCCTTCCTCCGCCAGTGGTTGTGTGGCGTGTCCTGTGATGACTTACTAACTCCCCATAAACCATGTTGTGCAGTTTAGATGGACAAAGTTGGTAAGTACAAATACAAATCAGCCTCGCATTATAATTGTTCAGAACAGGAACTCAGGATGTGTCATCCCAACTCAGATCTCTGGTCCATTCAGCTCAGCATTGCCTGCTCTATTTTACCATTCATCATGGGTGACAAATCTTTTTTGGGGGGGGACAAGGACAACGTCCATATTCCATTATGGGGGCTGTGCGCCAATAGGGATGGAGGAGAAATTTGATTTTGTTGACATTTGGATGGGAAAGTTATGTAAATTGTACTTCGTGAACCTACACAAAGCATAATAGAGTTTCCCTGAAAAATGGTACAATTCTCCAATCAAACAAAATGTACAAAATGCATATTTCCATAACTTTTCCATAATTTCTAACATTACTGATGTTTGAAAACTATATCCCTTTTGTTTCTTACCTTTCTCAGATGAAATCTTTCCTTGAGGACATGGAGCACAACCATAGCAGCAGAATGGCTCCCCCTCCTTCTTTTCCTTGCTGGAACCAGGAGGACAACTTGGGTTACACACAGAAAGGGGTGGAATCTGCCCATTTAAAGAAACACTTCAACATTTTAGCACACAGAAATCATTAGCACTTTTTGTGTCCTTTTTCTTCCAGCCAGCAGTAGGAAGACACTAAACTACTTATTCGAAACTCAGTGCCAAGCTACCCATTTTGTGTTTGAAAAAAATTATACTTCATTATATCACTGTGGAAAAGAGGACTGCGAGAAAATGGAATCTTATTTGAGTGATTATTACATATTCCAAGTACCCAAAGAAAATCGGCCAGGTTTGAATGCACCTGTATTGATATTTGAATTACAAATGGCAATTGTCAGGGGACTGTCATCGGAAAGGGGGAGGGAGGCAGGGGGATACAGGGGATCCAGTGATTCTGAGAAGCAGCTCCTCGTCTGGCAGTGGAGAAAGCCACAACTCCAGCGGAGCCGAGGGGGAGGGGAGTAGCCGGGTGAAGGGAGGGCTCCAAGATGCTACAGAGAGCCTTACCTAGCCCGGCCGTCCAGGAGGCACACACACCGCATCCGTCGCCCTGCTTGCGCAGAGGGGTGAAACGTAAGGAGGGGAGGTAGAGATTTGGGGTGTCTAAGTTCTTATGCTGGGGAAGAAACCGGAAAGGGGCACTCCCGGAATCTGCAAGTGACTAAGACAGACATGAACTTTTGAGTTGTGCACCGTAAAGAGTTTGCACCAATAAAACCTGAAAAAGACAGGTCGGAGTCTTGCCTGGTTACTCATGAGCAACCACCTGCACATCTGACAGCAATAAATAGAATGAAGATGGGGAAAACCCCCGGGCCAGATGGACTTACGGCACTTTATTATAAAAAGTTTCAGGATGCACTTATTGAACCACTTAAGGACACCATGAATAAAATTTGGGTGACTGGAGTAATTCCTGCTTCAAGGAAGGATGCATTCACTGATCCTTAAACAGGATAGTGACTTAGCAAAGACAAAAAATTACAGACCTATTTCTTTATTGAACTGTGACTCTTAACTATTTGCTACAATTATAGCTAACAGACTAAAAAAGACATTGACTGGGTCAGTCCACGGAGACCAAGCCGGGTTCCTACCAGGCCAACAAATGAAGGACAACGTAACAAATGCAATTAAGTTAATAGAGTATTTGGAAGTGAGAAATGAATAACAGGCCACATTGATATTTTTAGATGCAGAGAAAGACTTGGATTATATTTAATGGTCATTTTTGATTAAGCTTTTAGAGAAAATGGAAGTAGGTAATTCTTTCCTGGGTGCAATTAAAGTGATCTATACCGATCAATCCGCAAATATTTTAATAAATAATATTCCTTCATACAAATGCAAAATAGAAAAAGGAACAAGACAAGGGTGTCCCCTGTCTCCATTGCTGTTTATTTAGAAATATTGCTTCAGAATATAAGGACAATAGGGAAATTAAAAGTATTGAGGTAGGATGCAGAGTCTATAAATTAATAAATATAAAATATGCAGATATTTATGATATGTAAAAGAAACCATGGAAAGAGAAGAAGGGAAGTCATTGATATTATAAGGATGTTAAAATGAGTATTTTAAATTGCTAAACAAAATTTAATTAAGAAAAATATATGAAAAAATAACAATGCTGAAACTTACCATGTTTGAGCCCCTTTCAGGCATTCAGGAAGAATGCATGAGGATGCAAATGGGGAAGAGGATTTAGGATTCATCTTGACCAGCACAGCCCCTATTGTCCCCATGTTGTTGTTTGGTCATTTAGCCGTGTCTGACTCTTCGTGACCCCATGGACCAGAGCACGCCAGGCACTCCTGTCTTCCACTGCCTCCTGCAGTTTGGTCAAACTCATGCTTATAGCTTCGAGAACACTGTCCACCATCTCATCCTCTGTCATCCCCTTCTCCTTGTGCCCACAGTCTTTCCCAGCATCAGGTTCTTTTCCAGGGAGTCTTCTCTTCTCATGAGGTGGCCAAAGTATTGGAGCCTCAGCTTCAGAATCTGTCCTTCCAGTGAGCACTCAGGGTTGAAGAATGGAGAGGTTTGATCTTCTTGCAGTCCATGGGACTCTCAAGAGTCTCCTCCAGCACCATAATCCAAAAGCATCAATTCTTCAGCAATCAGCCTTCTTTATGGTCCAGCTCTCACTTCCATACATCACTACTGGGAAAACCATAGCTTTAATGATACAGATCTTTGTCGGCAAGGTGATGTCTCTGCTTTTTAAGATGTCTAGGTTTGTGATTGCTTTTCTCCCAAGAAGCAGATGTCTTTTAATTTCATGAATTCTGTCACCATTTGCAGTGATCATGGAACCCAAGAAAGTAAAATCTCTTACTACCTCCATTTCTTCCCCTTCTATTTGCCAGGAGGTGATGGGCCCAGTGGCCACAATCTTCGTTTTTTTGATGTTGAGCTTCAGACCATATTTTGCGCTCTCCTCTTTCACGTTCATTAAAAGATTCTTTAATTCCTCCTTACGTTCTGCGATCAAGGTTGTGTCATCTGCATATCTGAGGTTGTTGATATTTCTTCCAGAAATCTTAATTCATCCAGTCCAGCCTTTTGCATGATGAATTCTGCATATAAGTTAAATAAGCAGAGAGACAATATACAGCCTTATACTCCTTTCCCAATTTTGAACCAATCACTTGTTCCATATCTAGTTCTAACTGTAGCTTCTTGTCCCACATAGAGATTTCTCAGGAGACAGATGAGGTGATTAGGCACTCCCGTTTCTTTAAGAACTTGCCATAGTTTGCTATGCTCAACACAGTCAAAGGTTTTTGCGTAGTCAATGAAACAGAAGTAGATTTTTTTTCTGGAACTCTCTAGCTTACTCCATAATCCAGTGCATATTTGCAATTGGGTCTCTGGTTCCTCTTCCCCTTCGAAATCCAGCTTGCACTTCTGAGAGTTCTCGGTCCACATACTGATTAAGCCTGCCTTGTAGAATTTTAAGCTTGCTTAACCTTGCTAGGGTGTGAAATGAGCGCAATTGTGCGGTAGTTGGAGCATTCTTTGGCACTGCCCTTCTTTGGGATTGGGATGTAGACTAATCCTCTCCAACCCACTGGCCACTGCTGAATTTTCCAAACTTGCTGGCATATTGAGTGTAGCACCTTAACAACATCATCTTTTAAAATTTTAAATAGTTCAGCTGGAATACCATCACTTCCACTGGCCTTGTTATTAGCAGTGCTTTCTAAGGCTCATTTGACTTCACTCTCCAGGATGTCTGGCTCAAGGTCAGCAACCACACTCCAATTTTCTTGAACAGATCTCTGGTTTTTCCCATTCTATTGTTTTCCTCTATTTCTTTACATCGCTCGTTTAATTTTGATGCTGCCCATCTGATGATGTCCATGTGTAGAGTTGTCTCTTGTGTTGTTGGAAAAGAGTGTTTATGATGACCAGCTTGTTCTCTTGACAGAACTCTATTAGCCTTTGCCCTGCTTTGTTTTGAACTCCAAGGCCAAAATTGCCAGTTGTTCCTTTTATCTCTTGACTCCCTACTTTAGCATTCCAATCTCCTCTAATGAGAAGAACATCCTTCTTTGGTGTCATTTCTAGAAGGTGTTGTAAGTCTTCATAGAATTGGTCAATTTCAGTTTCTTCAGTACCGGTAGTTGGTGCATAAACTTGGATTACTGTGAGGTTAAACGGTCTGCCTTGGTTTTGTATCCAGATCATTCTATCATTTTTGAGATTGCATCCCAGGACAGCTTTCGCCACTCTTTTGTTGACTATGAGGGCCACTCCATTTCTTCTACAGGATTCTTGCCCACAGTAGTAGATACGATGGTCAGCTGAACTGAATTTGCCCATTACTGTCCATTTTAGTTCACTGATGCCCAGGATGTCAATATTTATTCTTGCCATCTCATTTTTGACCACATCCAGCTTACCAAGGTTCATGGTTCTTACATTCCAGGTTCCTATGCAATATTTTTCTTTCCAGCATTGGACTTTCCTTTCACTTCCAGGCATATCTGCAATTGAGTGACCTTTTGGCTTTGGCCCAGCCGCTTCATCAGCTCTGCATCTACTTGTACTTGTCCTCTGCTCTTCCTCAGTAACATGTTAGACGCCTTCCGACCTGAGGGGCTCATCTTCCAGCGTCAGAACTTTTATATGCTGGTTGTTTTTGTCCATGGAATTTTCTAGGTTGTGGGACATTGAACGCCAGGAACTAACAGCAGCAGCAAAGAAAACATGCTCCCCTCTTAACTTTCAGCTTTCTTGGGCACATGAAATTAACCACAATTATCTTGAATTTTTGCTCAATACTCATGATAGAAGGGCATTTTCGCTGGCCAGGTTTAATTCAAATCCTTCAAACCTCCTATGGGGAAGCTTCTTGAGAATGGTGGAAGGAGAAAGAATTTGCACATGTGAAGACCATCAGGTGGAAACTCTTAAACATATGGTTCTTAAACGTAAACTATATGTTGATCTCTGCCAGCAGTTCCTAGGTATCTGAAGAAGTGTGCATGCACACAAAAGCTCATACCAATAAAAAACTTAGTTGGTCTATAAGGTGCTACTGGAAGGAATGTTTTTTATTTTGTTTTGACTATAGCAGACCAACACAGCTACCTACCTGTACCTTACATGGTAACAACCAAAACAATATCAACCCCAGATCAAAAGGCGAGAGATATTTTAATCTGACAACAAACTGGGAGAAGAGGTATGTTTTCACCTGGCGCCTCAAGATATGTAGGGAAGAGAGCCTCCTTGGAGGGGGACAGACTGATTTTTTTAAAAAATTCTTTGGCCCCCATTGTTTGAGTCTTCCTCAATCTAAGAAGTCCATTTCCTCATTCCACTGTTGGTGAGAAAAACAGGTACCCACAAACTCCATAGTCCCTGCTTCCTTCCCATCAGAGCAACAAACACCTTATTCTTGACAAGAGACTCATGAAATACCCTGGGATAGAGAGAGACACAAGCTAACAGTCACATGCATGCCATATCCAGATGCAGGACAAGACTGGCCGTGGGTGTTATCCTGGACAAGATGGGCCATTGGACTGATCCAGCAAGCTTTTCTTTTGTTCTTATGTAGTGCAGAGGAAAATCTAAAAATGCAATAATATTGTTTTCCTATATTTCATGGAAGTAGGAATTATGCCCCACCTGGTGAAAGCTTCTGTGCCAAACCATTCTGTTGTCATCAATGGAAAGTTGCTGGCCTGGGGTGGCTTGCACATCCACCCTTCCAACCTTAACCCTCACGAAGGAATTATTTGGAAAAGTGACCAGGTTGGTAATATCAAAGCCAGCTTCGACTTCCCTGTTCTCACCAAAAGATACAGTTTCTCCAGCAGAGTTGTTGCAGGAGACAGTCCTGAGGAAGGGATGGAGCTGCATTGGAAGAAAAATAGTAACTGTGAAGTAATGCATATGTCTCTCCTTATTGGCACTCACGATGCCTCCTGTTTGTCTGCACTCTGTTTCTATACCAATATTTCAGGAACTGTAGCCATTATTGTAACCAACCTATGTTTGACTGCCTGCACAACTGACTGCTGTATGGAAAAGCACATGAATCAGACATTTGAAGAGCTTTGCAAGTAAACAATGTATAACTTATTAATTATGCAACCTGCCTTTTTGGTAAGGAAGTGGGATGTTTTGGGATCAACTAGAAGGGGTACATTCTAAGGTTTTAACACCTACATTTCATGCCTTTATTTGCTGCATGAGTTGCCATATTAAATCTCTTCTGGGGTTCTCTCACCAAAGAGTCCAAGAAGAATGATATTGTTTAGCAAGCTCAGCAAAAACTAAAAAAACAGGTTTTAAATCCTCTCCCTTACTGTTCCCCATCCCACTTCCCCAGCCACAGCTACTTTTTTCTCCAGGTCCACCGGCCTCTCCTTGCCAGCTCTCTCCTATTCATCTCAGTATAGGCACGGATCCTCCATGTAACTTGTAATGGATCCAAACTACAAGAAAGAAGATTCCACCTAAACATTAGGAAGAACTTCCTGACAGTAAGAGCTGTTCGACAGTGGAATTTGCTGCCAAGGAGTGTGGTAGAGTCTCCTTCTTTGGAGGTCTATAAGCAGAGGCTTGACAACCATATGTCAGGAGTGCTCTGATGGTGTTTCCTGCTTGGCAGGGGGTTGGACTCGATGGCCCTTGTGGTCTCTTCCAACTCTATGATTCTATGATTCTATGATTGTATGTAGAGGGTCCGCCTTCATTATCAGGTTCTCTGCATGCAAAGGCAGTTGCTCACACAAAAAATGGGACAGGTCTGGTACTTCACTGTCTTACTCCATGAGTAGCTTTTCTGCACCCAAGGGGAGAATGTGCTCTTACACTGGAGCTTGAAATTTTTCAGGGTGCTGTTTTACATATCACTGCCTATGTCAAATAAATTATATCTCATGAGAGGCATTACCTGCCAAGGCCAAAGCTCCAGCATTTCTCCTTCCACCGCTGATTTGTATTTGGTCCTGTACAAGAACATGGCATGTAAAGCATGTGCCGTTGCAAAGACAGCATTGTAAAGACTGTAGCTGTGGCCAGACATGGTCATCTCAAAAGCAGACGAAGGGAGATTCTCCAGCTTCTCCTCTCCAGTGCATGTTCTACTGGCCTGCTCCTCTGTACTGGAGTTTGGAAATAAACATAGAAAGACTTCTGCCCAGAACTGCTTGACAAAGCCATTTCCATTTGCCTCAAAAGGATTTTGTGCCTCTAGAAAGGATTTGAATCCTTGTACCACATTAGAATGAACTGTAAAGCAGAGGGAACCATGGAAGACTTGCATATCCAGGTTCATTTGATAGGTCGTAGCCGTGAAATCAAGCTGTGCCATCAGAATCCACACCTTGCCCACAGATGTCTTGGCCACATATTCCAATTCACCAAGAGCTACTATGTTTCTCAAGGGAAGCATGGACTTTGTTCCTCCATAGACAACCACCACCTTGGCTTTACTTTCCATAATAGCTCGATAAATTTGGATCCAGTGGGGAAACATGTCATAATACTCAGCCAAAGATGTCGTTTTCAGGGTTGTCTCTGAGAAGGCCAAGCAAATGCCTTTCTGGGACAGAAGAGGTTTCAGGCTCTGAATAAATCTCTCTCCACTTTCTGCAGCAAGCAATCCAACCCACGTCCAACCAAAGTGCAGAAGTAACTCAACAATCCCAGTGTACTGATGGGCTTCATTGGGCACCATCCTGTAGAAGGAAGTGGATTGGCTTTGACCAGCATCTTCTGGGGCAAAGGAGCCATAAGTGAGCTAAAGGGAAATAAAGTAGCATCATCTACAATTGCAGAAGGACTGGGTGTGTGCATCTAGGGCCTTCCCACCCAGGAGGCAAAATGAGCCAGTTGCCTTAAGAAGGCAGGTTCCAGAAAGCTGGGAGGGGTGGCAGATTGCACCCTGTGTTTCTCAGCCTCCACCGCCTTCTCTGCCACCCCTGCATGCCCAGTTTCCTGCTCTCCTGCTCTCCTCTCCTTCACTCTCCCTTTTTCTTTATCAACTGTGATCTCTAGGCTTTTATAAGCTGCTGCTTTCTTCTGCTGTTTCTTTCATGTTGCTTCACCGCAACATTTCAACTACTAATTTCATAGCAGCTTCCCTTCCTCTATCAAACCACTAACACACAGAATTTGCATCAAGTGCCACAATGTGTGGGCAGCTGACTCCTGATAGGCAGGCTTCCAGCTTTGCAAGAGAGCAGCTTCAGAATCCAACCAGTAGGCCATGGAGCAAAGGTGAGAGGGTCTCAGTCAGCAGAATGGAATTTTGAATACGTGTTTTTAGGTGTGTGTGGACAAGGAAAGGGGGTGAGATGAACAATCCTCTACCATCACATTACCTTGTGAATGGCAGGATCACTCTCCTTTGTCTCACACAACTATTTCTATATTAAAGAAATCCTTTCTGAATAGAAGATATCATGGTGAATGTGTGAAATCCCCTAGGCAGCATCTTACCTGGGGAATCTTGTAGATCCTCAAGATGTTTGCCAGGTAGATGGAGGTATCCAAGTCCAGTCCCCCAATAACCGCCACCAGGTGTTTCTGGGTGTCGCACTTGTAATTGGGTCTAAGTGTGGAGGGAAGGTTCAGAGCAGCCCGGTAGGTCATCCTTTCATCGAAGTAACTGTCATAGATGTGGAATCCCAAGGTGATATTAGGTAAGAGCTTGGGGTTCTCATTGATCTCCTGGACAGCTAATACCAAGGCCAGAATATTCTGGTAGTTCTTTGGCACAATACTGCAAAGAGAATTTTATGCTGTATCATTGAGAGATATGCTATGCATGTTATTCAGGGGCCTATTAAAGACAATCGTCTAGCCTGACTTGGATGAGAACCTGACGGGTTATTCGAGCATCACCTCAAAGGAGAGGCGAGCCTTTAAGACACTTCACAAGAGAGTTTCTGAGAGGAAGATTAAGAACAGAGAATGGCTTTCCATCTTAAACTAGCGAAGGTTAAACTTTGAGTCTTCCTCTTGTTAAACTCTCCTTGGAAGAGATTTCGTGGAATGTGGGGAAGAGAGAACACATCAACAAGACCAGGCTCTCTCATCTCACTGACACATTCAGATCTGCATTCCCCTTCAGTGGAAGTAAATCCAACTGAACTCGGGGGAACTAGCTTCTGAGGAAGCCTGGTTAGACCTGGGGGATATTTCAGTATCATCTGATTATTTGACATTTGATGTCTTTACTGGGTATTAAGGCGCTGATGGATAGTTAGCCTTTCTTTGAAGTCTTCTTTGTCAAAAGCAGCAAAGAGATGAGAAGCAAGTCCGCCAACAATAAGATGACCAGGTTGGTAGTATTCATGTGGAATTCTGGACAGATCATGGACGGTGCAACTCGTGGTATGTTTGCACACCAGATGTAGCAGATTAAAGAGAAGGGGCACAATAAACAGCAGCATATTGAAACACATATTCTTTCTCATCAAACAGCATTATTTCCATCCAGCACATAAAGCTCGCTTCACAACCAACCTTAGTACAATATTCTGCCTTATCATGAATATCACATCTCTAACAATTCACAGATTAAAATTCTATTTTATAACTTGATTAAGAGAAAGGTAAAGATCCTTCCTCTTCCTCTGTCCTCTCCCTTGCAAAGAATGGCAGGAAGAGGTTATAATACCCATGTTTCGACATTGGTTAGTATTCTCTGGAAATCTACTGAGACATTATCAAAGTAATACTTAGCCATGCTGAGAGTGATAATTATCGTTGAGATAATTACAAGCATAAGAAAATGCCCAAACATAATAATAATAACCCTGTTTCTGATGTTTCATTCAAAGTTCTCTCTGACTGTTTATGGGACAAGAAAAGGGCATGCAGAATTAACAGCAATGAGGAAGAGAAAAACAGTGGGCCAATCTCTTATCAGTGCTGAGCAGTGGAAATGATTAATCTGACCTCCTAACATTTCCCACCTGAACACCAGTTATTTAGTTTTCTGACAATTATACCGAGACGAAGGAATGGTGAAAAGGACAACTATTTGTGTTCCTGATAGAAAAGCACCTCACTACTAGTTGGAGGGAGTTATATATAGAAGTAATAAAAAAAAAGTAGTGAATGGTGGTATTATATTTTCTAATAAAATGGAGCTTAATTTCACTCCTGTTCAAAATGCTTTTACTCCAAAATATTCATTCAGAAGCATTCTGCCCATCGTATTACAATACAGTGGTGCCTCGCAAGACGAAATTAATCCGTTCCGCGAGTCTCTTCGTCTTGCGGTTTTTTCGTCTTGCGAAGCACGGCTATTAGCGGCTTAGCGGCTTAGCGGCTATTAACAACTTAGCGGCTTAAAGAAAAAGGAAACAAACTCGCAAGAACTCGCAAGACGTTTCGTCTTGCGAAGCAAGCCCATAGGGAAATTCGTCTTGCGGAAGGACTCAAAAAACGCAAAACCCTTTCGTCTAGCGAGTTTTTCGTCTTGCGAGGCATTCATCTTGCGGGGCACCACTGTAAACCCATTAAAAATACCAAAATCGTTATTCATTGAATTTTAAGTTTAAAACCCCCACACCAGGAGCGGTCTAGCATATATTGCCCATGACCACAGGCATCCCCCACTGCACACGATAAACAACCAAATAATTTAATAAATACCCAGAAATGGAGGGAGAGGGCTGGAGAGTTGTCATGGCTTGTGAGGGCAGAGACTGGAGGTGCAGCAGGGGGTTGTTTATGCAACTCAGTCCCCACCCTCAGCTGACAACTAATGTGCATAGAAGAGCAGCTGAAGCAGCAACATTCCCACACATCCCCCGTCAGCCCCCCAAATTCCAGATGTGGGTACTTTGGGTGCAGTATTTCTTATCCGGAATGGAGGGAGAGCAGCAGAGAAGACATTCAAAGGGTTTTAGATGGTGCTCCCCACTTCTCCAATCTTCATTTATGAATGTGGGCCACTTGAACATAACCCCCAAGTAAGTGGGACTCGCTTTACTGAAATCTCTGAGACTGGATAATCATGACAGTAGCAACTCTACTGAAACCTTACTGAGAGGAAAAAAACCTAGAAAGGAATGAGACTTTTAAAAAAAATGTCGCTCAGTGTATTGTTTTTTCTTATTCAGTTTCTAATCAATTACCCTCTGAATTTCTAGTCAGGTCTCAATATTTCATGGTACTGATGGTTTCCAAAATAATGCTTAGGGTTAAAACAAGATAAGGGGCTCCTGTTTCAGAGAGACCATATTTTGGTTTTAAAAGAAATCGCACATAACAATTGCAACATGTAAAATATAACAGAATTTAATGGTGTGGATACAGAGAGATTACATTGCTCATAATTTGGAAAAGGAGAAAAAATAAGGATGAAAGGATAATTTATTATTTCCTCTTTATTAAGCACTCCTTGCTGTTCAGATCAGGTCTCAACACAATGATGTAGCATTTGGGAGCAAAGATGGAGCCCAGTATCCCAGCACTGGAGGCCAAGATGGAGAAGATCTCCACAGCCGCCATGTATTTCCCCTTGGTGCTCAGGTAGACCGGAACAAAGGAGATCCAAACACTACAAAACAAGAACATGCTGAAGGTGATGAATTTGGCCTCATTGAAGCTCTCAGGCAGTTTCCGGGCTAAAAATGCTACAACAAAGCTGATAATGGCCAAAAAACCCATGTAGCCCAGGACACAGTAAAACAGGGCAACTGACCCTTCGTTGCAGCCTAGAATGATTTCCCTCATCATAGAGTGCATGTCAGAATCAGGAAATGGGGGAGAGGTTCCTAACCATATAGTACAAATGACCACTTGGATAAGGGAACAAGAAATCACAATGGAGCTTCCAAGACTTTTCCCCACCCACTTCCTCATTCTGGATCCTGGTTTGGTGGCCACAAAGGCCAGAACCACCATGATAGTCTTGGCCAGCACACAAGAAACAGTCACTGTGAAAACAAGGCCAAAAGCCATTTGTCGGAGCAGGCAGCTGACTCTTTCTGGAGGGCTGAGGAAGATCAATGGGCAGAGGAAGCAGAGCAGGAGGAAAGTGAGAAGAGTGTAGGTGAGGTCCCGATTGTTTGCTCTGACAAGTGGTGTGTCCTGATGTTTAATGAAGATGGCAAGGGCTAGTATTGTGAAGAGAAAGAGAGAAAGAGCCAACAATGCTAAGCTCATCCCCAGAGGCTCTTTAAAGGACAGGAAGCTGATGGTCTTTGGAACGCATTGTGATTTTTTCATGTTGGTATAATGATCTTCTGGGCACACAACACAGTCAACCATGTCTGGAAAGAAAATAATACATTCAGATTTTGGATGTGTTGCAGAGCAACTGCTAACGGTGCGAGTATAGAAATGATAATGTTAAATTAGAGGTATCACACATATTTCCAGAATAACCAGAATGAACATGATGCATGAGAACTTCACCTCAGCACTTTGTGTTGGGTTATGTGGAGTGTCCTGTGATGGCTTGCTAACTCCACATAAACCACATTGTTATTGTTCAGAACAGGTACAGTCCATGACCATTTTGCACAGGGGTTTTATTCCCAGCCCTCTTCCACCCCCACCCCCTATGCTGACCCCATTCCACCCCGCTCGGGTATGTGATCGCGCATCAATCAGACGCATGTTTGTTTGTTATTGCCTGAACTAAGACAGGTGTCTCCTACCAAGTCATATCACTGGTGCATTGAATTCAAAATTGCCTGCTGTATTTTAACCTGTGACAAAGATTAGATCATAGGTGACAAACAGATTCTTCTTAGGTCCATAATCCTTTATGGGGGCTATCTGTCAATAGGTTTGGAGGAGAAATTTAGTTTTTATGCCACTTGAATTGGAAAGTTATCTAAATTGAACTCCTTGTAACAACACGTTAATCAAAGTACAGATGTCCTTAAAAATGTCATCATCAATCTTTATTACGGTCCAGAGACCCAACAAATCATTACAAAGCAATACACAATTCATACAGCCTACCTCCAGGTTAAACAAGCATTTTGTTTAAAGTATAGAGATCATTTGTTCTTGCAACCACCAATAAAAACTTTGCCACTGCTAATGTTCTAGCATTTGTCCGGTCTTCCAGTAGGAACCTGACATAGTGAGCATCTGATTTTCCCGGAAAGGTACCAGCAAGGGTAGTATCAGTTCAGCCCTGGCTTGCTCATATTTTGCACAATGCAACAAAATATGTTTTATGGAATCGATGTCTTGAGCACACAAGCAAAGTCTGTACTGGTAGGGAACTCCTCTCAACCTGCCCTTAAAAAATGTGTACTTCTCTAAACATTTGGAATGTAGTTTTCCAATCAAACAATATATGCAAAAATGCACACGTTACCACAGATTTATTTATCCTTTCCCTCAACTTCTAACATGACTTATTTCTGAAAAACATATATCCTGTCTCTCTTACCCTTCTGGGACGAAATCTTGCCTTGAGGACATGGAGCACAATTATAGCAGCAGAATGGCTCCTCCTCTATCTTTTCCTTCCTGGAACCAGGGGGACAACTTGGGTTGCACACAGAAAGGGGTGGAATCTGCCCATTGAAATAAACCCACAAATATTTTAGCACCCAGAAATTATTAGCACTTTTTGTTTCCTTTTTCTTCCAACCAACAGTAGGAAGACACTAAACTACTTATTCCCAACTCAGTGCCAGCTACTCATTTTCTTTTTCGTTGGTTTAAGATAAAAATAAAAATAAATAATGCTGAAACTTACCATGTTTGAGCCCCTTTCAGGCATTCAGGAAGAATGCATGAGGATGCAAAGGGGAAGAGGATTGGGGATTCTCCTTCACCAGCACTGCCCCTATTGTCCCCATACAAAATATAATACCTGTTCCACCCCCTATTTACCAATCATAGCATGTGTGAAACAATTGTGCTTCTTGGAGAGGACAAAAACACACTCCAAAGAATGAGCTACAAACCTGGAGACTGTGTGGAGAGTGGTCTTGTGCTCAGATCCAACTTGTAGGTTTCCCATAGGTATCTATTTTTCTATACCCCTCTTCCTCTGATCACAGGGTCATTTTCTGTATAAAACCACAAATATCTACCTTATACAGTAACAACCAAAGAAATATCACCGGCAGTTCAAAAGGCCAGAGATACTTTAATCTGACAAAAAACTGGGGAAGAGGAATGTTTTCACCTGGCACCTAAAGATATTGAGGTTTGAGTCTTCCTCAGTCTAAGAAATCAATTTCCTCATTGTACTGTAGGTGAGAAAAACAGTTGCCCAGAAACTCCACAGTCCCTGCTTCCTTCCCATCGGAGCAACAAACACCTCATTCTTGACAAGAGACTCATGAAATACCCTGGGATAGAGAGACACACAAGGTAACAGTCACCTGTACACCATATCCAGATGCAGGACAAGACTGGCCATGGGTGTTATCCTGGACAAGATGGGCCATTGGACTGATCCAGCAAGCTCATTTTAGGTTCTTAGGTAGTGCAGAGGAAAATCTAAAAGTGCAATTCCATTGCTTTCCTATATCTCATGGATGTAGGAATTATGCCCCACCTGGTGAAAGCTTCTGTGCCAAACCATTCTGTTGTCATCAATGGAAATTTGCTGGCCTGGGGTGGCTTGCACATCCACCCTTCCAACCTTGACCCTCACGAAGGAGTTATTTGGGAAAGTGACCAGGTTGGTAATATCAAAGCCAGCTTCTACTTCCTTGTTCTCACCAAAAGATACAGTTTCTCCAGCAGAGTTGTTGAAGGAGACAGTCCTGAGGAAGGGATGGAGCTGCATTGGAAGAAAAATACTAAGTGTGAAGTGATGCATACGTCTCTCCTTATTGGCACTCACGATGCTTCCAGTCTGTCTGTACATGCAAGAATTGCTATAAGAACCTAATCTGTTCCTGAAAAATCATTTGTAAGGCAAGCATTTGCCTACTCAGGTGACGATTTCTATCGTTTCCTGTGGGGAAAATCCCAATGCATTCCTCACTAATAAGAAAAAAAATCCATCCTTTCAGTTCCCACTGCTTGGATATCTCCTGCTTCTAAGGAAACAGTAGGGTGATCAGTACGCTTGAGCCTAATTAATGCACAAGGTGCTTGATGCCATAGAGGAAGTTGTCCTGCCAGGCTTGGCCAATGTCACTTCCCCTCACCTTGGGATGAAATGGGCAACAAAACCTTTGGTTCCATTCAGCCTACATTTGAATGATGTTCCTGTGGAGCTCTGAGCTGCTCCCTCCAACCAGTTTCCTGTGTTTCAGACAAGAATGGAGTATGAAACCAGTATTTTCTATACCAATATTTTAGGACCTTTAACCATTTTTGTAATCGAGCTATGTTTGACCGCCTGCAAAACTGACAGCCGTATGGAAAAGCACATGAATCTGACCTTTGAAGAGTTTTGTATGTAAACTATGTATAACTTACTAATTGTGTGGTCTATCCTTGTGCTAAGTAAGTGAGATGCTTTGGGATTGACTTAAAGGGCACATTTTAAGGTTTTAACACCTAAATTTCATGCCATTATTTGCGGCATGAGTTGCCATATTAAATCTCTTCTGGGTTCTCTCACCAAAGAGTCCAACAAGAATGATATTGTTTAGCAAGCTCAGCACAAACTAAGAAACAGGTTTAAAGTCCTTTTCCTTGCTGTTCTCCATCCCATTGCCCAGCCACAGCTCCTTTTTTCTCCAGCTCCACCTGCCTCTCTCTACCAGCCCTCTCCTTCACCTCTCGGTCTAGGCTGGGATCCTCCCTGTAACTTTTGTGCAGTGAAGCTGCTTTGGCTAAAGCAGCACAGTGCAGGGTTGGGTCGGTCTTCACTAACAGTTTCTCTGCACACAAAGGAAGTTGCTCACAAAAAAGTGGGACAGGTCTGTTACTTCACTGTCTTACTCCATGAGTAGCTTTTCTGCACACAAGGGATAATGTGCTCTTACACTGGAGCTTCAAAATTTTTCAGGGAACTGTTTTGCATATCACAGCCTATGTGAAATAAATTATCTCTTATGAGAGACATTACCTGCCAAGGCCAAAGCTCCCGCATCTCTCCTTCCACCGCTAATTTGTTTTTGGTCCTGGACAAGAACATGGCATGTAAAGCATGTGCTGTTGCATAGACAGCATTATAGAGACTGTAGCTGTGGCCAGTCATGCTCATCTCAAAACCAGATGAAGGGAGATTCTCCAGCTTCTCCTCACCAGTGCAGGTTCCACTGGCCTGCTCCTCTGTGTTGGAGTTTGGAAATAAACAGAGAAAGACTTGTGCCCAGAGCTCCTTGACAAAGCCATTTCCATTTTCCTCAAAAGGATTTTGTACCTCAAGAAATGCTTTGAATCCTTGCACCATATTTGAATGAACCGCAAAGGAGAGGGAACCCTGGAAGACTTGCATATCCAGGTTCATTTGATAGGTCTGTGCTGTGAAATCCAACTGTGCCGTCAGAATCCACACCTTGCCCACAGATGTCTTGGTCACATATTCCAATTCACCAATTGCTAAAATTTCTCTCAAGGTAAGCATGGACTTTATTCCCCCATAGAAAACCACCACCTTGGCTTTACTTTCCATAATAGCTTGATAAATTTGGATCAAGTCTGGAAACACGTCAGCCAAATGTATCATTTTCAGGATTGTCTCTGAGAAGGCCAAGCAAATGCCTTTCTGGGAGAGCAGAGGTTTCAGGGTCTGAATAAATCTCTCTCCACTGTCACTTTCTCTAGCAAGCAATCCAACCCATGTCCAGCCAAAGTGCAGAAGTAAATCAACAATCCCAGTGTACTGATGGGCTTCATTGGGCACCATCTTGTAGAAGGAAGTGGATTGGCTTTGACCAGCATCCTCTGGAGAAAAGGAGCCATAAGTGAGCTAAAAGGAAATAAAGGAGCATCATCTACAATTGCAGAAGGACTGGGTATGTGCACCCAGGACCTGTCCACCCAGGAGGCAAAATGAGCCAGTTGCCTTAAGATGGCAGGTTCCAGAAAGCTGGGAAGGGTGGCAGGTTGCACCCTGTGTTTCTCAGCCTCCACCTCCTTCTTTGCCATACTTCCATTCCCAGTTCCCTGAACTCCTGCTTTCCTCTCCTCTGCCCTCCTTTTCTTTATCCACTGTGATCTCTAGGTTTTTTCTGTACTGCTGCTTTTCTCTCCCCTGTTTCTTTCATGTTGCTTCACCACAAAATTTCAACTCCAGATTTCATGGCGTCTTTCCTTCCTCTCTCAAGCCACTAACACACAAAATCCCCATGAAGTGCCACAATGTGCGGGCAGCTGACTCCTGATGGGCAGGCTTCCAGCTTTGCAAGAGAGCAGCTTCCGTCTCCAACCAGTAGGCCATGGAGCAAAGGTGAGAGGGTGTCAGCTGGTAGCATGGAATTTGGATACATGTTTTCAGGTGTGTTTGGACAAGGAACTGGGGTGAGATGAGAACTCTTCTACCATCACATTACCTTGTGAAGGGCAGAATCACTCTCTTTCGTCTCTCACAACTGTTTCTATATTACACGAATCCTTTCTGGACAGAAGAAATCATGGTGAATGTGTGAAATCCCCTAGGCAGCATCTTACCTGTGGAATCTTGTAGATGCCCAAGATGTTTGCCAGGTAGATGGAGGTATCCAAGTCCAGTCCCCCAACAGCTGTCATCAGATGTTTCTGGGTGTCGCACTTGTAGTTGGGTATAAATGTGGAGGGAAGGTTCAGAGCAGCCCAGTAGGTCATCCTTTCATCGAAGTAACTGTCATAGATGTGGAATCCCAGTGTAATATTAGGTAAGATCTTGGGGTTCTCATTGATCTCCTTGACAGCAAATACCAAGGCCAGAATATGCTGGTAGTTCTTTGGCACAATACTGCAACAAGAATTTTATGCTGTATCATTGAGAGATGTGCTATGCATGTTTTTCAGTGGCCTCTTTATGATTCTTGTGTTTTTTAGCGTACATTTTGCCCTAATATACACATATCTGCAGAACAATTCCCCTAAAAGAGCAGAATTTCAGCTTAATGTAGGGCTCATTCAGACTTTCCCACTCCTGTCATTTTTCTGCAGGGAAATCAGATCTTTACCACTCAATTGGAACTCAAACCTCCCTCATAACGTCTCCCAACTAACAGTTAACTGACATTTCTTCACTGATCACTACCTTCAGCTGAATACAGTCGGAATGTATCTAATCCAGGCACTGTCTATAAAGATTAAAGACAATCATCTAGCCTGACTTGGATGAGAACATCAGGGGTTATTCAAGCATCACCTCAAAGGAGAGGTGAGCCTTTTAGAAACTTCACACAAGATTTTCTGAGGTGAAGATAAAGAACAGAGAAGGACTTTCAATCTTAAACTAGGGAGGTTTAATCTTTGAGTCCTCCTCTTGTAAAACGCCTTGGAAGAGATTTAGTGGGATGTGGGGAGGAGAGAACACATCAACAAGACCAGGCTCTCTCATCTCACTGACACATTCAGATCTGCATTTCCCTTCAGTGGAAGTAAATCCAACTGAAATCAGGGGAACTAGCTTCTGATTAGGCCTGGTTAGAACTGGAAGATATTTCAGTATCATTTGACATTTGATGTCTTTACTGGGTATTAAGGCGCTGGTGGATAGTTAGCCTTTCTTTGAAGTCTTCTTTGTCAAAAGCAGCAAAGAGATGAGAAGCAAGTCCGCCAACAATAAGATGACCAGGTTGGTAGTATTCATGTGGAATGCTGGACAGATCATGGACGGTGCAACTCGTGGTATGTTTGCACACCAGATGTGGCAGATGAAAGAGAAGGGGCACAATAAACAGCAGCATATTGAAGCAAATATTCTTTCTCATGAAACAATCTTATTTCCATCCAGCAAATGAACCTTGCTTCACAACCAACCTCAGTACAATATTCTGCCTTATGATGAACAGCACTTCTCTAACAATTCACAGATTAAAATCCTATTTTATAATTTGATTAAGAAAATAGTTAAACTCCTTCCTCTTCCTCTGTCCTCTTCCTTGCAAAGAATGGCAGGAAGAGGTTATAATACCCATGTTTTGACATTGGTTCGTATTCTCTGGAAATCTACTGAGACATTATCCAAGGGATACTTAGCCATGTTGAGAGTGATAATTATAGGTGAGATAATAACAAGCTCTCTTTACATCAGGAAAATCAGAAAATGTCCCCCAAAAATAACCCTGTTTCTGATGTTTCTTTCAAAGTTCTTTCTAACTGTTTATGGGACAAGAAAAGGGCATGCAGAATTAACAGCCACGAGGAAGAGAAAAATAGTGGGCCAGTTTCTTATCAGTGCTGACCAGTGGAAATGATTAATCTGACCTCCTAAAATTTCCCACCTGAACACCAGTTGATTAGTTTTCTGACAATTATACTGAGACGAAGGAATGGTGAAAAGGACAACTATTTGTTTTCCTGATAGAATAGCACCTCACAACTATTTGGTGGGAGTAATATATAGAAGTAATAAGTAGTGAATGGTGATATTATATTTTCTAGTAAAATGGTACTTAATTTCACTTACGTTCAAAATGCTTTTACCCAAAAATATTCATTCAGAAGCATTCTGCCCATTGTATAACAATAAACCCATTAAAAATACCAAAATACCGAAGAATATCTGAAAAATAAATATAGTAGTTTAAATCTGTTGCAGCATTCGAGGAACTTCAGTGATAGTTGCTAGGTAGATAGAAGAAATTTGATTTATTGAGAATAAGTTTAATTATGAAAAAAAATGTGTATTGGCAATACGTAATATGAATTTGAAATATGGAATAGACGGGAAGTTGGGTCTTTAGTGTTAAGACCAATAGATGTTTTATTGTTTGCCAAGAAAATTATGTGTCTATGGTTATTTTTGTAATTTGTGTGTAATTTGGTATTTGTGTTTTTGTGTGTGTGTTTTTTTCTTGTTGTATGTATGTATAAATAAATAAATAAATAAATAAATAAATAAATGGGGGGGGGGGGGAAATACCAAAATAGTTATTCATTGAATTTTAAGTTTAAAACCCCCAGACCAGGAACGGTCTAGCATATACTGCCCATGACCACAGGCATCCCCCATTGCACACGATAAATAACCAAATTAATTAATTAATACCCAGAAATGGAGGGAGAGCGCTGGAGAGTTCTCATGGCTTGTGAGGGCAGAGATTGGAGGTGCAGCAGGGGGTTGTTTACGCTACTCAGCCCCCCCACCTGACAGCTAATGTGCATAGAAGAGCAGCAGAAGCAGCAACTTTTCCACACATCCTCCAGTCAGCCCCCAAAATTCCAGATGTGGGTATTAGGTGCAGTAATTTTGATCTGGAATGGAGGGAGAGCAGCAGAGAAGACATTCAAAGAGTTTTAGAGAGTTCTCCCCACTTATTCAATCTTCATTTATGTATGTGGGCCACTTGAACATAACCCCCAAGTAAGTGGGACTCGCTGTACTGAAATCTCTGAGACCGGGCATCATGACAGTAGCAAAGCCACTTCCAACCTCGGGAGGAGTTGTTGCGGGCATCACACCCCCCAACATACGCGCAGAGGCTGGCTTACAGCCCCATGCGATCTGGGAAATCCTCGGCCGAGTCATCCGCGGGCCAGCCAATCAGCTGGCCCAGGGGGTGTGCCTTGCCTCATTTAAGGCAAGCACAGCCAGGAATCTCCCTCTTTGGCCGCTCAGCTGCATTGGTTTCCCACCCACCCGCCTCTCAAGGTTCCTCTTTTGACCTTGCTATGGACCTCGGTTGGTCGCCGTTAAGGGGCCTTGTAGGATGTTTTTCCACTTGGCAAATTGGCACCAGCCATTTGGTTTTTCGTCTACCTCGTAACAAATCATCACAACATTCTCGGCTTTGGCGGTTAGGCATTGGTATGGGTATTGTTATGTAGATGTATGGGGGGGAGCACCATCACCTCCCCCTGATATTGAAGAGTAGTCCAGTAAAGGATTCCGGGGGGCGTGGCCCCGTCCGAAGCCTATGGAGGCCAGGGCCCAAGGCACGCCCCCAAGCGGTGACCCCGGGGGAGTGCCTAGTTGATGTGCATCAGCAGGGCTCCCCTGCTGATGTTAACCCTTCCCGGTCTTCAAGCTAGCAGGCTGAAGCTGGATAGTCGATAGGACCAATGCCTAAGCCAATACCACTCATCACCTGTAACCAATAAAGTTGTGGTCTAATTTTAGCCCATTAACCTAAATTACTGTGTCCTGTGTCTTTATTTCTACTGGTGGGAGGCGGGATCTCACCACGCAACTCTACTGAAACCTTAGTGAGAGGACAAAACCTAGAAAGGAACAAGCCTTATTAAAAATGCCTCTCAGTATATTGTTTTTACTTGTTCAGTCTCTAATCAATTACCCTCTGAATTTCTAGTCAGGTCTCATTATTTTATGGTACTCATGACAGTTTTTTGGTTTCCAAATAAGCCTTAGGGTTAAAACAAGATGAGGGGCTCCTGTCTCAGAGAAACCACAGGGGATTTTAAAAGAAATTGCACATAGGAAGTGCAACATGTAAAAAACAACATAACTGAATGGTGTGGATAAAGAGAGATTAAACTGCTCATGGTTTGGTGGAAAAAACCCAAAAGATGATGGTATAATTTATTATTTCCTCTTTATTAACTGATCCTTGCTGTTCAGATCAGGCCTCAACACAATGATGTAGCATTTGGGGGCAAAGATGGAGCCCAGTATCCCAGCACTGGAGGCCAAGATGGAGAAGATCTCCACAGCCACCATGTATTTCCCCTTGGTGCTCAGGTAGACCGGAACAAAGGAGATCCAAACACTACAAAACAAGAACATGCTGAAGGTGATGAATTTGGCCTCATTGAAGCTCTCAGGCAATTTCCTGGCAAAAAAGGCCACTACAAAGCTGATAATGGCCAAAAAGCCCATGTAGCCCAGGACACAGTAAAACAGGGCAACTGACCCTTCGTTGCAGCCTAGAATGATTTCCCTCATCACAGACTGCATGTCAGAATCAGGAAATGGGGGAGAGGTTACTAACCACACAGCACAAATGCCTGCTTGGATAAGGGAACAAGAAATCACAATGGAGCTTGACAGTCTTTTCCCCACCCACTTCCTTATTCTGGATCCTGGTTTGGTGGCCACAAAGGCCAGAACCACCGTGATCGTTTTGGCCAGAACACAAGAAACGGTCACTGTGAAAACAAGGCCAAAAGCCATTTGTCGGAGCAGGCAGCTGACTCTTTCTGGAGGGCTGAGGAAGATCAATGGGCAGAGGAAGCAGAGCAGGAGGAAAGTGAGGAGAGTGTAGGTGAGGTCCCGATTGTTTGCTCTGACAATGGGTGTGTCCTGATGTTTAATGAAGATGGCTAGGACCACCAGTGTGAGGAGAGAGAGATAAAGAGCCAACAATGCTAAGCTCATCCCCAGAGGGTCTTCAACAGACAGGAAGCTGATGGTCTTTGGAATGCATTGTGATTGGTTCCCGTGTGGATAGTGGTCCTTTGGGCATGCAACACAGTCAACCATGTCTGGAAAGAAAATAATACATTCAGATTTTGGATGTGTTGGAGAGCAACTACTAATACTGCGAGTATGGAACTCATAATGTTAAATGAGAGTTATTACAGTTATTTCCAGGGTAACCAGATTGAAAGTGATGCATCAGAATCCCACCTCAGAACATAGCTGTCAACGTTTCCCTTTTTAAAAGGGATATTCCCTTATTCCAAATAGGAATTCTCGCAAGAAAAGGGGAAAATTGACAGCTATGCCTCAGAACTTTTGTTCGGTTATGTGGAGTGTCCTGTGATGACTTGCTAACTCCACATAAACCACTTTTTTATTGTTCAGAACAGCTACAGTCCATGACCTTTTTGCACAGGGGTTCCATTCTTAGCCTGTTCCACCCCCACACCCTATGCTGACCCCATTCCACCTCACGCTGGTGTGCGATCGCGCATCAATCAGACGCATGATTATTTGCTATTGCCTGAACTAAGACATTTGTCTCATACTAAGTCATATCACTGGTACATTGAATTCAAAATTGCCTCCTTTATTTTAACCTGTGACAAAGATTACATGATGATGTCAAACCAATTCTTTTTAGGAGTGGGTCCCTAATCCTTTATGGGGTCTATCTGCCAACAGGTATGGAGGAGAATTTTTTTTTATTATTCCACTTGAATGAGAAAGAAATCTAAATCTCACTCCTTGAATCATTACACTGGTCAACAACAAATTTGTTGTCTGCATTTTTTCAGTTGATTTAGGATGAATCTGATGCGCTGAATCCAAAAATCACATTGGTTTTGTTCAATCAGGTCAAGTTTTTGAGCTATGGCCACATGTCATTTTTTAACGTTTTTGTTCACATGTACGCTTGTGTGGAGCATTTTAGAAGAAGTTGGTGGGGGTAAAATGCCATGTCAAATAATTCTTTTGATTGGAAATGATTATTTTAATGACAAGAAGTATTCAGTTCCGATAGTTCTGGGTGATTATGTCGAAAAGGGATCAGTTTGAAGTCATAAAACCTCAAAATCTTCCATATATTGGTGCGGCTGGGATCAACAGAAATAACCGGAACAGCCTCAAGTATCCTGATCTTCAATCAGCACGTCGTCCTGTAGCTCACTGTGATGAAATTCCAGTGCCTATCATCGAAGAACTTCCTGACATTAGTGACGAAGATGCCTCCAGTGTTGAAGGACATGAAGAAGAAGAAGTGGTTCTTGAAGATGATGCTCCACATCCATTTTCCCAAAAGGAGTTGAATGATCTAGTAAGCGACCTCAGCTTGTCAAAGGACTCTGCCGAACTGTTGGCATCCAGATTGAAGGGAAAAAAAACTCCTCTCTGACAGTGCTCGCATCAGCTTCTTCCGCAACAGGCATCAAGAGTACCTCCGTTTTTTCTCGGAAGAGAAGGACTTGGTGTACTGTGCAGATATTGGGCAGCTTCTGCTCAAGCTTGGAGTGCCACAGTACGAACCCAAAGATTGGAGACTGTTCATTGACAGCAGCAAGCAATCACTGAAACGTGTTCTGCTACACAACGGCAACCAGTTTGCCTCTATACCCCTGGCTCACTCGAGTACACTGAAGGAGAACTATGAAGCGGTGAAGTATGTGCTGGAGAAAATTGGTTATGATCAGCATAAGTGGTTTATTTGTGTTGACCTGAAGATGGTGAACTTTTTGTTGGGGCAACAGTCTGGCTTCACCAAGTACCCATGTTTTCTGTGCATGTGGGATAGTAGGGACCGTGCTCAGCATTACACGAAGAAGGACTGGCTTGTGCGGGAGGAATTGGTGCCTTGCAAAGAAAGGAACGTCATCGACGACCCTCTGGTGGACAGAGACAGAATACTCTTCCCACTGCTGCACATCAAGCTCGGCTTAATCAAGCAGTTCACCAAGGCTCTGGACAAGGACGGTGACTGCTTCACTTACTTGTGCCAGACTTTTCCAGGATTGACCATGGAGAAGTTGAAAGCTGGCATCTTTGACGGTCCTCAGATCTTTCAGCTCATCAGAGATCCAGAGTTCAGAAAGTCAATGAACGAAGTGGAACTGGAAGCATGGAAGGCATTTGTTCTGGTAGTGAAGAACTTTATTGGCAACAATAAGGCCAGAAACTACGCAGAACTTGTCAGCAACATGCTGACTGCTATCCAAAACCTGGGCTGCAACATGAGTGTCAAGATGCACTACCCATTTTCACATATGGACCGGTTTCCTGAGAACCTGGGTTCAATGAATGACAAGCAGGGGGAGAGATTCCATCAGGACATGAAAGAGATGGAGACCAGGTATCAGGGTCGCTGGGACGCAGTCATGATGGCTGACTACTGTTGGACTCTGAAGAGAGACCTCCCTGCCACTGAGCATTCCAGGAGTTCCAAGAAACGGAAGTTCAAGCCCTGAAGTTTGAAAAATGGTGAAGCAACATGCAATTTACGTGTACTTACCTTTATCAATGCCCACCATTCAGTTTACAGTAAACCTGACCTGATGGAGAGAAATGGATGCCATTTCCTGATACAGCAGTGCCAAAATACCCTACATCAGTTGTAGAAATCTAGACAACATTCAAAAAGTAAAAAATTGTTACCCAATGTTATATATCCTGTGTCTCTTACCCTTTTCGGATGAAATCTTGCCTTGAGGACATGGAGCACAACCATAGCAGCAGAATGGCTCCCCCTCCTTCTTCTCCTTCCTGGAACCAGGAGGACAACTTGGGTTACACACAGAAAGGGGTGGCACCTGCTCATTTAAATAAACAGATTAACCGTTTAGCACACAGAAGTAAGTAGCGCTTTTGGTTTCTTTTTTCTTCCAGCTGGCAGTAGGAAGACACCAAACTACTTATTCGAAACACAGTGCCAGGCTACTCATTTGGCTCTTCATGTTGTTGTTTTTTAAAATAAACCAAAATAATGCTGAAACTGACCATGTTTGAGCCCCTTTCTGGCATTCAGGAAGAATGCATGACAGCTGAAATAGGGAAGGGGATTGGACCTTCATCTTTGCCAGCCCTGCCCCCTTTTCTCCCCATATATAAAGTAATAGCTTTTACACCCCCAATTTTCCAATTGCAGCAATCATGCTTTGTGAAGATGACAGAAGCGTAGTGCCGAAAATGATCTACAAATGTGGAGACCTTGTGGAGTGTGGTCTCACCAGCTCTGCCCATATTGTTCCCATAGCTGTTCCACCAATGATCTTTGCATACTAAGCAGAAAGCTCTGACAGGCTGAACACACTGAGAAGCCTCCCTGTGATTTCGAATTTTCTGTTCTTATCTCGGTCCCCAGAATGAGTCTTCAGAAAGGGGTTCAACCAAATGTCCTTAGAAGCCCCCTTCACACTCCCTGCCATGCATTTTATCTTAACAGATGCATTTTCAAGTGTATTTTATCCTACCAGGTGTATTTTTCAAACCATTTTGTCCTTTTTTTGAGCTGAGACTATACCAGAAGATCGACAGAAATGTGAAACCTGAAAGATAAGCAATGATGTTCCTATATGTGTACTAGTCTGAGAGGTATAAATTTAGCCAGTTTCCATAAAATTGTAGACTCCTCCACCCTTGCCTACAGTTCCTTTTTCCTTAGGATACAAGTGACTAGCATAAGCACACTTGTTATAATTATGATTATTTTAAAAGAACATGAATAATGGTCTTAGGTGTCTCAGTAAAATTAGGGCTGCCATGTGTCCGGGATTTCAAAGGCGGAAGCGGTGTCCTGGGGAAAGTTCTGGGGAGTGGAGGTTTGTTCTGGATCTTTGGCAAGTAAAAGAAAAAATTGTGGGATTTTACTTCCTTCTCAAACACCAGCATTTCAACTGCAAGCAGCAAACCACTTCTTCTTCCCAAGAGACTCATGAAAAGCACTTGGATGAAAAGAACCCCAAGTCAAAAGCCACATGCCATATCCAGATGCTGGACAAGATTGGCAAATGGTGAGATCCTACACTGGTTGGGCGTTGATCTGAGCCAGCAAGATCTTATGTTGTGATTCCTGCATCGTGGGCCACATGATTTGCAACTCTAAGATTCTATTACAGTGGTACCTCAGGTTGCATACGCTTCGGGTTACATACGCTTCAGGTTACAGACTCCACTAACCCAGAAATAGTGCTTCAGGTTAAGAACTTTGCTTCAGGATGAGAACAGAAATCATGCTCTTGCGGCGTGGCAGCAGCAAGAGGCCCCATTGGCTAAAGTGGTGCTTCAGGTTAAGAACAGTTTCAGGTTCAGAACGGATCTCCAGAACGAATTAAGTACTTAACCTGAGGTACCACTGTATTCTTACACAGTGCAGAGAAAAAAATGTTTAGAATCTGGCTGGAAAGGCAGGTATGTGCTGGACTGATGATCTGTACGTAGAATAACATTCTCTTTACCCATCTCTCATAGATGTGGGAATTATGCCTCACCTGGTGAAAGCTTCTGTGCCACACCATTCTGTTGTCATCAAGGGTGAATGGCTGGTCAGGTGTAGCCTCCACACCAACCCTTCCAACCTTCACCTTCATGAAGGAGTTATTTGGAAAAGTGACCAGGTTGGTGATATCAAAGCCAGCTTCTACTTCCCTGTTCTTACTAAAAGATACTGTTTCCCCAGCAGAGTTGTTAAAGGAGACACTCCTAAGAAAGGGATGGAGCTGCATTGAAAGAAAAAGAGTAACTTTGAAGTAATGCAAATGTCTCTCCTTTCTCACATTCAGGATGCCTCCAGACTGTCAACACAGGGAGGTAGTGCCATGCAAATATAATCTGTTTTCTGAGAAATGGTTTGTAGGGCGAGCATTCACATACTGAGCCAATGATCTCCATTGTTTCCTATGGGGAAAATCCCAATGCATGACTGACCATGCTTGGATATCTACACACACACACACACACACACACACACACACACACACACACTGCCCAACTAGCCTCATATAACCTTCATTCTTGTGTCTAACAAATACATAAAGGGTTTAATGTCGTTAGAAAAAGGTGTTCTGACAGACTTGGCCTATGTCCCAGCCCCTTATCTTTTGAAGAAATGGGCAACAAAGCCTATTGTTCTGCTCACTCTATATGTGAATTTCGTTTGTGTGGAGTTCTGAGATGCTCCCTACAGCCACATGGAATTAAGAAGCCTGTTTATTTCAGACAAGAATGTAATCTGAAACTACCATTTTCTATACCAATAGAAAGATTAGGAACTTTTACCATTTTGTCTTCTACTTCTGCAACATTTTTCTGAGTGTTGTGTTCCATAAAACTTTTGAACTTAGAAGAGTTTTGTAAGTAAACCACATTACGACCTGCTAAGCTTGTGATCTATTTTTGTGCTAGGAAAGTGGGATTTTCTGGAATTCACTGGAAAGGGCATATTTTACGGTTTTACATCCTATATTTCCATGCTTCTGTTTGCTGCATGTTTTCCCATGCACACAAAGGAAGTTGCTCACAAAACAACTGGAGAGTGCAGGGTTGGATCCGCCTGCTAAACAGCTGTAAGCAGAACAGTCTGACTCTTCACTGAGCTAGTCCTGAATGAGCAGCTTCTCCGCACACAAATGGAGAATGTGGAGATTAAAATTTTTCAGGGTACTGTTTTGCATATCACTGCCTATGTCAAATAAATGATATCAAATGACAGGGATTACCTGACAAGGCCAAAACTCCTGCATCTCTCCTTCCACCATTCTCCTATATTTGGCTCCAGGCAGAAACATGGCATGTAGAGCATGTGCTATGGCATAGACAGCAGTATAGAGACTGTAGCTGTGGCCAGACATGGTCATCTCAAAAGCAGACGAAGGGAGATTCTCCAGCTTCTCCTCTCCAGTGCAGGTTTCACTGGCCTGCTCCTTTGTACTGGAGTATGGAAATAAACAGAGAAAGACTTGTGCCCAGAACTGCTTGACAAAGCCATTTCCATTTGCCTCAAAAGGATTTTGTGCCTGAAGAAAGGCTTTGAATCCTTGTACCACATTTGAATGAACTGCAAAGGAGAGGGAACCCTGGAAGATTTGCATATCCAGGCTCATTTGCAAGGGCGGTGCTGTGAAATCCAGTTGTGCTGTCAAAATCCACACCTTGCCATCAGATGTCTTGGTCACATTTTCCATTTCACCTAGTGCTATCATTGTCTGCAATACAAGCATGGACTTTGTTCCTCCATAGACAACCACCACCTTGGCTTTACTTTCCCTAATAGCTTGATAAATTTGGATCCAGTGGAAATACATGAGATAGTACTCAGCCAAATGTGTTTTTTTCAGGTTTGTCTCTGAGAAGGCCAAGCAAATACCTTTCTGGGAGAGCAGAGGTTTCAGCGTCTGAATAAATCTCTCTCCACTTTCTGCAGCAAGCAACCCAACCCACGTCCAAGCAAAGTGCAGAAGTAACTCAACAATCCCAGTGTACTGTTGGGCTTCATTGGGCACCATCCTGTAGAAGGAAGCGGATTGGCTTTGACCAGTATCCTCTGGAGAAAAGGAGCCATAAGTTAGCTAAAAGGAAATAAAGGAGCATCATCTATAATTGCAGAAGGACTGGGCACGTGCATCCAGGGCCTGCCCACCCAGGAGGCAAGATGAGCAAGTTGCCTCAAAAAAGCAGTTTCCAGAAAGCAGGGAGGGGTGTGTGGAATAATAAATAAATAAATAAATAAATAAATAAGAGCAGGAACGACCATGCCTGCCATTAGACACTGAGGTTCTGTTTTTAAACTCTTTGCCCACAAGAGATTCGCAAAGGGCCCCTTCTGTAGAACTGCTTATCTGTGCAAAATAATGTATTACAACCTGAGTTTAATTGCTGGAGATACTAAAAAGGAGACATAGCAGCTGTGAGGAGTAAACAGGCTAGCTGAATTGGATAATCCTCCCAAAGAGGCTCCTTTCCTTGTTAAAGTTGCCATTAGATGGCTAGGAACAGCGTTATCTATGGAAGAATGTATTAGAAGCCCACACTGACCCTGGAGAGTTGATAGATGTATAGGGTCTGGGTGACTCAGAATGGCAGAGAATAGTTAAGAGAGCATTGTGCATGCTTAAAAGCTTCATGAATATTAGTAAGCACGCCCCAGGCGGAGATACAGCTTAATCGTGTCCTCCCTTAAAGAGGGTATGTGTTGCAGTGAGACCTGGAATCCGATCCCCTGTGTTGTGGGTGGGTTAGATTGGTCAGCCACAGCACCCAGTTGGTAGGTCCCTCGATGCTGGGTTCAATTTGGCCAATGGGGTGCAGTCCAAACAGATCAAGGGACCTATATATGCCTATGCACATGACCCAGAGCTTCCTCTTTGGGCACATGCATTCGGAACACCCGCCCACCTCTTCCTACTTTAGGGCTTGTTGCACTTGACCTTGCTACGCCGCCGTGTGTCATCTGTCGTTGGGACAGGGGCACGGCAAGAATTTTCCCCACTTGGCTGATTGGCTGTTGTCATTTGGGTTTTGACTGCCACGTAGCAAATTGTCACAACTTGTAAGGTTGTGGATAGGCTCTGGTTCAGGTGATAGGGATGGTTGAATGCTCTCGCCATCCCTATGTGAAGGGTATTCTGTTAAAGGAATCCAGGGGCTCAAATGGTTTGGTCAACCCCTGTGAGGGGGTTGTGTCCGTGCCTGAGTCCAGGGGGACATCTGGGTGGCAGACATAGTCCATTCCTGACTTTTTGCCTATCCAGGTGTTCACCCTTGGCTGACCTATGCTGGAACCCTGGGTCAGCACTACCTGCATGGCAGGGAGCTAGTCCAACCAGAGCCTATACAACCACTCACTTTCTGTAATCAATAAAGTTGAGGCCTAAATTCTGCCAAAAACCAAAAGCAAAATTTGAGTCAAGTGTGAATTTATTTAGGGGGGAGGTTTCTGGGTCTGAACACTCAATTTACATGAACATGGGATGTATGTGAATGGACATGGGATGTATGTAACAGTTGGGAGCATATGTCAAAAAGAAGACATGAAGAAGGCATATCAGAAAAGTATGTAACTACAGTTTCCTGACCAATAGGATACTGCAGGAAGGAATTTTGGACTGGTTAGGACTGGGGTAGACAACCTAAGGCCCGGGGGCCGGATGTGGCCCAATCACCTTCTAAATCAGGCCCACGGACGGTCCAGGAATCAGCGTGTTTTTACATGAGTAGAATGTGTCCTTTTATTTAAAATGCATGTCTGGGTTATTTGTGGGGCATAGGAATTCGCAGGCTTCCAGCTTTGCAAGAGATCAGCTTCCATCTCCAACCAGTAGGCCATGAAGCAAAAGTGAGAGGGTGTCAGTCAGCAGCATGGAATTTCAATACATGTTTTAGGTGTGTGTGGATAAGGAAGTGAGGTGAGATGAGCACTCTTCCATAATCACATTACCTTCTCTCCATCCCAAGACACTTTTCAGTCAGTAAAAAAACAAGCTGCCAAACTCACTCAAGGGGTTGGGAAAGCAGGACTGGAGAGTGTTTTGAGGGCTACATTTTTCCCTAAATCGGATATTCCTTATCCATGCTCTAACTCAGCAGCGTTTGCAAACTGCAGTTCCACTGGGGTATAATTTGCTGGTTCACCTCAGGCAGCAAAGGGTCTTGGGCTGGCCCTTGTGCATCTCTAATGACTGTGGTGGTAAAAATAAATATGTTGGCAGGGTGGATGGGAGGGAGGGAGGGAGATATCTTCACTTCACTCTCCCCTTCTCCATGGCATTTGGTGTGCTGCTACAGCACTCTCCTGTGGAAAAAGCACTTGAGAAAAACCACATTCCTGCAGCTCTCTGGCATGCAACACAGTGGCAGACCCTCCTAGTGTCCCTATTTTCCAAGGACAGTGCCAGATTTACAGAAGCAGTCCCAGTTTCTGATTTGATCCCACAATGCCCCATTTTTCTTAGGATGTCCTTCTTTTCATCAGAAATGTTGGAGGGTATGGAGTTATCCAATCCCCGAGCCATCTGAAGACAATCCCATATAAGGAAGTTTTTTAAATGTTTAATATTTTATTATGATTTTACATATGATGGAAGCCACTCATAATGGCTGGGGCAACCCAGTAAAATGGGTGAGGTATAAACAGTAACATTATTATTATGCAATAGGATATCCCTATGGAGGGTGGCATCATCAGCTGAACCTGAGACACCAAGCTAGATGGACGTAGCATTCACTTCTCAGACCTCCATCAGAGAGAAATGGTCAGTGTGCCTAAGAATGGGGAGAGGAATGGCCACCTAGAGCAGACATGTTTTTATTATGCTGATAGTTTAATGTCACCTGACAGCTTGATGCTACGCATTCTATTTAATTGTGCAAAGCACACTGGGAACACTTTTTGTGAAGGGCAGAATCACTCTCCTTTGTCTCTCACAACTATTTCTCTATTATACAAATCCTTTCTAGATAGAAAAGATTGTGATGAATGAGTGTGGAAACCCCCAAGGGTATCTTACCTGGGGAATCTTGTAGATGCCCAAGATGTTTGCCAGGTAGATGGAGGTATCCAAGTCCAGTCCCCCAATAACCGCCACCAGGTGTTTCTGGATGTTGCACTTGTAGTTGGGTATAAGGGTAGAGGGAAGGTTCAGAGCTGCCCGGTACGTCATCCTTTCATCAAAATAATTGTCATAGATGTGGAATCCCAGTGTAATATTAGGTAAGATCCTGGGGTTCTCATTGATCTCCTTGACAGCAAATACCAAGGCCAGAATATGCTGGTAGTTCTTTGGCACAATACTGCAATGAGAATTTTATGCTGTATCATTGGGAGATAGGCTATGCATTTTCCCCCCTAAGGGGTCTCTTAAATGATTCTTCAAACTGGAGAAGTTTGAATTTCAAATGATGACTGTGTTTGGTTTCAATATATTTTCAAGAGTATTTTTTTTGGTAGCTTCTCATTTACAGTAAATATGAACTAAATTGAATTCCCCCCTTCCCAATAACGGAATATTGATATTTACTTTGGGGTTCATTATATACTTGACAACACTTTTTGAACATCCAAGAGATGCTCTTGTTGACACCAGCCTCTAACGCCTTTTCTCTCATACCAACTTCCCTAAGCCTCCACTCGTGTCCAGTTCACACACAGATTAGTTTAGCAGCTAGGTACAATCTAGGTTCTGACTGTCAAACTCCTCAGATTATATTCTTGGCTGCTTGGACAGCTCATCTCATTTAAGAAATGTGCTTTTATAATGTTCTTCTAATAAGAGGTGAGCAGAATTTATCTTCATCTAGGGCTCATTCAGACTTCCCCAAGTCCTGCCATTTTCCTCCAGGAAAACCTGATCTTTACCTCTGAATTGGAATTTACACCTCCCTCAGAACTTCTCCCAACTGACTGTTAACTGACATTTCTTCACTGATCACTACCTTCAGCTGAATACAGTTAGAATGTATCTAACCCAGGCCCTCTCTAGAAATATTAAATGCAGTCGACTAGCCCAACTTAGATGAGAACATCAGGGGCTCTAGGAGCACCACCTCAATGGAAAGGTGAACCATTAAGACCACTCACAGGAGAGTTTCTGAGGTGAAGATTAAGAACAGAGAAGGGCTTTCCATTTTAAACTACGGAGGTTTGGTCTGTGAGTCCTCCCCTAGTTAAACTCTCCTTGGAAGAGATTTGGTGGGATGTGAGGAGGAGAGCACACATCAACAAGACCAGGCTCTCTCTCATCACACTGACCCATTCAGATCTGCATCTCCCTTCTTCCAAGCCAACTCTTCAGCTTTGGAAATGCCCCCCTCCATCTGCCTTGATGTAAATCCCACTGAAATCCCTGGAACTAGCTTCTGAGTAGGCCTGGTTAGAGCTAGGGGATATTTCAGTATCATCTGATTATTCGACATTTGAAGTGTTTACAAGGTATTTAGAAGCTGATGGGTAGTTAGCCTTTCTTTGAAGTTTTCTTCGTCAAAAGCAGTAAGGAGGTGGGAAGCAAGTCCGCCAACAATAAGATCACCAGGTTGGTAGTATTCATGTGGAATTCTGGACACATCATGGACGGTGCAACTCGTGTTATGTTTGCACACCAGATGTGGCAGACGAAAGAGAAGGGGCACAAGAAACAGCAGCATATTGAAGCACATATTGCTGGTCACTGACCGTATTAAAGATATTTGATTTGAAGCACATATTCTTTCTCATCAAACAATCTTATTTCCATCCAGCACATAAAGCTCGCTTTACAACCAACCTTAGTACAATATTCTGCCTTATCATGAATATCACATCTCTAACAATTCACAGATTAAAATTCTATTTTATAACTTGATTAAGAGAAAGGTAAAGATCCTTCCTCTTCCTCTGTCCTCTCCCTTGCAAAGAATGGCAGGAAGAGGTTATAATACCCATGTTTCGACATTGGTTAGTATTCTCTGGAAATCTTCTGAGACATTATCCAAGGGAGACTTAGCCATGCTGAGAGTGATAATTATAGGTGACATAATAACAAGCTTCCTTTACATCAGGAACATCAGAAAATGCCCAAACATAATAATAATAACCCTGTTTCTGATGTTTCATTCAAAGTTCTTTCTGACTGTTTATGGGACAAGAAAAGGGCATGCAGAATTAACAGCCACGAGGAAGAGAAAAATAGTGGGCCAGTTTCTTATCAGTGCTGACCAGTGGAAATGATTACTCTGACCTCCTAACATTTCCCACCTGAACACCAGTTCATTAGTTTTCTGACAATTATACCGAGACGAAGGAATGGTGAAAAGGACAACTATTTGTGTTCCTGATAGAAAAGCACCTCACAATTAATTGGTGGGAGTAATATATAGAAGTAATAAGTAGTGAATGGTGATATTACATTTTCTAATAAAATGGTACTTAATTTCACGTACGTTCAAAATGCTTTTACTCCAAAATATTCATTCAGAAGCATTCTGCCTATTGTATAACAATAAACCCATTAAAAATACCAAAATCGTTATTCATTGAATTTTAAGTTTAAAACCCCCACACCAGGAGCGGTCTAGCATATATTGCCCATGACCACAGGCATCCCCCACTGCACACGATAAACAACCAAATAACTTAATTAATACCCAGAAATGGAGGGAGAGAGCTGGAGAGTTGTCATGGCTTGTGAGGGCAGAGACTGGAGGTGCAGCAGGGGGTTGTTTACGCTGCTCAGCCCCCCCACCTGACAGCTAATGTGCATAGAAGAGCAGCAGAAGCAGCAACTTTTCCACACATCCTCCAGTCAGCCCCCAAAATTCCAGATGTGGGTATTTTAGGTGCAGTAATTTTGATCTGGAATGGAGGGAGAGCAGCAGAGAAGACATTCAAAGAGTTTTAGAGAGTTCTCCCCACTTATCCAATCTTCATTTATGTATGTGGGCCACTTGAACATAACCCCCAAGTGGGACACACTGTACTGAAATTTCTGAGACTGGTTCATCATGACAGTAGCAACTCTACTGAAACCTTACTGAGAGGAAAATAACCTAGAAAGGAATGAGACTTTAAAAAAAAAATGCCGCTCAGTGTATTGTTTTTTCTTATGCAGTTTCTAATCAATTGCCCTCTGAATTTCTAGTCAGGTCTCAATATTTCATGGTACTGATGGTTTCCAAAATAATGCTTAGGCTTAAAACAAGATAAGGGGCTCCTGTCTCAGAGAGACCATATTTTGGTTTTAAAAGAAATCGCACAAAACAATTGCAACACGTAAAATATAACAGAATTTAATGGTGTGGATACAGAGAGATTACATTGCTCATAATTTGGAAAAGAAAAAAAAAAAGGATGAAAGGATAATTTATTATTTCCTCTTTATTAAGCACTCCTTGCTGTTCAGATCAGGTCTCAACACAATGATGTAGCATTTGGGAGCAAAGATGGAGCCCAGTATCCCAGCACTGGAGGCCAAAATGGAGAAGATCTCCACAGCCGCCATGTATTTCCCCTTGGTGCTCAGGTAGACCGGAACAAATGAGATCCAAACACTACAAAACAAGAACATGCTGAAGGTGATGAATTTGGCCTCATTGAAGCTCTCAGGCAGTTTCCGGGCTAAAAATGCTACAACAAAGCTGAGAATGGCCAAAAAGCCCATGTAGCCCAGGACACAGTAAAACAGGGCAACTGACCCTTCGTTGCAGCCTAGAATGATTTCTCTCATCACAGACTGCATGTCAGAATCAGGAAATGGGGGGGAGGTTCCTAACCATATAGTACAAATGCCCACTTGGATAAGGGAACAAGAAATCACAATGGAGCTTCCAAGACTTTTCCCCACCCACTTCCTCATTCTGGATCCTGGTTTGGTGGCTACAAAGGCCAGAACCACCATGATAGTCTTGGCCAGCACACAAGAAACGGTCACTGTGAAAACAAGGCCAAAAGCCATTTGTCGGAGCAGGCAGCTCACTCTTTCTGGAGGGCTGAGGAAGATCAATGGGCAGAGGAAGCAGAGCAGGAGGAAAGTGAGGAGAGTGTAGGTGAGGTCCCGATTGTTTGCTCTGACAATGGGTGTGTCCTGATGTTTAATGAAGATGGCAAGGGCTAGTATTGTGAAGAGAAAGAGAGAAAGAGCCAACAATGCTAAGCTCATCCCCAGAGGCTCTTTAAAGGACAGGAAGCTGATGGTCTTTGGAACGCATTGTGATTTTTTCATGTTGGTATAATGATCTTCTGGGCACACAACACAGTCAACCATGTCTGGAAAGAAAATAATACATTCAGATTTTGGATGTGTTGCAGAGCAACTGCTAACGGTGTGAGTATGGAAATGATAATGTTAAATTAGAGGTATCACACATATTTCCAGAATAACCAGAATGAACATGATGCATCAGAACTTCACCTCAGCACTTTGTGTTGGGTTATGTGGAGTGTCCTGTGATGGTTTGCTAACTCCACATAAACCACATTGTTATTTTTCAGAACAGGTACAGTCCATGACCATTTTGCACAGGGGTTCTATTCCCAGCCCTCTTCCACCCCCACCCCCTATGCTGACCCCATTCCACCCCGCCCGGGTATGTGATCGCTCATCAATCAGACGCATGTTTGTTTGTTATTGCCTGAACTAAGACAGGTGTCTCCTACCAAGTCATATCCCTGGTGCATTGAATTCAAAATTGCCTGCTGTATTTTAACCTGTGACAAAGATTAGATCATAGGTGACAAACAGATTCTTCTTAGGTCCATAATCCTTTATGGGGGCTATCTGTCAATAGGTTTGGAGGAGAAATTTAGTTTTTATGCCACTTGAATTGGAAAGTTATCTAAATTGAACTCCTTGTAACAACATGTTAATCAAAGTACAGATGTCCTTAAAAATGTCATCATCAATCTTTATTACGGTCCAGAGACCCAACAAATCATTACAAAGCAATACACAATTCATACAGCCTACCTCCAGGTTAAACAAGCATTTTGTTTAAAGTATAGAGATCATTTGTTCTTGCAACCACCAATAAAAACTTTGCCACTGCTAATGTTCTAGCATTTGTCCGGTCTTCCAGTAGGAACCTGACATAGTGAGCCTCTGATTTTCCCGGGAAAGGTACCAGCAAGGGTAGTATCAGTTCAGCCCTGGCTTGCTCATATTTTGCACAATGCAACAAAATATGTTTTATGGAATCGATGTCTTGAGCACACAAGCAAAGTCTGTACTGGTAGGGAACTCCTCTCAACCTGCCCTTAAAAATGTGTACTTCTCTAAACATTTGGGATGTAGTTCTCCAATCAAACAATATATGCAAAAATGCACACATTACCACAGATTTATTTATCCTTTCCCTCAACTTCTAACATGACTTATTTCTGAAAAACATATATCCTGTCTCTCTTACCCTTCTGGGACGAAATCTTGCCTTGAGGACATGGAGCACAATTATAGCAGCAGAATGGCTCCCCCTCTATCTTTTCCTTCCTGGAACCAGGGGGACAACTTGGGTTGCACACAGAAAGGGGTGGAATCTGCCCATTGAAATAAACCCACAAACATTTTAGCACCCAGAAATTATTAGCACTTTTTGTTTCCTTTTTCTTCCAACCAACAGTAGGAAGACACTAAACTACTTATTCCCAACTCAGTGCCAGCTACTCATTTTCTTTTTCGTTGGTTTAAGATAAAAATAAAAATAAATAATGCTGAAACTTACCATGTTTGAGCCCCTTTCAGGCATTCAGGAAGAATGCATGAGGATGCAAAGGGGAAGAGGATTGGGGATTCTCCTTCACCAGCACTGCCCCTATTGTCCCCATACAAAATATAATACCTGTTCCACCCCCTATTTTCCAATCATAGCATGTATAAAACCATTGTGCTTCTTGGAGAGGACAAAAACACACTCCAAAGAATGAGCTACAAACCTGGAGACTGTGTGGAGAGGGGTCTTGTGCTCAGATCCAACTTGTAGGTTTCCCATAGGTATCTATTTTTCTATACCCCTCTTCCTCTGATCACAAGGTCATTTTCTGTATAAAACCACAAATATCTACCTTATACAGTAACAACCAAAGAAATATCACCACCAGTTCAAAAGGCCAGAGATACTTTAATCTGACAAAAAACTGGGGGAAGAGGAATGTTTTCACCTGGCACCTAAAGATATTGAGGTTTGAGTCTTCCTCAGTCTAAGAAATCAATTTCCTCATTGCACTGCAGGTGAGAAAAACAGTTGCCCAGAAACTCCACAGTCCCTGCTTCCTTCCCATCGGAGCAACCAACACCTCATTCTTGACTAGAGACTCATGAAATACCCTGGGATAGAGAGACACACATGGTAACAGTCACTTGTACACCATATGCAGATGCAGGACAAGACTGGCCATGGGTGTTATCCTGGACAAGATGGGCCATTGGATTGATCCAGCAAGCTCATTTTAGGTTCTTAGGTAGTGCAGAGGAAAATCTAAAAGTGCAATTCCATTGTTTTCCTATATCTCATGGATGTAGGAATTATGCCCCACCTGGTGAAAGCTTCTGTGCCACACCATTCTGTTGTCATCAATGGAAATTTGCTGGCCTGGGATGTCTTCCACATCCACCCTTCCAACCTTGACCCTCACGAAGGAGTTATTTGGGAAAGTGACCAGGTTGGTAATATCAAAGCCAGCTTCGACTTCCTTGTTCTCACCAAAAGATACAGTTTCTCCAGCAGAGTTGTTGAAGGAGACAGTCCTGAGGAAGGGATGGAGCTGCATTGGAAGAAAAATACTAAGTGTGAAGTGATGCATACGTCTCTCCTTACTGGCACTCACGATGCTTCCAGTCTGTCTGTACATGCAAGAATTGCTATAAGAACCTAATCTGTTCCTGAAAAATCATTCGTAAGGCAAGCATTTGCCTACTCAGGTGATGATTTCTATCGTTTCCTGTGGGGAAAATCCCAATGCATTCCTCACTAATAAGAAAAAAAATCCATCCTTTCAGTTCCCACTGCTTGGATATCTCCTGCTTCTAAGGAAATGGTAGGGTGATCAGTACGCTTGAGCCTAATTAATGCACAAGGTGCTTGATGCCATAGAGGAAGTTGTCCTGCCAGGCTTGGCCAATGTCACTTCCCCTCACCTTGGGAGGAAATGGGCAACAAAGCCTTTGGTTCCATTCAGCCTACATTTGAATGATGTGCCTGTGGAGCTCTGAGCTGCTCCCTCCAACCAGTTTCCTGTGTTTCAGACAAGAATGGAGTATGAAACCAGTATTTTCTATACCAATATTTTAGGACCTTTAACCGTTTTTGTAACCGAGCTATGTTTGACCGCCTGCAAAACTGACAGCCGTATGGAAAAGCACATGAATCTGACCTTTGAAGAGTTTTGTATGTAAACTATGTATAACTTACTAATTGTGTGGTCTATCCTTGTGCTAAGTAAGTGAGATGCTTTGGGATTGACTTAAAGGGCACATTTTAAGGTTTTAACACCTAAATTTCATGCCATTATTTGCGGCATGAGTTGCCATATTAAATCTCTTCTGGGTTCTCTCACCAAAGAGTCCAACAAGAATGATATTGTTTAGCAAGCTCAGCACAAACTAAAAAACAGGTTTAAAGTCCTTTTCCTTGCTGTTCTCCATCCCATTGCCCAGCCACAGCTCCTTTTTTCTCCAGCTCCACCTGCCTCTCTCTACCAGCCCTCTCCTTCACCTCTCGGTCTAGGCTGGGATCCTCCCTGTAACTTTTGTGCAGTGAAGCTGCTTTGGCAGAAGCAGCACAGTGCAGGGTTGGGTGGGTCATCACTAACAGTTTCTCTGCACACAAAGGAAGTTGCTCACAAAAAAGTGGGACAGGTCTGTTACTTCACTGTCTTACTCCATGAGTAGCTTTTCTGCACACAAGGGATAATGTGCTCTTACACTGGAGCTTCAAAATTTTTCAGGGAACTGTTTTGCATATCACAGCCTATGTGAAATAAATTATCTCTTATGAGAGACATTACCTGCCAAGGCCAAAGCTCCCGCATCTCTCCTTCCATCGCTAATTTGTTTTTGGTCCTGGACAAGAACATGGCATGTGAAGCATGTGCTGTTGCATAGACAGCATTATAGAGACTGTAGCTGTGGCCAGTCATGCTCATCTCAAAACCAGATGAAGGGAGATTCTCCAGCTTCTCCTCACCAGTGCAGGTTCCACTGGCCTGCTCCTCTGTGTTGGAGTTTGGAAATAAACAGAGAAAGACTTGTGCCCAGAGCTCCTTGACAAAGCCATTTCCATTTTCCTCAAAAGGATTTTGTACCTCAAGAAATGCTTTGAATCCTTGCACCATATTTGAATGAACCGCAAAGGAGAGGGAACCCTGGAAGACTTGCATATCCAGGTTCATTTGATAGGTCCGTGCTGTGAAATCCAGCTGTGCCGTCAGAATCCACACCTTGCCCACAGATGTCTTGGTCACATTTTCCAATTCACCAATTGCTAAAATTTCTCTCAAGGTAAGCATGGACTTTATTCCCCCATAGAAAACCACCACCTTGGCTTTACTTTCCATAATAGCTTGATAAATTTGGATCCAGTGGAAATACATGACATAGTACTCAGCCAAATGTATCATTTTCAGGATTGTCTCTGAGAAGGCCAAGCAAATGCCTTTCTGGGAGAGCAGAGGTTTCAGGGTCTGAATAAATCTCTCTCCACTGTCACTTTCTCTAGCAAGCAATCCAACCCACGTCCAGCCAAAGTGCAGAAGTAACTCAACAATCCCAGTGTACTGATGGGCTTCATTGGGCACCATCTTGTAGAAGGAAGTGGATTGTCTTTGACCAGCATCCTCTGGAGAAAAGGAGCCATAAGTGAGCTAAAAGGAAATAAAGGAGCATCATCTACAATTGCAGAAGGACTGGATATGTGCGCCCAGGACCTGCCCACCCAGGAGGCAAAATGAGCCAGTTGCCTTAAGAAGGCAGGTTCCAGAAAGCTGGGAAGAGTGGCAGGTTGCACCCTGTGTTTCTCAGCCTCCACTTCCTTCTTTGCCATACTTCCATTCCCAGTTCCCTGAACTCCTGCTTTCCTCTCCTCTGCCCTCCTTTTCTTTATCCACTGTGATCTCTAGGTTTTTTCTGTACTGCTGCTTTTCTCTCCCCTGTTTCTTTCATGTTGCTTCACCACAAAATTTCAACTCCAGATTTCATGGCGTCTTTCCTTCCTCTCTCAAGCCACTAACACACAGAATCCCCATCAAGTCCCAGAATGTGCGGGCAGCTGACTCCTGATGGGCAGGCTTCCAGCTTTGCAAGAGAGCAGCTTCCGTCTCCAACCAGTAGGCCATGGAGCAAAGGTGAGAGGGTGTCAGCTGGTAGCATGGAATTTGGATACATGTTTTCAGGTGTGTTTGGACAAGGAACTGGGGTGAGATGAGAACTCTTCTACCATCACATTACCTTGTGAAGGGCAGAATCACTCTCTTTCGTCTCTCACAACTGTTTCTATATTACACGAATCCTTTCTGGATAGAAGAAATCATGGTGAATGTGTGAAATCCCCTAGGCAGCATCTTACCTGTGGAATCTTGTAGATGCCCAAGATGTTTGCCAGGTAGATGGAGATATCCAAGTCCAGTCCTCCAATAACTGCCACCAGGTGTTTCTGAATGTTGCACTTGTAGTTGGGAACAAGTGTGGAGGGAAGGTTCAGAGCAGCCCAGTAGGTCATCCTTTCATCGAAGTAACTGTCATAGATGTGGAATCCCAGTGTAATATTAGGTAAGATCTTGGGGTTCTCATTGATCTCCTTGACCGCAAATACCAAGGCCAGAATATGCTGGTAGTTCTTTGGCACAATACTGCAACAAGAATTTTATGCTGTATCATTGAGAGATGTGCTATGCATGTTTTTCAGTGGCCTCTTTATGATTCTTGAGTTTTTTAGCGTAAATTTTGCCCTAATATACACATATCTGCAGAACAATTTCCCCTAAAAGAGCAGAATTTCAGCTTAATGTAGGGCTCATTCAGACTTTCCCACTCCTGCCATTTTTCTGCAGGAAAATCATATCTTTACCACTCAATTGGAACTCAAACCTCCCTCATAACGTCTCCCAACTAACAGTTAACTGACATTTCTTCACTGATCACTACCTTCAGCTGAATACAGTCGGAATGTATCTATTCCAGGCCCTGTCTATAAATATTAAAGACAATCATCTAGCCTGACTTGGATGAGAACATCAGGGGTTATTTGAGCATCACCTCAAAGGAGAGGTAAGCCTTTAATACCCCTCACACGAGAGTTTCTGAGGTGAAGATTAAGAACAGAGAAGAGCTTTCCATCTTAAACTAAGGTTTAATCTTTGAGTCCTCCTCTTGTTAAACTCTCCTTGGAAGAGATTTGGTGGGATGTGGGGAGGACAGAACACATCAACAAGACCAGGCTCTCTCATCTCACTGACACATTCAGATCTGCATTTCCCTTCAGTGGAAGTAAATCCAACTGAAATCAGGGGAACTAGCTTCTGATTAGGCCTGGTTAGAGCTGGAGGATATTTCAGTATCATTTGACATTTGATGTCTTTACAGGGTATTAAGGCGCTGGTGGATAGTTAGCCTTTCTTTGAAGTCTTCTTTGTCAAAAGCAGCAAAGAGATGAGAAGCAAGTCCGCCAACAATAAGATGACCAGGTTGGTAGTATTCATGTGGAATTCTGGACAGATCATGGACGGTGCAACTCGTGGTATGTTGGCACACCAGATGTGGCAGATGAAAGAGAAGGGGCACAATAAACAGCAGCATATTGAAGCAAATATTCTTTCTCATCAAACAATCTTATTTCCATCCAGCAAATGAACCTTGCTTCACAACCAACCTCAGTACAATATTCTGCCTTATGATGAACAGCACTTCTCTAACAATTCACAGATTAAAATCCTATTTTATAACTTGATTAAGAAAATAGTTAAACCCCTTCCTCTTCCTCTGTCCTCTTCCTTGCAAAGAATGGCAGGAAAAGGTTATAATACCCATGTTTTGACAGTGGTTAGTATTCTCTGGAAATCTACTCAGACATTATCCAAGGGATACTTAGCCATGTTGAGAGTGATAATTATAGATGAGGTAATAACAAGCTCTCTTTACATCAGGAAAATCAGAAAATGTCTCCCAAAAATAATAATAATAACCTTGTTTCTGATGTTTCATTCAAAGTGGTTTCTTACTGTTTATGGGACAAGAAAAGGGCATGCAGAATTAACAGCAACAAGGAAAAGAAAAATAGTGGGCCAGTCTCTTATCAGTGCTGACCAGTGGAAATGGTTAATCTGACCTCCTAAAATTTCCCACATGAACACCAGTTCATTAGTTTTCTGACAATTATACTGAGACGAAGGAATGGTGAAAAGGACAACTATTTGTTTTCCTGATAGAAAAGCACCTCACAACTATTTGGTGGGAGTAATATATAGAAGTAATAAGTAGTGAATGGTGATATTATATTTTCTAGTAAAATGGTACTTAATTTCACTTACGTTCAAAATGCTTTTACTCCAAAATATTCATTCAGAAGCATTCTGCCCATTGTATAACAATAAACCCATTAAAAATACCAAAATAGTTATTCATTGAATTTTAAGTTTAAAACCCCCACACCAGGAATGGTCTAGCATATGTTGCCCATGACCACAGGCATCCCCCACTGCACACGAGAAAAACCAAATAACTTAATTAATACCCAGAAATGGAGGGAGAGCGCTGGAGAGTTGTCATGGCTTGTGAGGGCAGAGACTGGAGGTGCAGCAGGGGGTTGTTTACGCTGCTCAGCCCCCCCACCTGACAGCTAATGTGCATAGAAGAGCAGCAGAAGCAGCAACTTTTCCACACATCCTCCAGTCAGCCCCCAAAATTCCAGATGTGGGTATTTTAGGTGCAGTAATTTTGATCTGGAATGGAGGGAGAGCAGCAGAGAAGACATTCAAAGAGTTTTAGAGGGTGCTCCCCACTTATTCAATCTTCATTTATGTATGTGGGCCACTTGAACATAACCCCCAAGTGGGACACACTGTACTGAAATCTCTGAGACTGGGCATCATGACAGTAGCAAAGCCACTTCCAACCTCGGGAGGAGGTGTTGTTGCGGGCATCACACCCCCAACACACGCGCAGAGGCTGGCTTACAGCCCCATGCGATCTGGGAAATCCTCGGCCGAGTCATCCCCGGGCCAGCCAATCAGCTGGCCCAGGCGGTGTGCCTTGCCTCATTTAAGGCAAGCACAGCCAGGAATCTCCCTCTTTGGCCGCTCTGCTGCGTTGGTTTCCCACCCGCCCACCCTTCAAGGTTCCGCTTTTGACCTTGCTATGGACCTCGGTTGGTCGCCGTTAAGGGGCCTTGTAGGATTTTTTTCCACTTGGCAAATTGGCACCAGCCATTTGGTTTTTCGCATACCTCGTAACAAATCATCACAACATTCTCGGCTTTGGCGGTTAGGCATTGGTATGGGTATTGTTATGTAGATGTATGGGGGGGAGCACCATCACCTCCCCCTGATATTGAAGAGTAGTCCAGTAAAGGATTCCGGGGGGCGTGGCCCCGTCCGAAGCCTATGGAGGCCAGGGCCCAAGGCACGCCCCCAAGCGGTGACCCCGGGGGAGTGCCTAGTTGATGTGCATCAGCAGGGCTCCCCTGCTGATGTTAACCCTTCCTGGTCTTCAAGCTAGCAGGCTGAAGCTGGATAGTCGATAGGACCAATGCCTAAGCCAATACCACTCATCACCTGTAACCAATAAAGTTGTGGTCTAATTTTAGCCCATTAACCTAAATTACTGTGTCCTGTGTCTTTATTTCTACTGGTGGGAGGCGGGATCTCGCCACGCAACTCTACTGCAACCTTAGTGAGAGGACAAAACCTAGAAAGGAACAAGCCTTATTAAAAAATGCCTCTCAGTATATTGTTTTTTCTTGTTCAGTCTCTAATCAATTACCCTCTGAATTTCTAGTCAGGTCTCATTATTTTATGGTACTCATGACAGTTTTTTGGTTTCCAAATAAGCCTTAGGGTTAAAACAAGATGAGGGGCTCCTGTCTCAGAGAAACCACAGGGGATTTTAAAAGAAATTGCACATAGGAAGTGCAACATGTAAAATACAACATAACTGAATGGTGTGGATAAAGAGAGATTAAATTGCTCATAGTTTGGTGGAAAAAAACCAAAAGATGATGGTATAATTTATTATTTCCTCTTTATTAACTGCTCCTTGTTGTTCAGATCAGGCCTCAACATAATGATGTAGCATTTGGGGGCAAAGATGGAGCCCAGTATCCCAGCACTGGATGCCAAGATGGAGAAGATCTCCACAGCCACCATGTATTTCCCCTTGGTGCTCAGGTAGACGGGAACAAAGGAAATCCAAACACTACAAAACAAGAACATGCTGAAGGTGATGAATTTGGCCTCATTGAAGCTCTCAGGCAATTTCCTGGCAAAAAAGGCCACTACAAAGCTGATAATGGCCAAAAAGCCCATGTAGCCCAGGACACAGTAAAACAGGGCGACTGACCCTTCGTTGCAGCCTAGAATGATTTCTCTCATCATTGAGTGCATGTCAGAATCAGGGAATGGGGGAGAGGTTCCTAACCACACAGTGCAAATGCCCGCTTGGATAAGGGAACAAGAAATCACAATGGAGCTTGACAGGCTTTTCCCCACCCACTTCCTCATTCTGGATCCTGGTTTGGTGGCCACAAAGGCTAGAACCACCGTGATCGTTTTGGCCAGAACACAAGAAACGGTCACTGTGAAAACAAGGCCAAAAGCCATTTGTCGGAGCAGGCAGCTCACTCTTTCTGGAGGGCTGAGGAAGATCAATGGGCAGAGAAAGCAGAGCAGGAGGAAAGTGAGGAGAGTGTAGGTGAGGTCCCGATTGTTTGCTCTGACAATGGGTGTGTCCTGATGTTTAATGAAGATGGCTAGGACCACCATAGTGATGAGAGAGAGAGAAAGAGCAAACATTGCTAAGCTCATCCACAGAGGCTCTTGAACAGAGAGGAAGCTGATGGTCTTTGGAATGCATTGTGATTGGTTCCCGTGTGGATAGTGGTCCTTTGGGCATGCAACACAGTCAACCATGTCTGGAAAGAAAATAATACATTCACATTTTGGATGTGTTGGAGAGCAACTACTAATACTGCGAGTATGGAACTCATAATGTTAAATGAGAGTTATTACAATTATTTCCAGGGTAACCAGATTCAAAGTGATGCATCAGAATCCCACCTCAGAACATAGTTGTCAACGTTTCCCTTTTTTAAAGGGAAATTCCCTTATTCCAAATAGGATTCCTCGCAAGAAAAGGGAAAAATTGACAGCTATGCCTCAGAACTTTTGTTGGGTTATGTGGGGTGTGCTGTGATGGCTTGCTAACTCCACATAAACCACTTTTTTTTTTGTTCAGAACAGGTACTGTCCATGACCTTTTTGCACAGGGGTTCCATTCCCAGCCCCGTTCCACCCCCACACCCTCTGCCGACCCCATTCCTCCCCACCCTGGTGTGCCATCGCGCATCAATCATTCGCATGATTATTTGCTATTGCCTGAACCAAGACAGGTGTCTCCTACCAAGTCATATCACTGGTGCATTTATTTCAAAATTGCTTCCTGTATTTTAACCTGTGACAAAGATTACATGATGATGACAAACCAATTCTTTTTAGGAGTGGGTCCCTAATCCTTTATGGGGTCTATCTGCCAACAGGTATGGAGGAGAAATTTGGTTTTTATTCCACTTGAATGAGAAAGATATCTACAGTCAATCTCACTCTTTGAATCATTACACTGGTCAACAACAAATTTGTTGTCTGCGTTTTTTCAGTTGATTTAGGATGAATGTGATGCGCTGAATCCAAAAATCACATTGGTTTTGCTCAATCAGGTCAAGTTTTTGAGCTATGGCCACATGTCATTTTTTATGTTTTTGTTCACATGTACGCTTGTGTGGAGCATTTTAGAAGTTGGTGGGGGTAAAATGCCATGTCGAATAATTCTTTTGATTGGAAATGATTATTTTAATGACAAGAAGTATTCAGGTCCGATAGTTCTGGGTGATTATGTTGAAAAGGGATCAATTTGAAGTCATAAAACCTCGAAATCTTCCATAAATTGGTGTGGCTCCATAAATTGGTGGGATGAACAGAAAGAACCAGAGCAGCCTCAAGTATCCTGATTTTCAAGCAGCACGTCATCCTGTAGCTCATTGTGATGAAATTCCAGTGCCTATCTTCGGAGAACTTCCTGACATTGATGATGAAGATGCCTCCAGTGTTGAAGGACATGAAGAAGAAGTGGTTCTTCCACATCCATTTTCCCAAAAGGAGTTGAATGATCTAGTTCACGACCTCAGCTTGTCAAAGGACTCTGCCGAACTGTTGGCATCCAGACTGAAGGGAAAAAACCTCCTCTCTGACAGTGCTCGCATCAGCTTCCTCCGCAACAGGCATCAAGAGTACCTCCGTTTTTTCTCGGAAGAGAAGGACTTGGTGTACTGTGCAGATATTGGGCAGCTTCTGCTCAAGCTTGGAGTGCCACAGTATGAACCCAAAGATTGGAGACTGTTCATTGACAGCAGCAAGCAATCACTGAAATGTGTTCTGCTACACAACGGCAACCAGTTTGCCTCTATACCCCTGGCTCACTCGAGTACACTGAAGGAGAACTATGAAGCGGTGAAGTATGTGCTGGAGAAAATTGGTTATGATCAGCATAAGTGGTTTATTTGTGTTGACCTGAAGATGGTGAACTTTTTGTTGGGGCAACAGTCTGGCTTCACCAAGTACCCATGTTTTCTGTGCATGTGGGATAGTAGCGACCGTGCTCAGCATTACACGAAGGACTGGCCTGTGCGGAAGGAATTGGTGCCTTGCAAAGAAAGGAATGTCATCAACGACCCTCTGGTGGAGAGAGACAGAATACTCTTCCCACCGCTGCACATCAAGCTCGGCTTAATCAAGCAGTTCACCAAGGCTCTGGACAAGGATGGTGACTGCTTCACTTACTTGTGCCAGGCTTTTCCAGGATTGACCATGGAGAAGTTGAAAGCTGGCATCTTTGACGGTCCTCAGATCCGTCAGCTCATCAGAGATCCAGAGTTCAGAAAGTCAATGAACGAAGTGGAACTGGAAGCGTGGAGGGCATTTGTTCTGGTAGTGAAGAACTTTCTTGGCAACAATAAGGCCAGAAACTACGCAGAACTTGTCAGCAACATGCTGACTGCTATCAGAAACCTGGGCTGCAACATGAGCGTCAAGATGCACTACCCATTTTCACATATAGACCGATTTCCTGAGAACCTGGGTTCAATGAATGACAAGCAGGGGGAGAGATTCCATCAGGACATGAAAGAGATGGAGACCAGGTATCAGGGTCGCTGGGACGCAGTCATGATGGCTGACTACTGTTGGACTCTGAAGAGAGACCTCCCTGCCACTGAGCATTCCAGGAGTTCCAAGAAACAGAAGTTCAAGCCCTGAAGTTTGAAAAATGGTGAAGCAACATGCAATTTACGTGTACTTACCTTTATCAATGCCCACTATTCAGTTTACAGTAAACCTGACCTGATGGAGAGAAATGGATGCCATTTCCTGATACAGCAGTGCCAAAATACGCTAAATCAGTTGTAGAAATCTAGACAACATTCAAAAAGTAAAAAATTGTTACCCAATGTTATATATCCTGTGTCTCTTACCCTTTTCAGATGAAATCTTGCCTTGAGGACATGGAGCACAACCATAGCAGCAGAATGGCTCCCCCTCCTTCTTCTCCTTCCTGGAACCAGGAGGACAACTTGGGTTACACACAGAAAGGGGTGGCACCTGCCCATTTAAATAAACAGATTAACCGTTTAGCACACAAAAGTAAGTAGCGCTTTTGGTTTCTTTTTTCTTCCAGCTGGCAGTAGGAAGACACCAAACTACTTATTCGAAACACAGTGCCAGGTTACTCATTTGGCTCTTCATGTTGTTGTTTTTTAAAATAAACATAAATAATGTGGAAACTGACCATGTTTGAGCCCCTTTCTGGCATTCAGAAAGAATGCATGACAGCTGAAATAGGGAAGGGGATTGGGGCTTCATCTTTGCCAGCCCTGCCCCCTTTTCTCCCCATATATAAAGTAATACCTTTTACACCTCCAATTTTCCAATTGCAGCAATCATGCTTTGTGAAGATGACAGAAGCGTAGTGCCAAAAATGATCTACAAATGTGGAGACCTTGTGGAGTGTGGTCTCACCAGCTCTGCCCATATTGTTCCCATAGCTGTTCCACCAGTGATCTCTGCATACTAAGCAGAAAGCTCTGACAGGCTGAACACACTGAGAAGCCTCCCTGTGATTTGGAATTTTCTGTTCTTATCTCAGTCCCCAAATATGAGAAAGGGGTTCAACCAAATGTTCTTAGAAGCCCCCTTCACACTCCCTGCCATGCATTTTATCTTAACAGATGCATTTTCAAGTGTATTTTATGCTACCAGGTGTATTTTTCAAACCATTTTGGTCCTTTTTTTGAGCTGAGACTATACCAGAAGATCGACAGAAATGTGAAACCTGAAAGATAAGCAATGATGTTCCTATATGTGTACTAGTCTGAGAGGTATAAATTTAGCCAGTTTCCATAAAATTGTAGACTCCTCCACCCTTGCCTACAGTTCCTTTTTCCTTAGGATACAAGTGACTAGCATTAGCACACTTGTTATTATTATGATTCTTTTAAAAGAACATGAATAATGGTCTTAGGTGTCTCAGTAAAATTAGGGCTGCCATGTGTCCGGGATTTCAAAGGCGGAAGCGGCGTCCTGGGGAAAGTTCTGGAGAGTGGAGGTTTGTTGTGGATCTTTGGCAAGTAAAAGAAAAAAATGTGGGATTTTACTTCCTTCTCAAACACCAGCATTTCAACTACAAGCAGCAAACCCCTTCTTCTTCCCAAGAGACTCATGAAAAGCACTTGGATGAAAAGAACCCCAAGTCAAAAGCCACATGCCATATCCAGATGCTGGACAAGATTGGCAAATGGTGAGATCCTACAGTGGTTGGGCATTGATCTGAGCCAGCAAGATCTTATGTTGTGATTCCTGCATCGTGGACCACATGATTTGCAACTCTAAGATTCTATTACAGTGGTACCTTGGGTTACATACGCTTCAGGTTACATACGCTTCAGGTTACAGACTCCACTAACCCAGAAATAGTGCTTCAGGTTAAGAACTTTGCTTCAGGATGAGAACAGAAATCATGCTCTTGCGGCGTGGCAGCAGCAAGAGGCCCCATTGGCTAAAGTGGTGCTTCAGGTTAAGAACAGTTTCAGGTTCAGAACGGATCTCCAGAACGAATTAAGTACTTAACCTGAGGTACCACTGTATTCTTACACAGTGCAGAGAAAAAAATGTTTAGAATCTGGCTGGAAAGGCAGGTATGTGCTGGACTGATGATCTGTACGTAGAATAACATTCTCTTTACCCATCTCTCATAGATGTGGGAATTATGCCTCACCTGGTGAAAGCTTCTGTGCCACACCATTCTGTTGTCATCAAGGGTGAATGGCTGGTCAGGTGTAGCCTCCACACCAACCCTTCCAACCTTCACCTTCATGAAGGAGTTATTTGGAAAAGTGACCAGGTTGGTGATATCAAAGCCAGCTTCTACTTCCCTGTTCTTACTAAAAGATACTGTTTCCCCAGCAGAGTTGTTAAAGGAGACACTCCTAAGAAAGGGATGGAGCTGCATTGAAAGAAAAAGAGTAACTTTGAAGCAATGCAAATGTCTCTCCTTTTTCACATTCAGGATGCCTACAGACTGTCAACACAGGGAGGTAGTGCCATGCAAATATAATCTGTTTTCTGAGAAATGGTTTGTAGGGCGAGCATTCACATATTGAGCCAATGATCTCCATTGTTTCCTATGGGGAAAATCCCAATGCATGACTGACCATGCTTGGACATCTACACACACACACACACACACACACACACACACACACACACACACTGCCCAACTAGCCTCATATAACCTTCATTCTTGTGTCTAACAAATACATAAAGGGCTTAATGTCGTTAGAAAAAGGTGTTCTGACAGACTTGGCCTATGTCCCAGCCCCTTATCTTGGGAAGAAATGGGCAACAAAGCCTATTGTTCTGCTCACTCTATATGTGAATTTTGTGCGTGGGGAGTTCTGAACTGCTCCCTACAGCCACATGGAATTAAGAAGCCTGTTTATTTCAGACAAGAATGTAATCTGAAACTACCATTTTCTATACCAATAGAAAGATTAGGAACTTTTACCATTTTGTCTTCTACTTCTGCAACATTTTTATGAGTGTTGTGTTCCGAAAAACTGTTGAACTTTAAAGAGTTTTGTAAGCAAGCCATGTTACGACCTGCTAAGCTTGTGATCTATTTTTGTGCTAGGAAAGTGGGATTTTCTGGAATTCACTGGAAAGGGCATATTTTAAGGTTTTACATCCTGTATTTCCATGCTTCTGTTTGCTGCATGTTTACCCATGCACACAAAGGAAGTTGCTCACAAAAAAACTGGAGAGTGCAGGATTGGATCTGCCTGCTAAACAGCTGTAAGCAGAACAGTCTGATTCTTCACTGAGCTGGTCCTGAATGAACAGCTTCTCTGCACACAACTGGAGAATGTGGAGCTTAAAATGTTTCAGGGTAATAAATGATATCTCATGACACACATTACCTGCCAAGGCTGAAACTCCTGCATCTCTCTTTCCACCATTCTCCTATATTTGGCTACAGGCAGGAACATGACATGTAGAGCATGTGCTATGGCATAGACAGCAGTATAGAGACTGTAGCTGTGGCCAGACATGGTCATCTCAAAAGTAGACGAAGGGAGATTCTCCAGCTTCTCCTCTCCAGTGCAGGTTCCACTGGCCTGCTCCTCTGTATTGGAGTTTGGAAATAAACAGAGAAATACCTGTGCCCAGAACTGCTTGACAAAGCCATTTCCATTTGCCTCAAAAGGATTCTGTGCCTGAAGAAAGGCTTTGAATCCTTGTACCACATTTGAATGAACTGAAAAGGAGAGGGAACCCTGGGAGGTTTGCATATCCAGGCTCATTCGCAAGGGCGGTGCTGTGAAATCCAGTTGTGCCGTCAAAATCCACACTTTGCCATCAGATGTCTTAGTCACATTTTCCATTTCACCTAGTACTATCATTGTCTGCAAGGCAAGTATGGACTTTGTTCCTCCATAGACAACCACCACCTTGGCTTTACTTTCCATAATAGCTTGATAAATTTGGATCCAGAGGGGAAACATGTCATAATACTCAGCCAAATATGCCATGTTCAGGGTTGTCTCTGAGAAGGCCAAGCAAATGCCTTTCTGGGAGAGAAGAGGTTTCAGGGTCTGAATAAATCTCTCTCCACCTTCACTTTCTCTAGCAAGCAATCCAACCCACGTCCAACCAAAGTGCAGAAGTAACTCAACAATCCCAGTGTACTGATGGGCTTCATTGGGCACCATCTTGTAGAAGGAAGTGGATTGGCTTTGACCACCATCCTCTGGAGAAAAGGAGCCATAAGTGAGCTAAAAGGAAATAAAGGAGCATCATCTACAATTGCAGAAGGACTGGGTATGTGCGCCCCGGACCTGCCCACCCAGGAGGCAAAATGAGCCAGTTGCCTTAAGAAGGCAGGTTCCGCAAAGCTGGGAGGAGTGGCAGATTGCACCCTGTGTTTCTCAGCTTCCACCTCCTTTTCTGCCATTCCTCCATGCCCAATTTTCTGCACTCCTGCTTTCCTCTGCAACCTCTGCCTTTTCTTTCTCCACTTTTTCCTCTATGCCTTCCTAATCTGCTGCTTTCCTCTCCCCTGTATTTTCCACTTTGCTTCACCGCAGCATTTCAGCTGCTGATTTCATGGCGTCTTCCCTTCCCTTCCCTTCCCTTCCCTTCCCTTCTCTTCCCTTCCTCTCTCAGACTACTAACACACAGAACCCCCATCAAGTGACACAATGTGTGTGCAGCTGACTCCTGATAGACAGGCTTCCAGCTTTGCAAGGGAGCAGCTTCAGTCTCCAACCAGTAGGCCATGGAGCAAACGTGAGAGGTTGTCAGTTGGCAGAATGGAATTGGGATACATGTTTTTAGGTGTGTATGGACAAGGAACGGGGGTGAGATGAGAACTCTTCTGTCATCACCTTACCTTGTGAAGGGCAGGATCTCTCTCCTTCATCTCTCACAACTATTTCTCTATTATACAAATCCTTTCTTGAAATGCCCTACGCAACATCTTACCTGGGGAATCTTGTAGATGCCCAAGATGTTTGCCAGGTAGACGGAGATATCCAAGTCCAGTCCCCCAATAACTGCCGCCAGGTGTTTCTGGTTGTTGCACTTGTAGTTGGGGACAAGTGTGGAGAGAAGGTTCAGAGCAGCCCAGTAGGTCATCCTTTCATCGAAGTAACTGTCATAGATGTGGAATCCCAGTGTAATATTAGGCAAGATCTTAGGGTTCTCATTGATCTCCTGGACAGCAAATACCAAGGCCAGAATATGCTGGTAGTTCTTTGGCACAATACTGCAACAAGAATTTTATGCTGTATCATTGAGAGATATACTATGCATGTTGTTCAGGGGGCTCTTGATAATTTTGCCCTAAATTACACATACCTGCAGAACAATTTCAACTAAAAGAGCAGAATTTCAGCTTAATGTAGGACTCATTCAGACTTCCCCACTCCTGTCATTTTTCTGCAGGAAAATCAGATCTTTACCACTCAATTGGAACTCAAACCTCCCTCATAACGACTCCCAAATGACAGTTAACTGACATTTATTCACAGATCACTACCTTCAGCTCAATATAGTCAGAATGTATCTAATCCATGCCCTGTCTATAACTGTTAAAGACAATCGTCTAGCCTGACTTGGATGAGAACATCAGGGGTTATTTGAGCATCACCTCAAAGGAGAGGTGAGCCTTGTGTAAGACACTTCAAACGAGAGTTTCTGTGGTGAAGATTAAGGAGAGAGAAGGGCTTTCCATCTTAAACTAGGGAGGTTTAATCTTTGAGTCCTCCTCTTGTTAAACTCCTTGGAAGACATTTGGTGGGATGTGGGGAAGAGAGAACACATCAACAAGACCAGGCTCTCTCATCTCACTGACACATTCAGATCTGCATTTCCCTTCAGTGGAAGTAAATCCCACTGAAATCAGGGGAACTAGCTTCTGAGGAGGCTTGGTTAGAGCTGGGGGATATTTCAGTATCATCTGATTATTTGACATTTGATGTCTTTACTGGGTATTAAGGCGCTGATGGATAGTTAGCCTTTCTTTGAATTCTTCTTTGTCAAAAACAGCAAAGAGATGAGAAGCAAGTCCGCCAACAATAAGATGACCAGGTTGGTAGTATTCATGTGGAATTCTGGACAGATCATGGATGGTGCAACTCATGGTATGTTTGACCTGCAAATGTGGCAGATGAAAGAGAAGGGGCAGAATAAACAGCAGCATATTGAAGCACCTATTCTTTCCCATCAAACAGCCTTATTTCCATCCAGCACATGAACTTTGCTTCACAACCAATCTCAGTACAATATTCTGCCTTGTCACCAAAGACACTTCTCTAAAAATTCACAGATTAAAATCCTATTTTATAACTTGATTAAGAGAAAGGTGAAAATCCTTCCTCTTTCTCTGTCCTCTCGCTTGCTTAGAATGCCAGGAAGAGGTTACAATACCCATGTTTTGATATTGGTTAGTATTCTCTGGAAATCTACTGAGACATTATCCAAGGGAGACTTAGCCACGCTGAGAGTGATGATTATAGGTGAGATAATAACAAGCTCTCTTTACATCAGGAACATCAGAAAATGTTCAAACATAATAATAACAACCCTGTTTCTGATGTTTCATTCAAAGTTCTTTCTGACTGTTTATGGGACAAAAAAAGGCCATGCAGAATTAACAGCAATGAGAAATTCAGTGGGCCAGTCTCCTACCAATGTTGACCAGTGAAAATGATTAATCTGACCTCCTAAAGTTTCCCACCTGAGCACCACTTCATTAGTTTTCTGACAATTATACCGAGACGAAAGAATGGTGAAAAGGACAACTATTTGTGTTCCTGATAGAAATTATAAGAATAAGAATAAGAATAAGAATAAGAATAAGAATAAGAATAAGAATATATTATTTATACCCCACCCACTCTGTGTGGCTTCCAACAGAATATTAAAATACAATAATCTATTAAACATTTAAAGCTTCCCTAAACAGGGCTGCCTTCAGATGTCTTCTAAAAGTCTGGTAGTTGTTTTTCTCTTTGACATCTGATGGGAGGGCATTCCACAGGGCGGGTACCACTACCAAGAAGGCTCTCTGCCTGGTTCCCTGTAGCTTTGTTTCTCACAGTGAGGGAACTGCCAGAAGGCCCGCAGAGCTGGACCTCAGTGTCCGGGCAGAACGATGGGAGTGGAGACGTTTCTTCAGGTATTTTGGACGGATGCCCTTTAGGACTTTAAAGGTCAGCACCAACACTTTGAATTGTGCTCGGAAACGTACTGGGAGCCAGTGTAGGTCTTTCAAGAACTGTGTTATGTGGTCTCGGCGGCCGCTCCCAGTCACCAGTCTAGCTGCTGCATTCTGGATTAGTTGTAGTTTTTAGGTCACCTTCAACGCATGAGGGAAGAGAACAAAACCCTGAGGCACCCCACAAGTGTAAGACCAGGGGTCTGAACACTCACCTCCCCCCCCCCCACTTTCTGAACACAGCCCAGGAGGAAGGAGGGAACCACTGTATAACAGTGCCCCCAACTCCCAGCCCCTCTAGACGGTCCAGAAGGATGTTATGGTCGATGGTGTCAAAAGCCACTGAGAGATCCAGCAGAACTAGGAAACAGCTCTCACCTTTGTCCCTAGCCCGTCGGAGATCATGGACCAGTGCACCCTAGGCAGTTTCAGTCCCATGATGAGGCCTGAATCCCGACTGGAAGGGATCCAAATGGTTCGCTTCTTCCAGGCGTGCCTGGAGTTGTTCAGCAACCACTCGCTCAATCACCTTGCCCAAGAATGGAAGATTTGAGACTGGGCGATAGTTGGCTATATTGGCAGCATCTAAAGATGGTTTTTAAAGAAGCAGTTTGATAACCGCCTCTTTCAGCGGGTCTGGGAAGGCTCCCTCACAGAGAGTAGCATTCACCACCCCACGAAGCCCATCACCCAGCCCTTCCCGCCTAGCTTTTATAAGCCAAGACGGGCAGGGATCAAGGAGACAGGTGGTCAGTTTCACTCGTCCAAACAGCCTGTCCACATCCTTGGAGGAAAAGCACCTCACAACTGGTTGGTGGGACAGTATATAGAAGTAATAAATAAAAAGTAGTGTGTGGTGGTATTATATTTACTAATAAAATGGAGCTTAATTTCACTCATGTTCAAAATGCTTTTACTCCAAAATATTCATTCAGATGCATTCTGCCCCATTTATTAACAATAAACCCATTTAAAAAAACCAAAATTGTTATGCATTGAATTTTAAGTTTAAAAATCCCCACGAGAAATGGTCTAGTGCATATTGCCCATGACTACAGGAATAATAACCAAATAATTTAATTAATACCCAGAAATGGATCGAGAGAGCTTGAGAGTTCTCATGGCCTGTGAGGGCAGAGACTGGAGGTGCAGCAGGGGGTTGTTTACACTACTCAGCCCCCCCCCCACCTGACAGCTAATGTGCATAGAAGAGCAGCAGAAGCAGCAACTTTCCCCACACATCCCACACTCAGCCCCCAAAATGCCAGATGTGGGTATTTTAGGTGCAGTATTTTTGATCTGGAATGGAGAGAGAGCAGCAGAGAAGACATTCAAAGGGTTTTAGAGGGTGCTCCCCACTTACCCAATCTTCATTTATGTGTGGGGGCACTTGAACATAACCCCCAAGTAAGTGGGATTCGCTGTACTGAAATCTCTGACACTAATCATGACAGTAGCAACTCGACAGAAACTTTACTGAGAGGAAAAAATCTAGAAAGGAATGAGACTTTTAAATAATAATAATAATGCCTCTCAATGTATTATTTTTTCTGTTCAGTTTCTAAGCAATTACCCTCTGAGGTTCTAGTCAGGTCTCAATATTTTATGGTACTGATGGCAGTTTTTTGGTTTCCAAATAATGCTTAAGGTTAAAACAAGATAAGGGGCTCCTGTTTCAGAGAGACCATATTTTGGTTTTAAAAGAAATTGCACATAACAATTGTAACATGTAAAATATAACACAATTTAATGGTGCGAATAAAGAGAGATTACATTGCTCATATTTTGGTAGGAAAACCCCCACAAAGATGAAAAGATAATTCATTATTTCCGCTTTATTAACTGCTCCTTGCTGTTCAGTTCAGGCCTCAACACAATGATGTAGCATTTGGGGGCAAAGATGGAACCAAGTAAACCAGCACTGGAGGCCAAGATGGAGAAGATCTCCACAGCCACCATGTATTTCCCCTTGGTGCTCAGGTAGACCGGAACAAAGGAGATCCAAACACTACAAAACAAGAACATGCTGAAGGTGATGAATTTGGCCTCATTGAAGCTCTCAGGCAGTTTCCTGGCAAAAAAGGCCACAACAAAGCTGACAATGGCCAAAAAGCCCATGTAGCCCAGGACACAGTAAAATAGGGCAACTGACCCTTCGTTGCAGCCTAGAATGATTTCCCTCATCACAGAGTGCATGTCAGAATCAGGGAATGGGGGAGAGGTTCCTAACCACACAGTGCAAATGCCCACTTGGATAAGGGAACAAGAAATCACAATGGAGCTTGCCAGGCTTTTCCCCACCAACTTCCTCATTCTGGATCCTGGTTTGGTGGCCACAAAGGCCAGAACCACCGTGATAGTCTTGGCCAGCACACAAGAAACGGTCACTGTGAAAACAAGGCCAAAAGCCATTTGTCGGAGCAGGCAGCTGACTCTTTCTGGAGGGCTGAGGAAGATCAATGGGCAGAGGAAGCAGAGCAGGAGGAAAGTGAGCAGAGTGTAGGTGAGGTCCCGATTGTTTGCTCTGACAATGGGTGTGTCCTGATGTTTAATGAAGATGACTAGGACCACCACTGTGAGGAGAGAGAGAGAAAGAGCCAACAATGCTAAGCTCATCCCCAGAGGCTCTTTAACCGACAGGAAGCTGATGGTCTTTGGAACGCATTGTGATTGGTTTCTGTGTGGATAGTGGTCCTTTGGGCATGCAACACAGTCAACCATGTCTGGAAAGAAAATAAAACATTCAGATTTTGGATGTGTTGCAGAGCAACTGCTAACGGTGTGAGTATGGAACTGATTATGTTAAATTAGAGGTATCACACATATTTCCAGAGTAACCTGATTGAAAGTCATGCATGAGAACCCCACCTCAAAACATAGCTGACAACGTTTCCCTTTTATAAAGGGAAATTCCCTTATCCCGAATAGGATTCCTCGCAAGAAAAGGGAAAAGTTGACAGCTATGCCTCAGAACTTTGTGTTGGGTTATGTGCATGGCTGTCAACCTTCCCTTTTTTCGCGGGAAATTCCCTTATTCCAGCAACGCTTCCCGCTGCTTCCCGCTGCTATCCCAGATTGTTAGTTACCCCGTAGACTGTTCCTGGGACAGGTGAGGCTGCTGATCCGTTATTTTCGAGGCTGCTGATCCCTTATTTTCAAATGTGAAAGTTGACAGCTATGGTTATGTGGGGTGTCCTGTAATGGCTTGCTAACTCCACAGAAACACATTGTTATTGCTCAAAACAGGTACAGTCCATGACCATTTTGCACAGGGGTTCCATTCTCAGCCCCTTCCACCAGCACGCCCTATGCTGAACCCATTCCAACTTCCTCGGGTGCACGGTCACTTATCAATCAGACGCATGTTTATTTGTTATTGCCTGAATTAAGGAAGGTGTCTCATACTAAGTCATATCACTGGTGCATTTAATTCAGAATTGCCTGCTGTATTTTAACCTGTGACAAAGATTACATCATGGGTGACAAACCGATTCTTTTTAGGAGTGGGTCCCTAATCCTTTATGGGGGCTATCTGTCAATAGGTATGGAGGAGAAATTTGGTTTTTATTCCACTTGAATGAGAAAGATATCTAAATTGCACTCCTTGAATCATTATATATCCAGTGTCTCTTACCCTTTTCGGATGAAATCTTGCCTTGAGGACATGGAGCACAACCATAGCAGCAGAATGGCTCCCCCTCCTCCTTCTCCTTCCTGGAACCAGGAGGGCAATTTGGGTTACATACCGAAAGGGGTGGACCCTGCTCATTTAAAGAAACAGATAAACTGTTTAGCACAAAGAAGTAAGTAGCACTTTTGGTTTCTTTTTTCTTCCAGCTGGCAGTAGGAAGACACCAAACTACTTATTCAAAACACAGTGCCAGGCTACTCATTTGGCTCTTCATGGTTCAACAACTTTCAGGGTGTAGCCTTATTAGACTTTACCGATTGGTTGGGTGAGCGTTGCTCCCAGAGAGGGAGGAAAGTGTCAAAAGACACCGAGGTTGCTTCAGAGAAAGAGTTCTTTATTTCTGCTCTCCGGAGCAGCAGAAAGGCACTTGCGTGGTCAGTTCACAGCAAGAGCACTTAAAGAGCAGTTACACACAGCTTATATACCCTTTCTGGTCCCCTTGCCCCCTCCCCAGGAATCCAGCCACATCAGCTTATACACGTAAGTTGAAATCCATGATCACAAACAGATGTTTCTGTTCCTGTACTCTTGACCATAAAAGGATGTTCCTATTCCTGTATTCCTTATCTTGGGGTAAGAAGGTCACTAACTCTAAGAGCACTCCTGGTGCCATCCCCGAGTGCAAGCTCTGTGCGTCAGTGTGTCAGGATATTTACAACCCACAAGATAAGATAAGCCCCAGCTCTGCCATCCTGTCTCCACTTTGGAACCCTAGTATAACTGAAAAGTGTGGTAGCTTCGGTGTGATTCACCCCCCCCCTTAAGTCTAAGAAATGCATTAGAGGAATGTTTTCGGCTGGTGCCTAAAGATACAAAGGGAGGTGCCTGGCAAGCCATCTTGGGGAGAGGTAATTCTTCCCCAATCTAATAAGCCCCCTTCCTCATTCTACACTTGGTGACAAAGAACAGCTACCCACAAACTTCCACAGCCCCTACTTCCTTCTCAACCAACAGCATTTCAACTGCAAACAGCAAATCCCTTCTTCTTCCCAAGAGACTCATGAAATACACTGGGATGGCCAATTCTGCACTAGTTGGGCATTGATCTGAGCCAGCAAGATCTTACGTTGTGATTCCTGCATCGCGGACCACATGACTTCCAACTCCAAGATTCTATGATTCTTACACAGTGTAGAGAAAAGGTGTTTAGAATCTGGCTGGAAAGGCAGGTATGTGCTGGACTGATGATCTGTAAGTAGAATAACATTCTCTTTTCCTATCTCTCATAAATGTAGGAATTATGCCTCACCTGGTAAAAGCTTCTGTGCCAGACCATTCCGTTGTCGTCAAGGGTGAATTCCTGGCCTGCGGCAGCCTCCCCGCCTACCCTTCCAACCTTGACTCTCATGAAGGAGTTATTTGGGAAAGTGACCATGTTGGTAATATCAAAGCCAGCTTCTACTTCTCTGTTCATACTAAAAGATACTCTTTCCCCAGCAGAGTTGTTAAAGGAGACACTCCTAAAAAAGGGGTGGAGCTGCATGGAAAGAAAAAGAGTAACTTTGAAGCAATGGATATCTACACACAAACACACGCGCGCACACTGCCCAACTAGCCTGATATAACCAGCATGCTTAAGTCTAATAAAGACATAAAGGGTTTAATGTCGTAGAATAAGGTGTTCTGACAGGCTTGGCCTATGTCCCTTCCCTTTACCTTTGGAGAAGAAATGGGCAACAAAGCCTATTGTTCTGCTCACTCTATATGTGAATTTTGTTTGTGGGGAGTTCTGAGCTGCTCTCTACAGCCACATGGAATTAAGAAGCCTGTTTTTCATATAAGAATGTAATCTGAAACTATCAATTTCTATACCAGTAAAAAGTTTAGGAACTTTTACCATTTTGTCTTCTACTTCTGCAACATTTTTCTGAGTGTTGTGTTCCATAAAACTTTTGAACTTAGAAGAGTTTTGTAAGTAAACCACATTACAACCTGCTAAGGTTGTGATCTATTTTTGTGCTAGGAAGGTGGGATTTTCTGGAATTCATTGGAAAGGGCATATTTTAAGGTTTTACATCCTGTATTTCCATGCTTCTGTTTGCTGCATGTTTACCCATGCACACAAAGGAAGTTGCTCACAAAAAAACTGGAGAGTGCAGGATTGGGTCCTCCTGCTTAACGCTGTAAGCAGAACAGTCTGATTCTTCACTGAGCTGGTCCTGAATGAACAGCTTCTCCGCACACGAATGGAGAATGTGGAGATTAAAATTTTTCAGGGTACTGTTTTACATATCACTGCCTATGTCAAATAAATGATATCAAATGACAAGGATTACCTGCCAAGGCCAAAACTCCAGCATCTCTCCTTCCACCATTCTCCTATATTTGGCTCCAGGCAGGAACATGGCATGTAGAGCATGTGCTATGGCATAGACAGCAGTATAGAGACTGTAGCTGTGGCCAGACATGGTCATCTCAAAAACAGACGAAGGGAGATTCTCCAGATTCTCCTCTCCAGTGCAGGCTCCACTGGCCTGCTCCTTTGTACTGGAGTTTGAAAATAAACAGAGAAAGACTTGTACCCAGAACTGCTTGACAAAGCCATTTCCATTTGCCTCAAAAGGATTTTGTGCCTCAAGAAAAGCTTTGAATCCTTGTACCACATTTGAATGAACTGCAAAGGAGAGGGAACCCTGGAAGATTTGCATATCCAGGTTCATTTGCAAGGGTGGTGCTGTGAAATCCAGTTGTGCCGTCAGAATCCACACCTTGCCCTCAGATGTCTTGGTCACATTTTCCTTTTTTTAAAAAAATAAATTTTATTAACCGGCCAATCAAATCAAATCAAATCACATCACATAAATTCCGAATTACAAAGCCTAATTTTAAATTTTGTTGAGGGGACCAATATTTCAAGATCTGAAGGAGGATTCTGATCATCTTCTTGCTACTGCGTTAATATCCAAATCAGTCCAAACAAAGTTCATAATTCTATCCAGTCTTATCTTGCTGTTTCCACATCACATCTTGTTCATATATTTTCTCTTTTTTCTTTATGATCTCTTCTGATAGTCTCCTTAAGCTGATAAACACCAATAATAATCCTGTGTGAATTTTTCCGTTCTTCCAATCCTCAAATCAAGATGGTTTCCATATATCATCGCCTTCATAGATAACAACGCTCTTTCCATCATTAATTACAGAACTGTCATTCTTAAGTCCCTCTGAGGAGTTTCACCCACAATATAAAAACAGCTCTATTTCTCTATTTCTCCTCGCAGACTTAAGTCCTCCGACAGAAGTTCCCAATATGGCGATGATATTTTTAACTGCATCATTCCAAAGCCCTTATACATTCCACGCTCTTCTTAAAACATGCTTTGGTTCGAAAGTTTATCTGCACACAGCCTTAAATCCACAGCTTAAGTCCTTAAAACGACATTCCTGATTTGGGGGGGGGGTCTTGTTTAATCACATAAAGGAAAGAAAGGAAAGTTCCCCCCCCCTCCCCCATCAGTCCCTTTGCCATACAGAGTCTTGGCGTATCTTCTAATGATCTATACTTGTTCCTCCGACTCGTCTTGATTTATCAGAGACCTCTTCTGTTAGCAGTCTTTACTCCCCCTCCTTCCTTGAAATATGTGCATTCCTTCATCCAAATAGTTTCTTTTGAAGTTCTTGCAGCTAGTGGCAAGGATCAGGGACGGCGTCCAGGAGCGCCGAAATCCCACAGGAGGGCATTGTGCCTAGTGCCCCCATCCCCACAAATTCGGGGGTGGTATAGGGCACAGCAGGCAAGAGCAGCCCCCCACAATCCTGGGGGGGGTAGGGAGGCTATTTACTCCCATCACAGCCTCCAAATTACCTCGTGTGGGTCGGAGAGATGTTATTGTCAGCCATCTTCTGATGCGCCCCCTAGTGGGCCCCCCCGTCTTGGTCACATTTTCCATTTCACCTAGTGCTATCATTGTCTGCAATATAAGCATGGACCTTGTTCCTCCATAGACAACCACCACATTGGCTTTACTTTCCATAATAGCTTGATAAATTTGGATCCAGTGGAAATACATGATATAGTACTCAGCCAAATGTGTTTTTTTCCGGTTTGTCTCTGCGAAGGCCAAGCAAATACCTTTCTGGGAGAGCAGAGGTTTCAGCGTCTGAATAAATCTCTCTCCACTTTCTGCAGCAAGCAATCCAACCCACGTCCAAGCAAAGTGCAGAAGTAACTCAACAATCCCAGTGTACTGATGGGCGTCATTGGGCACCATTTTGTAGAAGGAAGAGGATTGGCTTTGACCAGCATCCTCTGGGGCAAAGGAGCCATAAGTGAGCTAAAGGGAAATAAAGGAGCATCATCTATAATTGCAGAAGGACTGGGCACGTGCATCCAGGGCCTGCCCACCCTGGAGGCAATATGAGCAAGTTGCCTCAAAAAAGCAGTTTCCAGAAAGCAGGGAGGGGTGTGTGGAATAATAAATAAATAAATAAATAAGAGCAGGAACGACCATGCCTGCCATGAGACACTGAGGTTCTGTTTTTAAACTCTTTGCCCACAAGAGATTCGCAAAGGGCCCCTTCTGTAGAACTTCTTATCTGTGCAAAATAATTTATTACAACCTGAGTTTAATTGCTGGAGATACTAAAAAGGAGACATAGCAGCTGTGAGGAGTAAACAGGCTAGCTGAATTGGATAATCCTCCCAAAGAGGCTCCTTTCCTTGTTAAAGTTGCCATTAGATGGCTAGGAACAGCGTTATCTATGAAAGAATGTATTAGAAGCCCACACTGACCCTGGAGAGTTGATAGATGTATAGGGTCTGGGTGACTCAGAATGGCAGAGAATAGTTAAGAGAGCATTGTGCATGCTTAAAAGCTTCATGAATATTAGTAAGCACGCCCCAGGCAGAGATACAGCTTAATCGTGTCCTCCCTTAAAGAGGGCATGTGTTGCAGTGAGACCTGGAATCCGATCCCCTGTGTTGTGGGTGGGTTAGATTGGTCAGCCACAGCACCCAGTTGGTAGGTCCCTCGATGCTGGGTTCAGTTTGGCCAATGGGGTGCAGTCCAAACAGATCAAGGGACCTATATATGCCTATGCACATGACCCAGAGCTTCCTCTTTGGGCGCATGCATTCGGAACACCCGCCCACCTCTTCCTACTTTAGGGCTTGTTGCACTTGACCTTGCTATGCCACCGTGTGTCATCTGTTGTTGGGACAGGGGCACGGCAAGAATTTTCCCCACTTGGCTGATTGGCTGTTGTCATTTGGGTTTCGCCTGCCACGTAGCAAATTGTCACAACTTGTAAGGTTGTGGATAGGCTCTGGTTCAGGTGATAGGGATGGGGGAATGCTCTCGCCATCCCTATGTGAAGGGTATTCTGTTAAAGGAATCCAGGGGCTCAAATGGTTTGGTCAACCCCTGTGAGGGGGTTGTGTCCGTGCCTGAGTCCAGGGGGACATCTGGGTGGCAGACATAGTCCATTCCTGACTTTTTGCCTATCCAGGTGTTCACCCTTGGCTGACCTATGCTGGAACCCTGGGTCAGCGCTACCTGCATGGCAGGGAGCTAGTCCAACCAGAGCCTATGCAACCACTCACTTTCTGTAATCAATAAAGTTGAGGCCTAAATTCTGCCAAAAACCAAAAGCAAAATTTGAGTCAAGTGTGAATTTATTTAGGGGGGAGGTTTCTGGGTCCGAACACTCAATTTACATGAACATGGGATGTATATGAATGGACATGGGATGTATGTAACAGTTGGGAGCACATGTCAAGAAGAAGACATGAAGAAGGCATGTCAGAAAAATATGTAACTACAGTTTCCTGACCAATAGGATACTGCAGGAAGGAATTTTGGACTGGTTAGGACTGGGTAGACAACCTAAGGCCCGGGGGCCGGATGTGGCCCAATCACCTTCTAAATCAGGCCCACGGACAGTCTGGGAATCAGCGTGTTTTTACATGAGTAGAATGTGTCCTTTTATTTAAAATGCATGTCTGGGTTATTTGTGGGGCATAGGAATTTGCAGGCTTCCAGCTTTGCAAGAGATCAGCTTCCATCCCCAACCAGTAGGCCATGAAGCAAAAGTGAGAGGGTGTCAGTCAGCAGCATGGAATTTCAATACATGTTTTAGGTGTGTGTGGATAAGGAAGTGAGGTGAGATGAGCACTCTTCCATCATCACATTACCTTCTCTCCATCCCAAGACACTTTTCAGTCAGTAAAAAAACAAGCTGCCAAACTCACTCAAGGGGTTGGGAGAGCAGGACTGGAGAGTGTTTTGAGGGCTACATTTTGTCCCTAAATCAGATATTCCTTATCCATGCTCTAACTCAGCAGCGTTAGCAAACTGCAGTTCCACTGGGGTATCATTTGCTGGTTCACCTCAGGCAGCAAAGGGTCTTGGGCTGGCCCTTGTGCATCTCTAATGACTGTGGTGGTAAAAATAAATATGTTGGCAGGGTGGATGGGAGGGAGGGAGATATCTTCACTTCACTCTCCCCTTCTCCATGGCATTTGGTGTGCTGCTACAGCACTCTCCTGTGGAAAAAGCACTTGAGAAAAACCACATTCCTGCAGCTCTCTGGCATGCAATACAGTGGCAGACCCTCCTAGTGTCCCTATTTTCCAAGGACAGTCCCAGATTTGCAGAAGCAGTCCCAGTTTCTGATTTGATCCCACAATGCCCCATTTTTCTTAGGATGTCCTTCTTTTCATCAGAAATGTTGGAGGGTATGGAGTTATCCAGTCCCTGAGCCATCTGAAGACAATCCCATATAAGGAAGTTTTTTAATTGTTTAATATTTTATTATGTTTTTACATATGATGGAAGCCACTCATAATGGCTGGGCAACCCAGTAAAATGGGTGGGGTATAAACAGTAACATTATTATTATGCAATAGGATATCCCTATGGAGGGGTGGCATCATCAGCTGAACCTGAGACACCAAGCTAGATGGACTTCTCAGACCTCCATCAGAGAGAAATGGTCAGTGTGCCTAAGAATGGGGGAGAGGAATGGCCACCTAGAGCAGACATGTTTTTATTATGCTGATAGCTGAAAGTCACCTGACAGCTTGATGCTACGCATTCTATTTAATTGTGCAAAGCACACTGGGAACACTTTTTGTGAAGGGCAGAATCACTCTCCTTTGTCTCTCACAACTATTTCTCTATTATACAAATCCTTTCTAGATAGAAAAGATCGTGATGAATGAGTGTGGAAACCCCCAAGGGTATCTTACCTGGGGAATCTTGTAGATGCCCAAGATGTTTGCCAGGTAGATGGAGGTATCCAAGTCCAGTCCCCCAATAACTGCCACCAGGTGTTTCTGGATGTTGCACTTGTAGTTGGGTATAAGGGTAGAGGGAAGGTTCAGAGCTGCCCGGTACATCATCCTTTCATCAAAATAATTGTCATAGATGTGGAAACCCAGTGTAATATTAGGTAAGATCCTGGGGTTCTCATTGATCTCCTTGATAGCAAATACCAAGGCCAGAATATGCTGGTAGTTCTTTGGCACAATACTGCAATGAGAATTTTATGCTGTATCATTGGGAGATAGGCTATGCATTTTCCCCCCTAAGGGGTCTCTTAAATGATTCTTCAAATTGGAGAAGTTTGAATTTCAAATGATGACTGTGTTTGGTTTCAATATATTTTTAAGAGTATTTTTTTTGGTAGCTTCTCATTTACAGTAAATATGAACTAAATTGAATTCCTCCCTTCCCAATAACGGAATATCGATATTTACTTTGGGGTTCATTATATACTTGACAACACTTTTTGAACATCCAAGAGATGCTCTTGTTGACACCAGTCTCTAACGCCTTTTCTCTCATACCAACTTCCTTAAGCCTCCACTCGTGTCCAGGTCACACACAGATTAGTTTAGCAGCTAGGTACAATCTAGGTTCTGACTGTCAAACTCCTCAGATTATATTCTTGGCTGCTTGGACAGCTCATCTCATTTAAGAAATGTGCTTTTATAATGTTCTTCTAATAAGAAGTGATTAGAATTTTAGCTTAATATAGGGCTCATTCAGACTTCCCCTAGTCCTGCCATTTTCCTCCAGGAAAACCTGATCTTTACCGCTGAATTGGAATTTACACCTCCCTCAGAACTTCTCCCAACTGACTGTTAACTGACATTTCTTCACTGATCACTACCTTCAGCTGAATACAGTTAGAATGTATCTAACCCAGGCCCTCTCTAGAAATATTAAATGCAGTCGACTAGCCCAACTTAGATGAGAACATCAGGGGCTCTAGGAGCACCACCTCAATGGAAAGGTGAACCATTAAGACCACTCACAGGAGAGTTTCTGAGGTGAAGATTAAGAACAGAGAAGGGCTTTCCATTTTAAACTACGGAGGGATGGTCTGTGAGTCCTCCCCTAGTTAAACTCTCCTTGGAAGAGATTTGGTGGGATGTGAGGAGGAGAGCACACATCAACAAGACCAGGCTCTCTCATCACACTGACACATTCAGCTCTGCATCTCCCTTCTTCCAAGCCAACTCTTCAGCTTTGGAAATGCCCCCCTCCATCTGCCTAGATATACATCACACTTAAATTCATGGAACTAGCTTCTGAGTAGGCCTGGTTAGAGCTAGGGGATATTTCAGTATCATCTGATTATTCGACATTTGAAGTGTTTACAAGGTATTTAGAAGCTGATGGGTAGTTAGCCTTTCTTTGAAGTTTTCTTCGTCAAAAGCAGTAAGGAGGTGGGAAGCAAGTCCGCCAACAATAAGATCACCAGGTTGGTAGTATTCATGTGGAATTCTGGACACATCATGGACGGTGCAACTCGTGTTATGTTTGCACACCAGATGTGGCAGACGAAAGAGAAGGGGCACAATAAACAGCAGCATACTGAAGCACATATTCTTTCTCATCAAACAGCCTTATTTCCATCCAGCACATGAGCCTTGCTTCACAACCACCCTCAGTACAATATTCTGCCTTATCACGAACATCACTTCTCTAACAATTCACAGTATAAAATCCTATTTTACAACTTGATGAAGAGAAAAGTGAAAATCCTTTCTCTTCTATCTCTTGCTTAAAATGGCAAGAAGATGTTATAATACCCATGTTTTGACACTGGTTAGTATTCTCTGGAAATCTACTGAGACATTATCCAAGGGAGACTTAGCTATGCGGAGAGTGATAATTACAGCTGTGGTGATAACAAGCTCTCTTTACATCAGGAACATCAGAAAATGACCAAAATACAAACAAACCCCTGCTTCTGATTTTTCATCCAAAGTGGCTTCTGTCTGTTTATGGGACGACAAAAGAGCATGCAGAATTAACAGCAATGAGGAAGAGAAGAACAGTGGGCTAGTCTCTTATCAATGCTGACCAGTGCAAATAATTAATCTGGCCTCCCAAAATTTCCCAACTGAACACCAGTTCATTAGTTTTCAACAATTACCTCAAGAACAGTTGCTGTAATTTAAACTTGGTAGCAGCCTTTGAACAACCTCTGTAAAAAAATTCACGCAAAAGGAAAAATACATGGATATTTTTACTTTATTACTAAACAAGTAGACAAGCTTATGCAATAGGTTTAAAATGAACGAAATATGGAAAGGACGGGAGGTCAGGCACTTTGGATGAAAATTTATTGTTAAAGTGCTTGTATTTTATCTGATTTTTGATTATTCGGTTTATTGACAATGAATTTAGGTTTATGTTGTACAGATGTAAGTAAGTACAATAAAGCATAATTTAAAAGCAAAAAAAGAGAGTTTTGTAGGTGGTTTGCATTGGTAGAAAGGAAAAATAGAAATCAAAAAAGGAGAATGCTCTGGATGCCAAGATTGGGGAATGAACATTTTGGTGAGAGATTCCCACAAACAACTATTTGTGTCCCTGACAGAAAAGCACCTCACAACTAGTCAGTGGGACACTATATAGAAGTAATAAACAAAAAGTAGTGTGTGGTAGTATTATATTTTCTAATAAAATGGAGCTTAATTTCACTCAAGTTCAAAATGCTTTTACTCCAAAATATTCATTCAGAAGCATCTCCCTTGCCAATCAGAAGGTCGCCCATTCGAATCTCCACGACGGGGTGAGCTCCCCTTGTTCGGTCCCTGCTCCTGCCCACCTAGCAGTTCAAAATTACGTCAAATTGCAAGTAGATAAATAGGTACTGCTCCAGCGGGAAGGTAAACGACATTTCCGTGCACTGCTCTGGTCCACTAGAAGTGGCTTAGTCATGATCACATGGCTGGCCACATGACCCGGAAGCTGTCTGCATACAAACGCAGGCTCCCTCGGCCTATAGAGGGAGATGAGCATGCAAACATCGGAGTCGTTCGTGACTGGACCGGTCAGGGGTACCTTTACCTTTTAAGTTTAAATAAACCCGCCAAGAACAGTCCAGGATATCGAAACAATTTAATTAATACGCAGTTATGGAGGGAGAGCGCTGGAGAGTTCTCATGGCTTGTGAGGGCAGAGACTGGAGGTGCAGCAGTGGCTTGTTTATGTGGCTCAGCCCCACCCCCACCTGACAGCTAATGTGCATAGAAGGGTAGCAGAAGCAGCAACTTTCCCCACACATCCTCCGTTCAGCCCCCAAAATTCCAGATGTGGGTAATTTAGGTGCAGCATTTTGGATCTGGGATGGAGATAGAGCAGTAGAGAAGACATTCAAAAGGTTTTAGAGGGTGCTCCCCATTTATCCAATCTTCATTTATGGGGGGGGGATTGAACATAACCGTCAAGTAAGTGGGGACTCACTCTACTGAAACCTCAGAGACATGACAGTAGCAACTCTACTGAAACCTTACTGAGAGGGGAAAAAACCTAGAAAGGAACTAGCCTTTTTAAAAAAATGCTTCTCAGTGTATTGATTTTTCTTGTTCAGTTTCTAATCAATTATCCTCTGAGGTTCTAGTCAGGTCTCAATATTTTATTGTACTCATAAAAGTTTTTTGGTTTCCAAATAAGCCTTAGGGTTAAAACAAGATGAGGGGCTCCTGTCTCAGAGAAACCATAGGGGATTTTAACAGCAATTGCAACACATAAAATACAACATAATTTAATGATGTGGATAAAGATAGATTATATTGCTCATAGTTTGGTGGAAAAAGCCCAAAAGGTGATGGCATAATTTATTATTTCCTCTTTATTAACTGCTCCTTGCTGTTCAGTTCAGGCCTCAACACAATGATGTAGCATTTGGGGGCAAAGATGGAGCCCAGTATCCCAGCACTGGAGGCCAAGATGGAGAAGATCTCCACAGCCACCATGTATTTCCCCTTGGTGCTCAGGTACACTGGAACAAAGGAGATCCAAACACTACAAAACAAGAACATGCTGAAGGTGATGAATTTGGCCTCATTGAAGCTCTCAGGCAATTTCCTGGCAAAAAAGGCCACAACAAAGCTGACAATGGCCAAAAAGCCCATGTAGCCCAGGACACAGTAAAACAGGGTGACTGACCCTTCGTTGCAGCCTAGAATGATTTCTCTCATCACAGACTGCATGTCAGAATCAGGGAATGGGGGAGAGGTTCCCAACCACACAGTGCAAATGCCTGCTTGGATAAGGGAACAAGAAAACACAATGGAGCTTGCCAGTCTTTTCCCCACCCACTTCCTCATTCGGGATCCTGGTTTGGTGGCCACAAAGGCCAGAACCACCGTGATCGTTTTGGCCAGAAGACAAGAAACGGTCACTGTGAAAACAAGGCCAAAAGCCATTTGTCGGAGCAGGCAGCTGACTCTTTCTGGAGGGCTGAGGAAGATCAATGGGCAGAGGAAGCAGAGCAGGAGGAAAGTGAGCAGAGTGTAGGTGAGGTCCCGATTGTTTGCTCTGACAATGGGTGTGTCCTGATGTTTAATGAAGATGACTAGGACCACCACTGTGAGGAGAGAGAGAGAAAGAGCCAACAATGCTAAGCTCATCCCCAGAGGCTCTTTAACAGACAGGAAGCTGATGGTTTTTGGAATGCATTGTGATTGGTTTCTGTGTGGATAGTGGTCCTTTGGGCATGCAACACAGTCAACCATGTCTGGAAAGAAAATAATACATTCAGATTTTGGATGTGTTGGAGAGCAACTGCTAACGGTGTGAGTATGGAACTGATAATGTTAAATTAGAGGTATCACACATATTTTCAGAGTAACCTGATTGAAAGTCATGCATGAGAACCCCACCTCAGAACATAGCTGTCAACGTTTCCCTTTCAGATTTCAGATGTGTTGCAAAGCAGCTACTAATGGTGTCAGTATGGAACTCATAAGATTAAATCAGATATATCACAGATATTTCCAGAGTAACCAGATTGAGAGTGATGCCTGAGAACCCCACCTCAGCACTTTGTGTTGGGTCATGTGCAGAGGCGGAGTTACTTGCTCTGACACCCAGAGCAGCATGTGGGCAGGACTAGCCAGTCCACAGGGGCAGGGCTAGCAGCCCACACGGCAAGCGTCCCTAGACCCCCTCCGCCCAAGCGGCAAGCGTGGGGGGCGCTGCTAGCTGCCCATGCAGCAAGTATCCAAGGGCACTGCCAGCGCGGTGAGCGTTGGGGGGAGGGTGGCGTGGCAATGTCAGCCCCCTCAGGGATTACACCCAGGACAGTCCACACCCCCCGCACCCTCCTTCCTCCGCCAGTGGTTGTGTGGCGTGTCCTGTGATGACTTACTAACTCCTCATAAACCATGTTGTGCAGTTTAGATGGACAAAGTTGGTAAGTACAAATAGAAATCAGCCTCGCATTATAATTGTTCAGAACAGGAACTCAGGATGTGTCATCCCAACTCAGATCTCTGGTCCATTCAGCTCAGCATTGCCTGCTGTATTTTAACATTCATCATGGGTGACAAATCCTTTTTTGTGGGGGGGGGGGGCAAGGACATATTCCATATTCCTTTATGGGGGCTGTGTGCCAATAGGGGTGGAGGAGAAATTTGATTTTGTTGACATTTGGATGGGAAAGTTATGTAAATTGTACTTCTTGACCAACACAAAGCATAATAGAGTTTCCCCCAAAAATGGTACAGTTCTCCAATCAAACAAAATGTACAAAATGCATATTTCCATAACTTTTCCATAATTTCTAACATTACTGATGTTTGAAAAGTACATCCCTTTTGTTTCTCACCTTTCTCAGATGAAATCTTTCCTTGAGGACATGGAGCACAAGCATAGCAGCAGAATGGCTCCCCCTCCTTCTTCTCCTTGCTGGAACCAGGAGGACAACTTGGGTTACACACAGAAAGGGGTGGAATCTGCCCATTTAAATAAACACTTAAACATTTTAGCACACAGAAATCATTAGCACTTTTTGTGTCCTTTTTCTTCCAGCCAGCAGTAGGAAGACACTAAACTACTTATTCGAAACTCAGTGCCAAGCTACTCATTTTGTGTTTGAAAAAAATTATACTTCATTATATCACTGTGGAAAAGAGGACTGCGAGAAAATGGAATCTTATTTGAGTGATTATTACATATTCCAAGTACCCAAAGAAAATCGGCCAGGTTTGAATGCACCTGTATTGATATTTGAATTTGTTGTTGTTGTTTAGTCGTTTAGTCATGTCCAACTCTTCGTGACCCCATGGATCAGAGCATGCCAGGCACTCCTGTCTTCCACTGCCTCCCGCAGTTTGGTCAGGCTCATGTTTGTAGCTTCGCAAACACTATCCAGCCATCTCGTCCTCTGTCGTCCCCTTCTCCTTGTGCCCTCCATCTTTCCCAACATCAGGGTCTTTTCCAGGGAGTCTTCTCTTCTCATGAGGTGGCCAAAGTATTGGAGCCTCAGCTTCAGAATCTGTCCTTCCAGTGAGCACTCAGGGCTGATTTCCTTCAGAATGGATACGTTTGATCTTCTTGCAGTCCATGGGACTCTCAAGAGTCTCCTCCAGCACCATTATTCAAAAGCATCAATTCTTCGGGGATCAGCCTTCTTGATGGTCCAGCTCTCACTTCCATACATCACTACTGGGAAAACCATGGCTTTAACTATACGGACCTTTGTTGGCAAGGTGATGTCTCTGCTCTTTAAGATGCTGTCTAGGTTTGCCATCGCCTTTCTCCCAAGGAGCAGGCGTCTTTTAATTTCGTGACTGCTGTCACCATCTGCAGTGATCATGGAGCCCAAGAAAGTAAAATCTCTCACTGCCTCCATTTCTTCCCCTTCTATTTGCCAGGAGGTGATGGGACCAGTGGCCATGATCTTCGTTTTTTTGATGTGGAGCTTCAGACCATATTTTGCACTCTCCTCTTTCACCCTCATTAAAAGGTTCTTTAATTCCTCCTCACTTTCTGCCATCAAGGTTGTGTCATCTGCATATCTGAGGTTGTTGATATGTCTTCTGGCGATCTTAATTCCGGCTTGGGATTCATCCAGCCCAGCCTTTCGCATGATGAGTTAAATAAGCAGGGAGACAATATACAGCCTTGTCGTACTCCTTTCCCAATTTTGAACCAATCAGTTGTTCCATATCCAGTTCTAACTGTAGCTTCTTGTCCCACATAGAGATTTCTCAGGAGACAGATGAGGTGATCAGGCACTCCCATTTCTTTAAGAACTTGCCATAGTTTGCTGTGGTCGACACAGTCAAAGGCTTTTGCATAGTCAATGAAGCAGAAGTAGATGTCTTTCTGGAACTCTCTAGCTTTCTCCATAATCCAGCGCATGTTTGCAATTTGGTCTCTGGTTCCTCTGCCCCTTCGAAATCCAGCTTGCACTTCTGGGAGTTCTCGGTCCACATACTGCTTAAGCCTGCCTTGTAGAATTTTAAGCATAACCTTGCTAGCGTGTGAAATGATTGCAATTGTGTGGTGGTTGGAGCATTCTTTGGCACTGCCCTTCTTTGGGATTGGGATGTAGACTGATCTTCTCCAATCCTCTGGCCACTGCTGAGTTTTCCAAACTTGCTGGCATATTGAGTGTAGCACCTTAACAGCATCATCTTTTAAAATTTTAAATAGTTCAGCTGGAATTCCATCACTTCCACTGGCCTTGTTATTAGCAGTGCTTTCTAAGGCCCATTTGACTTCACTCTCCAGGATGTCTGGCTCAAGGTCAGCAACCACACTACCTGGGGTGTACGAGACATCCATATCTTTCTGGTATAATTCCTCTGTGTATTCTTGCCACCTCTTCTTGATGTCTTCTGCTTCTGTGAGGTCCTTTCCACTTTTGTCCTTTATTATGGTAATCTTTGTACAAAATGTTCCTTTCATATCTCCAATTTTCTTGAACAGATCTCTGGTTTTTCCCATTCTATTGTTTTCCTCTATTTCTTTGCATTGCTTGTTTAAGAAGGCCTTCTTGTCTCTCCTTGCTATTCTTTGGAAATCTGCATTCAGTTTCCTGTATCTTTCACTATCTCCCTCGCACTTTGCTTGCCTTCTCTCCCCCGCTATTTGTAAGGCCTCGTTGGACAGCCACTTTGCTTTCTTGCATTTCCTTTTCATTGGGATGGTTTTAGTTGCTGCCTCCTGTATAATGTTACGAGCCTCCATCCATAGTTCTTCAGGCACTCTGTCCACCAAATCTAAATCCTTAAACCTGTTCCTCACTTCCACTGTGTTTTCATAAGGGATTTGACTTAGATTGTATCTTACCGGCCCAGTGGTTTTTCCTACTTTCTTCAGTTTAAGCTTGAATTTTGCTATAAGAAGCTGGTGATCTGAGCCACAGTCAGCTCCAGGTCTTGTTTTTGCTGACTGTATTGAGCTTCTCCATCTTTGGCTGCAGAGTATATAATCAATCTGATTTTGATGCTGCCCATCTGGTGATGTCCATGTGTAGAGTCGTCTCTTGTGTTGTTGGAAAAGAGTGTTTGTGATGACCAGCTTGTTCTCTTGGCAGAACTCTATTAGCCTTTGCCCTGCTTCGTTTTGAACTCCAAGGCCAAAATTGCCAGTTGTTCCTTTTATCTCTTGACTCCCTACTTTAGCATTCCAATCCCCTCTAATGAGAAGAGCATCCTTCTTTGGTGTCATTTCCAGAAGGTGTTGTAAGTCTTCATAGAATTGGTCAATTTCAGTTTCTTCAGTACCGGTAGTTGGTGCATAAACTTGGATTACTGTGATGCTAAACGGTCTGCCTTGGTTTTGGATTGAGATCATTCTATCATTTTTGAGATTGCATCCCAGTACAGCTTTCGCCACTCTTTTGTTGACTATGAGGGCCACTCCATTTCTTCTACAGTATTCTTCCCCACAGTAGTAGATACGATGGTCAGCTGAACTGAATTTGCCCATTCCCGTCCATTTTAGTTCACTGATGCCCAGGATGTCAATATTTATTCTTGCCATCTCATTTTTGACCACATCCAGCTTACCAACGTTCATGGTTCTTACATTCCAGGTTCCTATGCAATATTTTTCTTTACAGCATTGGACTTTCCTTTCACTTCCAGGCATATCTGCAATTGAGTGACCTTTTGGCTTTGGCCCAGCCGCTTCATCAGCTCTGCATCTACTTGTACTTGTCCTCTGCTCTTCCTCAGTAGCATGTTGGACGCCTTCCGACCTGAGGGGCTCATCTTCCAGCGTCAGAACTTTTATATGCTGGTTGTTTTTGTCCATGGAATTTTCTAGGTTGTGGGACATTGAACACCAGGAACTAACAGCAGCAGCAAAGAAAACATGCTCCCCTCTTCATGTGCTTTCTTGGGCACATGAAATTAACCACAATTATCTTGAATTTTTGCTCAATCCTCAAGAAAGAAGGGCATTTTCGCTGGCCAGGTTTAATTCAAATCCTTCAAACCTCCTATGGGGAAGCTTCTTGAGAATGGTGGAAGGAGAAAGAATTTGCACATGTGAAGACCATCAGGTGGAAACTCTTAAACATATGGTTCTTAAACGTAAACTATATGTTGATCTCCGCCAGCAGTTCCTAGGTATCTGAAGAAGTGTGCATGCACACAAAAGCTCATACCAATAAAAAACTTAGTTGGTCTCTAAGGTGCTACTGGAAGGAATTTTTTTTATTTTGTTTTGACTATAGCAGACCAACACAGCTACCTACCTGTACCTAACAACCAAAACAATATCAACCCCAGATCAAAAGGCGAGAGATACTTTAATCTGACAACAAACTGGGAGAAGAGGTATGTTTTCAGCTGGCGCCTAAAGATATGTAGGGAAGAGAGCCTCCTTGGAGGGGGACAGACTGATTTTTTTAAAATTCTTTGGCCCCCATTGTTTGAGTCTTCCTAAATCTAAGAAGTCCATTTCCTCATTCCACTGTTGGTGAGAAAAACAGCTGCCCACAAACTCAATAGTCCCTGCTTCCTTCCCATCGGAGCAACAAACACCTTATTCTTGACAAGAGACTCATGATATACCCTGGGATAGAGAGAGAGGCAAGGTAACAGTCACATGCATGCCATATCCAGATGCAGGACAAGGCTGGCCATGGGTGTTATCCTGGACAAGATGGGCCATTGGACTGATCCAGCAAGCTTTTCTTTTGTTCTTATGTAGTGCAGAGGAAAATCTAAAAATGCAATAATATTGTTTTCCTATATTTTATGGATGTAGGAAGTATGCCCCACCTGGTGAAAGCGTCTGTGCCAAACCATTCTGTTGTCATCAATGGAAAGTTGCTGGCCTGGGGTGGCTTGCACATCCACCCTTCCAACCTTAACCCTCACGAAGGAATTATTTGGAAAAGTGACCATGTTGGTAATATCAAAGCCAGCTTCTACTTCCATGTTCTCACCAAAAGATACAGTTTCTCCAGCAGAGTTGTTGAAGGAGACAGTCCTGAGGAAGGGATGGAGCTGCATTGGAAGAAAAATAGTAAATGTGAGGTAATGCATATGTCTCTCCTTTTTGGCACTCATGATGCCTCCAGTCTGGAACTGTAGCCATTATTGTAACCAACCTATGTTTGACTGCCTGCACAACTGACTGCTGTATGGAAAAGCACATGAATCTGACATTTGAAGAGCTTTGCAAGTAAACATGTATAACTTATTAATTATGTGACCTGTCTTTGTGCTAAGGAAGTGGGATGTTTTGGGATCAACTAGAAGGGGTACATTCTAAGGTTTTAACGCCCACATTGCATGCCATTATTTGCTGCATGAGTTGCCATATTAAATCTCTTCTAGGGTTCTCTCACCAAAGAGTCCAACAAGAATAATACTGTTTAGGAAGCTCAGCAAAAACTAAAAAAACAGGTTTTCAATCCTCTCCCTTACTGTTCCCCATCCCATTTCCCCAGCCACAGCTACTTTTTTCTCCAGGTCCACTGGCCTCTCCCTGCCAGCTCTCTTCTACTCATCTCAGTATAGGCACGGATCCTGCATGTAACTTGTATGTAGAGTGTCCGCCTTCACTAACAGGTTCTCTGCATGCAAAGGAAGTTGCTCACACAAAAACTGGGACAGGTCTGGTACTTCACTGTCTTACTCCATGAGTAGCTCTTCTGCACACAAGGGGAGAATGTGCTCTTACACTGGAGCTTGAAATTTTTCAGGGTGCTGTTTTACATATAAATTATATCTCATGAGGCATTACCTGCCAAGGACAAAGCTCCTGCATCTCTCCTTCCACCTCTGATTTGTATTTGGTCCTGGACAAGAACATAGCATGTAAAGCATGTGCCGTTGCATAGACAGCATTGTAAAGACTATAGCTGTGGCCAGACATGGTCATCTCAAAAGCAGACGAAGTGAGATTCTCCAGCTTCTCCTCTCCAGTGCAGGTTCCACTGGCCTGTTCCTCTGTACCGGAGTTTGGAAATAAACAGAGAAATACTTGTGCCCAGAATTGCTTGAGAAAGCCATTTCCATTTGCCTCAAAAGGATTTTGTGCCTCAAGAAAGGCTTTGAATCCTTGCACCACATTTGAATGAACTGAAAAGGAGAGGGAACCGTGGAAGACTTGCATATCCCAGTTCATTTGATAGGTCGTAGCCGTGAAATCCAGCTGTGCCATCAAAATCCACACCTTCCCTACAGACGTCTTGGTCACATTTTCCAATTCACCAAGAGCTACTATGTTTCTCAAGGTAAGCATGTACTTTGTTCCTCCATAGACAACCACCACCTGGGCTTCACTTTCCATAATAACGTGATAAATTTGGATCCAGTGGGGATACATGTCATAATACTCAGCCAAATATGTCGTTTTCAGGTTTGTCTCTGTGAAGGCCAAGCAAATGCCTTTCTGGGACAGCAGAGGTTTCAGGGTCTGAATAAATCTCTCTCCACTGTCACTTTCTCTAGCAAGGAATCCAACCCACGTCCAACCAAAGTGCAGAAGTAACTCAACAATCCCAGTGTACTGATGGGCTTCATTGGGCACCATCTTGTAGAAGGAAGTGGATTGGCTTTGACCAGCATCTTCTGGAGCAAAGGAGCCATAAGTGAGCTAAAAGGAAATACAGTAGCATCATGTATTATTGCAGAAGGACTGGGTTTGTGCATCAAAGGCATATCCACATAGGAGGCAAAATGAGCCAGTTGCCTTAAGAAGGCAGGTTCCAGAAAGCTGGGAGGGGTTGCAGATTGCACCCTGTGTTTCGCAGCCACCACCTCCTTCTCTGCCACCCCTGCATGCCCAGTTTACTGCGCTCCTGCTTTCCTCTCCTCCTTTGCTTCACCACAGCATTTCAGCTCCTGCTCTCATGGCGTCTTCCCTTCCTCTCTCAAACCACTAACACACAGAATCCCCATCAAGTACCACAATGTGTGGGCAGCTGACTCCTGATTGGCAGGCTTCCAGCTTTGCAAGAGAGCAGCTTCCGTCTCCAACCAGTAGGCCATGAAGCAAAGGTGAGAGGGTGTCAGTCGGCAGCATGGGATTTGGATACATGTTTCTAGGTGTGTGTGGACAAGGAAGTGGGGTGAGATGAGCACTCTTCCACCATCCCATTACCTTCTCTTCATCCATAGACACTGACAGTCTGATGCTTGGCGGAGAGGAATGGCTACCTAGAGCAGAAATGTTTTTATTATGCTGATAGCTGGCAGCTTGATGCTACACATTCTATTTAATTGTGCAAAGCACACTGGAAACACTTTTTGTGAAAGGCAGAATCACTCTCCTTTGTCTCTCACAACTATTTCTATATTAATAGAAATCTGGATAGAAAAGATCATGGTAAATTTATGTGAAATCCCCAAGGCAGTATCTTACCTGGGGAATCTTGTAGATGCCCAAGATGTTTGCCAGGTAGATGGAGGTATCCAAGTCCAGTCCCCCAATAACTGCCACCAGGTGTTTCTGGATATTGCACTTGTAGTTTGGTAGAAGGGTGGAGAGAAGGTTCAGAGCAGCCCAGTAGGTCATCCTTTCATCAAAATAATTGTCATAGATGTGGAATCCCAGTGTAATATTAGGTAAGATCTTGGGGTTCTCATTGATCTCCTTGACAGCAAATACCAAAGCCAAAATATGCTGGTAGTTCTTTGGCACCACACTGCAACAAGAATTTTATGCTGTATCACTGAGAGATATACTATGCATGTTTTTAAGGAGCCTCTTTATGATTCATCAGTATTTTAGTGGAAATAGTGCCCTTATATACAGTGGTACCTCGGGTTAAGAACTTAATTCATTCTGGAGCTCTGTTTTTAACCTGAAACTGTTCTTAACCACTTTAGTTAATGGGGCCTCCCGCTGCAGCCACGCCGCTACCGCACAATTTCTGTTCTCATCCTGAGATGAGGGGTCCATCATATACAGGGTGAGTCATTTAAAAGAGGCCCCCTGGAACATGTGTGCTCTTTATCCACGGGGCCTCTTTTAAAGGACTCACCCTGTACTTGACAACACTTTTTGAAGATCCAAAAGATCTTGCTGCTCGCACCAGCATCTAAATACTTTTATCTCATACCAACTTCCCTAAGCCTCCACTCCTGTCCAGTTCACACACAGATTGGTTTAGCAGCTAAGTACAATCTGCCTCTGACCGGCAAACTCCTCACATTATGGTCCTGGCTACTTCAACAGCTGAACTCCTTTAAAAATGTGCTTTTATAATGTTCCCCTGGTAAGAACTGAGCAGAATTTTAGCTTTATGTAGGGTTCATTCAGACTTCCCCTAGTCCTGCCATTTACCTCTGGAAAAATCTGTTCTTTACCACTTAATTGGAACTCATACCTCCCTCAACACTTCTGCCAACTGACAGTTAACTGACATTTCTTCAGTGATCACTACCTTCAGCTGAATACAGTCAGAATGTATCTGATTCAGTCCCTGTCTAAAATATTACATTCATCTAGCCTGACGTGGATCTTTGAGCACCACCTGAAAGGAGAGGTGAACCTTTAAGACCCCTCACATGAGCATTTCTGAGGTTAAGATTAAGAACAGAGAAGGGCTTTCCATCTTAAACTAGGGAGGAAGACATTGTGTGGGATGTGGGAAGGAGAGAACACATCAGCAAGACCAGGCTCTCTCATCTCACTGTCACATTCAGATCTGCATCTCCCTTCTTCCAAGCCAACTCCTCAGCTTTGTAAATGCCCCCCACCATCTGCCTGGATGTAAATCCCCCTGAAATCAGTGGAACTAGCTTCTGAATAGACCAGGTTAGAGCTGCAGGATATTTCAGTATTAATTGATTATTTGACATTTCAATTATTTACAAGGTATTAAGAAGTTGATGGGTAGTTAGCCTTTCTTTGAAGTCTTCTTTGTCAAAAGCAGTACGGAGGTGAGAAGCAAGTCCGCCAACAATAAGATGACCAGGTTGGTAGTATTCATGTGGAATTCTGGGCAGATCATGGATGGTGCAACTCATGGTCTGATTGCACACCAGATGTGGCAGATGAAAGAGAAGGGGCACAAGAAACAGCAGCATACTGAAGCAAATATTCTTTCTCATCAAACACCCTTACTTCCATGCATCACATGAGCCTTGCTTCACAGCCACCCTCAGTACTATACTCTGCTTTGTCATGAACAGCACTTCTTTAACAATTCACAAATTAAAATCCTATTTTATAACTTGATTAAGAAAATAGTTAAAATCCTTCCTCTTCCTCTGTCCTCTCCCTTCCTTAGAATGACAGGAAGAGGTTATAATACCCATGTTTTGACATTGGTTAGTATTCTCTGGAAATCTACGGAGACATTATCCAAGGGAGACTTAGCCATGCTGAGAGTGATAATTATAGGTGAGATAATAACAAGCTCTCTTTACATCAGAAACATCAGAAAATACCCAAACATAATAATAACAACTCTGTTTCTGATGTTTCATTCAAGGTGGTTTCTGACTGTTTATGGGACACCACAAGGGCATGCAGAATTAAGAGCAATGAGGAAGAGAAGAACAGTGGGCCAGTCTTTTATCAATGCTGACCAGTGCAAATGATTAACCTGACCTCCTAAAAATCCCACCTGAACACCAGTTCATTAGTTTTTTGATCATTATACCAGAACCAAAGAACGGTGAAAAGGACTGAGTTCCGTAGGTGGCTTGCAATGGTAGCAAGGAAAAATAGGAATCAAAAAAGAAGAATGCTCTGGATGCCAAGATCCAGGTTGGGGGCACAAACTCTTTGTTGAGAGATTCTCACAAACAACTCTTTATGTTCCTGATAGGAAAGCACCTCACAACTAGTTGGAGAGAGAAATATATAGAAGTAATAAATAAAATGTAGTGAATGGTGGTATTATATTTTCTAATAAAATGAAGCTTAATTTCACTCATGTTCAAAATGCTTTAACTTCAAAATATTCATTCAGATGCATTCTGCTCCACCTTATAACATTAAAAATACCAAAACTGTTATTCATTTAATTTTAAATTTAAAACCCCCCACCCCACCAGGAATGGTCTAGCATATATTGCCCATAACCAAGAGCATCCCCCACTGGACACGAATAATAACTACCATATGTTGTGGCGTATTATGTGACTTTTATCCCTGGAAAATCACCCCCAAAGTCAGGGGTCATCTTATACGCCGGGTATACGCGTTGGGAAGGAAGAGAGGGAGACGGTGAGCAGAGGCGCCCCTTCTGCCTTCGCCCCTCCTCCCTTCCCACAGAAGGGGGTGCAGAAAGTCCTTCTGAGCGAGGTGCACGCCCGCCCGCCAAACGCCTCACCTCAGGCTGCTGCTACTGCGATGGCAGAGGCAGCGGAGGGGTGCACGCTCTGCCCCTGGCGGCGCTCAAATTCGACAACTCTCATATTCTAAAATTTAACAGCAAAAGTTGGGGGTCCTAATACGCCGGAATCTACATTAAATAGTTATGGAGGAAGAGCGCTGGAGAGTTCTCATGGCTTGTGAGGGCAGAGACTGGAGGTGCAGCAGGGGGTTGTTTACGCTACTCAGCCCCCCCCCCCACCTGACAGCTAATGTGCATAGAAGAGCAGCAGAAGCAGCAACTTTCCCCCCACATCCTCCAGTCAGCCCCCCAAATTCCAGATGTGGGTATTTTAGGTGCAGTATTCCTGATATGGAAAGGAGAGAGAGCAGTAGAGAAGACATTCAAAAGGTTTTAGAGGGTGCTACCCACGTATCCAATCTTCATTTATGTGTGGGGGCACTTGAACATAACCCCCATGTAAGTGGGGACTCACTGTACTGAAATCTCTGAGACTGGTTCATCATGTCAGTAGCAACTCTACTGAAACCTTACTGAGAGGAAAATAACCTAGAAAGGAATGAGACTTTTTTTTTAAAAAAAAATTGCCTCTCAATGTATTATTTTTCCCTGTTCAGTTTCTAATCAATTACCCTTTGTGGTTGTAGTCAGGTCTCAATCTTTTATGGTACTCATCACAGTTTTTTGGTTTCCAAATAAGCCTAGGGTTAAAACAAGATCAGGGGCTCCTGTCTCCAAGAGACCACAGGGGATTTTAGAAGAAAGTGCACATAGGAATCGCAACATGTAAAATACAACCTAATTGAATGGTGTGGATAAAGAGAGATTAAATTATTCATAGTTTGGTGGGAAAAAACCAAAGGATGAAAGGATAATTTATTATTTTCTCTTTATTAACTGCTCCTTGCTGTTCAGATCAGGCCTCAACACAATGATGTAGCATTTGGGAGCAAAGATGGAGCCCAGTATCCCAGCACTGGAGGCCAAGATGGAGAAGATCTCCACAGCCACCATGTATTTCCCCTTGGTGCTCAGGTAGACCGGAACAAACGAGATCCAAACACTACAAAACAACAACATGCTGAAGGTGATGAATTTGGCCTCATTGAAGCTCTCAGGCAATTTCCTGGCAAAAAAGGCCACAACAAAGCTGACAATGGCCAAAAAGCCCATGTAGCCCAGGACACAGTAAAACAGGGCAACTGACCCTTCATTGCAGCCTAGAATGATTTCCCTCATCACAGAGTGCATGTCAGAATCAGGAAATGGAGGAGAGGTTCCTAACCATACAGTGCAAATGCCCACTTGGATAAGAAAACAAGAAATCACAATGGAGCTTGCCAGTCTTTTCCCCACCCACTTCCTCATTCGGGATCCTGGTTTGGTGGCCACAAAGGCCAGAACCACCATGATCGTTTTGGCCAGCACACAAGAAACGGTGACTGTGAAAACAAGGCCAAAAGCCATTTGTCGGAGCAGGCAGCTGACTCTTTCTGGAGGGCTGAGGAAGATCAATGGGCAGAGGAAGCAGAATAGGAGGAAAGTGAGGAGAGTGTAGGTGAGGTCCCGATTGTTTGCTCTGACAAGTGGTGAGTCCTGGTGTTTAATGAAGATGGCTAGGACCACCACGGTCAGGAGAGAGAGTGAAAGAGCCAACAATGCTAAGCTCATTCCTAGAGGCTCTATAAAGGACAGGAAGCTGATGGTCTTTGGAATGCATTGTGATTGGTTCCTGTGTGGATAGTGATCTTCGGGGCATGCAACACAGTCAACCATGTCTGGAAAGAAAATAATACATTCAGATTTTACATTTTAGATACTTTTTAGATTTTAGATTAGAGCAACTGCTAATGCTGCAAGTATGGAACTCATAATTTTAAATTAGAGGTATCACAGATATTTCCAGAATAACCAGATTGAAAGCGATGCATGAGAATCCCACCTCAGCCTTTGTGTTCGGTTATGTGGGGTGTCCTGTGATGGCTTGCTAACTTCTCATAAACCACATTTTTATTGTCCAGAACAGGCACAGTCCATGACCATTTTGCACAGAGGTTCCATTCCCAGCCCTGTTCCACACCCTTTGCTGACCCCATTCCACCCTGCCCAGGTGTGCGATTGAGAATCAATCAGACGCATGTTTGTTTGTTATTGCCTTAATTAAGATAGGTGGCTCATACCATGTGCTATCACTGGTGCATTTAATTCAAAATTGCTTGCTGTATTTTCACCTGTGACAAAGATTACATCATGGGTGACAAACCTATTCTTTTTAGGAGTGGGTCCCTAATCCTTTATGGGGGCTATCTACCAATTGGTACGGAGACAATTTGGTTTTTATGCCACTTGAATGAGAAAGATATCTAAATTGCACTCCTTGAATCAACACGTAAACCAAAGTAAATTTTCCCTTAAAATTTATACTTCTCTAAACATTTGCGATGCAGTACTCCAATCAAACAACATGTACAAAAATGCAAAGGTTACCAATTCTTTATTTATCCTTTTCTGCAACTTCTAACATGCCTTATTTTTGAAAATCGTATATCCTGTGTCTCTTACCCTTCTGGGACGAAATCTTGCCTTGAGGACATGGAGCACAACCATAGCAGCAGAATGGCTCCCCCTCCTTCTTCTCCTTCCTGGAACCAGGAGGGCAATTTAGGTTACATACAGAAATAGGTGGAACCTGCGCATTTAAAGAAACAGATAAACTGTTTAGCACAGAGAAGTAAGTAGCACTTTTGGTTTCTTTTTTCTTCCAGCTGGCAGTAGGAAGACACCAAACTACTTATTCGAAACACAGTGCCAGGCTACTCATTTGGCTCTTCATGGTTTTTTAAAAAAATAATAAACCAAAATAATGCGGAAACTGACCATGTTTGAGCCCCTTTCTGGCATTCAGAAAGAATGCATGATAGCTGAAATAGGGAAGGGGATTGGGGGTTCATCTTTGCCAGCCCTGCCCCTTTTTGTCCCCATATATAAAGTAATACCTTTTACACCTCCAATTTTCCAATCGCAGCAAGTGTAAAAAATAATAACCATGCTTTGTGAAGATGACAGAAGCGTAGTGCCGAAAATGATCTACAAATGTGGAGACCTTGTGGAGTGTGGTCTCACCAGCTCTGCCCATATTGTTCCCATAGCTGTTCCACCAATCATCTCTGCATACTAAGCAGAAAGCTCTGACAGGCTGAACACACTGAGAAGCCTCCCTGTTATTTGGAATTTTCTGTTCTTATCTCAGTCCCCAAATATGAGGAGTCACTAAACAAGTTCAGCCAAATGTTCTTAGAAGCCCCCTTCACAGCCATGCATTTTATCTTAACAGGTGCATTTTCAAGTGTATTTAATCCTACCAGATGTATTGTTCAAATAATATTATTACTTTTTTGAGGTGAGACACAAGATCCACAGAAATTTGAAACCTGTTCCAATATGTGTACTAGTCTGAGAGGTATAAAATTATAGACAATATGAAATTCTCCTCCACCCATGCCTACAGTTCATTTTTCCTTAGGATACAAGTGGCTAGCATAAGCACACTTCTTGCTGTTTTTTAAAAAGGAACATGAATAATGGAATGTGTGGTTTGTCTTAAAGGTAAAGGGACCCCTGACCATTAGGTCCAGTCGTGACTGACTCTCGGGTTGTGGCGCTCATCTCACTTTATTGGCCAAGCGAGCCGGCGTACAGCTTCTGGGTCATGTGGCCAGCATGACTAAGCCGCTTCTGGCGAACCAGAGCAGTGCACGGAAACAGCGTTTACCTTCCCGCTGAAGCGGTACCTATTTTCTATTTGCACTTTGACGTGCTTTCAAACTGCTAGGTTGGCAGGAGCAGGGACCAAGCAACGGGAGCTCACCCCGTCACGGGGATTCGAACCGCCAACCTTCTGATCGGCAAGTCCTAGGCTCTGTGGTTTAACCCACAGCGCCACCCACGTCCTGTGGTTTGTTTTAGGTGTCTCAATAAAATTAGGGCTGCCATATGTCCGGGATTTCAAAGGCGGAAGCGGCGTCCTGGGGAAAGTTCTGGAAGGTGGAGGTTTGTCCTGGATCTTTGGCAAGTAAAACAAAAATCATGGGATTTTGGCATGTTTGTCGAGGGAGATTCAGGGAGTCCTGAAATAGGTCAACCCTAGTATAATTGAAAGGTGTGGTAGCTTGGGTGTGATTCACACACACACACACACACACACACACACACACACATACCCATTATGTCTAAGAAATTCATTAGAGGTTTTCGGCTGGTGCCTCTTCTTCTTCCCAAGAGACTCATGAAATACACTGGGATAAAAAGAGCCCCAAATCAAAAGCCACATGCCATATCCAGAAGCTGGACAAGATTGGCCAATGGCAATATTCTGCACTAGTTGGGCATTGATCTGAGCCAGCAAGATCATCTTATGTTGTGATTCCTGCATCGCGGACCACATGACTTCCAACTCTAAGATTCTATTATTCTTACACAGTGCGGAGAAAAAATGTTTACAATCTGGCTAGAAAGGCAGGTATGTGCTGGACTGATGATCTGTAAGTAAAATAACATTATATTTTCCTATCTCTCATAGATGTAGGAACTATGCCTCACCTGGTGAAAGCTTCTGTGCCACACCATTCTGTTGTCATCAAGGGTGAATGGCTGGTCAGGTGTAGCCTCCACATCAACCCTTCCAACCTTGACCCTCACGAAGGAGTTATTTGGGAAAGTGACCATGTTGGTAATATCAAAGCCAGCTTCTACTTCCCTGTTCTCACCAAAAGATACAGTTTCTCCAGCAGAGTTGTTGAAGGAGACAGTCCTAAGGAACGGATGGAGCTGCATTGAAATAAAAATAGTAACTGTGAGGTAATGGATATGTCTCTCCTTTTTGGCACTCACGATGCCTCCAGTCTGTCTGTACAGTGTTTTCTATACCAATATTTTAGGAACTGTAGCCATTATTGTAACCAAGCTATGTTTGACTGCCTACACAACTGACTGCTGTATGGAAAAGCACATGAATCTGACCTTTGAAGAGCTTTGCAAGCAAACAATGTATAACCTATTAATTATGTGACCTGTCTTTGTGGTAAGGAAATGGGATATTTTGGGATCAGCTAGAAGGGGTACATTTTAAGGTTTAAACGCCTACATTTCATGCCTTTATTTGCTGCATGAGTTGCCATTTTAATTCTCTTCTGGGGTTCTCTCAGCAAAGAGTCCAACAAGAATGATATTGCTTAGCAAGCTCAGCTAAAACTACAAAATAAAAAGGTTGAAAGTCCTCTTCCTTGCTGTTCCCCATCTCATTTCCCCAGCCACAGCTACATTTTTCTCCAGCTCCACCTGCCTCTCCCTGCCAGCTCTCTCCTACTCATCTCAGTCTAGGCTGGGATCCTCCCTGTAACTTGTGTGCAGTGAAGCTGCTTTGGAAGTAGCAGCACAGTGCAGGATTGGATCCGCCTTCACTAACAGGTTCTCTGCACGCAAAGGAAGTTGCTCACAAAAAAGCAGGACAGTGCAGAATAGGATCCTCCTGCTTAAGAGCTGTAAGCAGAACTGCCTGATACTTCCCTGTGCTAGTCCTTAATGAGCAGCTTCTCTGCACACAAGGGGAGAATGTGGTCTAGTAGTGAGAGCTTGCAATTTTTCAGGGTACTGTTTTGCATATCATTGCCTATGTCAAATTATAACTCATGAGGCATTACCTGCCAAGGCCAAACCTCCTGCATCCCTCCTTCCACCACTGCCCTGTATTTGGTTCTGGACAAGAACATGGCATGTAAAGCATGTGCCGTTGCATAGACAGCATTATAAAGACTGTAGCTGTGGCCAGCCATGCTCATCACAAATGCAGATGAAGGGAGATCTTCCAGCTTCTCCTCTCCAGTACAGGTTCCACTGGCCTGCTCCTCTGTATTGGAGTTTGGAAATAAACAGAGAAATACCTGTGCCCAGAACTGCTTGACAAGGCCATTTCCATTTGCCTCAAAAGGATTTTGTGCCTGAAGAAAGGCTTTGAATCCTTGTACCACATTTGAATGAATTTTAAAGGAGAGGGAACCCTGGAAGACTTGCATATCCACGTTCATTTGATAGGTCAATGCTTTGAAATCCAGCTGTGCCGTCAGAATCCACACCTTGCCTACAGACGTCTTGGTCACATTTTCCAATTCACCAAGAGCTACTATGTCTCTCATGAAAAGCATGTACTTTGTTTCTCCATAGAAAACCACCACCTTGGCTTTACTTTCCATAATAACTTGATAAATTTGAATCCAGTGGGGATACATGTCATAATACTCAGCCATATATGTCGTTTTCAGGGTTGTCTCTGAGAAGGCCAAGCAAATGCCTTTCTGGGAGAGCAGAGGTTTCAGGGTCTGAATAAACCTCTCTCCACTGTCTCCACTAGCAAGCAACCCAACCCATGTCCAGCCAAAGTGCAAAAGTATCTCAACAATCCCAGTGTACTGATGGGCTTCATTGGGCACCATCTTGTAGAAGGAAGTGGATTGGCTTTCACCAGCATGCTCTGGGGCAAAGGAGCCATAAGTGATCTAAAGGGAAATAAAGGAGCATTATTTATAAATGCAGAAGGACTGGGTATTTGAACCCAGGGGGCAAAATGAGCCAGTTACCTTAAGAAGGCAGGTTCCACAAAGCTCCTCTGCCCTCCTTTTCTTTATCCACTGTGATCTCTAGGCTTTTTCTCTACTGCTGCTTTTCTCTCCCCTGTTTCTTTCATGTTGCTTCACCACAACATTTCAGCTCCTGATTTCATGGCCCCTTCCCTTCCCTTCCCTTCCCTTCCCTTCCCTTCCTCTCTCAAGCCACTAACACACAAAATCCCCATCAAGTCCCAGAATGTGTGGGCAGCTGATTTCTGATCGGCAGGCTTCCAGCTTTGCAAGGGAGCAGCTTCAGTCTCCAACCAGTAGGCCATGGAGCAAAGGTGAGAGGGTGTCAGTTGGAAGAATGGAATTTGGATACATGTTTTTAGGTGTGTGTGGACAAGGAAGTGGGGTGAGAGGAGCACTCTTCCACCATCCCATTACCTTCTCTTCATCCATAGACACTGACAGTCTGATGCTTGGTGGAGAGGAATGGCTACCTAGAGCAGACATGTTTTTATTATGCTGATAGCTTAATGTCACCTGACAGCTTGATGCTACACATTCTATTTAATTGTGCAAAGCACACTGGGAACACTTTTTGTGAAAGGCAGAATCACTCTCCTTTGTCTCTCACAACTATTTCTATATTAAACAAATCCTTTCTGAATAGAAAACATCATGGTGAATGAGTGTGGAAACCCCAAGACTGTATCTTACCTGGGGAATCTTGTAGATGCCCAAGATGTTTGCCAGGTAGACAGAGGTATCCAAGTCCAGTCCCCCAATAACTGCCATCAGGTGTTTCTGGATATTGCACTTGTAGTTTGGTAGAAGGGTGGAGAGAAGGTTCAGAGCAGCCCAGTAGGTCATCCTTTCATCAAAGTAACTGTCATAGATGTGGAATCCTAAGGTGATATTAGGTAAGATCTTGGGGTTCTCATTGATCTCCTTGACAGCAAATACCAAGGCCAGAATATGCTGGTAGTTCTTTGGCACAATACTGCAACAAGAATTTTATGCTGTATCAGTGGGAAATATCCTATGTTGTTGTTTTTTAATCTGCTTCTTAATGATTCTTTAATATTTTAGTGCAAATTGTGCCCCAATATACTCATATCTACAGAACATTTCCCACTGAAATAATGCATTGTATTCCAATTCTATTCCAGTTACACTAATATATGAATTTTTATGCACACTTTGCCTACATATATTCATTTTTGTTTACATTGTTTGGCTGGAGAACTGTTTTGAACAATTTGGAGAAATGTGAATTTCAAATGATGGCTGTGTTTTGGTTTTTATAACTACTTAGAGCAAAGAAAGTTTGGTAGGTTCACCTTCAAATATGAACTGATTTGAATTGCCTCCTTCCCAAGAATGGAATACTGATGTTTACTTTGGGGTCCATCATATACTTGACAACACTTTTTGAAGACCCAAGAGATGCTGCGGCTGACAGAAGCATCTAAAGCCTTTTATCTCATACCAACTTCCCTAAGCCTCCACTCCTGTTCAGTTCACTCACAGATTAGTTGAGCAGCTAGGTACAATCTAGGTTCTGACTGGCAAACTCCTCAGGCTATATTCTTGGCTGCTTGGACATCCAAGCTCCTTTAAAAAATCTGCGTTTCTAATGTTCTTCTGGTATGAACTGAGCAGAATTTTGGCTTAATGTAGGGTTCATTCAAACTTCCCCTAGTCCTGCCATTTCCCTCAGGGAATACCTGATCTTTACTGCTCAATTGGAACTCACACCTCCCTCAGAACTTCTCCTAACTGGCAGTTAACTGACATTTATTCACTGATCACTACCTTCAGCTGATTGCAGCCTGAATGTATCTGATCCAGGCCCTGCCTATAAATATTAAACGCAATTGTCTAGCCTGACTTGGACGAGAACATCAGATGTTATTCGAGCATCAGGGGTTATTCAAAGGAGAGGTGAGACTTTAAGACACTTCACAAAAGAGTTTCTGAGGTGAAGATTGAGAACAGAGAAGGGCTTTCCATCTTAAACTAGGGAGGTTCAACCTGTGAGTCCTCTCGTTAAACTCTCCATGAAAGAGATTTGGTGGGATGTGGGGAGGAGAGAACACATCAACACGACCAGGCTCTCTCATCTCAGTGACACATTCAGATCTGCATTTCCCTTCAGTGGAAGTAAATCCCACTGAAATCAGAGGAACTAGCTTCTGAGTAGGCCTGGTTAGAGCTGGGGGATATTTCAGTATCATTTGACATTTGATGTCTTTACTGGATATTAAGAAGTTGATGAATAGTTAGCCTTTCTTTGAAGTCTTCTTTGTCAAAAGCAGCAAAGAGATGAGAAGCAATTCCGCCAACAATAAGATGACCACGTTGGTAGTATTCATGTGGAATTCTGGACAGATCATGGACGGTACAATTCGTGGTATGTTTGCACACCATAAGTGGCAGATGAAAGAGAAGGGGCACAATAAACAGCAGCATACTGAAGCAAATATTATTCTCATCAAACAATCTTATTTCCATCCAGCACATGAACCTTCCTTCACAACTAACCTCAGTACAATATTCTGCCTTATCACGAACAGCACTTCTCTAACAATTCACAGATTTAAATCCTATTTTACAACTTGATTAAGAAAATAGTTAAAATCCTTCCTCTCCTCTCCCTTGTAAAGAATGGCAAGAAGAGGTTATAATACCCATGTTTTGACATTGGTTAGTATTCTCTGGAAATCTACTGAGACATTATCCAAGGGAGACATAGACATGCTGAGAGTGATAATTATAGGTGAGATAATAACAAGCTCTCTTTACATCAGGAACATCTGAAAATGCCCAATAATAATAATAATAACCCTGTTTCTGATGTTTCATTCAAAGTTCTTTCTGACTGTTTTATGGCTCAACAATAGGGCATGCAGAATTAACAGCAATGAAAAGAGAAGAACAGTGGGCCAGTCTCTTATCAGTGTCAACCAGTGGAAAAGATTAATCTGACCTCCTAAAATTTCCCACCTGAACACCAGTTGATTAGTTTTCTGACAATTATACTGAGATGAAATAATGGTGAAAAGGACAGAGTTTTGTAGGTGGTTTCGTTGGAAGCACGAAAAAATAGGAATCAAAAAAGGAGAATGCTCTGGATGCCAAGATCCGGGTTGAGGGCACAAACTCTTGGTTGAGAGATTCCCACAAACAACTATTTATGTTCCTGATAGAAAAGCCCCTCACTACTAGTTGGAGGGAGTAATATATAAAAGTAATAACTAAAAAGTAGTGAATGGTGGTATTATATTTTCTAATAAAATGGAGCTTAATTTCACTCAAGTTCAAAATGCTTTTACTTCAAAATATTCATTCAGAAGCATTCTGCCCTATCTTATAACTATAAACCCATTAAAAATACCAAAATTGTTATTCATTGAATTCTAAGTTTAAAAACCCCTCCAGGAATGGTCTAGCATATATTGCCCATAACCATGGGCATCCCCCACTGCACACGAATAATAACTAAATACTTAATTAATACCCAGATATGGAGGGAGAGAGCTGGAGAGTTCTCATGGCTTGTGAGGGCTGAGACTGGAGGTGCAGCAGTGGCTTGTTTATGCTGCTCAGCCCCACCTGACAGCTAATATGCATAGAAGAGCAGCAGAACCAGCAACATTTCCACACATCCTCCAGTCAGCTCCCAAAATAACAGATGTGGGTATTTTAGGTGCAATATTCTTGATTTGGGATGGAGAGAGAGAAGTATAGAAGACATTCAAAGGATTTAGATGGTGCTTCCCACTTATCAAATCTTCATTTATGGGTGGGCACTTGAACATAACCCCAAGTAAGTGGGCACTCACTGTTCTGAAATCTCTGAGACAGTAGCAACTCTACTGAAACCTTACTGAGAGGAAAATAACCTAGAAAGGATCAAGCTTTAAAAAAAAAATGCCTCTCAGTGTATTGGTTTTTTTGTTCAGTTTCTAATCAATTGCCCTTTGAGGTTCTAGTCAGGCCCCAATATTTTGTGGTACTCATAACAGTTTCTTGGTTTTCCAGATAAGCCTTAGGTTTAAAACAAGATCAGGGGCTCCTAGCTCAGAGGGACCACAGTGAATTTTGTTAAAGAAATTGCACATAGCAATTGCAACACATAAAATACAAGATAATTTAATGATGTCGATAAAGAGAATTATATTGCTCATATTTTGGTAGAAAAAACCCACGAAAATGATAGGATTTTTTATTGCTCCTTGCTGTTCAGATCAGGCCTCAACACAATGATGTAGCATTTTGGGAAAAAGATAGAACCCAATATGCCAGCACTGGAGGCCAAGATGGAGAAGATCTCCACAGCGACCATGTATTTCCCCTTGGTGCTCAGGTAGACTGGAACAAACGAGATCCAAACACTACAAAACAAGAACATGCTGAAGGTGATGAATTTGGCCTCATTGAAGCTCTCAGGAAGTTTCCTAGCAAAAAAGGCCACAACAAAGCTGAAAATGGCCAAAAAGCCCATGTAGCCCAGGACACAGTAAAACAGGGCAACTGACCCTTCGTTGCAGCCTAAAATGATTTCCCTCATCACAGAGTGCATGTCAGAATCAGGGAATGGGGGAGAGATTTCTAACCACACAATGCAAATGGCAGCTTGGATAAGCGAACAAGAAATCACAATGATGCTTGCCAGTCTTTTCCCCACCCATTTTCTCATTCTAGATCCTGGTTTGGTGGCCACAAAGGCCAGAACCACCGTGATCGTTTTGGCCAGAACACAAGAAACAGTCACTGTGAAAACAAGGCCAAAAGCCATTTGTCGGAGCAGGCAGCTCACTCTTTCTGGAGGGCTGAGGAAGATCAATGGGCAGAGGGAGCAGAGCAGGAGGGAAGTGAGGAGAGTGTAGGTGAGGTCCCGATTGTTTGCTCTGACAAGTGGTGTGTCCTGATGTTTAATGAAGATGGCTAGGACCACCACTGTGAGGAGAGAGAGGGACAGAGCAAACATTGCTAAGCTCATCCCCAGGGGCTCTTTAAAAGACAGGAAGGTGATGGTCTTTGGAATACATTGTGTTTGATCTCTGTTTGGATAGTGGTCTTCAGGGCACCCAACACAATCTTCCATGTCTGGAAAGAAAACAATACTTTCAGATTTCAGATGTGTTGGAGAGCAACTACTAACGGTGTCAGTATGGAACTCATAAGGTTAAATTACAATTTTTGCAGGTATTTCCAGACAAACCTGAGTGTAAGTGTGAATGAATGAGAATCCCAGCTTAGCACTCTGTTCTGGGCCATTCAGCATACCCTGTGATGTCACACTAACCCCCCAGTTTAGATGGATAAGGGTGGTAACTACAAATAAATATCATGCTTGTCTTAATTACTCAAGTGTGGTACATTATTGGAATCAATCCATCAAATCATGTTTTGCTAGACAGGCACACGAAGCGGCTAAGGTCACAGAACTTTCCTGTAAATTTTGCTGCCGAGGACTCTGTGAGATCACTTCCTTTGTTTGCCTTGGCAGGCAGCTATAACACTACTCCTTCCTGCTTGGGCATCTCCCTCTTTTTCTTCGTCATGCCTCAGATTTTGTACTTTTGTAATTTATCAGTTAGAAACCTGCCTTCATTTTGCTACTGTAACTGCTGCTTCGAAAACTTGATTATGTAAATACTACTTTCATTTCTTTACAAAACAAAGTGTACATGATTGTTCTTTTTAAGGAGGAGAAAAGGGGTAATATGAGGGAAAATCCAGTTTGCCACCAAGCATCCTGGATTATTTCTAGAAGGTTAAATCAATGTCATTTTAGCTTCCAAGTTTAAAGTTGCAAAGGGTGATACCCTCCTGATCTCACTCCTGTGAGCAAGGGATTATAATGACTAAATTATATATCCTCTCCTTGTAGCTAATTCTAGTCCTACATTCAGAACAGGAACTAAGGAAGGTGTCTTATGGCAAGTCGGATCACTGGCCCAGCTAGCTCAGTATCGCCTGCCGTACTTTAGCCTCTGACAAAGATTAGATCATGGGTAACTAACCTTTCCTTTTTAAGACAAGGTTCATTCCTTGGGGGAGAGGCTCTCTGCCAATATGGATCAAGGTGAAAATTACTTTTGTTGATATTTCAGTGGGAAAGTTACCAAAATGGCACTCTTTGAACCAACACATGAACCAAAGTATTGTTACCCTGCAAAATGTGTACATCTCCAAAATTTGTGATGCAGTTTTCTAATCAAGTGATATGTACAGCAATGCAACATATTCCCATTTATCTATCTATCTATCTATCTATCTATCTATCTATCTATCTATCTATCTTCTTCCATGGTTTCTAACATGACATTTTATTTATTCATCTATCTATTTATTAAATTTGCATACCACCTGTCAGGGAACTGACATCGGAGCCAGAGGCGGAGGCTAGGCTCTCAAGCGATGCTGGAGAAGGGCCCAGCAGGGGGAGAGGCGGCTCACCAGCTGGGGAAAGAAATCAGCGTAACACCAGGGATAAAGGGGGGCAGATGGGGAATCGGCGAGGGGCTCCAGGACTCCTCGCCGGAGATCAGCGAGGAGAGCACGGGTCCTCCGCTTCCCACGCCCTCCCTGCGCAGAAGGCTTCCGCGCAGGGAGAGTAGGAGGAGACTTGGAGTCAAACAACTTTTATGCTGGAAAAGGTTTAAGAAACGCCCACTGACGGATTCTGCTAGCGACTGAACAGCCACGAAGTGCAGGGCTGTCCAGACAGAAAAGGTTTAACAAGGCAACCGAGCCAGGAGTGGCACCAACTTGCGCACGAGCAACCCCTACATTTATTACACCACCTTTCACCCAAAAGTAACATCACTGGCCCACTTAGCTCAGTATTGCCTGCTGTATTATAAACTCTGACAAATAATAGAACATAGGTGACAAAACATTTCTTTTTAGGTCAAAGTCCATATTTTTTTTTAATGGGGCTGTCTTCCAATAAGGATGGAGGAGAAATTTGGTTTTGTTGCCATTTGAATGGGAAAGATCTAAATTGCACTCCTTGAACTAACACATGAACCAAAAGATAGTTGTCCCGAAAGATATGTGCTTATCTTCAAGCTTGCAATACAGTTTTCTGAACAAACAATATGTACAAAAATGCACATATTACTAATTAAAGTGGAACCTGGGTTTTAAAATTTCTCAATTGACAAATGTTTTGGAACTCAAATGCCGAAAACGCGAAAGTAAATGGCTTCTGTTGAGATACCACTGTATTTTTCTCAATTTTCTCTGTAAATTTGCAGACCGCCCTTTGTGCCACAGTTTTTGAACGTTTTGGAAGTCAAATGGTCCTCTGGAATGGATTACAATCGAAAACTAAGGTTCCATTGTATTTACTTAACTTTCCCCACAACTGCTAATATGACTTAAGTTTGAAAGGTATATATCCGGGGTCAGTCTGGGATGAAATCTTGCATTGAGGAAATGGAACACCTGACATTTTAAACATGACATTTCATTTCATTTTCCTTATTTTTCTTATTTACTAAGTTTGTATACTACCCTTCATCCGAAGATCTCAGGGTGATTCACAGCATAACAAATGTTATAAAATAATATAGCATGATATATGTTTGAAAAGCACCATATATATATATATATATATATATATATATATATATATATATATAGTGTCTCCTACCTTTCTGGGATGAAATCTTGCCTTGAGGACATGGGGCACAATCATAGCAGCAGAATGGCTCCCCCTCCTTCTTCTCCTTACTGGAACCAGGAGGGCAACTTGGGTTACATACAGAAAGGGGTGGAACCTGCCCATTTAAATAAACACATAAACAGTTTAGCACACAGAAATTAGCTAGAACTAGCAAGCACTGAACAACATATTCCAAAATCAGGGTCAAATTACCCTTTCTGCTTTCCATGGTTTTAAAACAGAATGCTGAAACTGACCATCTTTGAGCCCCGTTCTGCACAGAATGCATGAGGACTCAATTTGGGAAGAGGATTGGGGGCTTATCTTCATAAGCTCTGCCCCCATTATCCCCATATACAAAAGGAATACCTGTTCCACCCCCAATTTTTCATTCTTAGCACATGTAAAAGTTTATGCCTTCAGGAGAGGACAGTAGTGTAGTGCCAGTTGTTGTTTAGTCATTTAGTCGTGTCCAACTCTTCGTGACCGCATGGACCAGAGCACGCCAGGCACTCCTGTCTTCCACTGCCTCCCTCAGCTTGGTCAAACTCATGTTGGTAGCTTCAAGAACACTGTCCACCCATCTCATCCTCTGTTGTCCCCTTATCCTTGTGCCCTCAATCTTTCCCAACATCAGGGTCTTTTCCAGGGAGTCTTCTCTTCTCATGAGGTGGCCAAAGTATTGGAGTCTCAGCTTCACGATCTGTCCTTCCAGTGAGCACTCAGGGCTGATTTCCTTAAGAATGGGTAGGTTTGATCTTCTTGCAGTCCATGGGACTGTAGTGCCAATAATGATCTAAAAATGTGGAGAATGTGTGGAATGTGGTCTTGTGGTCAGATCCTGCTTGCAGGTTTCCTACAGACATCTGGTTGACCAGTTTGAGAACCAGGTTTATTATTTATTTGTTTTCTATACCTCCTTTCATCGGAAGATTGCAGGACAGTTTACAGTACAGTCGTACCTCGGAAGTCGAACAGATTCAGTTCAGGAAGTCCGTTCGACTTCCAAAACATTTGGAAACCAAGGAGTGGCTTCTGATTGGCCGCAGCCAATCAGAAGCTGCGTAAACTGCGTTGGCTGTTCAGGTTCCAAAGAACATTCGCAAACCGGAACACTCACTTCCAGGTTTGCGGCGTTCAGGAGTCAAAACGTTCGACTTGCAAGACATTCGTCAACCAAGGGACGACTGTATAAAATATACAAAAATGCAGAACACAGTAACAAACAAAGCAATACCTGCCTCCGCCTCCACCCCTGATTTAAAAGGCCATAGACAGTTTAATCTGCAAATGGCCTAGGTGAAGAAGAATATTTTCATCTCACACCTAAAGATATGTAGGGAAGGGGCCAAACGAGCCTTCCTTGGGAGAGTTGATTCTCTATACCTTTGCCCTCATTTATTGTTTGATTCTTCCCCAATCTAAGAAGCCCCTTTCCTCATTCCACAGTTGGGGACAAAGAACAGTTGTGCACAAATTTCTGTGGCCCCTGCTTCCTACTCAACCATTAGCATTTGATCTCCAAGGAACCTTCTTCTTGCCAACAAAGTCATGAAGTACATTGATACAGAAAGAGCCCCAAGCTCCATGCATGCCATATCCAGATGCTGGACAAGACTGGCCATTGGTGTTACCCTGGACTAGATGGGCCGTGGGTGTGACCCAGCAAGCTCATCTTATGTTCCCATGTAGTGTAGAAGAAAATGTTTTGAATACGGCTGGAGAGCCACCTATGTGCTGGACTAATGATCTATAAGTGCAAGAACATTCTGTTTTCCTATCTCTCGTAGGTATAGGAATTATGCCCCACCTGGTAAAAGCTGCTGTGCCACACCATTCTGTTGTCATCAATGGATGTTTTCTTTCCCGGGGCAGCTTCCACGTCCACCCTTCCAACCTTGACCCTCACAAAGGAGTTATTTGGGAAAGTGACCAGGTTGGTAATATCAAAGCCAGTATCTACTTCCCCATTCTCACTAAAAGATAAAGTTTCTCCAGCAGAGCTGTTAAACGAGACACTTCTAAGGAAGGGATGGAGCTGCATTGGAATAAAAATAGTAATTATGAATAACGCAAATCTCTCGCCGTACTGGCACCCAGGATGCAGGTCGTGCAATGCAAACATAATGCATTCCTTAGAAATAATTCACAAGGTGAGCATTTTCATAGGGAGCTAATGTTTTCCATTATTTCCTGGAGGGAAATCTCAATGCATTCCCAACCAAGAAACAATGAGAAAAAAATCCAAGGCTTTCAGGTCTTATTGCCTGGATATCTCCCCTCTTTCAAGAGAATGGTAGGGTAACCAGCCTCATATAATCAGCATAGGTAAAGGTAAAGGGACCCCTGACCATTAGGTCCAGTCATGGCTGACTCTGGGGTTGCGGCGCTCATCTCGCTTTATTGGCCGAGGGAGCCGGCGTACAGCTTCCAGGTCATGTGGCCAGCATGACTAAGCCACTTCTGGCAAACCAGAGCAGCGCACGGAAACACTGTTTACTTTCCCGCCGGAGCGGTACCTATTTATCTACTTGCACTTTGACGTGCTTTCGAACTGCTAGGTTGGCAGGAGCAGGGACTGAGCAATGGAAGCTCACCATACTTGAGTCTAATTAATTCACACAGAGGTTAATGCCATAGAGTAAGCTACCTTGCCAGGCTCACTTCCCCTCACCTTGGGAGAAAATGGCAGCAAAGCCTTTTGTTCTACTTAGTCCACATCTTAATTTGGTGCATGCGGAGCTCTGAGCTGTTCCCTCCAGCCATATGGATTTACCCAGTCTCTTTTGTTACAGACAAGAGTATGAAACAACCTATATTTCCATGCTTTTGTTTGCTGCATGCTTTGCTGTGTTAAACCTCTGGTGGGGTTCTTGCACCAAAGAGTACTTCCCTAGCTCTGCTCACTGTTCCCAATCCCCATTCCTCAGCCTCAGCTACATTCTTCTCCAGCTCTGGCTGCCTCTCCCTGCCAGCTCTCCCTTTCTCCTCTTAGTGTAGGCCCGGATCCTTCTTTTAACTTGAGTGCAGAGAAGCTGCTTGTGAAGGACCAGCACAGTGCAGGATTGGATCATTCTGCTTAACAGCTGTAAGCAAGGTGGTCTGAACCTGCACTGTGCAACTCCTCCACAAGCAGCTTCTCTACACAGCAAGAGAGAATCTGATCATACTGTCCTACATATCACTGCCCAGGTCTGTGTGTGTGTGTGTGTGTGTGTGTGTGTGTGTGTGTGTAGGCATTACCTGCCAAGGCTGTAGCATTAGAAGCTCCTGCATCCCTCCTTGCACCACTGCTCTGTATTTGGTCCTGGACAAGAACATGGCATGTAAAGCATGTGCCGTTGCATGGACAGCATTATAGAGACTGTAGCTGTGGCCAGTTATGCTCATCTCAAAACCAGACGATGGGAGATCTTCCAGCTTTTCCTCTCCAGTGCAGGTTCCACTGGCCTGTTTCCCTGTATTGGAGTTTGTAAATAAACAGACAAAGGCTTGTGCCCAGAACTGCTTGAGAAAGCCATTTCCATTCACTTCAAAAGGATTTTGTGCCTGAAGAAAAGCTTTGAATCCTTGCACCACATTTGAATGAACTGTAAAGGAGAGGGAACCATGAAAGACTTGCATATCCATGCTCATTTGATAGGTCATTGCTGTGAAATCCAGCTGTGCTGTCAGAATCCACACCTTGCCCACAGTTGTCTTGGTCACATTTTCCAATTCACCTAGTGCTACCATTGATCGCAAGATAAGCATAGACTTTGTTCCTCCATAGACAACAACAACATTGGCTTTACTTTCCATAATAACGTGATAGATTTGGATCCAGTCAGAATACATGATATAATACTCAGTCAAATATGTGGTTTTCAGGTTTGTGTCTGAGAAGGCCAAGCATATGCCTTTCTGGGAGAGCAGAGGTTTCAGGGCCTGAATAAATCTCTCTCCACTGTCATTATCTCCAGCAAGCAACCCAACCCATGTCCAACCAAAGTGAAGAAATAACTCAACAATCCCAGTGTACTGATGGGCTTCATTGGGCACCATCCTATAGAAGGAAGTAGATTGCCTTTGACTAGCATCCTCTGGGGCAAAGGAGCCATAAGTGAGCTAAAAGGAAATAAAGGAGCATATTCAGTAAGAGTAGACAAGCTGTATATGTCCTTTGACGGCCTGCCAACACAGAAGGCCAGATGAGCCAGTTGCCTCGGGAAGGCAGACTACAGAAAGCTGGGAGGAGTGGCAGATCTGGCCTCCATTAAGTCCACCCCATGCTTGTTGACTACCTTCTCTGCCATCCCTGCATGCCCAGTTTCCTGCGCTGAAACCCCTGAATGCCTGCTTTCCCCCCTCCTTATATTTCTTGAGCTTGAACGTCTTGCTTTTCTACTCTGCTGTTTTCCTCTCCTGCATCAACCTTGCTTCACCACAGCATTTCAGCTCCTCATTGCATGGTGTCTTAACTTCCCTTCCTTCCCACATCTCTACCAAACCGCTATTGCACAGAATCTCGCTCAAGTGCCACAATGCATGGGCAGCTACCAGCTTTGCAGGCTCCCAGCTTTGCAGGAGAGCAGCTTCAGTCTCCAGTCATTAAGGTATGGGTCAAAGTTAAGAGAGACACTAGTTAGCAGAATATAAAGTGGAAGCGTGTTTTGGAGTGGTGAGGAAGCAGGGATGAGTTAGTGCTCTCTCATTATCACAGTACCTTCTGTCCATCCCAATACTCTCTATCTTTATTTCACTCTCCCCTTCCTTCTCCATTGCATTTCACTGGAAACACTTTTTGTGGAGGGAAGGACTACTCTTTGTCAATCACTATTTTTCTACTATACAAAACTTTTCTGGATACAAAATATGATGGTAAATGAGTCTGAAGTCCCCAAGGTGGTATCTTACCTGGGGGATCTTGTAGATGTCCAAGATGTCTGCCATTTGGAGGGAGGTATCAAAGTCCAGTCCCCCAACAGCTGTCATCAGATGTTTCTGGGTGTCGCACTTGTAGTTAGGTAGAAGTGTGGAGGGAAGGTTCAGAGTGACCCGGTAGGTCATCCTTTCATTGAAGTAACTGTCATAGATGTGGAATCCCAATGTGTTATTAGGCAAGATCTTGGGGTTCTCATTGATCTCCTTGACAGCAAAGGCCAAGGCCAGAATATGCTGGTAGTTCTTTGGCACAACACTGCAATGAGAATTTCATGCTGTATACTAGGGAGCTACATTATGCAATATTCTTTTTTAAAAATTAGGACCTCACGAGAATTCTTCAATGTCTTATTGCAAATTGTGCTTTAAGATACAGGTATCTGCAAATCAATTTCCTCTTAAAGGATGCCAGAATGGGTGTGGTACTATTACTATTACTATTACTACCATTACTACTAGTATATTGTTAACAAATAGCTTAACCTTAGCTGTCCACTTTCTCTGGACTTTACCACCCACCGCCCTATTTACTTCTCCCAAGTGACTGTTAACTGCAATTTCTTCACTGATCAGAACCTTGCACTGATCACAATCTGTTCTTGCCCAGACATCCAGGGCTGTCTATAAATATTAAACACAATTCTCTCTTCCCCCCATCACCAAGCAGCTTTCACCAAAGATGCATGCACCGCATTAACAGCACAGGGTTTCAAACTTTGACAGTAACACACAAATATCAACAGAGACGATGAAAATATTTTGAAAGCACAAAACATAGACATACATTTATCTACTGGTACTGATCTGATGCAACAAAAGACCTGCATCAGAATACAGAGAAGTAGGTAGCCTAGCTTAATGGATAACTTCTCATCATTTTCAGACCTGTGACAGGTCTCATTGTTTTCAGACCTGTTAACTAGGAGTGTTATTTGAGTCAAGCCTGACATGGATGCAAACACCTGGGGCTCTTAGAACTCCACATTCTAAGAGGTGAGCTTTTAAGACCCCTCGCCCCAAACTTTCAGAGGTGAACTTCAATATTCAGAACAGAAAGACCTTTGCCTCTTAAACTAGGCAAGCTTAAGATGTGTCTTCTTTTTAAACTATTCTTGAAAGAAATATGGGGGGGGCAGAGAGCACATCAGCAAAACAAGACTCTCTCATCTCAGTGACACATTCAGATCCCCATCTCTCTCTTCCCAAGCCAAGTCGAGCTTGCCCCTCCACCTCTGCCTGGAAGTAAATAAGTGGAACTGGCTTCAAAGTAAGCATGTTTAGCACTTGGCGATGTTTTGGTATCATCTGATTACAGAGTGGCTGGGGGGACTCAGCCAGATGGGCGGGGTATAAATAAATTATTATTATTATTATTATTATTATTATTATTATTACTTGACAAATGAAGTCTTTACAAGATATTAAGAAGTTGATGGGTAGTTAGTCTTTCTTTGAAGTCTTCTTTGTCAAAAGCAGAATGGAGGTGAGAAGCAAGTCCTCCAACAATAAGATCACCAGGTTGGTAGTATTCATGTGGAATTCTGGACAGATAATGGATGATGCAACTCGTGGCATGTTTGCACACCATAAGTGGCAGATAAAAGAGAATGGGCACAATAAATAACAGCATGCTGAGGCAAATATTATTCCCTATCAGACACCCTCATTTCTATCTAGAAAATGAACCTTAGCTTCAGAACCATCCTCCGTTCTATATTCTGTTTTGACATGAACAACACTTCCCTACCAATTCACAGATTAAGATCCTATCCTACAACTCAACAGCAGAAATCATTCCTCTACCTCTGTGCTTTCCTATGCTTAGAATGGCAAGAAGGGTTTTTTATACCCATGTTTAGACTTTGGATTGTATTCTCTGCAAATCTATTGAGACATTACCCAAGGGACACTTAGTAATTACAAGAATGATTATTACAGATGAGATTGTAACTAGCTCTCTTTACACCAGGAACATCAGAAAATGACAAAACAAAAACTTTCTCTTTATGAGAGAACAGAAGGACATTCAGGACGAGGAAGAAAACAACAGTGAGCCAATCTGTTATCCTGAAATGCTTCATCTGATTAATCTAATCTCCTAAAATTTCATACCTGAACACTAGTTCATTAGTTTACTGACAATTATACCAAGACAGATTAAAGAATGATGAAAGGTGGCTTGTGTTTGTTTTAAGCTTTTAGAAGTTTAAAATATATCCTCTGGAGTCCAAAACATCCCTCTTCCCCCAGCATAGAAAAAGGACACACATCATCCAGAAAACACAGGCAGTAAAACTTGGCTTAGTTACAGTGGAGGAAGTTCCATATTATTGGTACAGGAATATATGAGAGACTTGCTAGAGTCATGCGGTCTGTGCTTGGATGAACCAGCACAGATCTCACATGTTCTGCTTCTTAGGTAGAGCGATTGCCTAGTCACTCCTAAGGCGAGCTAAGCCTGGCACAACAGCTTACTCTGTGGTCTTAACCCCATCATGCATTAACTCAGTCAGAAGCATGTTGGTTAGATGAGACTGGTTCCATGAGACTAGTTGGAAGAGCAGGCTTAAATGTGGGAGGTGGCCTTGGAGATATTCCAGTAAATGGTGGAGACCATGTTTTCGTTTTGACTGGTTTCAATTGACTTGGAATCAGCTGAGCTATGTCCTGCTTTTGTAGGAGAAAATGGAAATAGCTTGGCTTTTTCTGAGCCAATGGAGACTGAGATTGGGAGGATTTTCTCCACAAGATGGATCACAGGTCTGCTTGTGTATTTTAGGGACCCCCTTTTTGAAGCCTGCTGAAGGTATCATATAAGGGGGAGAAATAAATATTTGATGGACTGCTAGGGATGGGGGAGACATTCAGTTCAGTTCCTGTTTAAAATGGAAACAATCATGTTTGTTCTTTCTGAATATCAGAAGCAAACAAATAGTGCATAGTGAAAACAACATTACCACACAGCTTGCAAAAATGCCAACCCTGCATAGAAAAATGTGTTTATTGAAGAACTACCGACAAAAGAGGAATGGCAGATGAAATTGATGGACTACGCAGAATTGGATAAGATGACAGGGAGAATTCGAAACCAGCGGGACCAGAAATTCTTGAAAGACGAGTAAATATATAAGTTATTTGAAAGACAATTGTAACCAACTGACTACGCTTGTAGGACTACAAGAAGTTTTGTAAGGAGACCTATATGAAATATGCAGAAAAGATTTATGAGAATGGATTTTAAGTTATGGGTTATTAAAAGGAATAGGTAGGATAATAAATGTAAGATTAAGAGATGAGGTTGGAAAATCATTAGACGCGGTTGATGGGAGTCTCAGGCTAAAATTGCCAAAATGTTGTATAAGATGAGATGAAATGATATGTTCTGTTTGGAAAATATATCTAAAAACTAATAAAAATGTATATTAAAAAAGTAAAGAAAAATGTGCTTATTGGTAGAAATTGACACAACAATGCTTAAGAATTTTCATGAGGATATTTTTAAAGAAAAAAACATGCAGAAATATGGAGAACTGAATTTAACATGAACAAAATGAGAATCTGGTAAAATCAAAATTGGCAGGATCTTCCATCCCTATTGACAACTAATTCAGATAGTACCTCTACTTACGAGCACCTCTGGTTATGTATCCTTCAGAATACACATGCAGCAAACCAGGTTTCGCCATGCATGCATGCGCAGAAGCGCCCTACTGCACCACACGCATGTGCGGAAAAGGCACCTCCGGTTGTGAAAACCTCGGGATCCGACCGGAGCTCTGGAATGGATTCCGTCCGCAACCGGAGGTACCACTGTACTTTTAATTTACCTCGTCAATTACATACACAAATGACATGTATATGTTACACCTAATGAGTTCTGATTTCCAAGATTTTGGGCCTAGAACCAATGGGGTGGTGCAGATTACACACCCGTTATTTTTATGTTGCATAGTTTCCATTCATTAGTGATATTAATAAATCTTGTAGTCCTCCTAGCAACCTGCATCCCATAGAGCAATATGGTGGGCCTACTTTCAGTACGCCCACAATCAGCCCACGTCTTCAGCGCCTGCATGGGCTGGGCTACTGGAGCACCTTCTCTGACCTTCCGATCACAGGAACACAGGAACACCAACGCAGCATTCCCAAGGAGCAGGTCCTGGTGCTGTGGACTCATCTGCTCATGTGAGCACCCAAACTCAGCAGAGTAAACAGAAGCAAAGCTGTGGAGGTACTGCAGCAAACCTAATTTATTTCTACCAATTAATCAAATAAAAGAACATAATTATGTATGAGAGGAGCAGCACTCATACAGTCATCCTTTCTCTTCGCAAGACAGATCAAAGAAAAAGAACAACAGTACCAGAGATGGAAGTCTCGAAGAGTAGCTTCTGCCCCCTCCTTTCTCACAGTATGAAAGTAAAACAATAGGATCAGATGATCCTTGCAATGGGAGGGATGAAAATACTGATATCTTATAACAATATGCCCATTAAAAATACCACAATTGTTACACATTGAGTTTTAAGTAAACACTAATCCCTGAAATAGCAAATATTGCCCACAACTATTGACATGACAGAAGCAAGTGTTATTTTTCTAGAAAAAGATGTGCCAGAACACATCATGAATACCTTCCCATTCTATTATAATGGCAATAGTGCCTATGTGAAAGATGCCAGAACTGAGTTCTCGTGAATTCTGGCTGAAAATATATAGCAGCTCAACTGAAACTTTACTTACTAGAGAATCACCCAGAAAGGAATGAGAAGCTAGCTATAACTAAATAAATATACAAGACTCCCAATAAACAGTATTCTTACATTTAATTTCTAATTAATTACACTTTGGTGTTCTAGTTAGGCCTCAATATTATGTGGTATCAGTGACAAGGTTGGGGACCCCTGTCTCAGAGACTCCAAAGGATTTTTAAAGGACCTGCAGGTAGGAATTGTAACAGATGAAATGCAACATAATTATATGATAAGAATGAAGAGAGTTTATTTTGATTTATATAATGGTACAAAAAACAAAACAAAGATGATGATATAATTTACAACTTCCTTTTTATTAACTGTTCCTTGCTGTTCAGATCAGGCCTCAACAAAATGATGTAGCATTTGGGAGCAAAGATGGAGCCCAGTAAGCCAGCACTGGAGGCCAAGATGGAGAAGATCTCCACAGCCACCATGTATTTCCCCTTGGTGCTCAGGTACACTGGAACAAAGGAGATCCAAACACTACAAAACAACAACATGCTAAAGGTGATGAATTTGGCCTCATTGAAGCTCTCAGGCAGTTTCCTGGCAAAAAATGCCACAACAAAGCTGATAATGGCCAAAAAGCCCATGTAGCCCAGGACACAGTAAAACAGGGCAACTAACCCTTCATTGCAGCCTAGAATAATTTCTCTCATCATTGAGTGCATGTCAGAATCAGGAAATGGGGGAAAGATTCCTAACCACACACTGCAAATACCTGCTTGGATAAGGGAACAAGAAATCACAATGGAGCTTGCCAGTCTTTTCCCCACCCACTTCCTCATTCTGGATCCTGGTTTGGTGGCCACAAAGGCCAGAACCACCATGATAGTCTTAGCCAGAACACAAGAAACAGTCACTGTGAAAACAAGGCCAAAAGCCATTTGTCGGAGCAGGCAGCTGACTCTTTCTGGAGGGCTGAGGAAGATCAATGGGCAGAGGAAGCAGAGCAGGAGGAAAGTGAGCAGAGTGTAGGTGAGGTCCCGATTGTTTGCTCTGACAATGGGTGTGTCCTGATGTTTAATGAAGATGGCAAGGACTAATATTGTGAAGAGAAAGAGAGAAAGAGCCAACAATGCTAAGCTCATCCCCAGAGGCTCTTTAACAGACAGGAAACTGATGGTCTTTGGAATGCATTGCGATTGGTCTCTGTGTGGATAGTGATCTTCGGGGCACCCAACGCAATCTTCCATGTCTGGAAAGAACATAATGCGTTTAGATTTCAGTTGTTAGGATAGTAACAACATGCTGTGAGTATGGAACACTTAATGTTAAATTAGAGTTATCACAGATATTTCCATAGTAACCAAACTGAAAGTGATGCCTAAGAACCCTACCTCAACCTTTGTGTTGGGTTATGTGGGGTGTCCTGTGATGGCTTGCTAACTTCCCATAAACCACATTGTTATTGTCCAGAACAGGTACAGTCCATGACCATTTTACACAGGGGTTCCATTCCCAGCCCCATTACACCTCCACATACTAGGTTGAACGCATTCCACCGCGCCCGGGTGTATGATCACGTATCATTCATAGACATGTTTATTTGTTATTGCCTGAATTAAAGAAGGTGTCTCATACGAAGTCATATCACTAGTGCATTGAGTTCAAAATTCCCTGCTATATTTTAATCTGTAACGAAGATTAGATCATGGGTCACAAACCGATTCTTTTTAGGAAATGGTCCATATTCCTTTATGGGGGCTATCTGTCAATAGGTATGGAGGAGAAAATTGGTTTTTATGCCACTTGAATGAGAACGCTATCTACATTGCCCTCCTTGAACCAACACATTGACTAAAGTACAGATGCCCTTAAAAATGTGAACTTCTCTAAACATTTGTAATGCAGTTCTCCATTCAAACAATACATTAAAAAACGCACATATCACCATTGATTGATTTATCCTTCTCCTCAACGTCTAACATGACATACGGTTGGAAAATTATATATCCTGTGCCTCTTACCCTTCTGGGATGAAATCTTGCCTTGAGGACATGGAGCACAATCATAGCAGCAGAATGGCTCCCCCTCCTTCTTCTCCTTCCTGGAACCAGGAGGGCAACTTGGGTTACATAGCGAAAGGGGTGAAACCTGCTCATGTAAATAATGGGTAAGAGGGTAAGGAAAAGCTTTTTCTCCCTCTGTCATAATACTAGAACTCAGAGATAAAAAATGAAGTTAATTTTTGATTGATTGGGGTACCTTTTCACACAGTATAGCTAAAACTATGAGATAGAATTCTACAAGTGAAAGTGATGGGCATCAACTTGGCTGACTTTGAAAGATGATTGGAAAAACTAATGGAAGAGAAGCCTATCAGAGGCTACCATCCTTGGTGGAGGGAATGCATTTACTCAATGGTCAGAGGAAGTATGGTGCTGAATACCAGTTGTTGGAAACCACAAAAGGAGAGAGAGGTCCTATGATCATGTCCTACAAGCGTCTGGTTGGCCACTTTCAGAACCTTATTTATTTAGTTATTTAGTTATTTATTATACCATGCCACAGGGCAGTTTACATTATAAAAACATAAAAAGGGAAAGCATGACAAACACAATCAGTAGCATCCCAGTTTGAAAGAGCATAAATAGTTTAATTCACTAATGGCTTGGAAGAAGAGGAATGTTTTTGCCTGGTGCCTATAGATATGTAGGGAGGTGCCAGGCAAGCCTTCTTGAGGAGGGCTGATTCTTCTCCGATCTAAGAAGTCCCTTTCCTCATTCTACACGTGGTGACAAAGAATAGCTACCCACAAACCTTCACAGCCCCTACTTCCTTCTCAACCATCATGCATTTGAACTGCAAGCAGGAAACACCTGCTTCTTCCCAAGAGACTCATGAAATGCACTTGGACGAAAAGAGCCCCAAGCCAAAAGCCACATGGCATATCCAGATGCTGGACAAGATTGGCCAATGGCATTATTCTGCACTAGTTGGGCATTGATCTGAGCCAGCAAGATCATCTTATGTTGAGATTCCTGTATCCCGGACCACATGACTTTCAGGATGACTTCCAACTCTAAGATTCTATTATTCTTAAGCAGTGCAGAGGAAAATGTTACGAATCTGGCTGGAAAGGCAGGTATGTGCTGGACTGGTGATATGTAAGTAGAATAACATTCTCTTTTCCCATCTCTCATAGATGTAGGAATTATGCCTCACCTGGTGAAAGCTTCTGTGCCACACCATTCTGTTGTCATCAAGGGTGAATTCCTGGCCTGTGGCAGCCTCCCCACCTACCCTTCCAACTTTGACTCTCATGAAGGAGTTATTTGGGAAAGTGACCAGGTTGGTAATATCAAAGCCAGCTTCTACTTCCCTGTTCGCACTAAAAGATACCGTTTCCCCAGCAGAGTTGTTAAAGGAGACACTCCTAAAAAAGGGGTGGAGCTGCATTGAAAGAAAAAGAGTAACTTTGAAGTAATGCAAATGTCTTGTAATACATACATAAAGGGTTTAACGCTGTAGACTAAGGTGTCCTGACAGGCTTGGCCTAAGTCACTTCCTCTTACCTTGGAAGGAAATGGGCAACAAAGCCATTTGTTCTGCTCACTCTAAATGTGAATTTGGTGTGTGTGGAGTTCTGACCTGCTCCCTACAGCCACATGGATTTAAGAAAAAACAGAGATACAACTTAGGACACTTTCAGACCATAACCCAAGCCAGGGAAATTGCTGGCATGGCAGTTAAAGAAAAAAGAGAGTGAAAATGTAATAAATAAACTGAAAGTAGAAGGGAAAATAGTAGACAATCCAAAAGATATAAGGAAACAGTTTGTTATTACAGAGAGCTATATTGAGCTGAAATTGAAAAAAGAATGAGGACATAAGAGACCTTTTAACAGATTGGTTACAGTATCACCTGCTGAATGAGTTCTTTAAAATAGACAAAAGAAAAGGTTTCGCTACTATCAAGGTTTGAGAAAGAATGGTTGGGAAATAATGTGAAATTATTTTCTAAAATGTATAAATTGTTATTGGACTGATTTACTAAAGATGAAGAAGTTACCGTATTTTTCGCTCCATAAGACACATTTTTTTCCTCTTAAAAACTAAGGGGAAATGTCTGTGCGTCTTATGGAGCGAATGTGTGGTCCCTGGGGCTGGGGGGAGGGGAACCTGGGCTTCCCCCACCAGCCCCGCAAGCTCCGGGAGTGGAGGCAAGGCTGCACGCAACCTTGCCGCAGCTCCCCCAACCTGTTCTGGGGGCTGGGGTCGGGGGAAGCTCGGGTTTCCCCCGCCCCAGCCCCGCGGCTAAAAACAAAGCCAAGGCAGCAAGCGGGATCCATCCCACTCGCTGCCTTGGCTTCTGCCAAAGCCGTGCACAACCTCTCTAGCTGGGAGAGGTTGGGCGCGGCTAAAAAACAAAGCCAAGGCAGCCCCAGAAGCCTGTCCGCTGCTATTTGGGTCGGGGGGAGGGATAAGATTTTTTTTCTTTATTTCCCTCCCTAAAAACTAGGTGCGCCTTATGGTCCGGTGCACCCTATGGAGCGAAAAATACGGTAAATCGCTTATGATTCAGTGGGCAAGAAACTTTGGGTATAATATACAGTTTGCAGCATGGGAAAAACTATGGAGAGGGGATTTGAAATTTGCGGCGTGTTATACTTTAAAAGTAAATTATATGGAAATGATGTATTGCCGAGGAAATTAGCAAAAATGTATAGGACGAGTTCAAATGTTTGTTGGAAATGTAAGGAAAAGGAAGGCACCTTTTATCATATGTGGTGGAATTGTAAAGTGATAAAGGAATTCTGGGAAATGAGATACAATGAATTTTTTAAAAAAGGTTTAAAATAACTATTGTTAAAAAAAACCAGAAGGCTTTTTGTTAGGAATTGTAGGTGCAGAGATACCGAAGGAACTGAAAAGACAGTTTATGTATGCTACAACAGCTGCAAGGATGCTTCTTGCCCAGAGATGGAAAGACGACAAGGTACCTACTAGGGCAGACTGGCAGATGAAACTATTGGGCTATGCAGAGATGGCAAGATTAACCAGGAAAATCATAACTCAGGAGGATCAAAACTTCAGCAAAGAATGGGACAAATATATATTGTACTTGAAAGACCACTGTAAATGCTTGAACTCGTTGGCAGACTTTAAATAACTCTTGCAATGATACATAGGACTTGGACACAATGAAGGGTGATAAATTAGATGGATTTATAATATGCAGTTTAAAAAGTTATTTAAAGAATCCATGGAGGGGAGGAGGGAAAGCTTGAGATTCAGAAGAATCTTGTGCAAGTTTTAATATTTGTAATAATATTATGCATGTAAATGAATTTGTAAAAACAAATAATTTTTTTTAAAAGCAAGATGGTCTGATACTTCACTGTGCTAGTCCTTAATGAGCAGCTTCTCTGCACAGAAGCGGAGAATGTGGAGTTTGAATTTTTTCAGGGTACTGTTTTACATATCACTGCCTACGTCTAATAAAGTATATCCCATGATAGGCATTACCTGCCAAGGCTGAAGCTCCTGCATCCCTCCTTCCACCGCTGCCCTGTATTTGGTCCTGGACAAGAACATGGCATGTAGAGCATGTGCTATGGCATAGACAGCAGTATAGAGACTGTAGCTGTGGCCAGACATGGTCATCTCAAAAGCAGACGAAGGGAGATTCTCCAGCTTCTCCTCTCCAGTGCAGCTGGCCTGCTCCTCTGTACTGGAGTTTGGAAATGAACAGAGAAATACTTGTGCCCAGATCTGCTTGACAAAGCCATTTCCATTTGCCTCAAAAGGATTTTGTGCCTCAAGAAAGAATTTGAATCCTTGTACCACATTTGAATGAACTGCAAAGGAGAGGGAACCCTGGAAGGCTTGCATATCCCAGTTCATTTGATGGCTCAATGCTGTGAAATCCAGTTGTGCTGTCAGAATCCACACCTTGCCGACAGATATCTTGGTCACGATTTCCATTTCACCTAGTGCTACCATTGTTCGCAATGTAAGCATGGACTTGGTTCCTCCATAAACAACCACCACCATGGCTTTACTTTCCAGAATAGCTTGATAAATTTGGATCAGCTGGAAATACATGGCATAGTACGCAGCCAAATGTGTCGTTTTCAGGTTTGTCTCTGAGAAGGCCAAGCAAATGCCTTTCTGGGAGAGCAGAGGTTTCAGGGTCTGAATAAATCTCTCTCCACTTTCTGCAGCAAGCAACCCAACCCATGTCCAACCAAAGTGCAGAAGTAACTCAACAATCCCAGTGTGCTGATGGGCTTCATTGGGCACCATCCTATAGAAGGAAATGGATTGGCTTTGATCAGCATCCTCTGGAGCAAAGGAGCCATAAGTGAGCTAAAGGGAAATAAAGGAGCATCATCTATTATTGCAAATGGACTAGGTATGTGCATCCAGGGTCTTCCCACCCAGGAGGCAAAATGAGCCAGTTGCCTTAAGAAGGCAGGTTCCAGAAAGCTGGGGGGGGGTGGCAGATTGCACCCTGTGTTTCTCAGACTCCACCTCCTTCTCTGCCACCCCTGCACGCCCAGTTTCCTGCACTCCTGCTTCCCTCTCCTCCCTCCTCCTTTTCTTTCTCCACTTTTTCCTCTATGCCTTCCTATGTTGCTGCTTTCTTCTCCCGTTTCTTTTGCTTTGCTTCAGTGCAGCATTTCAGCTCCTGATTTCATGGCGTCTTCCCTTCCTCTCTCAAATCACTAACACACAGAATCCCCATCAAGTGCCACAATGTGTGGGCAGCTGACTCCTTATAGGCAGGCTTCCAACTTTGCAAGAGAGCAGCTTCAGTCTCCAACCAGTAGGCCATGTAGCAAAGGTGAGAGGGTGTCAGTCAGCCGAATGGAATTTGGATACATTTTTTTAGGTGTGTGTGGACAAGGAAGTGGGGTGAGATGAGCACTCTTCCACCATCCCATTACCTTCTCTTCATCCATATACACTGACAATTTGATGCTATGCATTGTATTTAACTGTGCAAAGCACACTGGGAACACTTTTTGTGAAGGGCAGAATCACTCTCCTTTGTCTCTCACAACTATTTCTCTATTATACAAATCCTTTCTGGATAGAAAATATCATGGTGAATGAGTGTGAAATGCCCAAGGCAGTATCTTACCTGGGGAATCTTGTAGATGCCCAAGATGTTTGCCAGGTAGATGGAGGTATCAAAGTCCAGTCCCCCAATAACTGCCACCAGGTGTCTCTGGATGTTGCACTTGTAGTTGGCTATAAGTGTGGAGGGAAATTTCAGAGCAGCCTGGTAGGTCATCCTTTCATCAAAGTAATTGTCATAGATGTGGAATCCCAGTGTAATATTGGGTAAGATCTTTGGGTTCTCGTTGATCTCCTTGATAGCAAATACCAAGGCCAGAATATGCTGGTAGTTCTTTGGAACAATACTGAAACAAGAATTTTATGCTGTATCATTGGGGGATATCCTATGCATTATTCTTTAAAAATGGGCTTCTGTATGAATCCTCAGTATCTTAGTGCAAATTGTGCCCTAATATCCGCATATCTGCAGAAGAATTTCCCCACAGGAATGCATTGTATTCCACTTGTATTCCACTTACACTAATATATGCATTAATATATGCACCAATATTCATTTTTGTTTATATTGTTTAGCTGGAGAACTGCATTGAACAATTCGGAGAAATGTGAAATTCAAATGATGTCTGTGTTTTATTTCTGATATATTTTAAGAACATTTTTTTTAGTAGTTTCATATTTAAATATGAACTGATTAGAATTATCCCCTTTCCAATAATGGAATATTGATGTTTACTTTGGGGTCCATCATATACTTGACAAGGCTTCTTGAAGATAGAAGAGATATTCTTGCGGACACCAGCATCTAAATCTTTTTCTCATACCAACTTCCCTAAGCCTTCCCCTCCTGTCCAGTTCACACACAGATTAGTTGAGCAGCTAGGTACAGTTTTCCTCTGACTGGCAAACTCCTCAGATTATGTTCCTGCCTACTTGGACAGCTGAGCTCCTTTAAGAAATCTGCTTTTATAGTGTTCTTCTGGTATGAACTGAGCAGCATTTTGGCTTAATGTAGGGCTCATTCAGACTTCCCCTAGTCCTGACATTTTCCTCCCAGAAAACCTGATCTTTACTGCTCAATTGGAACACACACCTCCCTCAGAACTTCTCCCAACTGACAGTTAACTGACATTTCTTCACTGATCACTACCTTCAGCTGAATACAGTCTGAATATATCTGATCCAGGCCCTGTCTATAAATTATAAACACAATTGTCTAGCTTGATTTAGATGAGCACATCAGGGGCTCTTTGAGTGCCACCTCAAAGGAGAAGTGAGCCTTTAAGACCCCTCACATGAGACTTTCTGAGGTGAGCATTAAGAACAGAGAAGGGCTTTCCATCTTAAACTAGGGAGGTTTACTCTGTGAGTTCTCTTGTTAACCTCTACTTCGAAGAGGTTTGGTGGGTTGTGGGGAGGAGAGAACACATCAACAAGACCAGGTTCTCTCATCTCACTGACACATTCAGATCTGCATCTCCCTTCTTCCAAGCCAACTCCTCAGCTTTGTAAATACCCCCACACCATCTGCCTGGATGTAAATTCCACTGAAATCAGTGGAACTAGCTTCTAAATAAGCCTGGTTAGAGCTGAGGGATATTTCAGTATCAGCTGATTACTTGACATTTGAATTCTTTACAAGTTATTAAGAAGTTGATGGATAGTTAGCCTCTCTTTGAAGTTTTCTTCATCAAAAGCAGTAAGGAGGTGGGAAGCAAGTCCGCCAACAATAAGATCACCAGGTAGGTGGTATTCATGTGGAATGCTGGACAGATCATGGATGGTGCAACTCGTGGTCTGATTGCACACCAAATGTAGCAGATGAAAGAGAAGGGGCACAATAAACAGCAGCATACTGAAGCACATATTCTTTCCCATAAAACACCCTTATTTCCATCCAGCACATGAACCTTGCTTAACAACCACTCAGTACAATATTCTGCCTTGTCATGAACAGCACTTCTCTAACAATTCACAAATTAAAATCTTATTTTACAAGTTGATTGAAAGAAAAGTGAAAATCCTTCCTCTTCCTCTGTCCTCTCCCTTGTAAAGAATGGCAGGAAGATGTTATAATACCCATGTTTTGACATTGGTTAGTATTCCCTGGAAATCTACTGAGACATTATCCAAGGGAGACTTAGACATGCTGAGAGTGATAATTACAGGTGAGGTAATAACAAGCTCTCAGAAAATGAGCAAAAAAAAAACCCTGCTTCTGATTTTTCATCCAAAGTGGTTTCTGTCTGTTTATGGGACAACAAAAGGGCATGCAGAATTAATAGCAATGAGGAAGAGAAGAACAGTTAGCCAGTCTCTTATTAATGCTGACCGGTGCAAATGATTAATCTGACCTCCCAAAATTTCCCACCTGAACACCAGTTCATTAGTTTCATGACAATTATGCCAAGACAAAAGAATGGTGAAAAGGGCTGAGTTTTGTACGTGGTTTGTGTTGGTAGGAAGGAAAAATAGGTATCAACAAAGGAGAATGCTCTGGATGCCAAGATCCAGGTTTGGGGCACAAACTCTTTGGTGAGAGATTTCCACCCGAGATTTTAAATCACAAAATATGCAGCAAATTGAAGTGGGGAAATATAGTTTGCTAGACCTTTAAAATATGACCTCCCTCTTCCCTTAGCATAGAATACGACCACACATTTGTTAAGTTAAGAACTGGTAATACTTATAAACTCTTCAAAGGCAAAGTTCATGTGCTTTCCCACACAACAGTCAGAAAACACAGGCAGCAAAACAAGGCTTATTTACAATGCTGAAAGTTCCAAATTCTTGATATAGGAATGCAAGGGAGGCTTCTAAGAACCAGGTGGTCTGAGTATGAGGAAACCAGCTCAGACCTAAAATGTTGTGCTTCTCAGGTAAAGTGAAGGAGAGCAAGAGGCCTGATTACCACTTCGATCCCAAAGTGAGCTATGTCTGGCACAACATAACTGAATGGGGTGGATAAAGAGAGATTACATTGCTCATATTTTGGTAGGAAAAACCCCACAAAGGTGATGGGATAATTTATTATTTCCTCTTTATTAACTGCTCCTTGCTGTTCAGATCCGGCCTCAACACAATGGTGTAGCATTTGGGAGCAAAGATGGAGCCCAGTATCCCAGCACTGGAGGCCAAGATGGAGAAGATCTCCACAGCCACCATGTATTTCCCCTTGGTGCTCAGGTAGACCGGAACAAAGGAAATCCAAACACTACAAAACAACAACATGCTGAAGGTGATGAATTTGGCCTCATTGAAGCTCTCAGGAAGTTTCCTGGCAAAAAACGCCACAACAAAGCTGATAATGGCCAAAAAGCCCATGTAGCCCAGGACACAGTAAAACAGGGCAACTGACCCTTCGTTGCAGCCTAGAATGATTTCTCTCTTCACTGAGTGCATGTCAGAATCAGGGAATGGGGGAGAGGTTCCTAACCACACAGTGCAAATGCCAGCTTCGATAAGAGAACAAGAAAGCACAATGGCACTTCCAAGTCTTTTCCCCACCCATTTCCTCATTCTGGATCCTGGTTTGGTGGCCACAAAGGCCAGAACCACCGTGATAGTCTTGGCCAGCACACAAGAAACGGTCACTGTGAAAACAAGGCCAAAGGCCATTTGTCGGAGCAGGCAGCTCACTCTTTCTGGAGGGCTGAGGAAGATCAATGGGCAGAGAAAGCAGAGGAGGAGGGAAGTGAGGAGAGTGTAGGTGAGGTCCCGATTGTTTGCTCTGACAATGGGTGTGTCCTGATGTTTAATAAAGATGGCTAGGACTAATATTGTGAGGAGAAAGAGAGAAAGAGCCAACAATGCTAAGCTCATCCCCAGAGGCTCTTTAAAAGACAGGAAGCTGATGGTCTTTGGAATGCATTGCGATTGTTCCATGTTTGGATAGTGGTCTTTGGGGCACCCAACGCAATCTTCCATGTCTGGAAAGAAAGTAATACATTCAGATTTTGGATGTGTTAGAGAGCAACTACTGCTGTGAGTATTGAACGCATAAGGTTAAATTGTAGTTATCACAGATATTTCTAGAGTAACCAGATTGAAAGTGATGCATCAGAATCCCACCTCAACCTTTGTGTTGGGTTATGTGGGGTGTCCTGTGATGGCTTGCTAACTCCACATAAACCACATTGTTATTGTTCAGAACAGGTACAGTCCATGACCTTTTTGCACAGGGGTTCCATTCCCAGCCCCATTCTACCCCCACATACTTGGTTGAACGCATTCCACTGCGCCCGGTTGTACGATCACGCATCATTCATAGACATGTTTATTTGTTATTGCCTGAATTAAAGAAGGTGTCTCATACGAAGTCATATCACTGGTGCATTTAGTTCAAAATTGCCTGCTGTATCTTACCCTGTAACAAAAATTAGATAATGGGCGTCAAACCATTTCTTTTTTTGGGGAAGGTCCATATTCCTTCGTGGGGGCTATCTGTCAATAGGGATGGAGGGGATTTTTTTTTTTATGCCACTTGAATGAGAAGGCTATCTACATTGCACTCCTTGAGCAAACACATTGACCAAAGTACAGATGCCCTTAAAAATGTGTACTTCTCTAAACATTTGTAATGCAGTTCTCCATTAAAACAATAAGTACAAAAATGCACACATCACCACTAATTTATTTATCCTTTTCCTCAACTTCTAACATGACATACGGTTGGAAGATTATATATCCGGTGACTCTTACCCTTATGGGATGAAATCTTGCCTTGAGGACACGGAACACAATCATAGCAGCAGAATGGCTCCCCCTCCTTCTTTTCCTTCCTGGAACCAGGAGGGCAACTTGGGTTACATAGCGAAAGGGGTGAAACCTGCTCATGTAGATAATGGGGAAGAGGGTAAGGAAAAGCTTTTCTCCCTCTCTCATAATACTAGAACTCAGAGATATCCAATGAAGTTAATTTTTGATTGATTGGGGCACTTTTTCACACAGTATAGCTAAAACTATGAGATTCAATTCTACAGGAGACATTGATGGGCATCAACTTAGCTGACTTTAAAAGATGATTGGAAAAACTAATGGAAGAGAAACCTATCAGAGGCTACCATCCTTGGTGGAGGGAATGCATTTACTCAATGGTCAGAGGCAGTATGGTGCTGAATACCAGTTGTCGGAAACCACAAAAGGGGAGAGAGGTCTTATGATCATGTTCTCTTTGCGGGTTTCCTACAAGCATCTGGTTGGCCACTTTCAGAACCTCATTTATTTAGTTATTTAGTTATTTATTTATTATACCATGCCACAGGGCAGTTTACATTATAAAAACATAAAAAGGGAAAGCATGACAAACAGAAACAGTAACATCCCAGTTTGAAAGACCATAAATAGTTTAATTCACCAATGGCTTGGGAATGTTTTCGCCTGGTGCCTATAAATATGTAGGGAGGTGCCAGGCAAGCCATCTTGGGGAGGGATGATTCTTCTCCGATCTAAGAAGTCCCTTTCCTCATTCTACACGTGATGACAAAGAATAGCTACCCACAAACCTTCACAGCCCCTACTTCCTTCTCAACCATCATGCATTTGTTTGTTTTTTTGTTGTTGTTTTTTGAATAATTTTTATTAAGGTTTCAATCAAAAATTAAACAGAAAAAAACATAAAAAAGATACACAAATACACAATGCAAATCCCAGAGGAAAAAAAAACAAAAAAAAAACACAAAAAGCAAGAATCAACAATAAAAAAGGAAACATAACAATTAAAAACAATATCTCTTTTCCATTTCCGTATTTGAATTTACTTATTTTCTGGACTTCCTCATACCTCCCTCTTTTGTATTCCAATCCAAATTGTTTGTCCAGCAATTTCTTTTCCACTTTTTTAATCCCAATCTTTAATCTTAATATAATATATAACACTTAGACTTCTTTAATCCTAATCTTTAATCTTAATGTAATATAACATTAAATTTTACCTCTTAAGTACCAAATTTCCATTTCCTTAAACATCTTTAATCCTAATCTTTAATCTTAGTCTATCAATAACTTTAACCTGTACAGCTGGAAACCACTTATTTTCAATCCAACATCACTCTAACATTCCTTAATTTTGCAATGTTTCTGAAGATAATCTTTGAATTTCTTCCAGTCTTCCTCCACCAACTCTTCTCCCTGGTCACGGATTCTGCCAGTCATTTCCGCCAGTTCCATATAGTCCATCAGTTTCATCTGCCATTCCTCCAGCGTGGGAAGTTCTTGTGTCTTCCAATACTTTGCGATGAGTATTCTTGCTGCTGTTGTTGCATACATAAAGAAAGTTCTATCCTTTTTAACACCATTTGGCCGACTATGCCCAGGAGAAAGGCCTCTGGTTTCTTAGGGAAGGTATATTTAAATACCTTTTTAATTCATTATATATCATTTCCCAGAAAGCCTTAATCTTTGGGCACGTCCACCAAAGGTGAAAAAATGTACCTTCAGTTTCTTTACATTTCCAACATTTATTATCGGGCAAATGATAAATTTTTGCAAGCTTGACTAGGGTTATGTACCACCTGTATATCATTTTCATAATATTCTCTCTTAAGGCATTACATGCCGTAAATTTCATACCTGTGGTCCATAGCTGTTCCCAGTCAGCAAACATAATGTTATGTCCAACATCCTGTGCCCATTTAATCATAGCCGATTTTACCGTTTCATCCTGAGTATTCCATTTCAGCAGCAAGTTATACATTCTTGACAAATTCTTAGTTTTGGGTTCTAACAGTTCTGTTTCTAATTTTGATCTTTCCACCTGGAAGCCAATTTTCTTGTCCAATTTAAATGCCTCCATTATCTGATAATAATGAAGCCAGTCTCGCACTTTGTTTTTAAGTTTTCAAAACTCTGCAATTTCAGTCTATCTCCGTCTTGTTCCAAAATTTCCCAATATTTCGGCCATTTGACCTCCATATTGACCTTTCTCAAGGCTTTCACTTCCATTGGTGACAGCCACCTTGGGGTTTTGTTTTCTAACAAATCCTTATATCTTATCCAAACATTAAATAGCGCTTTCCTGACAATGTGGTTTCTAAATGCTTTATGTGCTTTGACCTTATCATACCACAAATATGCATGCCATCCAAATACATTGTTAAAACCTTCCAAGTCCAAAATGTCAGTGTTTTCAAGAAGTAGCCATTCTTTCAACCAGCAAAAGGCTGCTGATTCATAGTAAAGTTTGAGGTCTGGCAGGGCAAATCCGCCTCTTTCCTTTGCATCCGTTAGAATTTTAAATTTTATTCTGGGCTTCTTGCCCTGCCAGACAAATTTAGAAATATCTTTCTGCCACCTCTTGAAACAATCCATTTTGTCAACAATCTGCAAAGTTTGAAACAAAAACAACATTCTAGGCAATACATTCATTTTTATCGCAGCAATACGGCCTAGCAGTGAAAGCTTCAAATTTGACCAAATTTCTAAGTCTTTTTCACTTCAGACCAACATTTTTCATAATTATCTTTAAATAAATTCCCATTTTTGCTGTCATGTTAATCCCCAGGTATTTAACTTTCTTAACCACTGTTAAACCTGTCTCATTCTGAAACCTCTCTCTTTCAAACGGTGTTAAATTTTTCTCTAAAACCTTGGTTTTTGACTTGTTCAATTTAAATCCTGCCACTTGACCAAATTCTTGAATCAGTTCTAAAACCCTTTTAGTACTAGATTCTGGCTCCTGTAACGTCAATACTAAGTCATCTGCAAATGCTCTCAATTTGTACTGTTTAGTTCCGACCTGTATACCTTTAACCGACTGGTCCCTTCTAATCATATTCAGCAGAACCTCCAGGACCGAAATAAAAAGAAGTGGGGAAATTGGGCAACCTTGTCGTGTCCCTTTTTCAATTTTAAGTTCTTCCGTCACAACATTATTTACAATTAGTTTAGCCTTTTGTTCTGAATAAATTGCACCTATACCATTCTCAAAACCTTGGCCTACCCCCATACCCTGTAGATTCTTCTTCATAAAATTCCAAGAAATATTGTCAAAGGCTTTCTCCGCGTCTACAAATATCAAAACTGCTTTAGTGTTTATATTCACTTCTAATTTTTCCAAAATATCAATTATATTCCTCAAATTGTCAGACAAATGTCTTCCTGGGAGAAAGCCCGCTTGGTCTTTATGAATCTCTTCCATCAACACTTTTTTAAATCTCTTAGCCAAAATATCTGCAAAAATTTTGTAATCCACATTCAGTAACGATATAGGGCGGTAGTTCTTGAGCTGTGTCTTTTCAGTCTCTGTTTTTGGTACAAGTGTAATATATGCTTCTTTCCACGACTCTGGTGCTCTTTTTCCTTCCATTATTTCATTGCAGACCTCTTTCAATGGTTGAATTAACCATTCTTTTAAAGATCTGTAGTATCTAGAGGTCAAGCCGTCTGGTCCTGGAGATTTACCCAATTGCATGTTTTGAATGGCACCTTCTATTTCCTGTTCAGTTATTCTATGATTCAAAATTAATTTGTTTTCTTGAGATATTTTTTGTAATCCATTTGTTTTCAAAAATTGGTCTAAGTCTGTTTCTTTCAGTGGCCCTTGAGTATATAATCGTTTAAAGTACCTCTGGAAACAACTTCTGATCTCTGCAGGGTTCTGTATGTTTCTTCCTTCCACTTCTAAGTTCGTAATTGTATTTAATTTTTGTCTCTTTTTCATTTGCCATGCCAACAGTTTACCACATTTATTGGCCGACTCAAAAGTCTTTTGTCTCATTTGTTTAATTTTCCATTCTATTTCCTGATTCATCATTTTCATATATTGTACTTGGTATAACTTTAACTCTCTCAAAATCTCTTGAGATTTGGGGTTTACTCTCAGTCTTTTTTCACATTCCTTTATTTTATCCATTATCTTATCCTTCTTCTCATTTTGAGTTCTTTTCTTTATTGCATTCTGTTGTATTAAGAACCCTCTCATAACCGCTTTACTTAGCGTCCCAGATTACTCTTTTCTCCACGTTGGTACTGAGGTTTATCTCAAAATAATCTCTCAAAGTTTTTTGGGCCTTCTTAAGTTGTTCATCATCTCTAAATAAGGTGTCATTCATCTTCCATCTGAAGGAGCCAGTTGGTGTTAGTCTCATTTCCATCTTAACAGCATTATGGTCGGAGCAAGTTTTCGGGCAGATTTCCACCTTTCTTGTCTTTGGTGCCATTCCTCTAGTTATCCAAATTTGGTCAATTCTTGTCCATGTCATTTTGGCTTCAGAGAAGAAGGTTCCCTCTTTAGCCATGGGATTTCTTATTCTCCAAATGTCAACTAAGTCCAAGTTGTCTGTCATGTCAAAAAAAGTTTTCGGTAGTCTACCATCCTTGGTGACTACCTGTCTTTGTGCCTTGTCCATATATGTGGATACCACTCCATTCATATCTCCCATCAAAATCATGTTATAATCCATATGGTCCATCAGGGTCTCGTGCAACTTCTTAAAAAAATCAGATTTCCCGTCGTTTGGTGCATAGATTCCTACTATCAAAAATTTTTCTCCTTGTGTTTGAATTTCAATTGCCACAAATCTTCCTTGGTCATCTTTAAATACAAATTTCGGTGATAATCTGTCCTTTGCATAAATCACAACCCCTCTTTTTTTAACTTTGTCCGATGAAATAAACTCTTGACCAAGTCTTTTATTTATCAATAATTTCCTGTGTAATCTTGTTATATGTGTTTCTTGTAAACAAATTAGGTCTAATTGTTCCTTTTTTAATATATGAAATACTGATTTCCTTTTCTGAGGGGAATTTAGACCGTGACAGTTCCAAGTTAGTAGTTGCAGGGCCATGATGTTATTATTTTCAACCATCATGCATTTGAACTGCAAGCAGGAAACACCTGCTTCTTCCCAACAGACTCATGAAACACACTTGGACGAAAAGAGCCCCAAGCCAAAAGCCACATGCCATATCCAGATGCTGGACAAGACTGGCCAATGGCAATATTCTGCACTAGTTGGGCATTGATCTGAGCCAGCCAGATCATCTTACATTGAGATTCCTGTATCCCAGACCACATGACCTTCAGGATGACTTCCAACTCTAAGATTCTATTATTCTTAAGCAGTGCAGAGGAAAATGTTTCGAATCTGGCTGGAAAGGCAGGTATGTGCTGGACTGATGATCTGTAAGTAGAATAACATTCTCTTTTCCCATCTCTCAAGGATGTAGGAATTATGCCTCACCTGGTGAAAGCTTCTGTGCCACACCATTCTGTTGTCATCAAGGGTGAATTCCTGGCCTGTGGCAGCCTCCCCACCTACCCTTCCAACTTTGACTCTCATGAAGGAGTTATTTGGGAAAGTGACCAGGTTGGTAACATCAAAGCCAGCTTCTACTTCCCTGTTCGCACTAAAGATACCGTTTCCCCAGCAGAGTTGTTAAAGGAGACACTCTAAAAAGGGGTGGAGCTGCATTGAAAGAAAAAGAGTAACTTTGAAGTAACGCAATGTCTTGTAATACATACATAAAGGGTTTAATGCTGTAAAGTGTCCTGACAGGCTTGGCCTATGTCACTTCCTCTTACCTTGGGAGGAAATGGGCAACAAAGCCTTCTGTTCTGCTTACTCTGTGTGTGAATTTGGTTTGAGTGGAGTTCTGAGCTGTTCCTTACAGCCAGATGGATTTAAGAAGCCACTTCTTTCAGAAAAGAATGTAGTCTGAAACTACCACTTTCTATACCAATAAAAAGTTTAGGAACTTTTGCCATTTTGTAACCAAGCTATGTCTTCGGCTTCTGCAACTTTTTTCTGAGTGCTGTGTTCCAAAAAACCTTTGAACTTTGAAGAGTTTTATAAGTAAACCATGTAGGACCTGCTAAGCATGTGATCGATTTTTGTGCTAGGGAAGTGGGATCTTCTGGAATTCACTGGAAAGGGCATATTTTAAGGTTTTACAGTGTGTCTTTCAATGCTTCTGGTTGCTGCATGTTTTGCCATGCACACAAAGGAAGTTGCTCACAAAAAAGGAGGATAGTGCAGGATTGGGTCCTCCTGCTTAACAGCTGTAAGCAATGTGGCCTGATATTTCACTATGCTAGTCCTTAATGAGCAGCTTCTCTGCACACAAGGGGAGAATATGGTCTTACATTGAAGCTTGATTTTTTTCAGGGTACAGTGTTACCTCGGGTTACATGCGCTTCAGGTCACAGACTAACCCAGAAATATTACCTCGGGTTAAGAACTTTGCTTCAGGATGAGAACAGAAATCATGCTCTGGCAGCGGAAGGCCCCATTAGCTAAAGTGGTGCTTCAGGTGGTGCTTCAGGTTAAGAACAGTTTCATGTTAAGTACAGACCTCCGGAGCGAATTAAGTACTTAACCTGAGGTACCACTGTACTGTTTTATGTATCACTGCCCAGGTCAAATAAAATGTATCTCATGAAAAGAATTACCTGCCAAGGCTGGAATTTCTGAAGCTCCTGCATCCCTCCTTCCACTGCTGCCCTGTATTTGGTCCTGGACAATAACATGGCATGTAGAGCATGTGCCGTTGCATAGACAGCATTATAGAGACTGTAGCTGTGGCCAGTTATGCTCATCACAAATGCAGATGAAGGGAGATCTTCCAGTTTCTCCTCTCCAGTGCAGGTTCCACTGGCCTGCTCCTCTGTACTGGAGTTTGGAAATGAACAGAGAAATACTTGTGCCCAGAACTGCTTGACAAAGCCATTTCCATCTTCCTCAAAAGGATTTTGTGCCTGAAGAAAGGCTTTGAAACCTTGCACCACATTTGAATGAAATGTAAAGGAGAGGGAACCATGAAAGACTTGCATATCCATGCTCATTTGATAGGTTAATGCTGCAAAATCCAGCTGTGCTGTCAGAATCCACACCTTGCCCTCAGAGGTTTCGGTCACATTTTCCAGTAAACCTAGTGCTACCACTGATCGCAAGGCAAGCATGGACCTTGTTCCTCCATAGACAACCACCACCATGGCTTTACTTTCCATAATAGCTTGATAAATTTGGACCCAGTGGAAATACATGACATAGTACTCAGCCAAATATGTCGTTTTCAGGGTTGTCTCTGAGAAGGCCAAGCAAATACTTTTCTGGTAGAGCAGAGGTTTCAGTGTCTGAATAAATCTCTCTCCACTGTCTCCACTAGCAAGCAATCCAACCCAGGTCCAACCAAAGTGCAGAAGTAACTCAACAATCCCAGTGTACTGATGGGCTTCATTTGACACCATCCTGTAGAAGGAAGTGGATTGGCTTTGATCAGCATCCTCTGGAGTAAAGGAGCCATAAGTGAGCTAGAAGGAAATAAAGAAGCATAATCTGTAAATGTGGAAGACAGACTGCATATGTCCATTGAGGGCCTGACCACACAGAAGGTGAAATGAGCCAGTTGCCTTAAGAAGGCAGGTTCCAGAAAGCTGGGAAGGGCAGCATATCTTGCCTCCATGGAGCTTCTTAGCTTCTGCCTCATCCTCTGCCACCCCCGCATGCCTACTTCCTTGCATTCCTTTTTACCTCTTCTCCCGGCCCCCCCATTTTTCCTTCTTGAGTTTGTAGTCCTTGGTTTCCTGCACTGCTACTTTCCTCTCCTCCATTTTCTTTCTCCATTTCATCCCTTTTTCTTCATCACTGCATTTCAGCTTCTCATTTCATGGTGTCTTAACTTCCTTTCCACACATCTATCAATCCACTAATGCACAGAATCCCACTCAAGTGCCACAATGTGTGCACAACTGCCTCCTGATGGTCTGAGTCCCAGCTCTGAGGATAGCAGCTTTGAGGATAGCAGCTTCCTTCTCTACTGTACAAAACCTTTCTGGATAGAAAATAGGATGGTAAATAAGTATGAAGTCGCCAAGGTGGTATCTTACCTGGGGGATCTTGTAAATGTCCAGAATGTCTGCCATTTGGAGGGAGGTATCAAAGTCCAGTCCCCCAATAGCTGCCATCAGATATTTCTGGGTGTGGCACTTGTAGTTGGGGACAAGTGTGGAGGGAAGGTTCAGAGGGGCCGTGTAAGTCATCCTTTCACTGAAGTAACTGTCATAGATTTGGAATCCCAGGGTGATATTAGGTAAGATCTTGGGGTTCTCATTGATCTCCTTGACAGCAAACACCAAAGCTAGAATATGCTGGTAGTTCCTTGCCACCACACTGCAAAGAGAATTTTAAGCTGCACCCTTGGAAAATATGCTATGCAATTTTTAAAAAGGGCTTCAGAATTATTCTTTTGTATTTTACTGCAAATAGTTCCCTAGTATACACATATCCGCAAATCAATTTTCCCTAAAAGAATGCATTGTATAAATTTCAAATGATAGTTGTTTTTTGGTTTTGTTATCTTTTTAGAGCATGCTAATTTTGGTAGGTTCACATTTAAATGTGAACTGATTTGAATCCTGCCTCTATCTCTAATAAGGGAATACTGATACTTTTGGGTCATACATATACTTGACAACACTATGTAAAGATTCAAGAGATGGTGTTAATAATAATAATTTATTATTCATACCCTACCCATCTGGCTGGGTTTTCCCAGCCACTCTTTAAAAACACAATACAGCATTAAACATTGAAAACTTCCCTAAACAGGGCTGCCTTCAGATGTCTTTTAAAAGTAAGATAGTTGCTTATTGCCTTGACATCCTCTGGGAGGATGTTCCACAGGGCAGGAGCCACTACCGAGAAGGTCCTCTGCCTGGTTCCCTGTAACTTCCTTCTCTGGCAAGAAGCCTACACCAGCTTCTGAAGTTTGGGTGAAATGTTAGTCTTGGCTTGTGGGCTGGTTGTGTCTCTTCCCTGGTTTAAGGGCATCTTGTTAAAGGATCTGCCAAATTTGCCCGGGGTGGGGCTAGGGCAATAGTACTTCTCCAAGTGCAGATGTAGTTGCCATTAGATGCACTCTTGCTTATTGAAAGCCTGGGATGAGAAACAGCTATATCAATGCCTATATGACCATTCTGTTGTCATCAATAAAGTTTCAGCCTATTTGAACCCAATTTATATTTTGCTGTCTTGTCTGGTTATTGACCATTAAGGTGATAAGGTCACATGGCATTGGCATAACACTGCAGGAACTAGATCTGTTGCTGACAGCAGTCTCTGAAAATTATTACATCAGCCCAAATTCCCTGAACAGCCACTTTTGCCCAGTTCCTGCTGGGTGTACCTAGCAGCTGGACCAGTCTGCCTCTGACCTCCAGCATTTAGCCAATTGTGTTCTGGCTGCCCTGAACAGTTGAGCTCTTAAGAAACCTGCTTTTATGGCATTCTTCTGGTAAGAAATAGAACCTTCTAACTAAAGACATGCCAGCTCACTTGTTCAGTCTTCCTACAACAAATCTGACATTTAGGGATAATACTAACTATTTAAGTCTCAGTTGTCCACTTTTACCTCAGCTTTCTCTTGTCTTTGCCTCACACCTCACTCATTACTTCTCCCAACTGACAGATAACTGCCATTTCTTCACTGTTCAGAACCTTCAGCCAATGACTGTCTGTTGTTCCCAAGGCCAAGCAGAATGAATGTACCTGTTCCAGGCCCTGCCTATAAATATTAAATGCAATTGAATCTCTTTCCCCTTCCTGTCTTCCTATCACCAAGTAGCTATAACTGAACAGGTCTGCACAACATTAAGAGCAAAAACACCAAACTTTGACACTCACACACTGACATAAACAGAGACCTTCAACAGAGGATAGAAAGCATTTTTAAACCACAAAACACAGAAATATACAAAACATTTATATACAGGTACTGATTTGATCCAATTAAAACCGCGTATCAAAATGCAGAGAAGTAGGTAGCCTAGCTTAATGGAGTAGTTCTCATAATTTCCAAACCTGTGACATCTTTTTAACTAGGAGTATCCTATAAGCCTTGCCTCACTTGGATGTGAACATCTGGGGGTCTTGAAACCCCACCTCTTAAGAGCTCTCAGCCCAAACTTCCTGAGGTGAAGTTCAATATTCAGAACACAGAAGGGCTTTCCATCTTAACTAGGTAACTCTTCAGCTTAGCAATAGTTCCCCACCACCACCTCTGCCTGGAAGTAAATCCCACTGAAACCAGTGGCACTTGCTTCTGAGTAAGCCTGGCTAGAGCTTAGGAATGTTTCTGTATTATCTGACATATGAAGTCTTTACAAGGTATTAAGAAGTTGATGGGTAGTTAGCCTTTCTCTGAAGTCTTCTTTGTCAAAAGCAGAAAAAAGGTGAGAAGCAAGGCCTCCAACAATAAGATCACCAGGTTGGTAGTATTCATGTGGAATCCCGGACAGATCATGGATGATGCAACTCCTGGTATGTTTGCACACCAAATGTGGCAGATAAAAGAGAAGGGGCACAATAAAGAATAGCATGCTGAGGCAAATATTCTTTCTCCTCAAACACCCTTACATCTATCTGAAACATGAACCTTAGCTTCAATAGAACCCTCAGCACAATATTCCGCCTTGACAGGAACCACACTACACTACCAATTCACAGATCAAGATCCTATCCTACAACTCAACGTAGACAACAGCAGAAATCCTTCCCCTTCCTCTGCCCTCTCCCTTGCATAGAATCACAAGAAGGGTTTTTATATTCTAATGTTTAGACTTTGACTTTTATTCTCTGGAAATCTACTGAGACATTATCCAAGAGACAGTTAGTAATTATGAGAGTAATAATTACAGATGAGATAATAACTAGCTCTCTTTACATCAGGAAAATGAAACAGATGACAAAAAAAAACCACACACCATGTTTCTGATGTTTCATTCAAAGTGGCTTCTGTCCCATTACGGGACAACAGAAGGGCGTGTAGAATACACTGCCATCAATGCTGAAATGCCTCACTTGACCGTGGAAATGATTAATCTGAGCTAAAATTTCACACCTGAACATCTGTTCATTAATTTAATGACATTTATACTAAGACAGGCTAAAGACTGGGGTGAGATTCTCTTGGGGAATCTTATTCAGTTTCTAATCAATCACCCTTGGATGTTCTAGTCAGGCCTGCATATTTTGTGGTACCTATTAGAGTTTTTTAGTTTTCCAAAGACTCCAGCCTCGATCCAGCCCTCAACATTTTAGATGTGTTTATTTTGCTGCAGTATTTTGGATCTGGAATGGAGAAAGAGCAGCAGATGTTCATTGATGTTCGGAACATAACGCCCAATTAAGTGTGGAGTGGCTGTACTGAAATCACTGGCACTGGTTAATCATGAGGCAGCAACTCTACTGAAACCTTCTTTATGGGAAAATAACCTAGAAAGGAATGACACGTGTTTGTTTGTTTTTTAATTGCCTCTAAATATATTGTTTTTCCTTGGCCACTTCCTAATCAATTACCCTCTAAGGTTGTCAGGCATCAATATTTTGTGGTACTCATCATAGCTTCTTAGTATTCCAAATGAATCTTAGGGAGAAAAGAGTTTGGAGACACCTGTTGTAAAGAGGCCAATAGTGGATATTTAAAAGAATTGCACATAACAGTTGTAAGAGATAGAATACAGCATAATTATATGATGTAAATAAAGAGAGATTATATTTGCTATTTCCTCTTTATTAACTGCTCCTTGCTGTTCAGATCAGGCCTCAACAAAATGATGTAGCATTTGGGAGCAAAGATGGAACCTAGTAAGCCAGCACTGGAGGCCAAGATGGAGAAGATCTCCACAGCCACCATGTATTTCCCCTTGGTGCTCAGGTACACTGGAACAAACGAGATCCAAACACTACAAAACAAGAACATGCTGAAGGTGATGAATTTGGCCTCATTGAAGCTCTCAGGCAGTTTCCTGGCAAAAAATGCCACAACAAAGCTAATAATGGCCAAAAAGCCCATGTAGCCCAGGACACAGTAAAAGAGGGCAACTGACCCTTCGTTGCAGCCTAAAATGATTTCTCTCATCACAGAGTTCATGTCAGAATCAGGGGATGGGGGAAAGGTTCCTAACCACACAGTGCAAATGCCAGCTTGAATAAGAGAACAAGAAATCACAATGGCGCTTGCCAGTCTTTTCCCCACCCATTTCCTCATTCTAGATCCTGGTTTGGTGGCCACAAAGGCCAGAACCACTGTGATCGTTTTGGCCAGAACACAAGAAACGGTCACTGTGAAAACAAGGCCAAAAGCCATTTGTCGGAGCAGGCAGCTCACTCTTTCTGGAGGGCTGAGGAAGATCAATGGGCAGAGGAAGCAGAGCAGGAGGAAAGTGAGGAGAGCATAGGTGAGGTCCCGATTGTTTGCTCTGACAATGGGTGTGTCCTGATGTTTAATGAAAATGGCTAGGACCACCAGTGTGAGGAGAGAGAGATAAAGAGCAAACAATGCTAAGCTCATCCCCAGAGGCTCTTGAACAGACAGGAAGCTGATGGTCTTTGGAACACATTGTGATTGGTTCCTGTGTGGATAGTGGTCCTTTGGGCATGCAACACAGTCAACCATGTCTGGAAAGAAAATAATACATTCAGATTTTGGATGTGTTGGAGAGCAACTACTAATACTGCGAGTATGGAACTCATAATGTTAAATTAGAAGTATCACAGATATTTCCAGATAAACCAGATTCAAAGTGATGCCTAAGAACCCTACCTCAGTACTGTGTGTTAGGCTTTTTGGGGTGCAGTTTAGACGGACAAGAGTGGCAACTACAAATAAAAATCATCCTTATAATTGTTCAGAATAAGAATTAAGGAAGACATCTTATACTCAATCAGATCAACGGTCCATATATCTCATGGGTAACAAACCTTGTCTTTTTAGGACAATGTCCATATTCCTTTATGGGGGCTGTCTGCCAAAAGGTATGGAGGAGAAATTTGGTTTTGTTGACATTCGAATGGGAAAGTTATCCAAACTGCAATCCTTGAACCAACACATGAACCAAAATACAGTTCCCCACCCCCCAAAAGTGTACTGTTCTAAAAAACATGTGGTTCTCCAAACAAACAATATGTTACCAATTATTTACTTAACCTTTTCAACAACTTCTAACATGACTTATGTTTGAAAAGCATGTATCTTGTGTCACCTACCTTTCTGGGGTGAAATCTTGCCTTGAGGACATGGAGCACAATCATAGCAGCAAAATGGCTCCCCCTCCTTCTTCTCCTTGCTGGAACCAGGAGGGCAATTTGGGTTACACTCAGAAAGGGGTGGAACCTGCCCATTTAAATGAACACACAAACAGTTTAACTCACAGAAATTAGTAGTGCCTTTGACTTCCTTCCCCCCCCCCCCAGTAGGAAAATACTAAACTACTTATTCGAAACTCAAAGACAAACTACCTACTGTATTTTCTGTGTATAAGACTAGGTTTTCCCCCTAAAAAATAATGTCTGGAATTTGGGGGCATCTTATACATGGGGGCCATCTCCCCCCATTTTCGTAAATCGGAGTCCCCAAAAACAGGGGGTGTCTTTTATGCTGGGGAGAAAATGCGGTACTTTGCTATTTGTGGTTTTTAAAAACAATGCTGAAACTCATCATCTTTGAGCCCGCTTCAGGCATTCAGAAAAATTGCATGAGGGCTCAAATTAGGAAGGGGAGGGGGGTAATCTTCACTAGCCCTGCCCCCATTGTCTCCATTCATAAGGGAATACCTATTCCAGCCTCCATTTTCCTATCATAGCACATGTAAAAAAATAATGCTTGTGACAATATGAGGCAGGTGAAAACCCGCAGGCGGGCCAGTAAGTCAGCGGGAAAAATTCATCCCTGGCCCCAAATACAGTTACAGAGAATTCCTAGGCGAGGTCTTATCGCATTCTAGCCTGCTCAACTTCAGTCAAGACGACTAACACAGTAAGGTGGTAGGGTGGATAATTCCACACTCAATGCCTCCTGCCCTCCTCTAATTGGCCCATGGTAAGAGCCTAGTAATAATAAGCAGAAGAAAAATTGTTTGTTTGTTTGTTTGTTTGTTTGTTTGTTTGTATCCCATCCATCTGTCTGGGTCACCCCAGCAACTCTGGACAACTTCAAACATAATAAAACACAGCAAAATGTCAAACATTTAAAACCTCCCATTACAAGGCTGCCTTCAGAATGTGCAACAACATTCTATTTTCTTATATCTCATGGATGTAGGAATTATGGCCCACCTGGTGAAAGCTTCTGTGCCACACCATTCTGTTGTCATCAATGGAGAATTTCTGGCCTGGGATAGCCTCCACACTCACCCTTCCAACCTTGACTCTCACAAAGGAATCATTTAGAAAAGCGACCGTGTTGGTAATATCAAAGCCAGCATCCACTTCTCCATTCTCACTAAAAGATACAGTTTCTCCAGCAGAGTTGTTAAAGGAGACAGTCCTAAGGAAGGGATGGAGCTGCATTGGAAGAAAAATAGTCACTATGAAGTAATGAAATGAAATGAACAAAGAAAAAACCCATGGCTTTCAAGTCCAACTGTTTGCATCTTAACTCAACAAGAGAATTGTAGGGTAACCAGCCCCATGTAACCAGCATGCTTACCCGAAGGATTCCTAACGAACCATCCCTTCGGGGAACAGACAGGGCGAAACAGAATATATAAGTGCACACGATCACAGTGTGACCTTATGACCTTCGACAACTTCGCATTTGTCCTTTTCATTATCCCAGTGATCTTAGGTGTTCTATACTGTGATGCCAATAAAGCTATTTGTTATTTGATTTTATATTTAACCAACATGCTTGAGTCTGATTAATGCTTTAGGTCTGTCCGGACAGGCTTGGCCTATGTCACTTCTGCTCACCTAGTGAGGAAAAGGGCAACAGAGTCTTCTGTTCTGCTCAGAATTCCCTGTGTGTGGAGCTCTGAGCTGCTCCCTTCCGCCACAAAGATTTATCCAGTTTAGGAACTTTTGCCATGTGGTAACCAAACTATGACATACTGCCTGTTCAGCTTTTTTTCTGACTGCTGTACGGAAAAGCACACAAATCTGACCTTTCAAGAAGATAACAAGTAAACCAATTGATAACTTACTGAACCTGTGTATTAGGAAAGTGGGATAGTGTGGGATTCACTGGAAAGGGAAGGTTTTATGGTTATACAGTCTATATTTAAATGCTTTTATTTGCTGCATGTTTTGCCATTGTTAAATGCCTGCTAGGGAAATTTGCCCAAACTTCTTGCAACAAGAAAAAAGAGAGAGAGCTAAACTCTTGAGAGTCCCATGGACTGCAAGAAGATCAAACCTATCCATTCTTATGGAAATCAGCCCTAAGTGCTCACTGGAAGGACAGATCCTGAAGCTGAGGCTTCAATACTTTGGCCACCTCATGAGAAGAGAAGACTCCTTGGAAAAGACCCTGATGTTGGGAAAGATGGAGGGCACAAGGAGAAGGGGACGACAGAGGACGAGATGGTTGGACAGTGTTCTCGAAGCTACCAACATGAGTCTGATCAAACTGCGGGAGGCAGTGGAAGACAGGAGTGCCTGGCGTGCTCTGGGCTATGGGGTTATGAAGAGTCGGACACGACTAAGCGACTAAACAACAACAACAAAGTCCACTTGTTTGTTTTTTACTGGTCAGGGACAATCATTGTGAGTGCTGCACTTGCTGTTCCCCAGCTCAATTCCTCAGCTCCAGACACATTTTGTCCCAGCTCCAGCTGCCTCCTCCTGCCAAGTCCCCCTTTCTCCTCTTAGCAAACCTGTGCAATGTTTCTCTGAAGCCCATGGCAGTTGAGAGGCACAGGGCATTCTTGGCATGATAGCTTGAGTCCAGCAGGCCCCTGATGGGGCCACACAACCACCTTAGATGTCCTATTCCCAGGGCAAGTGTACCTGGCTGCCCAGAGCTCTGCACAGGCCTGTCTTTCAGTGGAGGATCAAATCCTCCTTCATGAGCACCTTCTCTGCACACAAGGGTCCTATACTAAGTGCTCAGAAATTTTCGGGGTACTGTTCTACATATCACTGCCCAGGTCAATAAAATGTATCTCATGAAAGGAATTACCTGCCAAGACTGCAGCTTCTGAAGCTCCTGCACCCCTCCTTCCGTCACTCCCTTATATTTGGTCCTAGACAAAAGCATGAAATGTAGAGCATGTGCTATGGCATAGACAGCATTATAGAGACTGTAGCTGTGGCCAGTTATGCTCATCTCAAAACCAGACGAAGGGAGATCTTCCAGCTTTTCATCTCCGGTGCAGGTTCCACTGGCCTGCTCCTCTGTATTGGAGTTTGGAAATAAACAGAGAAATACTTGTGCCCAGAACTGCTTGGCAAAGCCATTTCCATTTGCCTCAAAAGGATTTTGGACCTGAAGAAAGGCTTTGAATCCTTGTACCACATTTGAATGAACTGCAAAGGAGAGGGACCCCTGGAAGACTTGCATATCCCAGCTCATTTGATAGGTTAATGCTGCAAAATCCAGCTGTGCTGTCAGAATCCACACCTTGCCCTCAGGTGTCATGGTCACATTTTCCAATTCACCAAGTGCTACTATTTCTCTCAAGTCAATCATAGACTTTGTTTCTCCATAGAAAACAACAGCCTTTGCTTTACTTTTCATAATAACTTGATAGATTTGGATGAAGTCAGACTGCACATCATAAAAGTCTGCCAAATATGTGGTTTTGGGGGGTTTCTCACAGAAGGCCAAACAAATGCCTTTTTGGGACAGCAGAGGTTTCAGGTCCTGGATAAATCTCTCTCCACTGTCATTATCTCCAGCAAGCAACCCAACCCACGTCCAACCAAAATGCAGAAGTAACTCAACTATCCCAGTGTACTGATGGGCTTCATTGGGCACCATCTTGTAGAAGGGAGTGGATTGGCTTTGACCAGCATCCTCTGGAGCAAAGGAGCCATAAGTGAGCTAAAAGGAAATAACGGGGCAGAGTTTGTAAATGTGCATTCATTGCCTGCTCATCTAGAAGGCAAGATCAGACCGTTTCCTCAGAGGGGCAGGCTCCAGAAAGCTGGGAGAGGTGGCACATTTAGCCTCTGTGGATAATGAATACTCAATAAATAGCTGACATCATGATTTTCTTGTGAGGTGCTTAGACAATGTTGCATCAAGCAAATGTTATCCCACATTTCCTGTTCATTTTCCCATCAATTGGGGGGGGGGAGTAGTTTGGCCCACAAATTCTGAATCACCTTTAACTGCAGAACCTGAATTTGCTGATATGCAATTGAAATAGTGACAGTCTGGAAAGCATCCTGAGACCTACAAAGATCTTGATTGTAGCTCAGGCACTCAGTGGATGGTGCTGTCCTCTCCCCGCATACTATGGCTGCTACCTCCCCCTCCTACTGCTGGGAATGAAAGCATCCCACAGCTAAATACCTCATATGGAAGCAGGACAACCTCCCTTGTTTCAGGAAATTGACTGCCAGTTGGTTCATTCTCCAGCCAGAAAAGTGGAGGGAAAGACAGAACACAGCATGGTGCCTACAACTACGTCAGAGCATTGATCAATCTAGCTCAACTTTGTTAACACTGAGTGGAAAGACACATTCAATGACCTACCTAGAGATGTCAGGGATCGAGCCCAGGATCTTCTCCATTCATTGCAGGTGCTCTATAGTCCTTTCTGTGGTGTGGTGATTTGCCATTGAGTAATAATGAATAGGAGAATGCTATTTTCTGGCACTTGACAGGCACCCATTCATTCAAGAGAAATTCACCACAAGATTATTGATGGCTCTTTGGTTCCCTTTTTAATATTTTCTTGATATGCACCCCAATTTACAGTGGGCTGCGGAGAGGTCCCACAAGTCTATCAGTATCTCCTGCAGGTGAATTAAATGTTTTGAGCCTGTATTGGGAGGAGGGGCAGAAAGCTTCAGCTGGTACAGAAAACAGCTGCCAGGATTTTGTCAGATTGCTTCCAGTCTCAATTCAAAGGATTTTGTCAGATTGCTTCCAGTCTCAATTCAAAGTCCTAGTATTGGCCTTTAAAACCCCTGAATTTTCAGGAACTCATTTATTTTAAGGATTTATATAAAGGACCACCTTCTCCCATACCATTCACACTTTTTGGATCATTGAGTGAGGCCAAGCCCAGTCAAAGACATTCTGCTGCCTGAGATAGAAACCAACTCAAGTATATCATCCACTGCACTTGAGACACCAGACTAGTTAGAGGGGTCAGGGGATGCATGGAACATATTCTACTCATTCCTCCAACAGAGAAAAATTGCCAATGTGCTTAATAAGGGGGGAGAGGAAAGCCCACCTACAGCAGAGATATTTAAATGCTGCTGATGGCTCATTACTACCTAACAATTTGGGATTGTCCGTTAGTTAATGAATTCTGGAAACAGATTGGTATAGAAATATCGTGAATTGTGGGTAGGAAGGTGGAAATATCTAAATTAATGGTTCTTATTAGCCTGAGTAGCACTGTAGAAACAAAAGAGGAATGTAAATGGGTAAAATTGAGGGTAACTGCAGCCAGACAGGTTATAGCGAGTAGTTGGAAAAATGCAGAAGAGCTAGGAGAGAACCAATGGAGGGGAAAATTGGAAAATATTATAATCTTAGAATATCTAACTGTGAAGATACATAAAATGAAAGGGTTTAAGGTCAGTGAGAAGGAGGAGGATTGGTTTGAGAAAACATTGAATTATTTGGGCAGGTTTGAACAATTTGGGGCAATTAAAATGTTAAAAGTTAAATAAACCTTGTGGAGGGAGGAGTATTAAGGTATATGCAATTGTACATATGGTTGATTTGAATGTTATTATTGATTATGTATACCCAATGTATCAGCTGCCTGGGGGTTTTCACTGTTAGTTTTCACTGTTTGTGTTTTGGTTGTTGGGGGGGGGGAATTACTACCTAACAATTTTATGCTACACATTTTAATAAGTTGTGCAAAGCGTACCGGACACTTTTTGTGAAAGGCAGGGCCACCTTCCTTTGTCATTCACAACTATTTCTCTATAGTATGAAACCTTTCTTCACAGAAAAGATCATGTTGAATGAGTATGAAGTCTCCAAGGCAGAATCTTACCTGAGGAATCTTGTAGATGCCCAAGATGTTTGCCATTTGGAGGGAGGTATCAAAGTCCAGCCCCCCAATAACTGCAACCAGGTGTTTCTGGGTGTTGCACTTGTAGTTGGGCATAAATGTGGAGGGAAGGTTCAGAGCAGCCCGGTAGGTCATCCTTTCATTGAAGTAACTGTCATAGATGTGGAATCCTAAGGTGATATTAGGTAAGATCTTGGGGTTCTCATTGATCTCCTTGACAGCAAAGGCCAAGGCCAGGATATGCTGGTAGTTCTTTGGCACAACACTGCAATGAGAATGTTATGCTGATTTCTTGGGAGATATGCTATGCAATTTTATTTTTAAAAAATTAGGACCTCATGACAATTCTTCAACATTTTCATGCAAATTGTGCTCTAACACAATTTAACACAAATCTACAAAACAATTTCCCATAAAAGAGTGCATTGCATTCCACTTGTATACTTCTATACCACTTTCACTAATATATGCATTTTTTGGGACACTTTATCCCAGTGTATGTATTTTTGGATACATTTCATGACTGGAGAATTGCACTGCAAAATTTGGAGAAGTGTGAATGGCAAATGATAGCTGTGTTTCGTCATCTCTTTAGGCAGATTTTAGTAGGTGCATGTTTAAATATGAACTGATTTGAATTCCCTCCCTTTCTCCAATAAGGGAATACCGATACTTACTTTAGGTAAGTAAGTAAGTACATGTACTTGATGACACTTTCTAAAGATTCCAGAGATGCTGTTGCTGAGGCCAGTCTCTGAAGGCTTTTACCTCAGACCCTATTCCCTATTCCGCCACTCCTGCCCAATTCAATCACAAATTGTAACTAGCAGCTGAACTAATCTGTCTCTGACCCCAAAGTTCAGTTGAGCTCATTTAAAAAATCTGCTTTTATGACATTCATCTGTTAAGAACTGGACAGCCTAAAATAGACACCAGCTCACTTGTTCTAATCTTCACCACAAGATATTATTAACACACTGGGGATAATTGGCTTAATATTGATACCTTCTTTGTCAACTTTCACCTCAGCTTTCTCTGGTCTTTCCCTCAAACCTCACTCATGACTTGTACCAACTGACAGTTAACTGTCATTCTTCACTGATCGGAACCTTCAGCCTATTACAGTCTGTTGTTGCTCAGGCTATTGAGAATGAATGTACCTGATCCAGGCCCTTTCTATAAATATGAAACACAATTGTCTCTCTTCCCCCTTCCTCTCTTCCCCTATCACCAAGTAGCAATCACTGAACAGGCCCACACCACAGTAACAGCACAACTTTGACAGCCACACACTGACATCAATAGAGACCTTTAAAATCTTTTGAAAGCACATAGCATAGACATATACGCAACATTTATATACAGTTACTGATTTGATCCAACAGAAAAGCTGTATTGAAATGCTGAGAAGCAGGTAGCCTAACTGAATGGAGTAGTTCTCATCATTTTCAGACCTGTGACACATTTTCAACTAGAAGTATCCTGTAAATCTTGCCTGACATGGATAAGAACATCTGGGGCTCTTAGAAATCCACCTCAGAAGGAGAGGCAAGATTTTAAGAGTCCTCATCCCAGACTTTCTGAGGTGAAGTTCAATATTCAGAAGTAGACTACCAATTTACACACACACACACAAACACACACACACACACCCTGCCTGGAAGTAAATCCCACTAAAATAAATGGAGCTTGCTTCTGCGTAAGCAAGGTTAAAGCTGGGGAATGTTTCTGTTCCAGATGATTATTTGAGATATGCAATATTTACATGGTATTAAGAAGTTGATGGATAGGTAGCCTTTCTTTGAAGTCTTCTTTGTCAAAAGCAGAAAAGAGGTGAGAAGCAACTCCGCCAACAATAAGATCACCAGGTTGGTAGTATTCATGTGGGATTCTGGAAAGATCATCAATGGTGCAACTCGTGGTATGTTTGCACACCAAATGTGGCAGATGAAAGAGAATTGGCACAAGAAAAAACAACAACATACTGGGGCAAATATTCTTTCTAATCAGACACCCTCATTTCCATCTAGAACATGAACCTTAGCTTCAGTAAAATATTCTACCTTGACAGAAACAGAACTTGACTACCAATTCACAGATTAAAATTCTATTTTACAACTTGACAATGTGAGAAGCAAAAATCCTGCCTCTTCCTCTGCCCTCTCCCTTGCTTAGAATCACAAGTAGGGTTTTTTATATTCTCATGTTTAGACTTTGGCTGATATTCTCTGCAAATCTATTGAGACATTATCCAAGGGAGAATTAGTCATGACAAAAGTGATAATTACAGATTAGATAATAACTATCTCTCTTTGCATCAAGAAAATCAAACGGATGACAAAAAAAAACATGTTTGTGGGGTTTCATTTGAAGTGGTTTCTGTCCCTTTATGGGACAACAAAATGCATGCAGAATTAACTGCAATGAGGAAGAAAATAAGAGTGGGTCAGTCTGTTATCAATGCTGAAATGCTTCATCTGACCAGTGCAAATGATTAATCTAATGTCCTTAAATTTTCCACCTGACCATTTGTTTATTAGTTTACTGACAATTATACCAAGACAAAAGGATGGTGAAGGGCACTGAGTTTTGTAGGTGGTTTGTGTTGGTGACAAGGAAATGTGGAGAACTAAATTTAAGATAGACAAAATGAGAAACTGGTAAAATAGAAATTAACAGGTTCTATTGACTTCTAAGGGAGACACTTCAGTTTACCTCTTAACGCACACATGCAGATGCACATAAAGAATATATGTGCCACCAAAAGGGGTGTAATTTCCAAGGTTTTGCACCTGGAGCTGTGGGGGGCAGGGTGGAGGAAAAAGAGATTACACCCCCTTCACAGGATCGAAAATACAGATCCTTTATTCTGAAGTTATGGACCTAAACAGAGTAAAAACAAAAACAGTTGGTGGGATGGGAGGGAATAATATAACAAGAATAAAAATTACCAGCCAAATTCTTTACTTATATCTGATTCTAGATATAAGTGAGATTATTGCTCAGTCAGACCTGGCAATAATTGTGGGATTCATTATAGAGGATTATTAGTTGTCTTACTGGCTACAGTATGGCTGGAACTAGCTAGTATTTGAAAGTGTGGTTCTGTGCGCACAAAGGAGGGAAGGTACACCATCTTTTGGAGCTGAGTGTTATCTAAGCATCTGACCCAACTTACGTGAATAATTGAGGGTATAGAGAAATGGGATAGTTTTTATGTTACATGGTATCCATCTGTTACTTGTATTACTAAATCCCATTGTCCTCCTATGCCACCTATATCCCAAACAGCAGTCTGGTGGGGCTACCTCCAGTATTGAGAATCACTTCAAAATAACTCTTTTTATGTTTATAGATAATGAGAACAGTCAGACAAGATAGGTTTAATCAGGGAATATTTCCCAGGATTGAAAATAGGAATGGAGTACTCACAGCAGCTGAATATGCTTTTATTTATTATACACATAGACACAGCCTAAAGCTTTACTAGATCCATCCCCCATTCATTTGTGTTCATAGATATACCTGCATGCCATCAATTAGTGCAGCTTACCACCTGAGTGTCTGGTGCATGTTTGCATCAAGGTCACAGTGTCTGTACAGAAATCCACGTACTTAGCTGCATGGGTTCAAGGATGAACATGGTCTTGTGCTGTGGGAAATAGGCCCTAAGGCCTGGTTGGCTTAAGCACGGTAGTCCAACGTGTGGCGCCGCCAGCCTTCTTCCACCCCTTCCCAAACCATAAGAACAAAAAGCTTTTTCTGTTGAAGATTTTTGAAGACAATCTCTTATTTTTGGCATCTTTCCTGCCATATTTTAATTCTCTCTGGAGTTTTCCCCTTTTTACAATGTGTTGAAAGGAGAGCAGTCTGTAACCAGTACTGAAAAACCAATGGTTCAAGCTATACGTCCTGCTCAAAGACCAAAACCAAAGCTCAATCCATAACAGTTACTTGTTTCAGTTGTAACAAAGGACATAAATTACAATGTTTGAAGCCTTCTTCTCTGAAGCCAAAATGACATGGACAAGAATTGACCAAATATGGGTAACTAGAGGAATGGCACCAAAGACAAGAAAAGTGGAAATCTGCCCAAAAACCTGCTCCGACCATAATGCTGTTAAGATGGAAATGAAACTAACACCAACCTGTTCCTTCAGATGGAGGATGAATGACACCTTATTTAGAGATGAAGAAGTGTTTAAGAAGGCCAAAAAAACCTTGAGAGATTATTTTGAGATAAATATGAGCACCAATGTGGAAAAAAGAGTAATCTGGGATGCAAGTAAAGCTGTTATGAGAGGGTTCTTGATACAACAGAATGCATTAAAGAAGAGAATCCAAAATGAGAAGAAGGATAAAATTTTGGAGAAAATAAAGGAAAGTGAAAAGAAATTGAGAGCAAAACCAAAGTCGCAAGAGATTTTGAGAGAAATAAAGTTACATCAAGTGCAATACATGAAAATGATGAATCAGGAGACAGAATGGAAAATTAAACAAATGAGACAAAAGACATTCGAGTCGGCTAATAAATGTGGGAAATTGCTGGCTTGGCAAATGAATAAAAGACAAAAATTAAATACAGTTACAAATTTAGAAGTGGAAGGAAGGAATATACAGAACCCAGCTGAGATTAGAAATTCTTTCCATAGGTACTTTAAACAACTATATACACAAGGGCCACAGAAAGAAATTGACGTAGACCGATTTTTGAAAACAAATGGATTACAAAAAATCTCTCAAGAAAATAAATTAATGTTGAACTATAAAATAACTGAACAGGAGATAGAAGGTGCCATTCAGAATATGCAATTGGGTAAATCTCCAGGACCGGATGGACTGACTTCTAGATACTACAGATCTTTAAAAGAATGGTTAGTACAACCTTTGAAAGAAGTCTGCAACGAAATAATGGAGGGGAAAAGGGCACCAGAGTCGTGGAAAGAAGCGTATATCACACTTGTACCGAAAACAGAGACTGAAAAGACGCAGCTTAAGAACTACCGCCCCATATCACTGCTCAATGTGGATTACAAAATTTTTGCAGATATCTTGGCTAAAAGACTAAAAAGAGTGTTAGTGGAAGAGATACATAAAGACCAAGCAGGCTTTCTCCCAGGTAGACATCTATCTGACAATGTGAGAAACATAATCAATATTTTAGAAAAATTACAAGTGAATATAAATACTAAGGCAGTTTTAATATTTGTGGACGCGGAGAAAGCTTTTGACAACATTTCTTGGAGTTTTATGAAGAAGAACTTACAGGGTATGGGGGTAGGCCAAGGCTTTGAAAACGGTATAAGTGCAATATATTCTGAACAAAAGGCTAAATTAATTGTAAATAATGTGGTGACGGAAGAATTTAAGATAGAAAAAGGGACACGACAAGGTTGCCCAATCTCCCCATTGCTTTTTATATCGGTCCTGGAGGTTTTGCTGAATATGATTAGAAGGGACCAGTTGGTTAAAGGTATACATGTCGGAGCCAAACAGTACAAATTGAGAGCATTTGCAGATGACTTAGTATTGACGTTACAGGAGCCAGAATCTAGTACCAAAAGGGTTTTAGAACTGATTCAAGAATTTGGTCAAGTTGCAGGATTTAAATTGAATAAGTTAAAAACCAAGGTTTTAGAGAAAAATTTAACACCAATGGAGAGAGAGAGGTTTCAGAATGAGACAGGTTTAACAGTGGTTAAGAAAGTTAAATACCTGGGGATTAACATGACAGCAAAAATGGGAATTTATTTAAAGACAACTATGAAAAATGCTGGGCTGAGTGAAAAAAGATTTAGAAATTTGGTCAAATTTGAAGCTTTCACTGCTGGGTCGTATTGCTGCGGTAAAAATGAATGTATTGCCTAGAATGTTGTTTTTGTTTCAAACATTGCAAATTGTGGACAAAATGGACTGTTTCAAGAGGTGGCAGAGAGATATTTCTAGATTTGTCTGGCAGGGCAAGAAGCCTAGAATAAAATTTAAAATATTAACAGATGCAAAGGAAAGAGGTGGATTTGCCCTGCCAGACTTTAAACTTTACTATGAATCAGCAGCCTTTTGCTGGTTGAAAGAATGGCTGCTTCTTGAAAACACTGACATTTTGGATCTAGAAGGTTTTAACAATGTATTTGGATGGCATGCATATCTGTGGTATGATAAGGTCAAAGCACATAAAGCATTTAAAAACCATATTGTCAGGAAAGCATTGTTTAATGTTTGGATAAGATACAAGGACTTATTGGAAAATAAAACCCCAAGGTGGCTGTCACCGATGGAAGCGAAAGCTCTGAAAAAGCTCAATATGGAGGTCAAATGGCCGAAATATTGGGAAATTTTGGAACAAGATGGAGATAGACTGAAATTACAGAGTTTTGAGAAATTAAAAACAAAGTGCGAGACTGGCTTCATTATTATCAGATAATGGAGGCATATAATTTGGACAAGAAAATTGGCTTCCAGGTGGAAAAATCAAAATTGGAAACAGAACTGTTAGAACCCAAAACTAAGAATTTGTCAAGAATGTATAACTTGCTGTTGAAATGGAATACTCAGGATGAAACGGTGAAATCTGCTATGATTAAATGGGCACAAGATGTTGGACATAACATAATGATGGCTGACTGGGAACAGTTATGGACCACAGGTATGAAGTTTACGGCATGTAATGCCTTAAGAGAGAATATTATGAAAATGATATACAGGTGGTACATGACACCAGTCAAGCTTGCAAAAATCTATCATTTGCCCGATAATAAATGTTGGAAATGTAAAGAAACTGAAGGTACATTCTTTCACCTTTGGTGGACGTGCCCAAGGATTAAGGCTTTCTGGGAGATGATTTATAATGAAATGAAAAGGGTATTTAAATATACCTTTCTGAAGAAACCAGAGGCCTTTCTCCTGGGCATGGTCGGCCAAATGGTGCCAAAGAAGGACAGAACTTTCTTTATGTATGCCACAACAGCAGCAAGAATACTTATTGCAAAGTATTGGAAGACACAAGACCTACCCACTCTGGAAGAATGGCAGATGAAGGTGATGGACTACATGGAATTGGCGGAAATGACTGGCAGAATCCGAGACCAGGGAGAAGAGTCGGTGGAAGAAGATTGGAAGAAATTTAAAGACTATTTACAGAAATATTGCAAAATTAATGAATGTTAGAATGATGTTGGAATGAAGCTAGGTGGTTTAAGCAGTAATGCTATAAAGGTGTATGTAAAAAAAGGATTGATAACAGATGAAAATTTAAAGTTATAGTATATTAAGTTAAAGGATCATGAGAAAACAAAGAGGGAAAGAAATTGCTGACTTAACTAATTGAACTGGAATACAAAAAAGGGAGGTATGAGGTGGTCAGGGAAACAAGGATATGAATGTAAGCTATGGAAAAATTGATGCATTTTTCTTTTTAAGTGTCTTTTATTATTTTATTCTGTATTTTGTATTTTGTATTTTTCTTGTATTTTTACTTTTTGTTTTTGTGTAATTCTTTTTCTCTCTGAAATTTTAATAAATATCATTTTTTAAAAAAAAAACCATAAGAACAAACAGCTTTTTCTGTTGAAGATTTTTGAAGACAATCTCTTATTTTCGGCATCTTTCCTGCCATATTTTAATTCTCTCTGGAGTTTTACCCTTTTTACAATGTGTTGCAAGGAGAGCAGTCTGTAACCAGTACTGAAAAACCAATGGTTCAAGCTATATGTCCTGCTCAAAGACCAAAACCAAAGCTCAATCCATAACAGTTACTTGTTTCAGTTGTAACAAAGGACATAAATTAAAATGTTTGAAGATTTCCAGAAAATACCAGGCAATAACAAACATAAAATACAACATGATATGATGTGGAGAAAGAGAATATATTGTCCATATTCTGATAAAACAAAAAACAGAGATGATAGGATAATTTACTACTTCCTTTTTATTAATTGCTCCTTGCTGTTCAGATCCGGTCTTAACACAATGATGTAGCATTTTGGGGAAAAGATGGAACCCATTAAGCCAGCACTGGAGGCCAAGATGGAGAAGATCTCCACAGCCACCATGTATTTCCCCTTGGTGCCCAGGTACACTGGAACAAAGGAGACCCAAACACTACAAAACAAGAACATGCTGAAGGTGATGAATTTGGCCTCATTAAAGCTCTCAGGCAGTTTCCTGGCAAAAAAGGCCACAACAAAGCTGATAATGGCCAAAAAGCCCATGTAGCCCAGGACACAGTAAAACAGGGCAACAGACCCTTCGTTGCAGCCTAGAATGATTTCCCTCATCGCAGAGTGCATGTCAGAATCAGGAAATGGGGGAGCGGTTCCTAACCACACCGTGCAAATGCCCACTTGGATAATGGTACATGACAACACAATGGTGCTTCCAAGTCTTTTCCCCACCCACCTCCTCATTTGGGATCCTGGTTTGGTGGCCACAAAGGCCAGAACCACCATGATAGTCTTGGCCAGCACACAAGAAACGGTCACTGTGAATACAAGGCCAAAAGCCATTTGTCGGAGCAGGCAGCTCACTTTTTCTGGTGGGCTGAGGAAGATCAATGGGCAGAGAAAGCAGAGCAGGAGTGAAATGAGGAGAGTGTAGGTGAGGTCCCGATTGTTTGCTCTGACAATGGGTGTGTCCCGATGTTTAATGAAGATGGCTTGGACCACCACTGTGAGGAGAGAGAGAGAAAGAGCAAACAATGCTAAGCTCATTCCCAGAGGCTCTTTGAAAGACAAGAAGCTGATGGTCTTTGGAATGCATTGCGATTGTTCCATGTTTGGATAGTGATCTTCGGGGCACCCAACACAGTCATCCATATCTGGAGTGGAAATAATCATTTCAGAGTTCAGATGTCTTGGAGAGTTTCCAGTGCTGCTAGTATGGAACTGTTAGGGTTAAAGATGTTTCCAGACAAACCAGATTGCAAGTGATGTATGAGAACTCCACCTCAGCTTTGTGTGCTATGTTATTTGGGGTGTCCCCATAAGATACATTGTGCAGTTTAGATGGAAAAGAGTGGTAACCACAAATACAATTCTTCCTTGTAGTAATTGTTCAGTACAGGAACTTAGGAATGTGTCTTATACCAAGACAAATCACTGGTTCCTTTTAGCTTAGTACTGCCTGCCTTATTTTAACCTCAAACAAAGATTAGATCATTGGTGATAAACCTTTTCTTTTAGAATAAGGTACATATTCATTTATTGGGGCTGTCTGCCAATAGAGATGGAGGAGAAATTTGGTTTTATTGAAATTTGACTGGGAAAGTCATCTAAATTGCACTGTTTTGACCAACACATTAACCAAAACACAGTTACCCTGCAAAATGTATGCTTCTCTAAAAACTTTTGATGCAGACCTCCAATTAAACAATATGTACAAAAATGCCTATATTACCAATGCAGAATTTTTACTTTATACAGTCAATACTTTTTTGTATATCCCATAGTAATTACATTTATTTTCTATATAGAACGTATGTATCAAAGAATGAATTTGATTCATGTATTCCTGCATTTTTGTAACTCTTTTATGCTGCTCCCCTATACCAGATAAACTGCCAAATCACTGCATTCCTTGCTCATCTGCCCCTGAAGGATTGTATGTTTAGCTAGAGGGCACAAGTGGCTAGGATGTTTTATATTACAATCCCTGTGAATTCCTTGAGATTCCTTAAGCTTTGGGAAGATACAGGAATGGATTATGGCACTTTCTGAAGGCCTAGTTGTCAAAGAAGGTGTACAATAAGTGAGTAAAAGCTTATACCTGAAGCTCCAGAGTTTGGGTAATAAAGATAAATGAGGGGAAACATAAAACAGGGACTTTTCACCCCTCAACGTGTAACCTTTCTTGTGGTACGCATTCTACAATGATGTTATATGATGTATGTTTATGTGTGGAAAAACCCAATAAAATCTTTGTTAAAATGTGCTTTCAGGCAGTTTGTCTAACTGGCGGTTAGCTGAACAACTGATTTAGCAAGGCTGCCTCATTGCAATAGCTTCTCTAATAAACCAGGTCCCTAGTGGACACTTTGCTTGCATATTCTCTTTGTTGGGGTTTATTTAAAGGTTGTTCCCTCACCTCGGCAAGAACTAGTGGTTTAGAAGTAAATTCTTACCATATCATACCCTCCAACATGTCTCTGATGAAAATAGGGATGTCCCATTCCATAATGATGATTTTACTATTTATACCCCACACATCTTACTGGGTTGCCCCAGCCATTTTGGGCAGCTTCCAACATTAATAATAATAATAATAATAATAATAATAAACCTTCCCTATATAGGATTGCCTTCAGACAGCTTGGGGGTCAGATAACTTCATACCCTTCAACATTTCTCCAATGAAAATAGAGACATCTGAGGAAAAAGTGGGACATTCTGGGATCAAATCAGAAACCAGGACAGCTTCTGACTTCTCTAACTCAGGGACGTCCCTGGAAAATAGGGAAACTTGGAGGGTCTGCCATATTAGCAATTATTTACCTATTTACTTAACCTTTGCAACAACTTCTAACATGACATATGTTTGAAAAGTACGTATCTCGTGTCTCTTACCCTTCTGGGTCGAAATCTTGCCTTGAGGACATGGAACGCAATCATAGCAGCAGAATGGCTCCCCCTCCTTCTTTTTCTTGCTGGAACCAGGAGGGCAATTTGGGTTACACTCAGAAAGGGGTGGAACCTGCCCATTTAAAGAAACACATAAACATTTTAGCACACAGAAATTATTAATGCTTTCGACTTCATTCCCCCCCCCCCGAAGCCAGCAGTAGGAAGACACTAAATTACTGAGGACCAAACTATTTGTTTTGCTATTTGTCGTTTTAAAAAAGAATGCTGAAACTGACCATCTGTGAAAAGAATGCCTGAAGGCTTAAACTGGGAAGGGAACTGGGAGTTCATTTTCACCAGCCCTCCCCCCATACATAAAATGAATACTTGTTCACCACCAGCCTTCCCATACTGAGCAGATAGTATTAGAAAGGCTGGACATGCTTAGAAGCCTCCCTATAATTTGGAACTTTTGTGACAATATACTGCTCCGCCTCCTTTCTTTTAGCAAATGTTTTGTGCCACTGGGGAAGTGATAATTCTGTATTGATTTGTTTTGGATGTTTGTATGTGATGCCAATAAAAGGCTTGATGATGATGAATTTGGAACTTTGTGTTGTTATCTTGGTCCCCAAATATGAAACTGTAAAGGAGTTCAACCAAATGCTCTTAGAAGCCCCCTTCACACTTCCTGCCATGCTTTTTGTCTTAATTGATGCATCTTCAAACGTATTTTGTACTTCAATGTGTATTTTTCAAATGATTTTGGTCCATTTTTGAGCTGAGAACTAGACCCCAAAATTCAGAGAAATGTGAAACCTGAAGGATAATTAATTTCAGAAGGTCGTGGTTCGAATCCCCGTGACGGGGTGAGCTCCCGTTATTCGGTCCCTGCTCCTGCCAACCTAGCAGTTCAAAAGCATGTCAAAGTGCAAGTAGATAAATAGATAGTGCTCTGTTTCCGTGCGCTGCTCTGGTTCTCCAGAAGCGGCTTAGTCATGCTGGCCACATGACCCAGAAGCTGTACGCCGGCTCCCTTGGCCAATAAAGTGAGATAAGCGCTGCAACCCCAGAGTGTTCTGTGAGTGGACCTAATGGTCAGGGGTCCCTTTACCTTTACCGATGGTAACTTAGGTGGGATATTTTTTTCGGTGTGGAAGGAACTAAAACTGGTCCTCCTGGCACAAATTGGGTTGGGCTACATAACTTCCGGGATGACTTCCAACTCTATGATTCTACTATTCTCAAGCAGTGTAGAGGAAAATGTTTGATTCTGGCTGGAAAGGCAAGTATGTGCTGGACTGGTGATCTGTAAACACAATAACATTCTATTTCCCTTTCTCTCATAGATGTAGGAATTATGCCTCACCTGGTGAAAGCTTCTGTGCCACACCATTCTGTTGTCATCAAGGGTGAATTCCTGGCCTGGGACAGCCTCCCCACCCAATCTTCCAACCTTGACTCTCATGAAGGAGTTATTTGGAAAAGTAACCAGGTTGGTAAGATCAAAGCCAGCTTCTACTTCCCTGTTCGCACTAAAAGATACAGTTTCCCCAGCAGAGTTGTTAAAGGAGACACTGCTAAGGAAGGGATGGAGCTGCATTGAAAGGAAAATAGAAATCATAAAGCAATGTTAATGTCTCTCCTTATTGGCACTCAGGATGCCTCCAGACTGTCAGTATATGCAGGTAGTGCTATGCAAACATAATCCATTCCTGAGAGTGTTCACATAGCAAGCTGACGATTTCCATTGTTTTCTATGGGGGAAATCCCAATGTATTCCCAAAAAAGAGGAAATGAGAAAAAGAAAGCCATGCTTTTTAGGTCCCACTGCTTGTATACAGTCGTACCTTGTTTTGCGACCAGGATCCATTCTGGAGCCCTAGCCAAAAAGGACGCAGGGCAAAGCGCCATGTCTGCGCACGTGTGCGGAGCGGTTTGCGCTTCTACGCATGCACAAAGCACGATTTAGCACTTCTGCACATACGCAAGCAGCAAACCCGGAAGTAATCCGTTATGGTACTTCCTGGTTTGCTGTGGATGTTCACCGGAACGGACGCTAGACGAGGCAGACATTTGCAGAGGTATTACTGTATTCCCTCCCAAAGGAATTCTAGGGTAACCAGCCTCATGTAACCAGTATGCTTGAGTCTGATTAATGCACAAAGTGGTTAATGCCATAGAGTAAGCTGTCCTACCAAACTTAGCCTAAGTCACTTTCCTTCACCTTGGGAGGAAATGGGTAACAAAGCCTTTTGTTCTACTCAGTCTACATGTGAATTCTGTGTGTGAACTACTCCCTCTAGCCACATATTTTAACCAACCTCTTTTGTTTCTAACAAGAATGGAGTATAAATTTAGTGTTTCTATACCAGTAGTTTAGGAAATTTTACCATTTTATGACTGCTATATAGAAAAGCACATGAATCTGATCTTTGATTGTTGTGACTTACTAAATGTGTGGTCCATCTTTGTGCTAGGGAAGTGGAGAGTTTGGGGGTTTAGTGGACACATTTACAGTTTTACAATCTAGATTTCCACACTTTTATTTTGCCATGTTAAGTCTCTGCTGGGGTTCTCTCACCAAAGAGTCCTTGCCAGAAAACTGGGTCTTGGCTTCCAGGGATTTCTAACAAAGATGACTTCAATTAACAATTTCAGTAAGTAAGTAAGCAAGCACGTACGTACGTACATAAATAAATGTTTAAAACTCTCCCCCTTTATTTGCTGGTCATGGACAGCCATTTTAGGGGCTGTGCCCAGTCTTTCCCACCTCCTTTCCTCAGCCACAGCTACATTTTGTTCAGCTTTGTCTGCCACTCTCTGCCAGCTCTCACTTCTCCTCTCAGTGTAGGATCAGATCTGCTTCTTATATTCTCCTGCTTCACTGCACACAAGTTAAGGTGAGGATATGATCCTGCACTGAGTGCTCAAAAATGTTCAGGGTACTGTGCTGCATATCACTGTTCAGGTCTAATAAATTGTACCGCGTGGTAGGCATTACCTGCCAAGGTTTTAACTTCTGAAACTCTTGCATCCCTCCTTCCACCATTGCCTTGAATTTGGTCCTGGGCAAGAACATGGCATCTAGAGCATGTGCTACGGCATAGACAGCATTATAGACACTATAGCTGTGGCTTGTTATGCTCATCTCAAAGCCAGATGAAGGGAGATTTTCCAGCTTCTCCTCTCCAGTGCAAGTTTCACTGGCCTGCTCCTCTGTACTGGAGCTTGGAAATAAACAGAGAAAGACTTGTGCCCAGAACTGCTTGAGAAAACCATTTCCATTTGCCTCAAATGGATTTTGGACCTGAAGAAAGGCTTTGAATCCTTGTACAACATTTGAATGAACTCTAAAGAAGAGGGAACCCTGGAAGAGTTGCATATCCCAGTTCATTTGAAAGGTCAGTGCTTTGAAGTCCAGTTGTGCTGTCAGAATCCACACCTTGCCCTCAGATGTCTTGGTTCCATTGTCCGCTGCACCAAGTGCTACCATTATTCGCAAGCTAAGCATGGACTCTGTTTCTCCATAGACAACAATAACCTGGGCTTTATTCTCCATAATAACTTGATAAATTTGGATCCATTGGGAATACATGGCATAATACTCAGTCAGATATGCCGTTTTCACGGTTCTCTCTGAGAAGGCCAGGCAAATGCCTTTCTGGGAAAGCAGAGTTTTCAGGGTGTGAATAAATCTCTCTCCACTGACGTTACCTGCAGCAAGCAACCCAACCCACGTCCAACCAAAATGCAGAAGTAACTCAACAATCCCACTGTATTGATGGACTTCATTGGGCGCCATCCTATAGAAGGAAGTGGATTGGCTTTGACCAGCATCCTCTGGAGCAAAGGAACCATAAGTGAGCTAAAGGAAAATAAAGGAGCAAAATCCATAAATGTAGAAGGACTGGGTATGTGCTTCCAGGGCCAGCCTGCCCAGAAGTGAGATGAGGTGGTAGCCTCAAGGAGGGGGGCTCCAAAAAGCTGGGGGCAGTCACAGATCTAGCCTCCACAGAGTGCCCCCTGTGCTTGTAGGCCGTCCCCCTCCTTCTCTTCTACCGCTGCATGCCAGTTTTCCTACAATCCTGCAATGCAGCTTCCCTTTTCTTTCCCCTCATCTTCCTTCCCCATTACATCCCCCTTGCTTTACTAGAACAATTGGTTATAGATATAGGTATTTGGTTTCAAATAATCACCTTGACATGCACTGAGAAATTAATGATATAATGTATTAGGGGTTCCTATTTTACCTGAACAGTGGGACAACATTTTAGGTTCTGTAACAAATGTGTCTCTAGATTATATACTATTTCTTATACACCAAAAGATAAAATTTAGAATATACTGAACCCCACTACATTTGTACAGAAGGGAATTCTGTATCTACAATGCCATCGTGCTGGAGAATAAATAAGGATAATGCTTCTTTGAAACACATGTTTATGTGATGTCCAACACTTACGGATTTTTGGAGGAAAGTATTAGGATGAATACTAATAATACTTGAGGCGGAGATAAAATCGTTAGATGATCATGGGGAATGAGTGTGAAGTCCCCAAGACAGTATCTTACCTGAGGGATCTTGTAGATGCCCAAGATGTTTGCCATTTGGAGAGAGGAATCAAAGTCCAGTCCCCCAATAACTGCCACCAGGTGTTTCTGGATGTTGCACTTGTAGTTGGGCATAAGCGTGGAGGGAAGATTCAGAGCAGCCCGATAGGTCATCCTTTCATTGAAGTAACTGTCATAGATGTGGAATCCTAAGGTGATATTACGTAAGATCTTGGGGTTCTCATTGACCTCCTTGACAGCAAATACCAAGGCCAGGATATGCTGATAGTTCTTTGGCAAAATACTGCAATGAGAATTTTATGCTGTATACTTGGGATATATGCTATGCAATTTTCATTTATAGAAATTAGGACCTCATGACAATTCTTCAACATTTTCATGCAAATTATGCTCTGACATGCACATATCTGCAAAGCAATTTCCCCTTAAAGAATTCATTGCATTCCACTTGTATACCACTTTCATTAATATACGCATATATATATATTTACATTTTACCCCAGTATATGCATTTTGTATACATTGCTTGACTGGAACACTGCACTGCAACATTTGGTGAAATGTGAAAGCGCAAAACATACACATACATTCATCTATAGGTACTGATCAAATGAGCTGCATCGAAATGCAGAGAAGTAGATACTCTAACTTAATGGAGTAGTTCTCATCACTTTCAGAGCTGTGACACATTTATAACTAGGAGCATCATAAAAGTCTAGCCTGGTTGGGATGAGAACACCTGGGACTCTTAGAACTCTACCTCAGAGGAGAAGTGAGCTTTCAGACCCCTCACACCAGGCTTTCTGAGGTGAAGTTCAGTATTCAAAACAGAGAAGGACTTTCTAACTCAAACTAAGGAAGTTTAAGCTGTGGGTCTGATTGTTAAACTCTACTTGGAAGAAATTTGGTGGGATATGGGGAGCAGAGAGCACACCAAGGGGCAGCCTCTTCTCACTGACACATTCAGATCTCCATTTCCCTCCTTCCAAGCCAACGCCTCAGCTATGCAAAAGTCCCCCCACACACACACCATTTATGCCTAGAAGGAAATCCTGCTGAAATCAGTGGAACTTGCTTTTGAGTAAGCCCGGTTAGAGCTGGGGAATGTTTTTGTATCATCTGATTACTTAACACATGAAGTATTTACAAGATATCAAGAAGTTGATGGATAGGTAGCCTTTCTGTGAAGTCTTCTTCGCCAAAAGAAGTAAAGAGGTGAGAAGCAAGTCCGCCAATAATAAGATGACCAGGTTGGTAGTATTCATGTGGAATTCTGGACAGATCTTGGATGGCACACCTAGTGGTGTGTTTGCACACCATATGTGGCAAATGAAAGAGAAGAGGCACAATAAACAACAGCATACTGAGGCAAATACTATTTCTTATCAGAAACACTCATTTCTATCTAGAACATATTTTCAATATTCTGCCTTGTCACAAACTGCACTTCTCTAACAATTCACAGATTAAAATCCTATTTTGCAACTCTAAAACTAGAAAAGCAGAAATCCTTTCTCTGCCTCTGACCTCTCCCTTGCTTAGAATAGCAGGAAGGGGTTTTTATACCCTTGTTTAGACTTTGGCTGGTATTCTCTGGAAATCCACCGAGACATTATCCAAGGGAGATTTATTTATGACAAGACTGGTAATTACTGATGAGGTAATAACTAGGTCTCATTACATCAGGGAAATCGAACAACTGGCAAAAAACTTCTTGTTATAGACCTGAACAGAATAAAAACAAAAACGGTACAAGTAAAATATTATAATATACACATTAAGGTGGGTTGTAATAAAGAAAGTATATAAAATATCAGGAATATTTAAAATATTTTAAGCTAAGATATACGATGTGATATGTTGAAATGCTGAAGTTATGAATGAGTTGGTGGGCTGGGGAATAACATAACAAGAATAAAAATTACCAGCCAAATTCTCTGCTTAGATCTGATTCTAACACTCAGTCAGAAGTGGTAATGATAATGGAATTCAATATCCCACAAAAAAGGGATGGTACAATTTTGGTGGGACACTGGATTATCTGAACATTTGACCCAAATTTTTATTTTTATTTTCACAATTAAATTCTACAACTAACTACCAAAAAAAACCCACAAATTCTTCCCCTTGTCCCCATTCACAAAAACATTTCAATACCTTATCTTGAGGTTCTTTAGACCTCATGACTTCCATTACGTCTTCTGGTTCCTTATATTAACAAAAGTCTTCTGCATTTCCATACGCATATTTCATCAATTCTTCTTCTTCTAATTTTAACAAAATTCTTCTGCATTTCCATACGCATATTTTATCAACTCTTCTTCTTCTAATATTATCTAATTTTTGCTGATTGCAACTGTGTAGTCTGAGCCTGCCAATGTATCAATTTATTTACATTATTTTGCACATATACAACAAGTGTTTTCCATTCTTTTTCCTAACTTTGGCATATTTAAATTTCACAGGAAGGTGACTATCAGTTAAGTCAGACTTAAAATCCTGCTCACCTTCCTCACAGTCTCCTCTTACTCTCAGAGGCTATAATTTTTGCCTTATTTCAGCCACCAAGGCATTGCCAAATATTTCCAGCCTACCCGCCATGCCATCCATATCTGCCCTGAGTATCTCCTGGTATTTCTTCATTTCAATCACAGTTTCCATTTTTCTAAAAAGTTCCTCCATCATCAAGACCTCCACCGCTTCTGTTTTCTTTGTCACTGGTTCTCTCTTAATAATCAGTTCTGTCACCATTTCAGTATTTTTGTCCATTTGGGCTATATGTTTATCTGCTGTCTTATCCAAATTTTCCTTTATCTCCTTCATCAACTCATTTCTCAATTCATAAAAGAATTCCACCCATTCACCATAAGGCTTATTCCCTGTGTCCTTCTGTCCAAACTTGGGGTTGGTTGCTTTTTAATTGCTATGTTCAATAAGTTACTATTAAAACAATCAAAAAAGGTCCAAACAGAGTTGAAATATCCAATACTCCTTCTACTCGATTCACTCTGCCCTTGCCAATATTCTCTTTCCCTTGTTCTCAAAACAACCAATTTTCCAGCCATGCCTTATCAGTTTCGTCAAGGCCACCAAGTAACATTTTCCCAAGAAACACGGACTTTTGTACTTTTCCATCCCTCCAGCACGATTGCCCATTACACATATACAATTCGAAATAAAATCCAGATTTCAAATTAACATTCAAATTAAACAGATATCGCTGGAGAAAGGTACTTTGATAGACTTTTTGACACAGGAATTTTTGGACTTTTGGAAATCGGAATTGAAACAAGAGGATTTTAAGATTGTGAGAGCCTTTCGATTGGGGAAAGGAGGAAGAAAGATTAAAATAAGGGATTGTTTGATCACCCTTCGATCTAAGGAAGAAAGGGACAAAATTTTGGGTTTGCATTACGAAAAACCCTTGACAATTATACAATCAAAAGTTGAAATCTTTAAAGATATACCAAAACACCTTCTTGATTTGAGAAAGGACTTTGGGGATCTGGTAGACTTGTTGAGAAAAAATAAAATTCTTTTCAGGTGGGAATTTCCCCAAGGCCTATCCTTTAGTTTTAAGGGAAGAAAGACCAAGATCAGATCAGTGGAGGAAAAGAACAAGTTCCTGAGTGCATATGAAGAAGATCTACTGAAAGGATTGGGAAAAGACATTGCGATACCGGACAAGAAGCAGGCAAAAAGGGAAACCAACGCCACCGACAGACATAGAAAATCTTCTTGGGGCTGTTGGAGGAGAAGGAGAGTAGCTACAAAATGACACTACAAATTTTAAGTTGGAACATTAATGGTCTAAATTCGTCGGCTAAAAGGGGAAGAGTATTTCATACATTGGAAAAAGAACATTTGGACTTGATCTGTTTACAAGAGACTCATGTGACAAGGCTGCATCGGAAAATTTTGATAAATAAAAGATTGGGAGAGGAATTTATTTCATCGGACAATGTTAAAAAAAGAGGGGTAGTACTTTATGCGAAGGAAAGCCTGTCACCAAAATTCATATTTAAAGATGATCAAGGAAGATACATAGCAATTGAAATTCAATTCCAAGGACAGAAATTTTTGATATTAGGAGTATATGCACCAAATGAGGGAAAATCAGAATTCTTTAAGAAATTGCATGAAACTCTTCTGGACTATTTGGATTACAATATTATTTTGATGGGAGATATGAATGGAGTAGTGTCTACAAATATGGACAAGGCCCAAAGACAAACAGTGACAAAAGATGGAAGATTACCAAAGACATTCTTTGAAATGACTGACAATATGGATCTGGTGGATATTTGGCGAACAAAGAACCCCTTGGAAAGAGAAGGAACCTTCTTCTCTGAAGCAAATATGACATGGACAAGAATAGACCAAATCTGGATAACTAGAGGACTGGCTCCTAAAATCAAAAAAGCAGTGATTTGTCCGAAAATCTGCTCCGATCACAATCCAGTAAAGATTGAAATGACATTAACGCCAATTGGGGCCTTTAGATGGAGGATGAATGACTCCTTATTTAGGAATGAGGAAATTGTTAAAAAGGCTCAAAAAACCTGAGAGATTATTTCGAAATAAATTTGAACACGACGACAGAAAAAGAGTGATTTGGGATGCTAGTAAAGCGGTGATGAGAGGATTTTGATACAACAAAATGCAATTAGGAAAAGATACCAAAATGAGAAGAGAGAAAAATTCTGGAGAAAATAAAGGATGGAGAAAAAAGACTGAGAGCGAAACCGAACTCACAGGAGATTTTAAAAGAAATAAAGCTATACCAAGTACAGTATATGAAATTGATGAATCAGGAGATAGAATGGAAGATTCAACAGATGAAACAAAAGACCTTCGAATCGGCAAATAAATGTGGGAAGTTACTGGCCTGGCAAATGAAGAAAAGACAAAAGCTGAATACAATTACGAACTTGGTTGTAGAAGGAAAGAACATACAGAATCCTGGAGAGATTCGGAAGTGCTTTCAGAATTATTTCAAACAGCTATATACGCAGGAGGCTCAGAAAGATTTAGATATTGACCGATTTTTGGAAAATAATGGATTACAAAAAATATCTCAGGACAGTAAATCAATATTAAATTCGACTATATCTGATCAAGAAGTGGAAGGAGCCATTCTGAATATGAAATTGGGCAAATCCCCAGGGCCAGATGGACTAACTGCAAAGTATTACAAAACTTTGAAAGAATGGCTATTGCAACCGTTGAAAGAACTTTGTAATGAAATACTACGGGGAGGAAGAGCACCCGAGTCGTGGAAAGAAGCGTACATTACACTTATACCAAAAACCGAGGGGGAGAAGACACAGTTGAAGAACTACCGTCCCATATCCCTGCTAAACGTGGATTACAAAATTTTTGCTGAAATTATGGCTAAGAGATTAAAAAATGTATTGGTAAAAGAGATTCATAAAGACCAGGCGGGTTTTCTGCCTGGAAGACATTTGTCAGACAACACTAGGAACATTATTAACATTTTGGAAAAACTGCAAGTTAATATTAATACTAAAGCTGTTTTAATATTTGTGGATGCAGAGAAAGCGTTTGATAATATTTCTTGGAGTTTTATGAAGAAAAATTTGCAGGGGATGGGGGTAGGCCAAAGTTTCGAAAATGGTATAGGTGCAATTTACTCGGAACAAAAAGCTAAGCTTATTGTGAACAATGTAGTTACAGAAGAATTTAAGATAGAGAAAGGAACAAGACAGGGTTGCCCAATCTCCCCATTGCTTTTTATATCGGTCCTTGAGGTTCTGCTCAATATGATTAGAAAAGACCAATTGGTTAAAGGTATACAACTCGGAGCTAAACAGTATAAATTGAAAGCTTTTGCTGATGATTTAGTTTTGACAGTACAGGAGCCAGAAGCTAGCACAAAAAGGGTGTTACAATTAATACAAGAATTTGGTCAAGTAGCTGGTTTTAAATTAAACAAGATGAAAACCAAGGTATTAGAGAAAAATCTTACAGAGATAGAGAAGGAGAGATTCCAGAAAGAGACAGGATTAACAATTGTTAACAAAGTGAAATATTTAGGGGTGAACATGACTGCTAAAAATGTGAATTTGTTTAAAGATAATTATGAAAAATGTTGGTCAGAGGTGAAGAAAGATCTAGAAATATGGTCAAAATTGAAGTTATCATTGCTTGGCCGAATTGCTGCGATAAAGATGAATGTACTGCCTAGAATGTTGTTCTTGTTTCAAACATTACAAATTGTGGACAAAATGGACTGTTTCAAGAGGTGGCAAAGAGACATTTCCAAATTTATCTGGCAGGGCAAAAACCTAGAATAAAATTTAAGATATTAACAGATGCAAAGGAAAGAGGGGATTTGCCCTGCCAGATCTTAAACTTTACTATGAATCAGCCGCTTTTTGCTGGCTGAAAGATTGGCTACTTCTTGAAAACGTGGACATTTTGGATTTAGAAGGTTTTGATAACGTTTTTGGATGGCATGCATATTTATGGTATGATAAAGTTAAAGCGCATAAGGCCTTTAAGAACCATATTGTCAGGAAAGCATTGTTTAATGTTTGGGTGAGATATAAGGATTTGTTGGAAAGTAAAACACCAAGGTGGCTATCACCAATGGAGGCAAAGGCATAATATGGAGACAAACTGGCCAAAATATTGTGAAATTTTAGAACAAGTTGGAGATAAATTAAAATTGCAGAGTTTTGACAAATTAAAAACCAAAGTCAGAGATTGGTTGCATTATTATCAAATAAGGGAGGTTTTTAACTTAGATAAAAAGATTGGTTTCAGGAGGAAAAATCTAAACTGGAAACGGAATTGTTAGAACCTAAAACTAAAAATTTGTCAAGAATGTATAATTTGCTGCTGAAATGGAATACACAGGATGAAATGGTTAAATCTGTTATGATTAAATGGGCGCAGGATGTTGGGCATAACATTATGTTTGCTGACTGGGAACGGTTATGGACCACAGGTATGAAATTTACGGCTTGTAATGCTTTAAGAGAAAACATAATGAAAATGATTTACAGGTGGTACTTAACCCCAGTCAAGCTAGCAAAAATTTATCACTTGCCTGATAATAAATGTTGGAAATGTAAAGAAAACGAAGGTACTTTCTTTCACCTTTGGTGGACGTGCCCAAAGATCAAGGCATTCTGGGAAATGATATACAATGAATTAAAAAAGGTATTGAAATATACTTTCTTAAAGAAACCAGAGGCCTTCCTCTTGGGCATGGTCGGCCAATTGGTGCGAAGGGAAGATAGAACTTTTTTATGTATGCGACAGCAGCAGCAAGAATACTCATTGGGAAATATTGGAAGACACAAGAATTGCCTACCCGAGAAGAATGGCAGAGAAAAGTGATAGACTATATGGAACTGGCTGAGATGACTGGAAGAATTCGAGATCAAGAAGAAGGGTTGATGGAAGAAGATTGGAAAAAGTTTAAAATATATTTACAGAATCACTGTAACATAAAAGAATGTTAGGAAAGGTTGGAGAAGAAATATTAGACCGTATTGGCAGACAGAGTATAATGGAATTAAGTAAATATGAAGTGTAAACTAAAGGATAGAGGAGAATTAAATATTTTTGAATGTTAAAATGTTAAAATAAGTGAATGAAAAGAAGGTTAGAAGGATTTGCTGGAGATACAATTTGAATTAGAATACAAAGCAGAGAAGTGAGAGGAAGTCACGGAAATAAGTAAATGGGAAAACGGTTTGTTAAATTTGAATTCTTTTTTTGTTATTTTTTATTGTGATTTTTGGTCTTGTGTATCTTTTTTTTCCCTCTTCTTTTTTTTTTCTTGTATGGTGTGTATCTTTTGTAAGATGTATGTGATTGGTTTTTCTTGTTTTGTTTTTTCTTTTTTTGTAATCTTAAAACTTGAATAAATATTCTTTAAAAAAAAACAAATTAAACAGATATCTACTTTAAAAAGAAAACAAAAGCAGTTTGTCCACACAAAATCACAACGTAATAATCCAGAGGAGAGTAAAAGACTCACTGATCCAGTTCTCTAAAAATGTCTTGAAGTAAGAGTTACAGACAATTGAAGATCATTATAATTCCTCTTTTTTGGCAGAGTCCAAATGCCCTTTACCAGGCTTCCAACTCTAGATAGGCAGCGTAGTGGCTCTCAGGTGTTCCGATTTCTGGCACTGCATTCCCTGTCAATATTCAGCCTCTATGGCCAGTTTCAAGCTTTAAAGATCCAATTTATCTTTTAACAAAACAAAAAACTTTAGAAGCAAGCTCAGTCTTCTTTAAATCACTCCAACCAAAATGTGCCTTGCAAAGCCCATAGTTGCTTCCATACACTCACCCCACAGAGTACTTCAATAGTCTTGTTTCAAGCATTCTCTGCTGGGCTCAAATTCACCCACGGCTTTACTGCAAGGTCCTCTCCACAATTCTCCATTATAAATCCAATAAAAGGTAGTAAAGAATGGGCTTCAGTTGCTTTTAATCGATCTTTCCCATTGGCAGACATATATCTAATAGAGTCACGTAAAATTGATACCACTCTCACCTGAAAGTTGTTTCCGTGCAGTGATTAACCAGAAAACGGGGATGGACTTCCTTTTTACTCCTCCGTCTAGCACTGAATTCAGCCGAAATAAATCTAATAATTAATCTTCTTTACGTTTCCATTGGCTTAAATTTAGTTTTCGGAAGATCTCTGCTGCAGGTAGGAGTTTGAGGCTTCGCTCCCATGGAGTTGCGATACTGCCATGTATCGCAGGCTCACTCTTTGGTTCCCACCGCCCACCGCCCACTCCCCATTCCTCTCGGAACAGGGGTTTGAGGGTCACAGGAGAACCCTTTTGCAGACTGCTGGACCTCTTGACACCTTGAGAACCCTCTCAAGGCTTTTTGGGGGGGGTGCCTTGCCTTGGCGCGTCCCCCTGTATCTCCGCGGGGCTCTAATCCCTCAGACGATCAGACTAGCACTCCTTTTCACCATTCACAGAAACCAGAAGTCCCTATTCATTAGTTATACTAATTAATATTGTTGTCCTCCTAGGCAACCTGCATCCCATACAGCAATCTGGCCGGGCTACCTCTAATAATGGGAATCACTACAGAAGAACTTTTCTATGTTCATGGATAATTTATTTTATTCAGCAGACGTGCATGATACCAGCAGCTGGTTAGGTTTTATGTAGATTTGTTCTGTCTTGTTCACTGAAATCATCTAATGTACTTCTACAAAAATTCAATAAACTTTTCTCCAAACAAATAATGTAAAGTATGAGACCAGCTTCCAGGCAGGATAGGCTTAATCGGGGGAAATTTCATAGGCTTGAAAATAGGAATAGAGCACTCACAGCAACAGAAAACTGACTCTAGAATGTGTGTTTATATTGTCATCTAGGTCTAATGGTCCCCATTCAGAACAGCCATGTATGCTTGGATAAAGCTTGCTGGTGGGACCTGCGCCTCTAATTGTTGGGATTAGGGCAAGACAAGCTAGCTCTTGTTATTTTCGGTCTGTACTCAGGTACCAAAGGTGTCTTTGTATCTTTATTTAACTGTAATTTTAAGGTAAAATTGTTCTGTTTTGTACTGTAATCTCTTAATAAAGTATTAGCTTCTATTTGCTTTTGTGGCTTCTTATTGTAAGCTTTTGCTCTGAATCTGGTGCCTGGCAGCTTGCTTATGGCTGGGTGGGTTTGTGGCTGAGACGACAAAGAATGGATCTTTGCTTTTTGTCTTGGGGAAAGTCATTGGATGTCCAGGAAAAAACTTGAGTACCCTGACTCAGAATTTTGGGTGACTTCGCAGGGTTGCTGGCAGGGTTGGTTTTCCCTGAGTATCGTTTGGTTAGAGGACATCGTTAGAAATGAATGTCTAAGTCAATTAAAGACCCAGTTGGCTACAATACCACCTCCTGCTGCTTTTACCAGGTAGTGAGGATAAAGGAACAACATACTAACTCCCAGGGAACTTCAGACATTCACATGTGCCTAAGCACAGGTCTCTATACCTACGGCTTCTTTAGTGAAAAGAAAACAGAACAAATGTCTCTTCCAGTTTGCTCCATGACCAGCAATGGAATTGGACTTCCTTCCCAAGACCTACACAGATGATTTAAAGCAAAAAAGATCCTAAGACCCAGTAGTCATATAAGTTGACAAATAAAATTAATCAACATTTTAAAAGCATTTAGAATACAGAACATAGCACACACACAAATAAAAAGGACTCTTAGCTAGCCTTACCAAATACCTCCTCCACTGTCCTCATCTCCAAGGCAAAAGGGTGTTCACACACCTTCACTGTAAAAGCAGACCAAAGGAAAACAAGAGGGATAGCAAAAAGACAGGGGTGAGGGGAAGCCTCAGACACACTACCCACCAAACAGAATCCACGGGGAGCACAACAACACCCTTATAAGGTGATGATCCTATGAAACAGGCCTTAATATTTTGTGGTATCCATTACAGCTTCTTTGTTTTCCAAATGCAACATCAAGTCCAAAAAGATTAGGGAAACCTGTCTCACAGTGACCACAGAGAATTTTCAAATAAATTGCACATAGCTAAACAAAAAAATATATCATACAATAAGGATAATGAGAGATTATATTGCCCATATTCTGATAGAACAAATAAACAAAGATGATAGGTTAATTTGTTATTTCTTCTTTATTAACTTCTTCTTGCTGTTCAGATCAGGTCTCAACACAATGATGTAGCATTTTGGGAAAAAGATAGAGCCCAGTAAGCCAGCACTGGAGGCCAAGATGGAGAAGATCTCCACAGCCACCATGTATTTCCCCTTGGTGCTCAGGTACACTGGAACAAACGAGATCCAAACACTACAAAACAAGAACATGCTGAAGGTGATGAATTTGGCCTCATTGAAGCTCTCAGGCAGTTTCCTGGCAAAAAATGCCACAACAAAGCTGATAATGGCCAAAAAGCCCATGTAGCCCAGGACACAGTAAAACAGGGCAACTGACCCTTCGTTACAGCCTAGAATGATTTCCCTCATCACAGAGTGCATGTCAGAATCAGGAAATGGGGGAGAGGTTCCCAACCACACAGTGCAAATGCCTGCTTGGATAAGGGAACAAGAAAACACAATGATGCTTGCCAGTCTTTTCCCCACCCATTTTCTCATTCTGGATCCTGGTTTAGTGGCCACAAAGGCCAGAACCACCGTGATCGTTTTGGCCAGAACACAAGAAACAGTCACTGTGAAAACAAGGCCAAAAGCCATTTGTCGGAGCAGGCAGCTGACTCTTTCTGGAGGGCTGAGGAAGATCAACGGGCAGAGAAAGCAGAGCAGGAGGAAAGTGAGGAGGGTGTAGGATAGGTCCCGATTGTTTGCTCTGACAATTGGTGTGTCCTGATGTTTAATGAAGATGGCTTGGACCACCACTGTGAGGAGAGAGAGAGAAAGAGCAAACAGTGCTAAGATTATCCCCACTGGCTCTTTAAAAGACAGGAAGTTGATTGTCTTTGGAATGCATTGTGATTGGTCCCTGTTTGGATAATGATCTTCAGGGCATGCAACACATTCATCCATGTCTGGAGAGAGAGAAAATACACTCAGATTTCAGATATGTTGCCAATATGGAACCACATTCTGCAATTTAGTTGGACAATGGTGGCAACTACAAATAGAAATCATCCTTGTATCAATTGTTCAGAACAGGAACTAAGGAAAGTATCTTATACCAAGTCAGATCACTGGTCCATTTAGCTCAGTATTGCCTGCTGTATTTTAACCTGACAAAGATGAGATCATGGGTTATAAACCTTTTCTTGTGAGGAAAGGTCCATATTCCTTTATGTCTGCTAATAGGGATGGAGGAGAACTTTGGTTTTGTTGCCCTTTGAATGGAAAGATTACCCAAATTGCACTCCTTTCACCAACACATGAAACAAAATACAGTTGCCCTGAAAAATGAGTACTTCTCTAAAAATTTGTGATGCCATTCTCCAATCAAACAATGCATACCAATTATTTGCTTGATCTTTTCAACAACTTCTAACATGACATACGGTTTGAAAAGTATATCTCTTGTGTCTCTTACCCTTTTGGGATGAAATCTTGCCTTGAGGACATGGAGCACAATCATAGCAGCAGAATGGCTCCCCCTCCTTCTTCTCCTTGCTGGAACCAGGAGGACAACTTGGGTTGCACACAGAAAGGGGTGGAACCTGCCCATTTAACCAAATACTTTAAAATTTTAGCACACAGAAATTCATAGCATGTTTGCCTTCCGTTTTCCAACCCACAGCTAGAAGTAAGAAGACACTAAACTACTTATTCCAAAGGCAGGACCAAACTGACCAAATTTGAGTCCCCTTCAGGCATTCAAAAAGCAAGCATGAGGGCTCAAACTGGGGAGGGGATTGGGGGCTAATTTTCACCAGCCCTGCCCATTTTGTCTCCATACATAAATAGAATACCTCTTCCACCAACAATTTTCCTTAGGATACAGGTGGGTAGTGACGTTGGTGTTTCAGTTAAATTCTAAGGATTCTGAAGCCAAAACTATGGTAACTTAGGTGTGATTCCCCCCACCCCAAGTAGAAGAACTAAAATTGAACATTAGAGAACAATTTTTTTTTTGGAAATACACTTGAAAAATTGGGGGCGGGGATTTTCGGGGGGGGATGTATTGCTTGCAAGATTTGAAAAGGGTATTAAACTGCTAAAAGCTCCGTTGTAATTTGCGGCAATGTGTCTAGTCCATTTACAGCTCTTCATGCAGTATACTTAAACTATGGAACTCATTCCCACAGGAGGCCGTAATAGTCACCAACTGGGATGGTTTTAAAAGAGGATTTGAAAAATTCGTGGAGGAAAGGTCTATTAGTGGCTATTAGCCATGAGGGAGGTTATGCTCCGTCTTCACGGTCAGAGGCACTATTAGAATAGTGATGTTCCGTTCCACCTTAACAGATGTGTGGAGTATGACACATGTCTGTTTACATTCCAGCACAGCTTGCTGGGAACTTCCGTTGTGTGTAGACTTTTGCTTTATTGCTTCTAGCTCTTGGACATGAAGGAGAGCAGACATGTTTTCTTTGTCCTGATCTATGCTGAATAAACTGCTTGTAAATATGCTTTACATATGCCTTTGTCTGCCCTTCCTTTGCGAAGAGTTTGTTTTCTCTGCTGGCTTGCGTGCTCAGCTTCTGAAAGACTTCTGAAGCTCTGAGTCGCAGATTGATGCAAAACCAAGGACTGGAGTTTGACCGACAACCACAAGAGTAGAGAGCACTCTTGGGCCCAGTTCCTGCTTGTGGATTTTCCACAAACATCTGGTTTGCCAATCTGAGAAAAAAATGGTGTAGAAGGTGGGCCATTGGCCTGATCCGGCAAGCGCATCTAATGTAATGCAGAAGTAAATGTTTTGAATGAGGCTAGAAAACCAGGTATGTGCTGGGCTGATGATCAATAAGTGCGTAATATTTTGTTTCCCTATATCTCATGGATGTTGGAATTATGCCCCACCTGTTGAAAACTTCTGTGCCACACCATTCGGTTGTCATCAATGGAGAATTCCTGACCTGGGTCAGCCTCCAAATCCATCCTTCCAACCTTGACTCTCACGAAGGAGTTATTTGGAAAAGTGACCATGTTAGTAATATCAAAGCCAGCTTCTACTTCCCTGTTCTCACCGAAAGATACTGTTTCTCCAGCAGAGTTGTTGAAGGAGACCCTCCTAAGAAAGGGGTGGAGCTGCATTGAAAGAAAATAGAAATGATGAAGTAATCGCTCCAAACTGCCCGTATTTTCTGGGAGGGTTTCATGCACATACCAGAATGTTAGGTTTACACAAATAAAAGGGGTTGTTAAAGCGCTCTGTCACACTATTGCAACAAATCCATTTTTCTCAATTCCTTCTCAAACTTTCCCTCCCTCAATCCATAATTTCTCATGCCCTCCCCTTTTTGGAGTATCCATAGAATGAGAAAGTTCAGACTGAGGAAGAGAGAAGTGTGGGAAGAGAGTGATTTGGAGGCGAACGTCATATGGGCAGTGTGGATGAGTTCTGTGTTGTAGGGAGTGCTTACTTTTGATGTGATTTAATATATGTATTCCAGCTCCAATAAATAAAAAAGTGTGGAGCTCAAGGTAACGTAAAAAAATGTTTTCCGATCCAATGTCCTTTTTACTGCCATGCAGCATGAATGCACAAATTAAATGGCAATTCTGGGATGTTTTTTGTTTTATGAATTTATTGAATTATAGCAATGAAGGAGTAAGAGGATGAGAAAGGAGTTCAGAAGACTGCTTAGAGGACTGCTGGGAGGTAATCTACACTAATTTCCAGGGCACGGTTCATGTCAAATAAATTGTATTTCATGAAAAGGCATTACCTGCCAAGACTGCAGCATTTGAAACTCTTGCATCCCTCCTTCCACCGCTGCCCTGTATTTTGTCCTGGGCAAGAGCATGCCATGTAGAGCATGTACTATGGCATAGATGGCATTATAGAGACTGTAGCTGTGACCAGACATGTTCATCTCAAAAGCAGATGAAATTAGATCTTCCAGCTTCTCCTCACCAGTGCAGGTTCCACTGGTCTGCTCCTCTGTATTGGGGTTTGGAAATAAACAGAGAAATACTTCTGCCCAGAACTGCTTGACAAAGCCATTTCCATTTGCCTCAAAAGGATTTTGGACCTGAAGAAAGGCTTTGAATCCTTGCACCACATTTGAATGAACTGCAAAGGAGAGGGAACCCTGGAAGACTTGCATATCCAGGTTCATTTGAAAGGCCATTGCTGTGAAATCCAGCTGTGCTGTCAGAATCCATACCTTGCCCACAGATGTTTTGGTCACATTTTCCAATTCACCTAGCGCTACCATTGTTCGCAAGCCAAGCATGGACTTTGTTTCTCCATAGAAAACAACAACTTTGGCTTTACTTTCCATAACAACATGATAGATTTGGATCCATTGGGAAGACATGGCATAATACTCAGTCAAATATGTGGTTTTCAGGGTTTTCTCTGAGAAGGCCAAGCAAATACCTTTCTGGGACAGCAGAGGTTTCAGGGTGTGAACAAATCTCTCTCCACTGTGATTATCTCCAGTGAGCAATCCAACCCACGTCCAACCAAAGTGCAAAAGTAACTGAATAATCCCAGTGTACTGATGGGCTTCGTTTGGCACCATCCGGTAAAAGGGAGTGGACTGGCTTTCATCGGTATACTCTAGGGCAAAGGAACCATAAGTGAGCTAGAAGGAAATAAAGGGACATCAATATAGTAGAAGGAATTGGTATCTGCATCTCTAGCGGCTGTTGTGGCAAAGACAGTTGTAATGACAGTAGGCTGTTGTCTTTACCTCACTATCCCATGGACAAGGGAGTCAAACAAAAGCATCTTCCCTAGACTCTCTGGCCCATGAGGCAGTGATATAGCAGCAAGCAAGGGAGGGGAAAGGATTCATTCATGGTGAATGAATGTGAAATCTCCAAGGCATCTTACCTGAGGAATCTTGTAGATGCCCAGTATGTCTGCCATTTGAAGGGAGGAATCCATGTCAAGTCCCCCAATAACTGCCATCAGATGTTTCTGAGTGTCACACTTGTAGTTGGGCATAAGTGTTGATGGAAGGTTCAGAGCAGCCCGGTAGGTCATCCTTTGATTGAAGTAACTGTCATAGATATGGAATCCCATTGTGATATTAGGCAAGATCTTGGGGTTCTCATTGATCTCCTTGACAGCAAATACCAAGGCCAGGATATGCTGGTAGTTCTTTGGCACAACACTGCAATGAGAATTTTATGCTGATTTCTTGGGAGATATGCTATGCAATTATTATTATTTAAATGATATGCTGTGCAATTTTTCAAGCACCTCGTGATTATTCTTCAGCGTTTTCGTGCACAGTGTGCCCTATTATACAGATATCTGGAAACCAATTTCTTCTAAAAGAATGCATTGTAGTCCACTTGACGACTTCTATACCACATTCACTAATATATGCATTTTTTAAATAAATACTTTACCCCAGTTGTATGAATTTTTGTATACATTGCTCGGCTGGAGAAGTGCACTGCAAAATTTGGAGAAGTGTGAGTTTCAAATAATGGCTCCATTTTGGTTTTCAAGCCAATTATGGGAGGTTCACGTTTAAATGTGAACTGATTTCAATCCCGCCCCAATTCCTAATGAGGCAATACTTATATTTATTTTGGAGTCCTGCATGTACTTGACAACACTTAAAGATTTAAGAGATACTGATGCTGACACCAACCTCTACAAGGCTTTTACCCCAGACCAAATTCCCTAAACAGCCACCTGCCCAGTTCACTCACAAATTGATTCAACCGCTAGGTACCATCTGCTTTTGGCCTCCAAAGCTTCACAGGTCTTATTTCTGGCTGCTTGGACAGTTGAGCTCATTTAAGAAATCTGCTTTTATGGCATTTTTCTGCTAAGAACTGGGCAGCTTCTTAGCCTAAAATACACACCAGCTCACTTGTTCTAATCTTCGCCAAAAAATATTGTTAACAAACTGGGTTTAAGCCTTATGTGTCCGTTTTCACCTCAGCTTTCTCTTGTCTTTGCCTCACACCTCACTCATTACTTCTCCCAACTGACAGTTAACTGCCATTTCTTCACTGTTCAGAACCTTCAGCCAATCACTGACTGTTGTTCCCAAAGCCAAACAAAATGAATGTACCTGATCCAGGCCCTTTCTATAAATATTAAACACAAGTGAATCTCTTTCCCCTTCCTGTCTTCCTGTCACTAAGTAGCTGAACAGGTCTGCACCACATTAAGAGCACAAGGCATCAAACTTTGACACTCACACACTGACATCAACAGAAAGCACAAAGTACAAACATACAAAACATTTATCTGCAGGTACTGATTTGATCTAACAAAAAGTTGTGTCGAAATGCTGAGAAGTAGGTAGCCTAGCTTAATGGAGTAGTTCTCATCATTTTCTGACCTGTGACACATTTTTAACTAGGAGTATCCTATAAATCTTGTCTGAGTTTGATGAGAACATCTAGGGCTCTTCGATCTCCACCTCAAAGGAGAGGTGAGCTTTTAAGACCCCTCCCCTCAAACTTTCTAAGATAAAGTTCAATATTCAGAATAGAGAAGGGCTTTCCATCTTAAACTAGGTAAATTTAAGCATGTGCAGGTTTGGGGGATGTTTCTGTACCAGCTGATTCTTTGACATGTCCTTACAAGGTATTAAGAAGCTGATGGGTAGTTAGCCTTTCTCTGAAGTCTTCTTTGTCAAAAGCAGTAAAGAGATGGGAAGCAACTCCGCCAATCATAAGATCACCAGGTTGGTAGTATTCATGTGGAATTCTGGACAGATCATGGACAGTGCAATTCATGGTATGTTTGCACACCAAACGCGGCAGATGAAAGAGAACGGACACAATAAACAACAGCATACTGAGGCAAATATTCTTCGTCATCAGACACCCTTATTTCTGTCTAGAACATGAACCTTAGTTTCAGAACCACCCTCAGTAGAATATTTTGCCTTGACAGGAACAGCATTTCCCCACCAATTCACAGATTAAGATCCTATCCTGTTGTTGTTTAGTCATTTAGTCGTGTCCAACTCTTCGTGACCCCATGGACCAGAGCACACCAGGCACTCCTGTCTTCCACTGTCTCCCGCAGCTTGGTCAGACTCGTTGGTAGCTTCAAGAACACTGTCCAACCATCTCCTCCTCTGTCGTCCCCTTCTCCTTGTGTCCTCAATCTTTCCCAACATCAGGGTCTTTTCCAGGGAATCTTCTCTTCTCATGAGGTGGCCAAAGTATTGGAGCCTCAGCTTCAGGATCTGTCCTTCCAGTGAGCAATCAGGGCTGATTTCCATGGACAAACTCCATGGACAAAGACAACAAGATCCTATTCTACAACTTGACAAAGACAACAGCAGAAATCCTTCCTCTTCCTCTGCCCTCTCCCTTGTTTAGAATCACAAGAAGGGTTTTTTTATATTCTCATGTTTAGACTTCGGCTGGTATTCTGTGGAAATCTATTGAGACATTATCCAAGGGAGACTTAGTCATGACCAGAGTGATAATTACAGGTGAGGCAATAACTAGGTCTCTTTACATCAGGAGCATCAAACAAATGACGAAAAAAACATGTTTGTGATGTTTCATTCAAAGCGGTTTCTGTCCCTTTACAGGACAAAAAAAGTGCCCCTTCTTCTCTGGCATTGGGGGAGGCATTTTGTAGTTCACTTTGGGTGCCTAAATGACTTGAACCAGTCCATCTGAACGTCTATTTTTGTAGGGAGAAGGGGAAATTGCTTCGCTTATTCTCAACCAATGTATATTGAGATTGGGAGGGTGAATCGCACACCTGGATGTATATTTTAAAGATTCCCATTAATATGCTTCCTGAAAGTATCATATAAAGAAAAGAAGTAAATAAATAGGTTATTTGACTACAAAGAATTAGGGGCAGGGGGCATTCAATTCAGTTTGCATTTAAAACCAAGACGATCTGATTTGTACTTTCTGAAACAATATGAGAATCGAAACACAACCCTCCTTAGAAATCTGCACTTATCTAAAAATTATGATGTTGTTCTTCAACCAATGTTTAAAAAAATGCATATTTTACGGGTAGAGGCACCGACATCACGTGTGCCGTGAGGAGGCGACAAGGCCTGGGAAGGGGCCCTCTGCCCAGCAGGACCTTTCCGTAGCTGTCAACATTTCCCTTTTCTTGCGAGGAATCCTATTTGGAATAAGGGAATTTGCCTTAAAAAAAGGGAAAAGTTGACAGCTATGCCTTTGACACAGCAGGGAAGCCTGGTGGGAACCTACACCATGGTGGAGAGGCCTACCAGGGAGGCCTGTCAGGGCTCAGTCCCTCAAGATTGGGGGGCTCAGCCCTGTCCCCAGATACTGGGAGGGGGCTGAGCAGTCCTCAGCCCCATAGAGTTAGCCGGTATGATTGGGGAAAGTATCAAAAAATGCATAGTGAACACTTGCAAAAGTGTTTATTGAAAAATGTGTTTACTAGGAGAAATTGACACTAAAACGCTTAGGAGTTTTCATGAGGATTTTTTAAATAAAAAGAATCACAGATTGCTGCAAAAACTGTGCAGAACTCAATTTAAGATGGAAAGAATGAGATACCGCTAAAGTCAAAATTGACAGCTTCTTCCAACCCTCTTTACTGCAAATGCAGACACTTTTTAATATACCACTTCAATCACACACGCAAACGCACATAGAAGTGTGTGTGCGTGCATGTTTGTGTGCACGCGCACCACCAAAAGGTGTGATTTCCATGGTTTTAGGCCTAGAGCCAGAAGGGAGGGACAAATTACACACTCTTTGCAGGATTGAAAATACAGGTCCTTTATTATGCAGTTAGGGACGCGGGTGGCGCTGTGGGTAAAACCTCAGCGCCTAGGACTTGCCGATCGCATGGTCGGCGGTTCAAATCCCCGTGGTGGGGTGCACTCCCGTTGTTCAGTCCCAGCGCCTGCCAACCTAGCAGTTCGAAAGCACCTCCGGG